TTCTGAAATTGTATGCCAATGTGAATGTGTGGTCGTGAGGAGGGCTTGTTTCTCCCTTTCTACTGTTTTTCTACTGTATGAACAAAATGACAGCTAAATTTCTGTAAAGCAAGAGGCATCTAGGAGCTTTTATTAAACTTTTATTTATCTATTCAAAGTTTAGAATGAATATTCTGTGTTGGGTTTCCCTATTTTGAGCCAGTTATTTAAGGCCTTTTATTGGGGGTTTAAGATAGCCACTGAACGACAGTCCACTATCCAGGATATATGCCACTGTCTATATTTTTGTCAGATGAATCAAGATCCTATCTATTTTTTCAAACTCTCTCGCTCTGCCCCCTCCCCTTTCCCAAGTATATGTGGGAGTCTTAAAAGAAACCCTCTCTCTCCCCAAGAGGCTTTCAGTGGCTGCTTGTCTTGGAATAAACGCTTCTGCAGCTTTCTCACTGCACAGGTTTAACAACTATAATTGGAAACGCATCAGGTTATTTCCTACTTTAGAGAGGGTGTGTGGGGGGGAAAAGGTTCTGTAGAGTTGTAAGTATATACACAGCAGGGCTATATTTTTATATGTATATTAAAATATTGTATATTCAGAGAAGCATTGTGACGTGGACATTTCTTTATAAAACTGTAAAGTGGAGCAGGTGAGAGGGGAGAAAGCTGGGACAACAGGGTTGCGATACTAACAGTAAACATACCTTATGAAGACCCCGGAGCCATGGAGCCAGCGCCGATTTTCTTTGCAGCAGCCAGGAAGAAACAGAATGGGCGCAACTGTCTATGCTCTTTCACCAACCTTCATCACGGCCATTAGAAAGAAAACTTACTTACATCAGAAGTGCGGCATGCCACATACTGTAATCACAGAGCGAAATCCTATCTTCAGTCAAATATTTGCCATTGAAATCAGTGACGTCGAGATTTTACTCCCAAGGGGACGTGACCTAGTAAGTTGCTGGAAACTTAATGGGTAGCTATCCAAAAAAACCCAGCATCCTCTTGATAACACTTGGGATGCTTCCCATGCAACACTGTGTCGTTTTGTACATTTCCCTGCTCTGGGCTATATTACCAGCGCTAGAAGGGGCAGGGAAATGCACAATGCAGCAATTGCCTGAACCCTAAAAGGACAAGGGGAGGGAGGATGCTGTTTGTGGCAGCATCCCAAAGGCAGATGCAAGAGCTGCTCTCACTCTTGCACCTTAACTTGGAAACAAGTCTCGTCGGTTACAGTGGACCTTTTCCAGTAAAGTGTGGTTAGAATCACAGCCTTACTCTGACTTATAAGTAGCCAGGGAACTGCAGCCAATGGCTAGCTGATTTTGATACCAAAAAAAGTTTTGGTTGGTTTTTTTTAAATTGGGAAAGTTTTGGATAACCATACAATAAGCTGGCTGGCCAATTGCATTATTTTGTTAAGAATAAATTTATACAATGCAGATATTAGTATGAAATTCGTAACTTGCCATATTTCAAAATAAATGCTCATCTAGGCAGCAAATCTATAAAATGACTCTGAAATGGACAGCAGTGTTCAAATTTATGCAGTTTTTGTCTTATTCTCTGAAGGGGGGAAAAGTCATGTGAAGTATTTTTGTCAACCATAGTGCAAAGTGTGAACCTAAAAGATTGGCGCACAAGTTCCTCACTGCCTGGGGCAGGTTGATTTTTAGCATTGGTGTGTGTCTGCCTCCAAAGGAGGTGCTAGCTTGTAAGCCTTCCTAAGCATTTCAACTTCTCCAAATTTATCTTCTTTCTTCTTTTCTCACACTGCAACAAATCTGGCTATTTCTGTGAATACTAAAAACACAGGGTTTTCTGTAATTATACTGTATATATGTTTACTGTTAAGTTCTTGTTAAAATAAATCTATTTCTAGATCTAGATTCAGCATTAATTGGACTATTTTTTGTTTAAAAAAACCCAGCAACAACACTTGGATCAACTCTGTTGTTCTTAATCAGGCTTCTTTCTAGGCGCGGATGACAAAACCTTTATAGCTCTTGGAAATTAACCTGGATTCTAGCTGCTGAAACAACTGCTGTTTTGGAATTCTTTTCCTTTAACCTCTAGAACACATATTCTGCCACAATCTTATCAAGCTTTGTCAACATTTCACAAATATTTATTTCTATACCCACAGATTTGTACTACCTTGTTTTATAATATGCTAAAATTGGAATCCACTTCTACCATTTGGTGAAACATTTTCAGTATCTCAGAGGAGTAATTGCAACCCACAGCTCTGCGAACTTTAAAACAGGTTTTTGGTTTCTTGCCTGTTCAGTTCAACATTGTAGGTTAGCTATAAATTGCTAGGTGGGAACAAATAGCCAGCCAAGTACAATAAACTGGTCCCAAGAAGCTCTCTAGCTGTGCAGGCTGTTTTCAGCAGTGGAACATTTTGTAAGATGATTAGGTCTGGTTTCTTCATTAAAGGAAAATGTGAGTCTCCAGACAGTGTGAAACTCTGAGATCTTAACCTGCAGTCATTTAAATCATTTTTGTTTTGTGTCACGGCTCAACTGGAACACCAGGAAAGTGACTCGTGTTTTCAATTCAGTTGCTGAAACTATCCAGGGTGAGTTGAAGGAGCTGCCAACCTTATCAACACTGGAGAAGATGTCTTATTCAGCACAAGTCAATACTACTTGGTAAGATGAGCAAGGCAGAGGGCATTTTAGTTTTGCTTGTATGTGCAAATTATTCTGGATTTCCTCTGGGAAACTGAAGGAAAGCCTCTTGATAAATGAATCATATACACATATCTGCTACGAGATGCAAAAGCAATCTCCTTAAAAGCTTTTAGAAATTCTAAACATAGATTGGCTCATCTTTTCACCTTTTATTGACACCAGCCATTCCTTTACTACAGGAGTAGCGCACAACCCTTTAAAAGGTTGTTTGTACTCTTCACAGTTTGGCACAACTCATCTGTCATCAAGCAGGAAGTCTCAGAATGTTGTATCACATTTGTCATGGTAGGCTGTTAATGTGATCGTGCAAAGTGCTCCGAGGTTTGGTGGTATGGCACAACTGGACAAGTTTAGCTAGAACAGAGATTTTGTTCCTAAGCTCGCGTTTATCAAAATTTATATAATGCTTGATGATAACAAAGCTTCTGAGCATTTTTCAAAACTGAAAAACATTACGATTCTTGATTTTTAAATCAAGGTATTTAAAAACAGTCAAAAGGTTATTAAAATCAGAAGTGGCTAAGAAGCGGGGGTAAAGGTAAATTCTACATGTCTCGTAGGCTTGCCAAAATGAAAAAGTTTTTACACAGGTGGTGGTCTTGTTACTTGCAAGTGCAGAAGAAACCAACAGAGCAGTAAAGTGGGCATGGATTAGGGGTACAGTAAACTGGTTGCAAGTGGTTAAGGGGTTTAGAGATTCATAGTAACACCTTGAACTTGGCCTGCTAGCCAATGAGCAACCAGTGCTGATCTGAACAGAAGTGCTCATTCCTGCACTAGTGCGTTGCGATAATCCAACCTTGAATTAATCAATGTCTTGGTGTGATCAAGTTTACCAGTCCAGGTTGCAGCAGCTGCACCAGCTGCAACTGGTAAAAGGTGTTTATAGATGCTAAAGTTACCTGGGCCTCCAGCTGGATCTAGAAGCACTCCCGGGCTGAGTCGTACCTGTTCCTTCAGGGGGTTTCTGGAATTGTACAGAAGCTAGCGGGTCCTGCAACAAATCTAAAGTTTCATAAGCACTCAAAGCTACCAGGCCATAGATAGAAACCGGGCAAAGCTACAACTGTACCTACTGCCGTTGGGCTGAAGACGGGAGCTTAAACTGATCTTTTGGAAAGGAAAAAGGCAACAAATCCCCTCTTTGCTGATCCTGGGAAAAAGTCCTCCAGCCACACAACTCTTCCACAACACCATTTTAATACGTTACACTGTAAAGTGAGTGTCTCATGCAAGTATGAGTTAAACCACCTCCAAATATCTCTGCCACAACTGATGGTGGAGAGTAAACTCCCTAAATATGTTTTGAAGCCAGGCAATGCGGTCACATAAAGCTCCAAAGAAGTCCATGCCAGCTCATCCACTTTCCAGAAGGTAAGTTTTCTGACCTGCTTCCAGATCAGGGAACTCAAAGTCCTTGCTCAGTAAAGTTCAGGTGTTACTCGAATAAATGCTATAACTACATAGCTAGAAATCTCTCTAGTGCAACTAATGGCCATTACAATGTCGCATTCACACAGCTCAACCAAAAAGTAAGGAGGGGAAAGTCAGTGTATGAATAGTAAAGCCGCCATTATCTGAACTGTGTGCATCCTTTATGAGGCCACATGCCAATGTAAGTCATACACAAAGAAGCATTTCTCATACAACTGTTTGGAGCAACTACATTTATATCCTGTCCTTCCTCCAACTAGCTCCAGGTAGCATACATAATTCTCCCCCACACACCCAATTGTACCCTGTTGCTACGATATTCACTTTGTATGTGTACCACAATCTCCTAAGAGCAGAGCAAGGCACTTTGGCTGTACAGGTGGCATAAGATTTCTTTGGCAGAGATGAATGCCAGGGCAACATTTTCATCTGGAGTTTCTGCAATCATCCAGCAGTCTTTTGTTCATGGAGTTATCTCCAGCTGTTAATACATAACGACATAGATCTAAAGAACTGCAAGACTAATTCCACAAGCCCAAGCAACACATTTCAAACAGCAAGCGAGCCCCAGTGACACATGTCTGCAACAAAGGGCATTTTCTAAACTTAAGAGGTTGAGAGGATAGATGGAAATTCAAAAGAATAAGTATAACATTCCCATTAAGTGCATCCAAGCCCTTCAATATGCCTAAAGTCACACGCTGAATCTCGGCCAACTGGATTTTTCCACATTCTTGTGTTAAGTAAGAGCGGCCATTATCTTTCCAATAACAAATTATGCTGCCTAAACTGTTTAATCACAAGATAGGAGCCCTGCGATTAGCATTTCATTAAATGCAAGGAGTATCAAGAGAAACTCAGAATTTTTACTTGTCATCTTTATTCAAGTATTTCACAGCAGTTATATTACAAATTACAGTAAAATGTCCAAAATATCCAAAAGTTCAAAAAAAAAAATTAAATAATTTACTTAACTAATGCAGAATGAAGTCAAGATGCAAAAAAAAAAAAAAAAAAAGAGATCAAGTGAAACACAATCCTGAATACAACTTATAAGAGAATCCAAAATTTATCATAGCTGATGAAGTAAGCTTACTTAATCAAAAAGCCGACGCACATGAATGGAAGCAAACAACAATACATCCCCCACTGCCTAAGTAAACCAATGTACAATACAGAAAAGAAGCAGGTAGAAGGAGCCCAGATTCAAGCTTAAGGTGAATTTACACACAAAAAAGGGAGGGAGAAGTGATGACCAGCTGAAAGACCTGCCATTCGGAATATCAAACGAAGCCAGAAATGACCCTCCAACTTAAAAAGTATGGTAAGACAAGGTATTAGAAAACCAAAACCAAAATAAAACCCTATAATAAATACATTGGCATATGAGAAAACTCAAGCAACAATACCAAGGACACAAAACATAAATTAATCACAGGTGAAATTCAAGCTTGCAAATACAATTAACTCCACAGCCATGTTCATCTTAGAGCAGTTCCATCATTATCCCCACAGAAATTTAACCTCCATCTGGCCCTAGGAAAAGGCCTTTGCACAGGAGTTCATTGGTAATATTCATAACAAGGAACAGGAATTGATTTGTACAGATTATTGCCAATTTTATGTGGCAAAATAATAGTAACAAAAATACAGAGAGTAAACAACTTGACAACATGGATAGATTAACAGGTTTAACTCTACAACCACTAAGCTATTAGTAAAGAAAAGCAATACATGTTTTAGTGTGGTTTTGGAGTCAAAAAGGGTGACTATATAATTTTAATGTTGCCCACTAACACATTTATATAAGCTAATTCTTCCGAAAAACCGAAACATTTAGGAAGCAGTCCTCACTTTCTTATCAACATTCAAAACTACTAAAGTTTTTTTTCTCTCTCTTCCCCTTAACTGACCAGTTGGAAGCATTTTCAATGTTGGATCTGAATTTAAGATACTCTTTTCAAATTATCTGACAACTATATTTAAAGGATTTAAACTTGTACAAATTTAGTAACCTGTTAAAAATGTATGTAGTCTCTCTTTTCACAAGTGCTGCTGCTACTTGAACAAAAGAACCTTTAAACTACAATATTTTTAAAAAATGCTGCAAGAACCTGAGACTTGCAAAAAAATAGCTTTACCAGAAACTTACTACAAAAAATCTGCTACATTTCATTTCATCAAATCTCAAAGTTTTGTAACAATTTCCATCAAAATACAAAATGCTAATGGTTTTGACGGCGGCAAAAATATCCTAGACGGGTGTCATGGCAATAAATACTAACTTAAAAGATGAAAAGTTCCCCACAATCAAATTTCTAAAATGAAAGAACTAGTTCAAGATGCTTTTCATTTTTAATCGCACTTTCCCACCAAAAATACAGCACTTCTACAGGAGTCGCGTTTAAAATAGTGTGACTAAAATGCACATTAGGAACGAAGACAAGTGGCGTTTGAGGGGGCCTGGAGAAGGCTTGGCTAAAATTAGGGTGCTTGCATGTACATTCTGACTGGGAAGGAGGGGGAAAACTTTGGATTACTGCAGTAGCCCAGGGCTAGAGTATGGTTCAGAGCACAAGCATGCTACTATGAAGTGGTCTAGTGACAAAGTACCTTCGCTTCGGCACGTAAATGGTGGATTACAGCCTTCCGTAAACACTGGTGATAAGTAAAATACAAAAAGCTGAGGTAGCTGAGTATCTCTGCAGTAGTCCAAGGCTGCCTTTCTTTACTTAAAGCAAAACCTACTGGGTTTCGTATTTTGGAGAAGACACTCTTTCAGATTATATATATGGATATATAAATGGATAACTACCTCTTATCAGCTCATAAATCCACCTGATCTCCTCCACGTTGCTCTAAAAGATCTGAGAGGGGCTTGTGGAGCCCAGGGCCTTTTGCAACAGACTTCGCGACGCCTAAAAGTGTCTCCTCTTAATTGCCAAAGAAGAAAATGTTTCAAATTGTTGTCACGTCATTCAGCTCTAGAGTTCTGCAGTCTTTACAGGGCATCCAGGGGTCCAAATCAAACAAAATGAAAGGCCGGTCAGTTGCTTTCTACTTAATACTGCTCCATATGGATTCTACTGAATGAGCCTGGCGTAATTCATTTAAACAAAGGCTAAAGGACTGAAGCGCAAAACTGCCGCTTCTCTGCCTATGGCCACCCAGCAAGTTACATTTCCAGATAATGGAAGCCAGTCTTATACCTTCCAAAATAATGGACGTTTAGAAAGAAAGAAACCTGTTTTTAAGAACTCTGAAGAAATAAAATGGAACATTAAAAAAATAAACTACAGCTACTTTGAATAATTACTGCGAAAGCCTCAGAGTGTAATTTGTTTGATAAACAAATATACTTGTGGAATAAATGCATCTTACCATTTTTAGATAACATGGTTATTTCCATAATTTAGGTTTCCAGAGAGCAACACAGACATGTTAAAACGTAATACTGGCTGCCATTTTGACAGTGTGGGAACCTGAAACTGTTCTTTGGGAACAGAGGCTTTTGAAAAGAACTTTCTAACTCTGTCATTGGCTACAATCCCAACCATTTTAATAGCCTTGTCCTCCTCCTCAACTGACTAAAAAGGCACATTGAAGGCAGCTCCAGAGAGCCTCATCTTCACATTATTGTATACCAAAGTTAATTCATTTTTCTAACCACAATTTTTTCTTTCACTGCCAGCTTTAAAAACAGGCTTCTGTCCATTACCTCAGAGAAAAAGGGAAAAGTAAAATTCTTTTAAAAGTTGCCCACTTAAAAACAATTACATCTGCTTTATCCAGTTTGTTGGCCTGTTCCATTTTGCCTGAAGCTTCTCACAAGACAATGCATGTAGACAGCAGAAATGAGAGCAGTTTCTGTAGCACCAAAAATCTCCCAAGTTGTGGCATTATATTCTTTATTTATAATCAAGATACAAATATTATGAAGTTCCGTTTGGTTCTTGTAGGCTGGCTGGTTTCAGGTACCTGAGACAATAGCACCAAATTCATAACAGAAAGCGAGACAAGGAGTGAGCGTGTTAAGACCAAGGCTCTGCACATACTTGGTGCAACTGGAAATCGAATGGCTCAGTAGGCTGCTCTCCTGTAAGCAGCTTATGAAAAGAAAAACCTGCACATCTTGAAGAGTTCACAGGAATGTTTCGAACATATGAACCGTTCTTTCCATCTCCTGAGAGGAAATCAGAACATTGGTTATTCAGTGAAAATGATGAACGGGAAATAGTTTAACAACAACAACAACAACAACGGACTGTGGATTAATATGGTACCTTGGAAACCTTAAGAGAAATATGTCACAAAGAGCTGGGAAAATATTAAATTGGGACGTCAGAAGAAGAGGCATATTGGACTTCTGGAGTGACAAAAGTAGAAGGCCTGGGGGGACAATTTTGGAAAATACCACCTTGCAGAATATTATTTACAGTCAGAATTATTCTGGAGTGCACATGTTAAATATTTTGAATAATTGTTTTATATATAAGTGGCAGATAGAGAAGCAGAATAATCTTTTTATCTTTCTCTATTTTCTCCTTTCTTTTTATGGTTAGTTTTTTATCTGCCTTCTATTATCTTTATATTTATTCTCTATAAGTATTACTTATATGCAGGTTTTAATATTTAAGATTGCAACAAATGAGAGGGAATTAGCTATACCTGCCATTCCTGTGGGTAGGTCAAGAACAAAGAAAGGCTTTGTACATGGTTTGTTTGCACACCTGTTTTTCCACTACTCTGCCAGTAGAAAATCTATATCAGCTGGCATATTAGGAGACTTCCAAACCAGTGTGTCATCCTGCTGAGCTATCTTTGTCTTTGCTAGCGGAGTGGCATCTATGTTACTTCCTGAAGCCCCTCAGCAGATTTCCAGCTGAGTTTAGGATTGCTCCCTGAGTAATAGAACCCAGGGCTTGACAAAAAACTTCTGCACAGTGAAATTTGGTCAAGAAGCCAAATGCCGGTGACCTCCCCAAAGTGGTTCAAATCACTAACACATGAAACTAAAGAGGACTTTTGGTAGATATTTTGGTGGCTCTGAAGCAACACTGACTAAAGAAGCGTGTTACAAAAAATAATCATCATTAAAATGTTGTGCAAACGTACCTCTACAAGCTGTGACTTGTCATAATCTTTACGATGCCGATAGATGCATTGATTAAGGAGGGAGTATAGTCTCTCAAGCTGGTCAACAGTCAGGTTATCGCTTTTTTTAACCAACACATCAAGTAAATTCTATAAAGAGATATTGGCAAGAATCCAGGGTGAAGTTTATAAGGAAAGTATGAATCAGATTTCCTTCAAACGCTTAAGGAAGTGTTAGGATAAAAAATTAAGAAATGCTATTAAGATTTAAGATTACCTATCCAGCCACCCTTACCATTAATCTGTCATGGTCAACAATGACAGGAGGTACGGGATCCAATTGCTCCTCCTCTGGAACCTGTGCCAAAGCAAATTTGCGAGGTTTCTTATTTTTCAACGTACCTGAAATTTTAAAAAAGCAAATATCAAAAATCAGGACACATAAGGTAACAATTAACAGCAGCATTAAATTCCAAGTGGTCCATTAATAATTTTTATTTTATTTTCAAAGTCTTAAGTGGCTCCAAGAACACAGGATGGGAAACATCTTTATCCAACAAATAGCGAGCTGATGTTGCTTTAAATCACTACAGACAAGCTTTCTGCCAAAATAGGAAGCATCTGTTTCAATGAAAGTAGTATAGATTTGCTTGACTACAGGATTAGAACAGGGATAAATGATGAATACACTGCATACCTTCTTTATCTGACGATTCAGCTTCTTTAGTTTCAGTATCTATGCCTTGCGATTTCTTCTCGTTATTGCTGCATTGTGGTACCTCGGTGCCAGACTGTTTTAATTGTTCCTCGTCGGGACTGTCGCTCGAAGCTTCGGGTTTTTCCTTTTGGGGATCGGCGGTTGCATTTTGTTTGGGAATGGACACGTCAGGGATGGCAGGAGGCAAAATAGCATTCGGTGACTCACATTCGCCATACCGACACCCTGGGACAGCAGCTACTTCAGAGGCCTGGCCGTTTAAATGGTCCCCCTTGAACAAGGCCTCCTCCTTGGATTCCTTTTCTACAGTCAGAGTAATCTTCTTACTTACTAACAGGGACTCGTTGGAGCTCTCTTCTGTGGATGGAATACTGTTTTCTTTCCCGACTGGCCCATTGTTCAGTGTCTGTTCTCCATGTATATCCATGATATCGCAAGACGACTCATCATTTGTCATAGAGAGATCGCCCGTTTCTTCTCCATTCTCTTCAATGCAGTCTGTACTTCCCTCAAGCTCCCCGTTCTCCAGCATCTTGCTGTCCTCCCCTTGGTTTTCATCATCTGCAAACTTGGCATCATCTTCGTCTTTCTTCAAATTATTCACTTTTCTCTTCTTAATAATGCCTTTGCCCCACTGTGAACGTCGTCTTGATTTCCTCCTTAATCGAACTGAATCATGAAGAGATAAAAGTTTCCATTAGAGATGCAAAGATTTGCTTAGTAAGCAACGGGCAAGGTATCAATAAAATCAAGTCTATTTATTTTAATATTTTACCTTGCCTGGCCCAAAGGTCATCCAAGGCAGCTAATTATGATATAAAACAACATAAAAAAACACAGTAACACTTTCTTAAAACACACGCACACAAAATCCTAATACTGATCGCCAGCCCTCTAAGGCTTATAACTCCTGTTTATGCTTATAACACTTAGTATATTTGAGTTTACAAAAAGTAAAAAAAATAAATTTTAAAAAGTTTCTGACTTTATTTATCCATTTCATAAAACAACAAAGAGTCTTATGGGCCCATAAAAAGACCAACAAATTTATTGTGACATAAATGGGGAATGCTGACAAAGATTTCTAGTGTTTACGGAGCAATATTTCAGTACCTTACCCTTCCAAATCTATCTGGATTATCTAAATACTATGCAATTAAACAGTTGCCAAGTCTCAGTATTCTGAAAGAGACTGTTTATAGGGGGCATTTATTCCAAGTACGGTGGTACCTCGGGTTAAGTACTTAATTCGTTCCGGAGGTCCGTTCTTAACCTGAAACTGTTCTTAACCTGAAGCACCACTTTAACTAATGGGGCCTCCCACTGCCGCCACGCCGCTGGAGCACGATTTCTGTTCTCATCCTGAAGCAAAGTTCTTAACCCAAGGTACTATTTCTGGGTTAGCGGATTGTGTAACCTAAAGTGCATGTAACCTGAAGCGTATGTAACCCCAGGTACCACTGTAATGTTCTGTAGACCCTTGTTGTTCTCTCACACTAGGTATTCACTGCTCCTGAGAGAATTAAGCCTCCCTAAGGAGAAAACTAGGAGCATGTCTTATTTCTTGCAACACAATTCTGCAGGCCTTAACATAAATAGTACAATTTTTGGTCACTGTGCTTCAATAATTTAATAGAACAATGCATGTTCAAGTAATAGTTCAACAACTATCTTTGCCAGAGACAGCTACTGAATACAGCTATCAAGTAACCCATTTAAAGATGCAAAACAATGTGCTTTTGACACCATCTACTGGCAACAGCAAGGAACAATCCCATGTTTTAAAAAGTTCATTTTCAACATGTTCTATTCTCAAAATATGTGCAGGCAATGCTGCCTTTCCTGTGTAAAAACACCTCCGTGTGTGTCAAATGCGACCACAGTCTTTGATTCATTTTACAACGGTTTGCAAGGCAAACTGGCCACAGACACAAACATCCATGCACCCTCATCCCTCTTTTTACAGGGCTATATTCTAGCGCAACATGGTTATATGTCCAACAGGTCGTCTTTGGTCTAGGCTTAAGTATGGCTTTTATACCAAGGGAATCCACTGAAGAAATTTTATTATGAGAGAGAGCTTTGGTTCTCTCCAGAAGCTCCCATTTTCGGCTCTAGACCTTTGTTTTGTTTTTATTTTAAGGAATTTACACACTACCATTTTCACCCTTAAAGGTAAAGGTAAAGGGACCCCTGACCATTAGGTCCAGTTGTGGCCGACTCTGGGGTTGCGGTGCTCATCTCGCTTTATTGGCTGAGGGAGCTGGCGTACAGCTTCTGGGTCATGTGGCCAGCATGACTAAGCCGCTTCTGACGAACCAGAGAAGCACAAGGAAACGCAGTTTACCTTCCCGCTGGAGCGGTACCTATTTATCTACTTGCACTTTGACGTGCTTTCAAACTGCTAGGTTGGCAGGAGCAGGGACCGAGCAACGGGAGCTCACCCCATCGCGGGGATTCAAACCGCTGACCTTCTGATCGGCAAGTCCTAGGCTCTGTGGTTTAACCCACAGTGCCACCCGCGTCCCTATTTTCACCCTTATGTCCCATTAAATCACACAATATACAAAATTTAAAACACAGATTAAAACATCAGAGATCAGAACATGGTGCAAAAGGTCTCCTAAAATACATCCGTTTTAACCTGATGTCTGAAACTTAGCAGGGACTTTGCCTGCCTGATTTCTAATGGGAGCTCCGTTAGAAATGCACGCTCAATTGGTAGAGCATAAAACTCTTAACCACTAGGTCATGGATTCAAGGCCCATGTTGGGCAAAAGATTCCTGCACTGCAGGGGGTTGGGCTAGATGATCCTCATGGTCCCTTCCAATGACACAGTTCTATGGTTCTATGAACTGGACCCACTACACTGAATGGGCAACTCCTACTGGATCTGGGGAGGGGAGAGGAGATGATGATGATGATGATGATATTAGAGAACGGGTGTCATGGGAGGCTGTGGGGGAAATCGTCAAAAGTTGCCTCCCATCCTCTTCCATTAGAGCAGTGATGGCCAAACTTGGCTGTCCATCAGTTTTGGGACTACAATTCCCATCATCCCTTACCATTGGTCCTGTTAGCTAGGGATGATGGGAGTTGTAGTCCAAAAACAGCTGGAGGGCCAAGTTTGGCCATCCTCTTGCAATAGAGGATGCCTCTGCTAGCTCAAAAGCCTTCCCATAAGTGCAAGGATACCAACTGGATTCCATCCACACTAACTACCAGACCAGGACAGCATGCTTCTTTAAAAAGTATTTTTCATACTAATTCTAATATCGGAAATTGTTCAGTGAAAAACTATTTCAGTCGAACCTTCTTCCAATCCACTCTCATAAGGAATTTTAGTAAATTGACACCTAACTCAACGGATGAGTACTATTCTGGCTATCTTATAAAAACTAGCTGAAGTAGTAATAGCAATTAGGTGAACACTTCGTTTTTTTAAAAAAAATGTAATAGGAGATGTGTGCCAGATATATACTCATCTTGTTTAGAGCTATGCTTAGCGCCTGGATAAAATGGTCTGAAATACTCACATGCACATTTATTTGCAGAGTTGTGCCAAACTGACATTGCATTTTTTTGCCTGTTCTGGAATGCCTCCTCAATTCTCGTTTCTGTTTTCTGTACAGTGGAACCATGAGGATTTATTTGGTCTGCCGTTACTGATAAGCCTGTGTACAGAAGATAAGCATACCTATTTTAATAATCCCAGCAGTATTAACTGCCCGAGTTATTAAAAGCAGTCTGGAATAAAGTATAACATTAAAAACTTTCGGTGATTAAATTAATTTCACCAGATACTCCCAAACATCTACATCAAGAATATTTGCTTTTCCCCCAACAACGGAATGTATGAGACCCACAGTATGAAACCTGAAAGTTCAAACTTCTCTGTTTCAAAGAAAATACTACTTAGCATTTATATAGGGCTTCCCAACTGGTGGCCTGCCGACCCCAGGGGGTCAGTGGCACCATTCACATAATAAAAACTACCATAGAGATATCAAAATTTTCAAAAGTAGAGGGTCCATGGCTTGGCTTTTGAAAAACCTGAGGTTGCCCAGTACTTAGCTAATTGAGAATCACTGCTTGAAGAGTGTTCATAGCTCATCATAAAAATGAACCACCTTCACACATCATGCCAAACCTTAGTTTAGTGTGACGTGTATGAGAGTAGGAATGAACAGCAACATGCCTTTGGGCTTGAACAAGGTTTCTTATTTGCCTCTTTCCCCGCATGACTGTGATGAGTTATTTTGCTTTTGCTTTTTCTTCACTGTGGTTTCACATGTCATGCAAACAATGGTTGGTTTCAAACAACCCGACCTCAAAATTTCTGAACTCCTGGCAGCACAGCAGGTGGGTTCATGTGAATCTGAGGCTTGCTGCTGCTCATTCCTATGGAACAGCCTGAAGTCCAAACACAACCATTATATGTTGCAAGCCTTACAATCACCCTGTAGTGATTGTATTATTGGTCAGTATTATTAACCATGTCATGCAGATAGGGGGCTGTGGCGGAAGGGAAAAATAGATTGCCTCTAGGTCCATCAAGTGATTCTATGGTAAAGGTTAGATTCAAACACTTTGCTCTGAATAAATGTGGAGAAGTTTGCATTGCTAACTACTTAACTCTGCAAGGTTCCTAACATACCGTATTTTTCCATCTATAAGACGCCTCCATGTATAAGACGCCCCCTATTTTGGGGGGCTCCGATTTTAAAAAATGGAGGGTGATGCATCTGTGTATAAGACGCCCCCAATTTTTGACATTATTTTTTAGGAAAAAAACCTAGTCTTATACACGGTACTCAATTCTGATTTTAAAAATCGATGCAAAATGGTTTTACTTTCCGTATTTACTTATTCCTTTGAATTCTAATTTCTATAGAATTTACAGTACACAAGACATTTTACAACACTTTTATCATTATTTTTCTTGACAACTATCTGAGGAAGATGAATACTAAAAATGTGGTTATGAGCTACTAAAAGTGGGTTAATAAAAAGTTTCTTGAACTGGCCCCAAAACTTTCAAACTGGACTTAAAGAATCTAAATCTAAATAACGTGAACCTTGAAATGCAACATTTCATCAGATTTTTTTCTGGTGATAATTGGTTTCTTAGAGACTGTGCATTTATTGATCAAGAATTCAAGTGCCATTTGTGTATTGTGTATCATAAATAGTCAATGTATTTTTTAAAAAATTATAAGAATACCTCTCTTTTTTCTTGCTTCCTTTACTTCTTCACACATTTTATTGAACTCTGGATCAAGCTCAGCAGCAATGATAGCATGTGCAGTGTCCTTCAGAGTACAGGCTCGGTGCCTAATGATTTTATCTGGAAAATCAACGTAAATTTCATTTTTAACAATCAAAAACATCTAATTTATTTCTTTATTTATCGTCTTTGTGCAACAGGACCACTGAAGACAATGACAGAAATAAAAGAGAAAACAATTTTTAAAACAGCTCAGAGTTAAATTAAGAGCCATAAAATAAATAATATCCATATAAGTAATCAAATGTGGAACAAATATGTTTTAATCAGCCTTCTAAGACTTAACATTAGTGCTGCTTAGCAGGCATACTGAGATGTATCATGCTTGCACAACTTGCACTCTAAGCTGAATATCTTCATTATGCTACTCGACTGCCAGTGAAGAACTGTTTTCTGTAAAACTGGAAGATCAAAATACATGGTACCTTCACACCGGTGGGTCATAAGCTGTGCAGGTCTGATTTATAAAGACTTCACGTGTCTATGTATGTATGTATCAGTTCTATCAGCTTTGTCTTGAAAGCTTTTTGTTTTAAAAAATCCATACTTCCAGCTTCCAATTTGGCTAATAAACACTTTACTTTAGAATACCTGGGTTTAAATATTATGTCTGCATTCCTACACATTTAGGTTCCCAACAAAATCAATCAGATGTAGCTTTTAAATAAATACATATTGAGATCCAAATGCTTCTTTAGGCATGGCAAAGAAGTTAGGTGAGCTCATTGAATTTTTTTACTTTTCTCTTTAAACAGTAAGACTCCACGCCATAACAGAAATTGCTTGCGAAAGCACCAACAGTTTTAAAAGCAAAAACAGATGAGTGCCTTAAGACCTCCCTACACCTACCTCCTTAGAAATAGCATTACAACAGCAGCTGTGCTTTAAAACCTTTAGTACAAATGAAATTTGATATTTGCTTAACTTTGGTCTGATAATTGACTTTTATCCTACACCTAATTGCCATACCAGCAGTATAGTGCAATGGTAGGGCAATAACAAAATCACACAGGATAGAAAGCTGTTTTAGTGAAGGTAGCCAGGAAAGTTAAAGACTATGCTGCTTTAGCATTCATTCAGTCAGTAACTAATATTGAGTAATGTTAGCTTTTAACCAATTTGTATAAGACACAGCTTATACAAATAGTTGAACTGCAACTGAATACACAATTAAATGTGATGTCATGTTTAAGTTGTTTTTTTAAAAAAATCCTTACCCCCAGGATCTTTGTCAGGATTATATTCCAATGCATTGCTGCATATGAGATCTATGTCTATTAGGAAATCCTTTGCAGTTAAATAATTGTGCTTATCAATTTTACTTATTACTGTAGACAGGTCCATCGGCTCTCTGATAACTTCAAGGTAATCTGAAACCTATAATCAAACAGTGACACAGAGTGACACAAAAGTGACACAGAGATTTATGCTAACTTTAACATACTCAGCACTATCATTTTGTTTTCGAACACAGTAATTCTAAACAGTTGAAACCATGATAAGAAATAATGCTGGAACAACATTTTTTCACCCCAAGGTTCATCACTCTGATTTTTACCTGGCAAGGAAAACTCCTATCAAAGCTCTTTTGTTCTGTATATGTAAGTAATTTTCATTTTTAAATACAGTGGTACCTCGGGTTAAGTACTTAATTCGTTCCGGAGGTCCGTTCTTAACCTGAAACTGTTCTTAACCTGAAGCACCGCTTTAGCTAATGGGGCCTCCTGCTGCCGCCACGCCGCTGGAACACAATTTCTGTTCTCAACCTGAAGCACTATTTCTGGGTTAGTGGAGTCTGTAACCTGAAGCCTATGTAACCTGAAGCGTATGTAACCTGAGGTACCACTGTATTCTGTAGAGAGAGAGAAAAGTGCAGCACCTTTCAAACACAATGAAGAAGGCCTTATTCACACATCTGCTTCCAAGACATACACAACTACTAGAAAGTTCCTGCAGTCAGAATCATAAGAACATTGTTTGATGCCAATGGCCTGTCTTGTCTAACTTCCTGTTCTCAAAGCGGCCAACCAGACGCCCAGGCACAAGAGCACCTTTCCCCTCTTGCCATTTTCAGCAACTGGTATTCAGAATCATTACTGCATCCATCTGTCCTGAGTCTTGCACCACTCAGCTTAAATAGATGTTCATGAGTTCCAGTGTTACGAGAGAGGGACAAAAACTTTTATCCATCCACTTTCTTCATGCTGGGAATAAATTATGTATGCTTCTATCATGACTTACTTGCCTTTACTCTAAGCCAGGCTTCCTCAACCTCGGCCCTCCAGATATTTTTGAAACTACAATACCCATCATCCCTGACCACTGGTCCTGCTAGCTAGGGATCATGGGAGTTGTAGGCCAAAAAACATCTGGAGGGCTGAGGGTGAGGAAGCCTGCTCTAAACCAAAAAAGCTCCAATGCTGTGACCTTTTGTCATAGGGGAGTTGCCCCATCCCATGAAAAGAAGAGCCCAATATAGATTTTACATTTGATGGGCATTTAATATTTGAGGAAATGAGATGAGATGAAACAGATTCAAAGCCCGAAATTGCTTGGAGGTCCAATTGCCTAAAAATAGCTACCCAGGCATCGGAGGCCCTTCTACAGGTGCCCCTATCAAATAGGGCACAGTATGTAATCCTCACCTGAGAGGAGGCCTTTACAGCAGGTGAACCGCAATCATGGAATAAAATAATTTTTTAAAATGCTGTAGTTCTTTGGCATACCTCTGGAGCTCCATGCAGTCAAAGGAATGAGCTCCCACCACTGGGGAAAAGGGCTGAGGTTTGTCCCTGCAGTTGCACGGAGGTCTGGACAAAGTTCTGAAGCCTCAGTACTGTTCCATTACTTCTGAATGCCCATATCAAAGCCTGTGCAATGTGGGAAACAAGACCCTGCCTGTCTCTCACTTTAGGCTGGGACAGGCGCTACAAATGTGCACCCTGGAATAAAAACTACAATCATGCTGCAAAGTGCATTTGTGAATCTCTGGATCACTTTTAAAATGTCCCTGAGGAATTCTACTGGTCCCTTCCTCCCTGTCTGAAAGTCCCCCTCTGAGCACAGCTTTTTGTCTTTTCTTGGACCAGCTTCATGCCCATGAATCAACTATTTTCTATTTTTTACATTTTCAAATAAATCAGTAAACTCGTCAGTTTACATTTTTAGACAGGACTGACTTGCAATAGTGCTCATGTAATGTTAAAAATGTATTGTAGAAAATACCTCTTAAGTACAAGAAATAAACTGGTTACATATACAGAATTTTAAAAATCTAATGGCTAAAGTGATGACCAGGTCTTGATTTGAGCTAGGGCTCAACACAGGAATCTATTTTGAACCTTGGAACATTTCAGGTAGTATTCGAAAACAGCAAATGCACAGAAAGACCAATATTTAACTGTGGTGTGTGTGTGTCCCCCGCCCCCGACCGCCGCCCCTTGCACAAATAGGACTTGACCCTTTTTTCCCTCTCCCCTGTAGTCTCCTGCATGCATTCAGAATCTGTTGTGGAGAGTTGGGGAACCCTCCAAAACAAAAGATAGGGCCAAGGAGCTTTGATTTTGAAAAGAGGGAGCGTAAGTTCTATCATCATGCCTGCTGGCACAACATTAGATCTCACTCTATAAATTTATATCATTATTCACTGCTCTTAGTCTAGATTGGGGGCTGTGTTTTCATATTAAATAGTATAGCTGCCACTGTAGACTGAGCTGATACCACTCAGAAACCTAACCAGTGGTCCAATTACAAATTTGCAAAATGGAGCCAGTAATTTACTCTTCCACAGCACTTTTTTGACTAGGGATGGGCCACCATTCTTTTTAACGGCCACATTCCCTTGGTAATCTGTCATGGTCTCATAACAACTGCGGATGGGGCCACTCTCATGTACTTCTGTCCCCTCTTTTTCTCTTTCCAGGCTCTCTTCTTTCCACCCAGTGAGCTACTGGAGGAGGAAATTGCAGAATGAACAAAAAGCAAGCATTTCCTTCCAAACAGTCTGAACTGATCGCACGCAGACCATCTGATAGAGCGCACCTTTGATAGAGCTATTCCTTGAACTATCAAGCCCCCAATTGCTAGCACAATGCAAATTACATTTTTATAAGCACATCACCACAAATGGCTATTTCTTAAGTTATCTGTGCAAAATTGAGCTTTGAAGTTGACCGAAAATCGGACAGAATGTCACAAATTTGCTTGTAAACATGAACTAAAAGTGATTTTCTAGTAAACAAGATTACTTGTTTATGCAGCTTTGCCATTCACTGCTTAATTTTATACAGAACATTAAACTTTTTTTTTTTACTCTAAAGGCAAAGCCCAGAAAATTTAACAGTGACTCAAACTTAAGTCGCCAAATTCAGTCTTATTTTTTATAAAACTATATTTGTAGTTGACTACAAGTTGTCAGATCAAATGGTGTCATTACAGATTTATAAATTTTCAATTTTCACTTTGGCCAGAAACAGGCAAGGGGAGAGAGATGATAGTTTAATTTGTGAAATATTCTGGAAGAGAAATTACAATTCAATAAATTTCTTTCAACATCCCCATTGGCTACGTGGTGTTACTCCAGATAAAACAGTTTACATCTGCTTCCTGTGAACAAATAAATTTTGGCTACAGAATGGAAGCAGCTCGAACAATACAGTATTCTATAGGTTAGCATTCTTGCCAAAATAAGTTAGCAGTGGCTTCAAATGTTAAAATTAAGCCACAATTGCTGTAAATATGCAAAACAGGTTAGATCAGGGATATCTGCAATAACAACTAATATATGTATTCTTAATTAATCACTAATAAGGTCAACTTCATTGTTTGCACGTTACTGAAACAAGACCTCTTCAATATCCACCGGTTTGCTGAAGATGTTAAAGCGCTTGTCTGTGGCCAATCTCTTGGTAACATCCCGGAGAAACAATCGCAGTTCTCTCAGTGTGTTTTCTTCCTGGTCCTCCATTCGCTGCTTTTCTGCCTCTGACAGCTGGCGAGTAGAAAATGGTAGTGCAAGAGGAAGCACCTCCATATCAGAAAGAGCTTTAAAAAGAAGAATAATCAAAAAGTCAGGCAAAATAGGCTTTTCAGATTACATCCTTGGAAAATTTCACACGACACAGTGAATTTCCTACTTTTTACCCTTATCAGACTTGATAATGCCAAGAACTCTGCACTCCTTATCTCAGCTCCGCACACCAAACTGAAGTAACCATATTGTGGAGACTTTACCATTACTGCGAACAACGACAGCCTGCTCAGCACCAGACACCTTTCCCTCAATAAGAGGGGTTGACAAGAGACAGGGTGGCAGGAATCTCAAGATCCTGCATGGCCTTCTATCACAGCTATCAGAAAGTTATAGCCAGAGATATTTTTGGCTCCTTCAGTCTATAGGAAAGCACAACTAATGCCTGCCAAGTTGTAAGTCGTCTCCACCAAAAGATGGGTTTCCTTTCAGTGCCAAAGAAAATGTTCCAAATCCCAAACCCTAATTAATCTGAAGCCACTACAAAAACTGTCTGTCTTTCCCCCTTAAGATTTACATACAGGCAATCTTCTAGAAGAGTCTATAAGCAGGCTATGGGGGTAGGAGTAAAAAAGTTTCTGGTGCAGGAAAATCCAAGACCACACTGGCAGAATCTAGTGATTGGGTGCTGTTTCAGGCAGCTCTCTAAATTTCTGCTCAGTTCATGCTGCCTTCTTTCTCTCAAAGCTGCTATCTGTTTTAAAGTCTTTACTGCTTTGAATATGGCTATCCCACAACTCTCAACAATTTTACAATCCGTTTAGATATGAGGACTGTTATAAAAATATATAAATGGGTGCTCGTTGGCATACTGAGATGCTATTCTGGCAGCCTATTCAGTCCATTTATTGCCTTTAATTCTAACACGTTCGGGAAACCAACCAGCCTGTAGAATGCATGTTGAGGTAATAGCCGAGAGAAAAAATGGAGCTGAGGGAGTGTGGTGGAACTGGCCTGCTCAAGCAATTCTGTCTTTTCCCCCCAAACTAAAAAAAGCCACCCTTCTTTACCCCCCCCCCCTTTCTTGTAGAAGAGTGGCTCCAGCCTCCTGTTAATTGTGGTTGCTCTTCCTGCACCTTTTCCAGCTCTACAATACCATTTTGGAGCTGGGGTGATCAAAACTGCATAGCGTTACAAATATCGGGAAAAGCTAAGGTATGCGACCATTTAGCCATGGGGTTTGTTTTTGGTTTAGTGTTAGAAATAAGGCTGCACTCTATACTAATACAGTGGTACCTCAGATTAAGTACTTAATTCGTTCCAGAGGTCCGTTCTTAACCTGAAACTGTTCTTAACCTGAAGCACCACTTTAGCTAATGGGGCCTCCTGCTGCCGCTGTGCCGCCGGAGCATGATTTCTGTTCTCATCCTGAAGCAAAATTCTTAACCCGAGGTACTATTTCTGGGTTAGCAGAGTCTGTAACCTGAAGCGTATGTAACCTGAAGCGTATGTAACCCAAGGTACCACTGTACAGGGGCATCACAGCACCAGAATTTTTATTGTCTATGTCTTCTGTAATAATTCCTACTGTGGCATTCCTTTTTCACAGCTGCCACACGCTGAAGACATGCTTTCCACAGCTATCCAACACAACTCCCAAGAGTTCCTGGTGTCACTGCAAGGTCAAGACCCTATCAGTGTACATGGGAAGTTAAGATTTTATTTTCTCAAATGTGCATCACTTGACATTTATTTACATTGGGCTTCATCTGCCAGTTTGTTGCCCATTTCATTCCATTTGTTACTTTGCTTTTAGAGCTCTTCACAATCTTGGATTTTCACCAACCTGAATACTTTGGTGTCATATGCAAACTTAGCCACTTCACTGCCCATCCTTAATTCCACATCATTCAATAAACACGTAACACCATGGTGTGGATGCAGATATCAATCCTATGTACTGTCACCACCACCGACTGCTATTTCTAATCTTATTTCAAAATGAACACAAGTAGTGCTGCTTTCAGGTGGAAAATTACATGCATTCTGGACTTTACAGAGAATTAACTTACCAATTTGTTTCCTTCTTGGAGGAGGCATAGATACTTGATTGAGGACAAGTTCTTGGAAAAATTTGCGCCTGTCTTCTTCACTAGGTCTCTGAATATAAAAAACCTCTTCATACTGGATTTTAAAGATACATTTCACCTACATAAAATCAATGAGAATTAGGCAGCTGAAAATCTCATCGAGCTACTTAATCGAACAAAATAAGCAAATTTTACTACACCACCCCCTCCCACTACGTAAAATAGACAAAATGACCCTCATAATTTTACTGCCTGAAAATGGGGTAGCTAAATTGCACATGCCAATTTGGTTTGGTCCTAGCAAAAGCTAGTAATTGGTTACATCCTCAGCAGGGAAGAAAAGCACACACTAGGATCAAAAACAGCATTGTTTCAATAGCATTTAACAAAAACAGCTAGTCTGACAATCACGGGGGGGGGGGGGGGGGGCTTGAGCCTAGCGGACCAAATAAGGCAGTGTCAGGGCAAGAAAAGAACATTGGACAGAAGCTCCAAATTAGAACGGGAAACATTTGCTTTCTTGTTTTAGGGTATTTTTCTAAAGTGTCGTCGTCAGCGGTACCACCACCTAGACAAAATTAATTTTGCAATGCCAGCTTCCAAAGTTTGATTTACGTTAGTAAGCAACATTATCCCAATCTAACGATACATACAATCAAGTTTCTTACTAACACGCAGTCCCCCATTCTTGCCACAGTACAAGTGGTTTGTTAAACACCCTCAGGAATAAAAAGATGCTTCAGCATTGGGGTAGAAGTTTCCCTCCAAGTGGACATCCCTACATGCACATTTCAAGTCCCTCTCTGATTCAGGTTCACTCTTCCCTACAATGATTCCACTTCTCAAGAAATCACGCCATGCTCACCTCTTCAGGCAATTCACTATACATGGTTTCAGAGGTAGAGAGTAGAAATATAGGTGAGAATGATGGTATGTCTTGCAGCAAAGTTAGAAAAGTAGCTCTCACAGTTTCACTGACAGCTTCCCACCAATCGCCAATATGAGGCATGTAAACAATACTCGGTAGTGTTCTTCTTGCTTCACGAAAGATCTAATTTAAGAGAATACCAATGTTAAAATGATATTAAGAAAATAATTTTTAAAAAATTATTTGTATTTTAGGCACATACTACATTTAAGAATGTAGTATTTTCAACTGTATCTTTCTTAAAGGTTAGATGTAAATAGCTATTTTCCATATGCATTCACGTTAAGGCTCCAAATTATCTCGGTCTTGTCTTAGTAAAACTTCAAAGCATTGTTCTAATCATCTATCATCACAAAAATCACTAACTTGCATAAGAACATTAAACAGCACTTTTTTAATTGCTTCTTCTGATTATTATTATTATTTACTGGTATAATATTCTCAAACATTGCTTTCTCTCAATTCTGAAATGCCGCCGCTTAACTAAACTGAAATTAATGGTCGTTCTGCATCTTGCCAATAACTTCAGACATAGCATGGCGGCATGTTTCAAAATCGTCTCCATAACATATCATTCTGTGTTTTTCCTATACTTTAAATGGATATGAGATAGCAGGGTTGTGATTATAGATGACAGTTAACAATGAAGTCTTTGGACTTAACAATTGCCAATTCTCTCCCCAATAATATTAAATATTCCATGTACAGCCGTGGCTTTGGCTCAGAGAATGCTATGACAGAGCTTACATGTGCAGCCTAAAAATAAAGAACATTTAGAGAAGCTGAAGGTTTTCTGAAGTGTTTTTATAGAAGATATTGTTAGTTTCTGCAAAGCTGAGATTTAATCCAACCTCAACAGGTAAGTTAAAAGAGAACCCAGCGGTCTGGGAATAGGGAACTGACAGCCCTCCCCACTCAACCCACAGAATTCTCCCTCCCAGGTTTTAGGACTGAAAATACCTCTTGTTGGTGCCAAAGCTAAAATGCTTTCTACAAGTCTGTAAAAAGAAGGGTGGGTGGTTGAACCAAGAAGAAAGGCAGCCCTGAAGCTTAAAAAGTTTCTCACCCTGCAAGTGACGTAGCGATCTCACCATTCAAGATAAACTGACAGCAATCTTAAACATTTTTAACAAATTCCACCAAGCTCAGTCTCTTTCTGACAGTTGGGTGACTGGAAATGCTTTGTCTCAGACCAGAGAAGAAGCATGCATAGCTCTGGCAGTGACGCTTTTTGCTTCAGCAGAAGTGTATTGTGGCACCTTAAGATTTCATTGCCGTTTAATTCTGTGGACTTGGTAGAAAGGGAGATGGGTACAGGATTCCCTTTTAGTTGTCTGACACAGCTTTAACTGAGGCTTCTGCTTCACACAGAAACCCCTATCTGTGTCTCTAGGAACACTTAAAATTTCCCATCCACATGGTATGTTTGCAAAGAGGGATTCCTTATTGACATTTATTTCACTGAAAGCTGATGGGAAACTTTCTGCGTGCGACATGTTGCGTCAAAGGTCAAAAGGGATATAAAGGCAGACTAACCTGCGCACATGATTCTTCAGGTGTTTTGGCACTGACTGAATAAAGTGCTGGCAGATCTAATCTGTGCACAGCAATTTTTTCGAGCGAGTGCAAAAGTGCTGGAGCAAGGTGCGAAGTCTGACCTGAATCCCTCTCTCCAGAAAGCAGTAATCTTGGCCGGTAAGAGGTGGGCTGATGGTAAGCTGACCTGAAACAAAAGTTAACATTTTAATTTTTTTTAGACCGGATCTGTTTTTACCATATATTTTTATATTTGCTATTCACTGAGTACTGTTAAACGCTTCCTAGTGAGCAAGTTGAATGAATTATAGCAACACACCTGCAATTAGCATGCCCGACTCTCTAGCAGGGAGTTAAGTCAGCTTAGCAGAGGGGGTTTATCAGGTGTAGGGAAATGGGTGGCGGCAGGATGGCAAGAGAAGCAAACATAAACAAAGAATCTTTATTGCTTGATTCTATAAATCTCTCTAGAAGAAAGGTTTAGGGTAAGAATACACCAGAGCAAACCTAAGACTATACCAGAGTAGTACCACAAATCACAAACTTATGCAGGCACTACAAGCAGCTATTCCTGTGTAAGTCTTGATGATAAAGTTATCAGAACATCTACTCACATTGTAAAATGAAGGTAAGGTTTGTGTACAGCAGCTGATAAATGTTTCTTTGGTGATCCCGACTGGCAACTTGTCTCAAATATTGATGAAGCATGCTCATCTTCACTATCGTCCAAAATTAGACTAGTCGCATCTGTTCAATGAAAATTAAAGGCCGATTAATACCTGACATCTCCCTCAAAAGTTATGAAACAGGTGCTTAAAATAGATTTTGGCCAAGATAAAAGGAAGCTGTAATTAAAAGGGAGGAAATGAAACCTTTCGCAAGAATACACTTAATATAATGCCCCATCAAAACATTACTTTAAAACTGTTGTTGTTTTGTTTTCTAATCTGATACAAAACTGATTGGAGTGAAAAGATGGAAATACCTTCTCTTTTGTCAGCCTGGCTGAACTCTGCATGAGGAAACACTTTATGTAAAATTGCCAGAATGTCATTGAAGGTTCTTTCCAAAAGTGGCCTTATGATGGGAGATAGTGCATGCCCTGACGACATTACGGCACGTTGAGAGGCAGGCACAATATTCTGCATTGCATGGTAAAAATCTTGTGCGCTGAGAACTATTGAAGAAACGTCTAGCTGCAGTTTCTGGCTACTGACGTAGATCTGAGGATAGCGCCGTCGCAGGGCAATCAAGGCAGCCTCAGTGCAAAGTGCTTTTATGTCGGCTCCACAATAGCCTAGGGCACAGGAAAGAAGAAAGAAAACATACAAAGGTTCCATGAAGCAGCACCAATGTTTTGCATATGTCAAGCACCCGCCTGAAGCCGAAAGCAGCCAGCAGCATTCTGTCAGATTCATTCACAGTGCATTTAGTAATATGTGCAGCTTTAATATAAATCAAACCACCTGCTGGCAACTGAAGAAGCAAATGTTAAAACTCTCTCTTAAGAATAACCAAGCCTCTGAAAAAAATTCATTGCAGAAGAACCTATGAGACAAAGGCAAGTGTAAATACATTACTGTTCGACATTACCCATTACTGTTCGACATTACCCGAGTGGTGTATGGACCTCAGGCATGCAGGAACACTATGTAAGCAAATGTCCAATCTCAGGAGGATTGGAACTAAGAAATAAAGCCTTCGTTGAGGTAGAAAAAGTCAAGTCCTCATGAAAAGACAGGAAGCACTTGCTGCATCTGCTGAAGACTCACTAGAAACAATGTTGGGTCTGGCTTTCAGGGAAGAAACCTTCCATGCATTGAGGAATTCCTGCTCTCTCCTTCCATGGAAAGTAAACTGACCATCATGATTAAGGAGACTTGGAAACAATCTCTGTGCTGGTATCCAGGTTTTCCACATCATTCTTTGAACAGCCAAAACTACTGTGATCCTGCCTTATAGACAGCTGTGCTATTCAGGACATTTCTACAAGATTCAGTACAGAATGCTCTATATTATGAGTTTGCTGAACTTAGCTCCTAATGAAATCAGTGTAGCTTTACTTAGTCAATATTAATGTCAGTGGCATGTAAGTGCTACTAACATACTCTGGATATGACTGTAAGTTTTGTTCTTGCAAAATGTTGGCTGCCTGTGAAAACGTTTAGCTGATGTGTCTAAAGTTATACAGTAAATTGTTAGGGAAATTTGGTGCAGCTGAAGAAGGGACATGGGTGATTCAGTTGGCGCAACCCTCCCTCTCTCCCTTCCCCAAGAAAATTGGCCACCCTGCTCTACAGCAGTCAGAAAGTGTATTCAAAATTATTTGCTCATACAAATATAACAGATACATAAGCATAATTTCTAAAGTACCAAGAAAAATTATTTTGTATGAAACATCATACAGTTAATGGGGGGGGGGGGCTCACTTCCTATGGCAAGCAATCCCTGTCCTGTTAAGCATTTACAACTGCTTACTAGGAGGTTCCTGTCCTCATATTTACAGTCTCCATGCTTCCACCATGATACTGACGTTGCCTTTGATAAGCAGTTTTAAAATGCATTGCGGTGTTAGCGATAGCTAACCATCAGTAAGAGTTTTTAGCAGCATCTCAGTTGCATGAAAAGTAGCTCAACAGCAATGCAGTATGACCCCCCAGCACCTAAACACCCCGATTTTTTTGCATTCCCAGGAACTCACCAAAACAATTTATTGAGTACCTAGTGGAATACACTTAATGCTAATCTCATGATTTACCATAACAAGGACAGGCACAAGACTGGAAGCTTCTGCTTTTGATTAGCTGCTCCTACTTAGAAGCTTCTTGGTAAAAGAAAGACACTGTGGCTGCTGTTGTCCATTGTCACACAGAGTAGATACAGCCTCTTCCAACAGCATTATTCTGTGACTGAACGTGCTATCTAGGCTAGCCAGAGCCAATGAGAAGATGTGTTGCCTATTGTCCCTGAGCAAGGCATTATCTGGTTTGCCTCCTGAAAACATGAACTGTTCCTTACCTAAAACACAATCCACATTAAAATGCCCACTCTGCTTTCTTACACAGGTTGTTCTGGGGGGGTGAGGGGAGAGCTACTTACTACTTAAAAGGAACATCACTGGACTAAATCAACTTAGGGCCTGTGCACAAACTTAAGTTTGGAGCTTTAATTTGTTTATTTTCTATATTAAAACATTGACAGTTCTCCTAGTTCCCTAAGGAAAATATACTGGCTTATCTTGGAAAAGATTGCAGTTGATTATTCCACCATTACTGTTTGTAGCTGCATCACCCTAGATGTATTATGATCTAGAGCGTACAGAAATAGATTCCCTATGCAATTTGCTTCAAACATATTACAACCAAAAAAAAAAAAAAATCAGCTCAGCTTACTGGAGTACAAGGTCACCACTGCTAGTAGGAGACTTCAGCTAATTAAAAATATTCTTAAAAGGTGTTCATAAAGTGACAGAGCACAGTTTCAATTTAACAAACAAACAAAAAAACACCCCTGTGTGATAGTTTGAGGTCTTAATTTGAATTATGTCTGACAATTCTTAGACAGGCACGTTTTGGACGCCTTAAGCTATTATGGGATATTGGGCTTGGTGTACCCATTGCAAACATGGCCCAATCAACTGCTTTCTAAATAATCATATAGGCTACAATAGAGAAAGTTGGATCTCATTACTCTTATGAGTTATTGAGAATAATCTCACATTGGAAGACAAACAAATTTTACATATTTTAAACCAGAAGAGTAGTCGTATATGGTTATGGGGGAGAGATCTGATAAGATAAGGAAGTAAAATAGTGAGAGAAGTTGGACAAAACAGGTTAAGAATAGGGACATTGTTTTAGATCTCTAGTGACCAATTATTTCAATGGGGAAGTGCAAGATTCAAAGGCTGGTTGTGAGTATTCATTGGGATATGAATATGTGAGAATATTCATTGGGATATATAGATATCTCACATCAATCAGAAATATAGGTAATCTAGAACACTGGTCTTCAGGACCCACTTGTGGGCTGCAGCCTGATGCAAAGTATGTCACAACAGGAGTACTACCACCTTGCAAATATAAGGTAAGATTAAGAAATGGGTCCCCAAAGGCATGTTTGTGCTAAAAGTGGATTCTGGGTCTGAAAAAGTGGAAGATAGCTGCCGTAAAAGAATCATTACATGGAGCCTGAACATGGAGCCTAAATGGTACCCTGATCATGTGTAGAAATTTATTGACAAAGAGCATATCATGCAATGTGGAAATTTTCAAAGATGACTTTGGGTGGGGGGACGGACAGAAGGCAAATAGAAATATAGAAGACATCTGCACAGAGAATGGTATGTAATGTACTGTAAAAAGAAATATTTTAAAACCTTAAAAGTGGAATCAGTTTTGCACAGAGCATAAAGACAACAGTGCAAAAGGGCCACTGGAACACCCAAACCTTGTGCCAATTAAATCTATTTCCAACGATTTGGCTATGACCAAATTGCTAAGTGGCCCAGTTCAGATGTCTTATTTAAAACCTCCAAACCATAGTTTGGTAAACTGAACAGTGAACACGCTCTGGACATTACATTCTACATTCCCTGCCCTCACCATGACAATTTCCTCATTCACTTCCTGATTTCTTACACGAAGATTTCTGCTAAGAAATCCAAAAACAAGCAAACCTCTAAACCATGGTTTGAAACAATAGTTTTGTGGGTTATGAAAACATGGTTTTCAGGCAATTGTGGTTAGCACATATGACATAATTAGCCTAATTCAGGCATCACAGAAAGGGTATAGTGGGATGGGGGAGATTATCATACAAAAGCACCAGATGAAAAAGCTAATAATAGGAGCACTTGTAAGATCATGGCATGTTTCAAGTCATCCAACTCATCCAGCTTTGGAGGATGAACTGAATATTACTTCACTTTGGTGCTTATTAAGAATAGCACTGAATGCTTTCACTCTGAAAAAGTTGCCTAAAGTGGAACAGAATAGAAGCTGAGACATCTTGACTCAATAAAGAATCTTAAAAATCTTAAAGGAGGAACAGAGAATGACAGCCAAGCTATATGAGAAGAATAAAGGCCGTCTAGGCAGTTATATTTATGGAGTGGTTAGTATGTCTTTGGTGGCAAGTACACATAAAAACACAAAAAGAATCTTCTCTTCTTCTTTGGCAATCACTCGCAGCCGAGTAAGATTGTCTTCCATAAACACGGTTTTAACAATGAGTCCGTAAGTGACTATGGAGGCCAATTCTGGATCCACATGTCCTTCCACAGTGGGGACATTGGTTTCCGGGCAGGAGTTGATCACAGTGTGGATTTGCCAAGCGTGCTTTCTCTTAGCACGTTTCTCCCTTGCGTCCTGAGTTTGAGTGTCTTCAAAGCCCATGACACCTTTGGTAAAGGCTGTTCTCCAACTGGAGCACTCGCAGGCCAGTGTTTCCCAGTTGTCAGTGTTTATACTACATTTTTTTAGATTTGTCTTGAGACAGTCTTTAAACCTCTTTTGTTGACCACCAGCATTACGCTTTCCATTTTAAAGTTTGGAATAGAGTAGTTGCTTTGGAAGATGATCATCAGGCATCCACACAACATGACCAGTCCAACGAAGTTGATGTTGAAGAATCATTGCTTCAACAATGGTGATCTTTGCTTCTTCCAGTACACTGATATTAGTTCGCCTATCTTCCCAAGTGATGTGTAAAAAAAATTTGGAGACACCATTGATGGAATCTTTCGAGGAGTTGGAGATGGCATTTATAAGTGGTCCATGTCTCAGTACATGTTGGCAGTACAATAGCTTTGTAAACAAGCATTTTGGTTTCCCTGCGAATGTCCTGGTCCTCAAACACGCTGCACTTCAATCAGGAGAAAGCCGCACTCGCAGAGTTTAGGCGATGCTGGATTTCAGCATCAATGTTGGCCATTGTGGAAAGATAATTGCCTAGGTAGGAGAAGTGATCGACATTTTCCAACGTTACACCACTGAGTTGGAATGCCAGGTGAGAAAGCACCTTTTCAAAAGTAATTCACATCTTCAAGTGGGATATAAGAGCAGTATGTAAAATTACAAACACCCCAAATAAATAAAATCCAAATATCAGAATTCCATAATGATCAGCTTTGTATGCTACTTAATTCCATTTTCATTTACGACCTACTGGAGGGAAGGAGGGCTGCATTGATGAAGTTGAGAGCTAACATAAGATTCAAGGGTTAGATCATAGCAGCTTCTAGGACCTATTGTGTGCCACACCACACTGAAATATAGAGAAGCATAATGGCATTACACAGGATGAAGCAGATGTTCTCAGAAACTAGAATAACTGAAGTAAACTGAAGCTATGCGTTAAAAAGAATTGACAACATTGTTATCAAGTGGAAGGGGGGGGGAATGAGATTTTAATTCAACACATGAACATGCACTAAAAAACAAGCCTACCGAGGCAAAAATATTTACGTCTAGCTTTGGTACCAAATTAAGAAAGATCAATTCCAACATAAGCTATTGCACACTGGAGCAACCAGACTGATTATCTATATTTTAATTTCTTTTAAGTGCAGAAGTGTTTATTGATTGCTTAGTTCGAAAAAAGGCACAGATGATATTCACATGCAGTGAATACGCCTGAATGATACCACAAACAGATTAGAGGAACTTTTCAGTTGAAGATATCTGTACTATGAAAATTAATGTCTATAAATTAATTATTAAATAAAATTTAGAGGTAACTTGAGTGATTTCTATTTGAAGTGTAAAATTCTGGAATAATTTCTTGAGAACCGTTGGGCAAGTAATAAATCCTGCTTTCAAAAGAGCTGGGTACAGAAATTGAAACATAATTTATAAATTTATTCTAAAGGCTTGTTTGTGACCAAATCCATGCAGGAACATTTTTTCCTCGTGCCAAACTGATTAAAAACCCACAGTGTTACCGCAGCTTTCATTAAAATGTATGGCTTGATTGACTTGCATGAGCCATTTTAGAGCTATGCCCTCTGAAGAACCCGTTTTGACAGCGGCTTAGCAGGGCTAGGATTATGCTGGGTTAATTTGCTGAAAGACACTGATAGGTCCAGGGCTTGATAATGTATTTTGATCCCTTCCAGTCTGATCCCTATCTCAAATACTTTGATTGGTCTTCAGACAGATTGCCACTTGATTACTTCTGCTTTATTTTGACAGAATTGGCTTTTTAAATGATTTCACACAAATTTGCATTTATTTTTCTTGAAACTGGATTATTTTTCTTAAATGTCCCACATAAAAATTCTGAAGTGCAAGCTTAAAAAACAAAAACAAAAAAAACAAAACCCAAATCAAACTTATAACCAAAGTATGTTAGCCTCAAGAAACCAGCCCTGATGACTACAGAACCTGGAATTCAAAATCTCAAAACAAATCTAAGCATTAAGATGTCTAAGCCTAATGCTAGTGAATGCTCCCAATCCATGACTGCTGAGCAAAATTGTTTTCAGATAATTCAGTCATCATTTTCTTCTTTATGCTATCCAAGTTGGGAGAGTTCTGTCTTTAAGATAACCCACAAGGGGTGAACAGCAAAGTGTTTAGCAACTGCATCAAATTAAGGGCTAAGCAAACATGTGTTTAAATGGTCCCAATGAATTTTCAAAATGCTGAATAAATAGGCTACACATTCCAAGCCCTTTTGAGAAAAAATTGAGACAACCTCTTTGCAAATGATAGGAACTAGATTTCTTGTCTAACTTGATCTGCCACCACAGCTTTCAAGTTTCACATCTAACAATTGCACTGCAACTGCAGGATTTAAAATATAAATCTAATTTCAGAGGAAAAAGCAGAGCATAAGCTCTGGGATATTTTTCCTGTTTAATTAAACAGATTTTCCCTTCAAATCCAATTGGTTACACCACAGTAAAGGGCACGTTTTCTTATAAGATATCCAAGCCATGTCGTTGCAATCTTAATATTTTTTCAAATAGAAATATGGTCACAACATGAAGGGACCAAAATTCTATTTTGTTATCATCTACCTTCTACTAAATGGTTTTTGCAGAATCTCTAGAAGAATCTACGTGAAATGGGTTTTGGCACATGCTTTCTTACACCAGGCAAAGCTTAATTTGTCATTTGCTGGATATTTTGTTTTCTTCTCACCAGAAGATGTTGGGGTCTTTGCAGATCAAAAGTGGAGGAATGCTGCTTCGAAGGTAGGTGTTCCTGTGGATGAAGAGGATAATTCGGATGTACAGTAGCTGACTGAATGGATGGTGTTCAATTTAAAATTTTACTGTTTTGATGTGGTAGACCCAGTGACCTGATGTTGTGGTTTTCCTAAAAATTGTTGACTAGCAGCGTAAGATGGACAGAAGATGAAAAATTGTTTGGAAGAGGCTATGGTTATTTGTTTAGGGTTGATTTATTATGTTAACACATCTCACTTTTTCTAACCTACTGATTTTATAGTATAGTTGCTAGTATGGTAAGGCTTATTTTTATCTTGAACAGCCAATCTACTACTCAGTATTTCATGTCTGGTGCTCCATAGTATGTTTCAGATATCCAGTGTCCAACTTTAGAGAAAGAAATACCTATTCTGTAACTAGCATACTCTTAAAAGTCTTGAGGATTCTTAGCTCAGTTGCCTTCCAAAAACCATTTCAATAATAAAAAAGACAGAACTCTTTAGCATCCACACATGTAGGGAAACAAATTGGGTTTTTTCTATTTTATTTGTAATATAAAAAGAGCTGTCATTGTCCTCTGGAAGACCAGTATCCCATAAGCTAGGTAGCTTTGCATGTTCAGTCCTATAAAGGGATAATCAATCATGCCAAAGTTTTCGACATATAAACTGTCTTATAAAGGATCTGTGTTGGTAACAGGAAACATCAGTTAAGATAGTATATGAGCAATATATTAGTATGTATTTCAATTTTCTAATATGTTTTAACAGTACATATGTACATAATTTAATAAGCGCACATTAAGGATTCTTACAAAGTAAAGAAAAAACCTTTCAAGAGCAAAGACATCTAAAGTGAAAGCACTAATATAATACCACTCACCGACACATTTTTCCGCTAATTCTCCTAAAAAATGATCAGACAATTTTGGGTTCCAGTCCCTGGTATGTATTTGGAATATGTGCTTTCTTGCCTTGGAAAGAAAGAATAAATTCAGTATTAAGAGCTACATCACAATATATCAAACCTATCACTTGCATGAACAAGTTAATCAACTAACTTAAATATACACACACACCCCTTATTATTATTTATTAACACACTTTTATATCACCTTTTGACTCTTACAGGCCAGATCCAACATTAGTTTTAGAAGCAGGAAAAATACAATACACAATTAACAGATTTAAATCAAAACATTAAAACCAAGAACAGCGGAGTATAAATCTTCATTGCGAAATTAAAAGCTGCTTAAAGTCAGTTGAAATGTACAATGCTTTTATTCCCAGCCCAAAAGTCTTCAGGGGGTGGGACCAGTCTAACGTCTCTAGATACAGGATTCCATAACAGAGATGCTGCCACAGAAAAGACATTATCTCGTGTCCCGACCAGATCCTTTATTGTGCTGGGGAAAGGAAGTGATGCTCTTCTCAGAGTTGATCAATTTAAGTTAATGGAGATGACTAACTTCGGCTCATGATCTCAACCTATGAACAGGTTCACACGAGAGGCAATGGTCTTTCAAATATTGTGTCTTAAGTCGCTTAGGACCTTATAGGTCACAGCACAAACAAATAAGAAGCCAGTACAGTTTATATATGGCTGGTGTAATATAGTCTGAAAATATTCTAATCTTATATATATAGTCCAGTGATCCGGTGGCTGCAGATTGCACCAGCCACAGTTGGTGAACACTGGACAGCCCAACACAGCGCTCGTTGCGGTAATCTACCCAGAAGGTGACCAATGCATGTAATACTGCGGCCAGATCCAACTTCTCCAGGAAGAGATGCAGCCAGTGACTCAGACAAGGCACTCTTGGTCATAGACGTTACCTGAACATCAGGAGTCCCCCTCCCCAAGCTGACCCTGAACCTTTATAGGAATTTACAAGTATCCAGGACAAGCTGCATTCTCAGTCCTGAATTAGCCCATCTACTGGCCAAAACCATCTCTGCCTTGTCTAGACAAAGGCTCAACTTGTTAGCCCACATTCTGTCCTCACTGCTTCCAGGCAACATTGCACAGCTTCCACAGTCTCCTTGGCGTTAATTGACAGGGAGAGACAGAGATGGGTATTATTGGCCTATTGATAACCAGGGGTCAGCAAACTTTTTCAGCAGGGAGCTGGTCCACTGTCCCTCAGACCTTGTGGGGGGCTGGACTATATTGGGGGGGGGATGATGCAAGAGAACCACGAGCCCCAGTGGCCGCTTACCTGTGTCTTGCGAGCGGCAGGGGCTGGCAGCGGCGGAGGGACGATGAGCGGCGCGCGAAAGAGCTCTGGAGAGGGGCTGCTTAAAATGGCAGCTGCTCAAGCGCTGCTGCTGCTGCTGGCACCAACAAAGCCCAGCCCCCTTCCTCCTCTAGGCAGGGCAGGGAGAAGCCAGGAGGAAGGAGGGAGGAGGCGCCGCCGCTGTGTGAGCGAGAGGGAGGGAGAGGGAAAGAACGTGCACGCTAGCGATTCCTGGACCGTCTGCAGACCGGCTCCAGAAGGCAATTGGGCCTGATCCAGCCCGCAGCCCTTAGTTTGCCAACCCATGGATAAGACCCAATCCCTAGATCAGTGGTGGTGAACCTATGGAACGTGTGCCAGAGGGGGCACTCAGAGCCCTCTCTGCGGACACGTGCGCCCTTGCCCCAGCACAGAGCCATCAGAAGGCAAGGGCGGTGCGTCGAGTCCTCAGCTCAACTTGGCCAGCCAGAGCGCCATGTGCGCAGCGGGTCGGAGCAGGAAACTGTGCGGCAGGAGTGGGATGTGATGCCCGTCAGGGCACCAACTCTCTCCAAAACGGGGGTCACAGCTATTCTTTGGCCCAATTGTTCAGCACGCCCAACTGCGCGGAGGCTTCCGGAGCATATTGTGGCAATTAGTATTTTGCGTGAGCGGGTTGCGAAACAGCACCGGCAATGATTATGGTGGGCCCTCAGTTTTGGGAGCTGCACAAGCAGGACAGTAAAGAGCCGAAATCCCCGAACTGGCCTGTCTGCTGCAGCACCTTTAGGGCTCCTTTTGCTCAGCACAGGATGCCCAGACTGAGAAGGCGCCCTCGTGGCCAGGGAGGCGCAAAGGGAAGGGCAGGGTGGGGCATTGGTCTCATTCGGATACACGACACCATCCCCAAGCGGGCGCTCATGTTGTTGTAAGGTTGGGTATGGATCATGGGACTTGTGTCTGAGTAGAAGCGCCTCCGATGGGGCGTTGGGGGGTGCAAAACGGAGCCACAACCTCCAGGGCGCACGTTTTCCCTTGGGGAGCTTCCGCTGTGGGTGGGGAGGGCGCAGCGCTCTGCACACGCTCAGAGGCATGCTGCTGCGTTGGTGGGCCGCCGACAGTTCTGAACAGCCGCCTTCCTCCTCCTGCTGCTGCTGCAAGGTTGAGGCTTTACACACCCTGCATAGAGGCCGGTCGGGGCTCGGCAAGGGAGCAGGGCTAGCACATGGGGCAGCCCCCGGGGCCCTTTCAGGAAACAGCGGCACGATGAGGGGGACGGCGTGATTGGGGGCGCCGCTCTGCATGTGCTCAGAGGGCCACACCAAGAACGCTTGCTTGCTTGGGCTGGAGCTTAAAAGCGGGGAATTCTTAAAGTGTGGAATTCTCTGCCAAATAATTTTAAGTCAGAGAAAGCACTTGGGATTGCTCTCCTTATTTTGTTTGGATCATCTTAATGCAAACTTTTACCTTTCAATAAAAAGTTGTTTGTATCATTGAAAGCTGTTATTGTGTTCTTCTTTTAAGAAAAAAGATGTTAATGTATGAGTTGTTTTTTCTAAACTAAAACCTCAGTATTCAGGTTAAACTGGCTTGTTGGCACTTTGCGATAAATACAGTAAGTGGGTTTTGGGTTGCAGTCTGGGCACTCGGTCTCTAAAAGGTTCGCCATCACTGCCCTAGATTGTCTCTCCAAGCTCACTTTTGCTCCCAAAGTAACTGAAATCTTGGGATGGTTATATAAAGAATTTTACAGGCAAATCGGTTAATTTATGCCCTCTCATTTAATCCAAACTAATTATGTGCTTCCCCATTTAATTTTTAACAAGCAGTTTATTACTGCAGAAAAATACCACGAACATGATTATTCAGGCAGTACAATAGAAAGCTAATACTTCAAAGGAGGACTTCAATAAAGATAAGTTAATGCAAAAGAATATAGGAGATTATAGTTCTGGAAAAAAAATTTTAAAAAATGTTGCTGGCTATTTCTATTAAGATGTACACCCATTCATATCAGGAAGAAGTGAACTATATTTATTCTCAGACAAAAGCTGAGTATAAGAATGCTGGCATGAAGGAAGCCATGAACTTTTACTGATATGGTTTACCTACAGAGGTTTTTTTCAAATGTAATATAAGAAGACTATCTGGCACTACTAGGTTCTCTTTAGTTTAAAAAATTTGCTTACATGAGAGCCTGTCCTACCATTAGGCAGATGAGGCAGCTCAGACTTTGGAAGGGCAGCAAACTGTTATCGCTGCTGTTTACTGACCTGCAACAGGCATCAAAATGTCTCTGATCAGTCCTGGTTTACCTATTTGAATTTGTATCATTTAATGCTGACTTATTTGCTGTACTATGTATTGTGCTTTCAATTAGCTTCTAATGTTGCCCTGGGCTCTTGAGAGGAAGGGTGGGATATAAGAAATAAAATAACAACTTCACATTCTTACCTTTTGATCAGGCAGGCTAAAAAGAAATTCCCTGTCAAAACGACCAGGTCTCCTGAGTGCTGGATCTATAGAATCAAGTCTGTTTGTAGCACCAATGACAACGATTTCTCCTCTGTTGTCTAATCCATCCATGAGAGCAAGTAGAGTTGACACTATAGAGCTAAAACAACATTTCAACCACATTTTTAGGGAGAATGTTCAAAATATGTAAATGCAGTCATTAAAAATGTTTATAACCATCCTAAATAAAAGACATGGATAACCATGACATGTATGGCAAAACCAAATTAAGCCATTCACAAATGGAAGGGTTCCTTCTTTCCTTAGAAGATTTGGCAGAGATATCCTGCTGGCAGAAAGGGGAAAGCAATTCAGAATCATTCTCTTGTAAAATACTCCCCTTTTTTTGCTGGGTCCCCCAACCCACTGCAGAAGATTTTCAGAGGGTACGAAATTTTTTCGTTGTGAAGGAAAGTCAGAAAAATCATTGTCGGCTCCTTCTACCAGCAGGAGAGTCCAGAATCAAACACTGCTTGTGGGAGATTGGATCCCAGCCAAGGTTAGCAGCACTATAGTTATGAACACTATAGTGAAGCACTTGAAATGAACTATCATTTTTGGTGTTGCTCATAGACAAGGCCTAAGTATGCAAGTGACAAGCATTCGATCCCAAAAGGCATAATAATTCTGAATATGTCTTCTCACAAAGTTATGTTGTATCTCATTATTGAACAAAGAAGAGTTTCTTTTATGCCCTGACAATGCTCCACAGAGAAGCAATGTAAAGAGCAATCCTTAACCTGTTTCTGTTTGATCCTTGCCCACCTACACGAAGTCTGGAGAAAACCTTTTTTTGTTGTTGTTCAATCTCTCCCAAATAAAAAAGAAGGAAGAAGAAGAGTTTGGATTTGGAGTCTCAAAACGGCTAACATTCTCCTTTCCCTTCCTCCTCCACAACAAACACTCTGTGAGGTGAGTGGGGCTGAGAGACTTCAGAGAAGTGTGACTGGCCCAAGGTCACCCGGCAGCTGCATGTGGAGGAGCGGAGACACGAACCCGGTTCCCCAGATTACGAGACCATCGCTCTTAACCACTACACCACACTGGCTCTCCAAGGAAAAGCCAAAGAGATATACCAGCTATCTTTTGCCTATCACTACTGCTGCAGGGCAAATTTCCAATCTATTCACAGCCGCATTTGAGCCCCACAGCCCTTTCCACCATATAAGGTACCACTGATAAGCATCCAGAGAGCACAGCCACATCACTTTGCGCACAATTCCTGTATCAGTTATACATCAGTGATCAAATAAGTTGCTAGAATTAAAATGAAGCTTACCTTGCAGAAGCTAACAAAAAGTATTTTGTTCACAGGAGATAAAAGTTGGGCTGGGGGGAATCCAGTTAAACCATTTAGAACGTTCTCCTGACAATTTGCTTACTAGTAGTTTTCATGTTACGTTTTATTTATCATGTTCACTGGCCTAAATATTTATGGGTGGTATTCAACAAAGTGCTTCCACTAGCACAAGAACCTTTGGCTGCACAACAGAATTTCCCCTCCCTCTCTTCTCCCCACAAACCCCTTAAATCTGTTCTGGCGTGTTCCCCAACCCTCCACAGAAGATCTGTGTAAGGCACAGGGAGCGTGCAGGAAAACACAACTGTGCAAGTGGAAATCCTTGTGCTTGACAAAGCCCTTATCTGAATCCAGCCCTATACACTTAATATGAAAAGGTGTTGGATCTACCACTGTGTGAACAACGAAACTGTGGAGCCAACACAAGATATTCAGAAGTAATACACTAGGATTACCTGTGAATCTGGTCCTGCCTGCTAGAACGGACTGGGGCCAATCCATCAATTTCATCAAAAAAGATTATGGATGGCCTCATCAGGTATGCCTGGTGAGCAACAAACAGTATTAGTTAAAAAAGCACAAGAAAAGCATTTGTTTATACTGCCAAGAACTAAGCCTACCTGTACCTTTAATTAATGTCTAACTTGAACTGCTGTCCTTCTGGGTAAACCCACTCTGGTCACAAATCTAAAGTTCACCAACTAAAGGTGTTCACCGATCAAATGCATTTTACTAAATGGCAACAGCAATAATAGTACAGATTCAGGATGTTGTTAAAAGAGGGGGAAATAAACAGGTTGTTTCTCACATTCTGCAAGATTACTTTCGTAAGTCTACCTCCTGTCTCATGCCAGTCATACAAGTACAGTGGTACCCCGCAAGACGAACGCCTCTCAAGACGGAATACCCGCTAGATGTATGGGTTTTCCGTTTTGGAGGCGCTTCGCAATAAGTATTTCCCTATGGGCTTGCTTCGCAAGACGACAGCCCATAGGGAAATCTCAGGGACAGCGGGAAGCGCAGCGCGTCTTCCCCACTGGCCTCGGACCTCCGCCGAAGCCTGGCGGCGGGGCGGGGACACCTCCTCCCGCCGCCGCCGGGCTTCGGAAGGCTCCTCCGAGCCGGGCGGGGGAGGGAACACCTGCCGCCGCCGCCCGGCTTCGGAACGGTGCTCCGGCCGGGCGGGGGAGGGAACACCTGCCGCCGCCGCCCGGCTTCGGAACGGTGCTCCGAAGCCGGGCGGGGGGGAGGGAACACCTGCCGCCGCCGCCCGGCTTCGGAACGGTGCTCCGAAGCCGGGCGGTGGGGAGGGAAGACCTCCCCCCGCCGGCCGGCCCGGAACGGTGCTCCGAGCCGGGCGGGGGGAGGGAAGACCTTCTGAAGGCGGGCGGGGGCGAAAGTCCTTGCTCCCCTGCCTGCCTGTCCCGGAGGGCTTTTGAAGGCGGGGAGCAAGACTTCGCCCCCGCCCGCCTTCAGAAGAGGTCCAGGACCTCTTCTGAAGGCTGGCGGGGGCAAAAGTCTTTGTCCCCCTGCCTGCCTTCCCAGGGGCTTTAAATTGCCCCGGACAGCGGAGAAGTCCTCCGCTGTCCCGGGGTGATTTAAAATGCCGCCCGCCAGCATTTTAAGATCGCCCGGACAGCGGAGAAGTCCTCCGCTGTCCCAGGGTTTTTTAAAATGCTGGGGGTGGGAAGAAAAGCCCTTGCCCCCCCCCCGCCTTCAGACCAGGTCCGGGGACAGTCTGTCCCCGGACCTCTTCTGAAGGCGGTTTCCTAGGAACGCATTAATTGATTTTCAATGCATTCCTATGGGAAACCGTGCATCGCAAGACGAAAAACTCGCAAGACGAAGAGACTTGCGGAACGAATTAATTTCGTCTTGCGAGGCACCACTGTACCATTAAATATTTTCTTTTTGGGAGAGCCAAGATTCACTTTCAACAGTTCCATCTGCTTGGAGGGAATTGTAATTGTTGGTCTATGTTCCATATAAGATGGCCCAGGGTATCACTGAAGCAGGCAAATCAGAAGTGCAACTCTTCCAGTGTTCAGCTGAGAAGTATGAACTGTCAGGGTAACGTCCCTCATCTTCTAATTCAAGGTAAAAAGAAGCTGCAGCAAGTTTTTTGCTCAAACAACCTGCTCCTATTTCTTTCCAAGCAGGTACACCCAACCAATCCAACAAAAAGAAATGTTTGATGAACACACTATAAAAAGAGAACAAGCCTCAAATTCTAATTTACACAGAGCATGCTTTGTCCTCTTGTACGTTTCTATTCTAGGAATTCACCTAAGTGATCTTGTTATTTAGTATTCTAAGAAAAACCCGATATCTTACTTAAACTATTTCTAACAAAATCTGACAATTATAGAGTTTGATCTTAATTTTCACTCTGCTCATGGAAAAACTGCTTCTGTTCATGGGAAGACCCCTTCCATAAACAGAAGATCCTGCATTTTATGTAGCAAGAAATTAGGCTCCATTCCATACTGCTGAGTTCCATCAGTATATTGAATATGCTAGTGAACAAAAGCTTTAGACAATCTAGATAATATATTGTTTCCTTTGTATCTTTTTATATCATCTGCCAACACAGTGCAATTAAGCACTGCTATAAGAAACTAGGGATACGAGAAATTATGCCTGTTTTGATTTTCACAGAGTGAAAGCAATTGTAGGGGGGGATGTGTCCCAAAGTAAACTTAAAGCTGAAATCCTATCATTACTTTATTAGGAGTAAGCCCCATTAATCTCAATGGGACTTAGCTTTGAGTAGACCTACATAGGAGCCTTGGCTTTAATGTCCCTTTTGTGCTTATTAATGTGAAGCCATTCTTGCCTACACTTTGCTGCTACTTAAATAAAATCCCTTCTTCTCTTCCTGCAGTGATTCCAGCAAAAGTTCCAGTAGAAAATATGATGATGCTACGACATTATGCAGCTAATCCAATTTGGCAACATGACCTCACCAACTGCAAAAGAAGATCATTCAGAGCAAGAGCAATGCTTCCTGGATTTTATTTCCCTCCCTGTGTCAATAGGTGAATTTTTACCGCCTTTTAACATGCCTGCCTCCAGAATCACAGCCTCCAATGAAAACGTTTCTGACAAGCACTCCCATCCTGTTTTGGTTGAAACTATCAAAGAGATAATGTTGTGTACTAACTTGATCGAAGAGGAGTCGAAGTTGCCGTTCAGATTCACCAACCCATTTGCTGAGACAGTCTGCTCCTTTCCTCATGAAAAAAGCAACTTTTCTCTCCCCTTGTGTGCATTCATTGGCCAGAGCTCTAGCTACCAAGGTTTTACCTGTTCCAGGAGGACCATAAAACAAACAGCCCCTGAAGACAAATGGATAAATATAGTAATCACTATTTCTTTGTTTCTTGTTCGATGCAGAAAGTATTTGTTACCCACATGGCACGAATGCCAGTAATGATGTGCCCAACATTTCCCCCCGGGTATGTTCATTTTTGGTTTGGGAATGTAATAATTATTCTCTCTGTTCCAAATCATTTAAAGAGAAAGGTAAGTCTATCACTTCTTGCTGATGTGTCAGCTGCTAGGTCAGTGGGTTCTAGTGCAATATCAAAGATTAAAAGAAGCATCAGATATATTTCTAAAGATTGATTGCCAAGAGGAAAAGTTTTTACTGGTAAGATTACAATTCAAACATCTCTCTCTCTCTCTCTCTCTCTCTCTCTCAGGTTCTCTTACCCTTATGCAAATCTACCCAATATTTATTTATTTCATAAAATTTATACACCGCCTTACTGTAAAAACCTCAAAGCAGTTTACAAAATGAGCAAAAAGGCAGAGGAAATCAATTAAGGCACAAGAGGAACAGTAGAGTGTTGATTCTATGATTTAACATATTGGTTATGTTAGAAAAGCTCTGTGTCTCCTGCTGCACAAGTTTGCCATGTCATGAAACCCGTTTTTTGCCAACTTCTTGTAGTTATTTTAAAGGCTCTGAATAACACATCTCATCTCTACTGACATCACTGCATATATCTTCAAAAATGCAGTAACTTCTTTCCCTGGTCAGATTAAATCCAAAATGCTACTATGCTTTTTAGACCACACATAAAAAGTCTCCTCTGCTTTATTCTTCAGAAAGGGCCTGACACACACATTCTCAAAAGAAAAGCAAATGTTCGGTTCATCAGTCCTTCCACATTAACATTCCTTTTTTAACCACAGCAACAAGCTATAGAGGTCCTGACCATCATCCAGTAAAATCCCTTATGCATATTTAAGACTCTAAGCAAACTAAAAATAATAATAATTGTACACTCTTCAAATTACCTTTTGCGATCACCACCCCATCACAGCTCCTAGTCAACTGGACTGAGCCAAATACATAGTTCTTCTAATTGTATGTATTGGAATTAACTTAATCTGAACTTTACAACTAGTTGTGCTGAATGGTTTCTTCAAGAAATAAGTGAACGGTGGACTTAGCCGGCCAAATGTTCCCTTCAACATCACTCTTCTTTCACCTCTGTGTTGACAATCTTGGGGAACGTGGCATAGTACATCCCAAAGTATGCTAAATTCCTTCTCAAGCACAATATATTAAAACAATATACATCAAATACAAAGAAAATTTATATGAAGGGGAAAAAATCTACTTACCTTGGTGGCTGAATTTTGAATTTTTCAAATATTTCAGGATAAAGAAGAGGAAATATAACCATTTCCTTAAGTGCATGAATATGATTGCTCAGTCCACCTATGCTATCAAAGCGCACCTAAAAGGGGGATAAATAGTATTTTTTAGCTATTGGTTTTATGTATAATCAGCATAAGCTTAAAACAGGGGTGAGGAACAGGATCCAGGCAGTGGGTTGGATCCCCACCTCCCGGATCATTCCCCACCATGGCCATTTTGGCAGGTGGGCAGAGCCTCCCAAGTGTCAGTCATCTGACATCAAGGGACCCCAAAAGAAAAAAATCTTCTGCAGGTACAGCACCTGCCATACCTATAGAAGAAGAACGTTTGGCATTGCTGGTTTTAATTCAATTCAATGCAATGCAAAGGGGTACTTGTGCTTACTGCCAGCCCCAATGGGGTACTCCGCAGCTCAGCTGACTGCTGCAGGCTTGCTGTCACCACTGATCAGCTGATTGACATTGACAGCAAGGCCCCCCCCCCCCGCTAAGGTACAAACAGGAGCATTTTAAGGCTCCCAACTGTTCTCTGGTACCCATGCTCCCACTTGCCCTATATCTAACGTATTATGTCAGGTATGGAACAGGTAGGCATTCACAACCAGGCTTATTAAACTATGAATTTATTTTTAACTTTGGAAGTGTAATTTATGGTTTCCTGGTTTGCTTGTTTTTGAGTCAGCAATATACAACACAACAAGTGCTGATCTAACTAGGCAACTAATTATGCATTTATTTAAGCTTCGGATTAGCAATTCCGATTAGTTTGTTGTAAAATAGTTATGAAGACAAATAGATGGAACGCACCGATTTGTCAAGAATCATAGGATCTACATCAGCCAAACTTGCACCAACTTTCACTCGTTCACGCAGGATTCCACAGGCCAAGTCTTCTGCTCTGAAGTTCATAGGCAGACATCTGTTTCAATACAGATACAAAAACAGCACTCAAATTAGGTCACATTCAATTTCAAGGTGAGCAGGGTTGCCATCCAATGAAACTACATGTATGTCAAGGGGGAAACCATATGATGTTTCAATATGTCCCAACATAATACTAATAACTTCAGCCACCATGAGGAAAAGTGTTGCTAAGTATCAGGGAGAAAGAACCAAAAGACTAATTTACAATAAGGAGTATGAGTACAACACATGCAAAGATACAAAATCTGTACGATAAAAAGTATAAACCACATAGTTTACAAGCGAAGTCTCAGACTACATCCCACCCATGCATCTTTAATTTAAAAAACACTTAAGGAGCAGACTTGCTGCCAGTCAGAACAGAGAATACTAGATTAGACGAGCCAATTATCTGAGTCAGAATAAAATAGTTTTGCATGTCTGGCAAGCTTCACCAAGCCAAGTATAGTGAAGCTGTTATTCCCCAAGTTCAAAAGAACAAAAAATTACCTGTTCCTTGCTCTTGCCATGCTCTTAGATTTTCTTCTTTCAAAGCGTTCTTCATCTGAAGAGGTTGTATCACTGCTATGAATAGCATGCTTCTTTCTCCTATGGAAGCAACAAAAGTATTTCACTGAAGAACAGCATGTATTCAGCGTTCCAATGCTAACAGTTAAGAACACCGACAAAATGTAATAAGCAGAGAAAACCACCTTATCTTCATACACTGAACCGGCTCAGATGTCATGATAAACCAGTTTCTTGTGAAAGGACTAAGTTACAAGAAGCCTCACACTACCCCCCCCCCATCAGCATGTAAGACTGGAAGCTTTTACTTCCATTTTTATTAACCGCAGGTTGTCATTTTATCAAATTCCAACTAACTATGGTTAATCTTAAGCAAGATTTGTTCGAAACAGGAGAGGTTAAAGCTCAAGTTTATAATGATATTTGAAATATTTCACTATGGCCTGGTTCTGTTGTGACTTGATCTAATAAACCATGATAAATTTGACCAAGTTTATCACCGCCAATGTACTTCCTGCTCCCCTATGTGTGTGTCACAGAAACATTGTCTCTTTACATTTTGGGGGGGAAGTGACTTGGGGAAGTGGGACTCTCTCAAAATTCCAAATGTACCTATATGCCCCCAAACATTGCTGGCCCCTGATTTACCTGATATGGCTTCTTCTTGCAGGAGATCTATGTATGTCAAACAAGGCATTTTCCCTTTTCTTCTGGTGTGCGGGCACTGGAGAAGACAAACCAATTTGAAAAACAATGCAATACAAATTTGTGTACTATTATTTTTATTTTCTTACAGATTTATACAAACAACTACATGCTCACTGTTAGGTATCTTGCTAAAGCTCACAACCTTTACGCAAAGCTCAGACCTTTATGCAAGCAAGCAAGCAAGCAAGCAAGCAATAAATAAATAAATAAATAAATAAATAAATAACTTTTTAAAAAACTCCATCATCATCATCATCTCTCCAAACCAGTTTTCTCAAATCTAAGGGTTGCCATGTTTTTTTAAAAAAATAGCTTTATTTGCAAAATTGCCAAGAAATTGGTTGTTTCTGAGCTATTTTTGAGGAAATTCAGTAAAAACGACAGTGCCGGCACGGGCTGCCATATGTCTGGATTTTCCCAGACATTTTGCCAATTTCTGCCCGAACACTGCTTGCAACTGCAGTATCCCGGGTACGTCTGGGAAATTCTGGACATATGGCAACCCTACTGAAATCACACTCATTTCTTTAAGACGTATGTACCACAACTTCCACTGGATTCCTCTCAAAATATACAAGTATAAATAAAAGTTAAAAGGTGCAACCAAGCAGATTTCCTATTTAAATTAATTATGGGCTCTCCCAGTCCTTTATACCAGGGGTAGGAAACTTCTTGTCCTCCAGCTGTTGCTGGACTATGAACTCCATTTGCCCCTGAGCACTGGCTATGATAGATGGGGCTGATGGGATCTGGAGTCCAACAATTGGGGAAACAGATTTCCCATCACTGCTGCACACAGCAAGAGGGCAGAGGGAAAAGGAGTCACACAGGAGAGCCAAGTTCTACTGCTTATCTCATCATACCTAAATGGCAGAGGTTGTACAAGAATTGTCAGTGAAACAGACACAGAGTTAGAACCATACATAATTCATTCTGAATAGCTGGAAGGTTAGATGCGTTTTTCTTTTTCTTAACTGTGGTTTGACATTTTATCCAAACCAACAAGTTAACATTAACTTGAAGCCATGGTTTCAAACAAACCAGTCTATGTTAACCATGGTTTGTTTAGAATGTTATAACAAGCCATAATTACGAAAAAGAAAAAGCACCTGACTTCCTTCCAGCTATTCATTCAGAAGGAAGAGCACATGAGCTCAAGGCTTGCCTAAGCTCATTGATTATTATACCATGCTGTAGTACAACATGCAAATGTGGCAATAATGTCTCAAACAACATCCAGTGCAAAAAGAAAAATATTATGAAAGGCCCTTGGGCTTCCAGCAGTTAAATAAATCATCAGGTAAAAAGGTACCATTTCTCTTGCTATACATTGAAGACAGCCTGACCAACACAGCTACTAAAATTAAGGAAGAGTGGTGTGCATGTTTATGCTTCTCTCTTACCTATAGGAGGCGCTTGGTATCTCTCCACTGTTTTTCTTTGTCTCAGGTTATATGGACGATCATTTTCTTCTCCCTCTGCCTCCTCTACTTCAATATCTCCATCTTCTTCTTGAGATTCTAGAAATAAAAGGCAAATAAAGAATTTATACAACTTCATTGCAGACTCTTGTAAAAGGATTCCTGTTAATTTGTAAAATGATTCTAATAGACAGACAGACAGATAAAATTTGGTCACAAAGAGTATTTTTATAAAATATCAGGATAAATTTTATCACAGGTGATAAAGAATTTAAAATCAATCTGTTCAGTGTAATGACAGATTCAGTAAATTGAATATGTTCAGAGCAGAGATTATTTTGGTCTGTGGGATATAACTAAACAAAATTAAAGATATCAGCAATTCGATGACTATATAATCTTGTAACCCCTATATTGGCTTTTTTACACAAACATTTTCAATAGCACCTACAAAGGTAGCTAGCTAACCTCTGTCATTACCTTCTTCTTCCCCTTCTGTGGAAACTTCATGGTGGTTCTGGATTCCATAGCTATTTCTCCTCAGTGATTTCCTCCTCCTCTTGACACGTGAATACATATCCATGTTTTCCTGGAATAAAGATAATATCAGCATGATCTGCATTGTAAAACAAGAAACACGCATCATCTGGGAAGTGTTCAAGGTGAGAAATAAGTGATGCTTGGGACTATAAGCAATTATAAATCAGCTACTGACACTGAAGACACAGTGAGCATGTTATCATTTCCCTACTACAGCAACATCAAGACCAACAAAACTAATTTGTTACAGCATCTATCTTCACAAATTTATGCCATACAAAAATATTTGCTATTGTAATAGTGGAGCAGCTGCTATTGAACAAGCGTTCACATTTTGGGGAAAGGAGCACATTCAGCATTCTGGAACTTACGGGTGGTGCACAGTGCAAGTGCCCCAATTATTCTGTTCAAATTCTTTGGTCTTCTTGCCACCATGCAGCAATGGGACGCCCACAAAGATGCTGCCCAAAGGTTGGGAGCCACAGAAATGAACCAGAGACTCTGGGATTCCACCACACAGAGCTACAGCTTCCCAGCAGCCAATAGGGTTGCTTGGGAGGGCGGGGCTGTTGCAACTTAGCCAGCTCATAAAAGAGGAAGCCTTGTTGCCTCATCAATTGGCTTTCACTTACCAAGCCATTTGCCATTGCATTTCAACAGTTGTGCAAGTCTGCTGAGTTGTGGCAGATGGGAACTAAGACAACTCCCTGAGCTATGACTAGCTTTCAAATGTGCTGTTGTACTGTTCGAGGGAGGCCTCAAGAAATCACAGGAACAGTACAGGCCCTGACCACTCAACAGTAGAAGAAAACAACAGCTGAACTGGTCTATATTAACTTTGCAAACCCAAAGATGGATCAGCCAAATATGTGCTACACACAGAATTTGTATTCAGTTTTGCCAGAAGTTATACTACTGCTGTTAGATTTCCACCCCCTGCCACACACACACACACACACACACAATATAAATTGACAGCTATTTTATATAAGCCTATATCACATACCTCTCCCTCTCTGCTCCATCGCTGTCATGATTATTTGCAAATGAATGAAACATATTAATTTATAATTTAAAAAATCAATATTTTATTCATCTGTTTAAAGCGCTGCATAGAAGATACAGATATCTTCGAAATGTTTAAAATTGAAAGGGTATATTTTTATAACTTGAGGTCTGGAAACTTGAACTTACAAATTCCGTATCTGTCCACATGCGCAACCGTTCCACTTCACCTGATCGCCTATTCCGTCTGATGTTAATATTGTCCATTTCCTGAAGAACAGCTTCAGCAGTGCTGTAATATATGAACATTGTTTTTAAATATGTGATACTGTTTACTATGCAAGCAGTAGTGCTCAGCACTGAGATTAAGTGCTCTGCATCCTCGTTTGAAATTGCTCCATCAAGAGAAAGCAAAAGGATGCTTTATCACTTCATCTCCCTCTAAGATCAGGTGATAAAGCCTTCTACCTGCTCGCTAGAGATGAAGAATAAAAAGCAGCATTTTCCTCATGTTAGTACAGGTATGTGGGGACAGGGTGTCTTGGGAACACTCTTTTTATTCTCCATGGGTCCTACTGTGAACAGGAAAAGGTTCACTCCCCACCACCACCTTACTGCTAGGGTGGGGAGAACTTTATAATAACTCTCATCCTGCAAAGAAAGAGAGTGTGTGTGTGCTCTGTGTTAACATCTGTGTTAACACAGTAAGTTGTGAGATGATGATTTTGTGATTTCGGGAATTCTGTGAATGCAAGGTACTCATGGAATGCTGTATGACCTAATCAGTTATAAATTGCATGAGCATGAATAATGGATGCTAGCTCGGCCTAAATTTATGAGAGAAGAAAATATGATGAGAAATGCTAGTGCCTTTTCTACCATACAGTGGTACCTCGGGTTACATATGCTTCAGGTTACAGACTCTGCTAACCCAGAAATAGTACCTCGGGTTAAGAACTTTGCTTCAGGATGAGAACAGAAATTGTGCGGCGGCAGCAGGAGGTCCCATTAGCTAAAGTGGTGCTTCAGGTTAAGAACAACTTCAGGTTAAGAACGGGCCTCTGGAATGAATTAAGTACGTAACCAGAGGTACCACTGTATAAGAATCTAGCTAAGTTACTAGTGTGTGAGAGAGAGTCTATGGATGTATGTGCACTGCATGAGTGTGCATGTGCAAGTGTACTTTGTGGTCTCTTTTGCGTATGTATGCTGCATGTGTAGTCTGCAAATATATTGGCCATGCACACCACTGCCATGTGGTACTTGGGAGGGGTGGCTGTCAATTGCCCATAGCATTTTTTTTTTAAAAAAAATAGCCACCCCTGCTTTATAGGTCACAAAGAGAATAAAAGCCACCTGCCTTCAGTAGTTACACTGAAATAAAACCGTGATAAAAACTGGAGCATAATAATGTCCAAGCATGAAATTTACTATACAGTAGATTCAATCATCGTTGTTAACATCTGTAGTTTCAATAACTTTGCAAAAACCATAGGATGTTAGAAGTTAAAGAAAAAGATCAAAATCCAGAAAGGAAACCAATTTGTATGCATGGCTGTGTTTGATTAAACAAAAATTTCAATATTTTGACCAACAGTTCTGCACTAGGATATATTTGTTAATGATATGTCAAACACTTAAATCAAAAACTAATTAGCGGCAATTTAGGAATGGCTAAAGGACGTATTCTCGCAATCCGAAAACAAAATATGTCAACAAAGCCAGTAATCTAGAAAACGTTATTGGAAAATTTCCACATACCTGTTTACCAGTTGGTCAAACAGTAAACTTTGATTCAAACTTTCAAATCTGTTTTTTCTGGATCGGCAACTTTTTCTGATTTCTCTACCTCCATTTATACAGGCATGGTCCCCATCAACCTTTTTCTCCCCACGAAGAGAATTGCTTTTGAGAGCTGAAATGATTTTAAATGTTTTAATAAGAATTATAATGATAAAGTTAAAATATGAAAGGTACAAGTACAGTACAGTAAGAAAGCTGGGAAGATACTTTGTCCCCTCTCACTTTCCTTGCGGGATCACTTTTATTATATTCCAACTTGACAGATCAACCACATGCCTAAATTCAGGTAAGTCACCTTGTCTCTCTGCTTATTTTATGTATTTATTTATTTATTTATTTATTTATTTACTGCATTCGTATCCCCGCTTTTTATTCAAGGAGCTCAAGGTAGAGATCATGGTTCTCCCCCTCCTCATTTAATCCCCACAACAACCCTGTGAGGTAGGCTAGGGCTGAGACAATTACTGGCCATAGGTCACCCAGTGAGCTTCATGGCCGAGTGGAGATTTGAACCATGGACTCCCAAGATCCTAATCACTATACTGTACTCTCTTCTTCTTTTTCTTCTCCTCCTGCAATATCTTCTAGCTATTTTTTAGCCTTAATAAATCCTTAGTCTATTTCTATTTTATTTAAGTAAAAATCACCTTATCAATTCTGCTTCAACCTCATAATATAAACAAGCAATTTCCTTGTAAAAATCTCTTCTTTTCATTTCATAGCCTCCCACTTCACTATTGATTTACGGTATATTTATCCTCATTTCTTTAGAGTAGCAACTATTTTTAAATGACAATTATCATAATGTGTGAATGTAATAAGAAGAAAATCATGGCAAATAATGCTGCATGGAATCTTATTGGTAATTCATTTGTTTGCGTGGGCGAAAAAACAACAAATTTCTGACACTGAAAGACAGAAGACACAAGGGAACAAAAAAAAATCACTATTAATTAGAAAGGTCATAGGTAAAAAATGAAGTACTTACATAAACTACGTCCATTTGGTAATGTAGCACCAGATTGAGAAGTTAACCTACGAAATAATTAAATTTGCAAAATATATTCATTTGTTCTATTAAAAGTTACAAGCCACACATAACTTGCATTACACCTAAATGTTACAGACTGAATATGACCACTGCTAGTATCATAGTAAACTACTTCTCAAACAAGTAGTTTTATATCTCACTCTCTTTCACAACAGATAACTATTCTTCAACACCTGTGGATGGGGAAATGAGACAGAGCCAGAGATTTGCCCAAGTTCACCCAGGGAATCAATAATGAAATTAGAATGTCCTTATCTGCAGAACATTAGCTCTCAAATGTTAAAACGTATTAGTAAGAAGTAGTCATATTACGGAGATCTTAAAACAGCAAAAACTTGCCTATTATGATTATTTAACCCATTACCACAATTTTGTGCTGGTATTAGACATAAGCTTCACAGGGCTAATCAGTGACAGGTTCCAGGACTGTAAATAGCTGTATGCCCAGGATAATTTTAGCAGATATGTTTCCCCATCACTGTTATGCTGATGAGAAAATCTACCTGTGAAACTGTTCGGATTTAAAAAAAACCTGGAATTCCACTTAAGGTGAAGACTCAAAAGCCAATATTTGGGCAATGTGAAACATAGATCTGGCTTGCATGACAAAATATGGTTAGCAAGTACATACAGGCTTCAATACAGGGGCTCATAGTCACTGTGCTCCTCCCTAGTCATTTTTTAAAACAAAAAAAAGTATTGATTTTTAAGAGTCTTGCTAAGCTGCAGTGTACATATTAACTCATAGTTTAGGTTAAAACTATTTAATAAGTAATGGTGGGAATCAGCTGAACAGTGATTTTACAAAACACACCACATCTCTTTTTACCAACTGCAGGTTTATGCTTTATTCATTAATGGATTAAATAAACAAAATTTACAGCCACTCTATTGATCAGCTCAAGAACTCATAAGACACAAGTATTCTGTACATTGATTCTATAGAACTGTAATTTTCTGTTTTAAAAAGTAAGAATAGATTTCAAATTTGAAGTACTTTCCAAAATAAAGGAAACGGGTCGTAGCTCAGTGGTAGAGCACACACAAAGATGCCGTGTTTAATTCAGAAATATAAAGCAAAGAAATAACTACGGTGTTTCACCTGTCTGATAATGCTATCAGTAGACAAATAGAAAAGATTCTTGCAAGAAAAATTACTGAAGCATTTACTCTATTCTGGAACAGAAAATGACTGGCAGGACCATCAGGCATTCAGTTTTAAAATATTTCTCCAAAAAGTAAAAGTAAAGATGCTAGGAGATGTTCTATGAAACATGGATAAACCACTTCCTGTCAGGTTTAGGCCAAAGGTAGCAAGTTCTGCCCCACTTCCCAATGCAGGGCGGGGGGTGGGCGTCAGTTAAAATGGTCCATTCACAAAGAATTATGGAACCAGGATTCCTGAATGCTCTGGGGGATTTTCAAGTTGACACTACTGGTGATCCTGTTGAGGCATTAGTGTCACTACAAAATGGTGAGAGGGAACGGGCACCAACACCATGACTGCTAAGTATCCAAAAACGGTTTTCCAGGAACACCCCCATCGTTCAGCCCAGAAACTGAGGTCCAGCACTGAGGGCCTTCTGGAGGTTCCCTCCCTGCAAGAAGTGAGGTTACAGGGAACCAGGCAGAGGGCCTTCTCAATAGTGGCGCCCACCATGTGGGACAACCTCCCATCAGATGTCAAGGAAATAAAAAACTATCTGACTGTTAGAAGACATCTGAAGGCAGCCCTGTTTAGGGAAGTTCTCAAAGTTTGTTGTTTAATCATGTTTTTAATATTCTGTTGGGAGCTGCCCAGAGTGGCTGGCGAAACCCAGCCAGATGGGCGGGGTATAAATATATTATTATTATTATTATTATTATTATTATTATTATTATACATTCATCTTTGTGGGATGCCCTCCCATAAGATGTCAAGGAAATAAAAAACTATCTGACTTTTAGAAAACATCTGAAGGCAACCCTGTATTGGGAATTTTTTTATGTCTAATGTTTTACAATTTTTTATGCGCTGTAAGCCGCCCAGAGTGGCTGGGGAAACCCAGCCAGATACGCAGGGTATAAATTTAATAAGTATTTATTACTATTATTATTATTATTATTATTACTACTACCACTTCAGGCAATGAAGCAAGCAGGAAAGCTATAGTGCAAGACTTGCAGCAAAGATGACCAAGCACAAGAAAGAACTTATAATTGTGCCTACTGTAGGGCAGTGATGGTGCCAAAGAAGGCTCAGTTTGTGACTACCAATGTGTCTTTGCGTGGCTGTTCTTGTTTTGGAAGAGGCAATGGAGTGCCTCCTTCTCAAGATATTTTTTCTGGACCCTATAGCCAATAGCTAATATCCTCTCTTGGAGAAAGGTTCTCAAAAGAGCAATAGCCAGGCAACTCCAGGAGTGCTTGGATTAAACTAATTATCTTAACCCATTTCAAACAAGCTTTATGCCCAGCTTTGGTACAGAGTTGGGGCAAAGTGCAACCTTGCTGATTCCTCTAGAAAACTTGAAGGCTTTTGATATCACCAATGACATCTTCCTGGAGCGGTTCGGTGGGGTATTTGAGTTGTGGTGGTTCCACTTCTACCTGCAGGAATGTTTCCGAAAACTAGCAATGGAAGAATCCTGTTAGATGCCTTGGAAATTGTGTTGCGGAGACTGGCAGTGTACTATTTTGTCCCCAAACTATATGAAGCAGCTGGAGGCAGTCATCTGGGGTTTTGGAGTTCAGTGTCACCCATATGTGGATTACACACAGATCCATTTACTGGTTGAAGCTGTGTAAGTGCTGAACCACTGCATGGAAGTGGTAATAGGCTGGATTAGGGCTATCAAACAGACTGAGTCTGGACAAGATAGGGGTACTGCTGGTATTTTGATGTTGCATCCAGGAATTGGGTATATGACCTGTCCTCAATGGAGTCACACACTTTGAAGGAGCAGGTTCATAGATCTGGGGGTTCTCCTGATCCACCATCATTACTTGAGACCTAGGTAGCCTCAGTGACAAAAAGTGCTTATTACCAGTTCTGACTGCTTGCACCAGCCACAGCTTGCCCTGGGTCGAGATAACCTTGCCACTGTGATGCGTGCTCATGTAACCTTATGTTTAGACTATTGTAACGTGCTTTATAATGAACTTCCCTTTAAGATAGTCTGAAGATTGCAACTAGAGCATTGGAGGATCTTCTCTACTGTGGTGGCGTGAAACAGTATTTCAATTTATTCCCTTGGCAAAGTAGGGGGAAAGCATAAGGATATTTATATGTTAACTCCAACCAGCATAAACAGTGCAGTTATTTATCAGCTTAAATAACAATGTACATCAGTTGTGCAATTTTCAGACATCTGAGACCATGAGTTCAATTTAAACCTTAACTTCAGAAAACCAAAAGCATAATCATCTATCTCTGCAATTCTGGGAACCAAATAGGAAAACAGAGCAGCTTTGTACTTAAGCACTAGCTACTGGTAGCTGTAGGCAACATAGAACTGCATGCAGGCAAGTGAGCAGACTGGCAAGAGAGGGACAGAGTACTCTATCCCTCCATGCCCAACATATAAACCAAGCCATAGGAGGAAAACGGCATCCTCTATGTCCAGCACAGAAATGCAATGGGCTGCTTCAAGAGGGGCACAGCTCTTCATACATCTTCTGTCATCTCCCAGCTGGCTAGTAAACATTTTTGTAGGCTAGTAACATTTGTGGGAAATAGAATGATTGAAATACTTTATATGTCATCTCTGCACAGTGTTTTTTCCCCCTACGCTGATATAACCAAGAAAACTTCTCCTGTTTGACTTCATTGCATAGCACAAACATTAGTTACAAGTTGTGATTTTTCTGGGAGAGCTGAAATACGAGCCCAAGTTTGGACAACACGCTAGGACAAATAATGGCTCAGCTCAGCATAGAATGACTGAAGGAGGAGTCCTTGACAGGCAGTCATGTAGCAAACAGGGAGAGATTGAAACATTCTTTCTACGTTAAGGCACAGAGCTTTAAACTAGTTCATCTTACGGAATGTATTACAGCACTTACAGCACAAGGAATTGCAGATGTTTAAATGTAAGCAACAGATGTTTTTCCACAAACAAAGCTTGTCATTTGAAATAAAGTGGTCGAGTGGGGGGAGAAGGAACAAGCTGTGTCTCATGGACTTATGCATGAAGTCAGAAGCCTCAGCTTTATTTTTATTCTTTATTATAAAGTTCTAAACAAAGAAGCTTCCGTTAGCACGTGACTGATTGAGAAATTACAGAGATTATAAGAAATCCACATTTACCGGCAAAAGCATACACACACTCCAAATCTAGTTATCACCTTCCCCTCCAGGTATAATCCCCATTTTCAATGCATTGTCTACGCACCGCATAATTAACTGCCAGGAAATGCATTAATACCATAACATCAGGACACAGGGCTCATTTTATTATGCTATGGAAGGGGAAAACTTTTAAAGGGGATGCTGTTAGAGCAGTAGATGAACTTTTTTTGCAACATGTTTCACTGCAAAAGGATGGAGATTTGACATTTTATCAAGAGATTTACAGGGTTCAAGCAAATGGGCAGAACTCTAATGGACAAATATTTGAATACTGTTAACATTCTTACCGGGACTGTCCAGTTGAGATGCTCCATTCCTCTCGCTGCCCAGTACTGCGAGATTTTGATTTGTCTTTGCATACAGAATCTGCATGTTTCAAGGTACGTTTGGCTGGAGGAGATATGTGGCTATCACTCAAGCTACCATCACTACCATCATCTCTCTAAGAGGGGAAAAAAAAGACAAGCTGATAGTCTCATTTTAAACCACCTGATTTTAAACCACCTCTCATTGGTAAAGAAACATTCTGGGACCATATCTGGAAAAGATGGGCAATCCATTTCTGTTCAGACAACTGTAGTACTACTTTTAGTGAACCCACAGGAATTTCACAAAATACATGTAACTACCCAAGCCAAAACTGAAATCTAATCCTAGGAAGAAGACATAAGGAAAATGAAAGAGTTGCTTTATATCTTTCTCCAGAGGCTGCATCAGATTTTTCACCAAGCTCCAATATTTATATTAGAGAGGAGAGGAGAGCCAACGTTTCCTTTGATCAAACTACAATACATCCCAAAACAGCACATGATACATCTAGAGGTCATAAATGCTCTAAAACCTTTAATTAATAAATAATATAATTTGCAAGCTAACAAGGAAAATCACTTTTGCAGAATATTTTTATACCCTCTTTTCATTATCATTGAAATGGCTTTTCTTTGCTTCTGAAGAATAGTTACTGGCAACTGGGAATTTAAAACCTTTTTGAAGGTTTCAATGAATTACAACAATAAACAAATTAAGGACTTGTACTTTGAAGTTCTCAAATCCCACTGAAATTCAGAGTCCTCATTTCCCTGCAAAGCCAACAAAATTCAAGTTTCCTAACCTCAGGGTCTTCTTTCCTTGTGGATCCCTCTCCTGTGAAAACCATGCCAGACATACTTCAGTTTTTGCCGGGCACCAGAAAAACCTTTAACCAAAAAGGACCAAGGAAGTGCCCTAGAATACGCTCAAGACTTTCTGAAAGGCTGACATGCTATCTTTTTTTAAAATAGAAAAGCGCTGTTAGTGATCTTCTTGACAACCTCCGAATTCCACAGAATATAGTTTGAACACTACTACAATAAATGCTTTGACTGCTTCTTAGCTATCATGGAGCTGTAAACTAAATATACTGAACACAGACAACAGAATTAATTAATTTAGAAAAAAATTTAACTCACTATATAATTTAAAATATTAAACAGTAAGCTACCAGACCACAGCCATGTTTGTACATGCTGTGTGAACAACCCAAAGGTGTGCCTGCTCTATTAATGAAGTATACCAGTAAAACAGGCCAATCCTTTATTAAATATACTGAGTAATTCTGTTCTGAGTTGAAAATGAAGCTACACAACTGGTTTGAAACCTGTTTTTTGAGTGGTATTGGAGAGCTGAACTAGCTAAAGCAGACAAGGCAGGAAAACTGTTGCATCATTGCCTGAAGACACTTAGCAACCAGCTTATTGCTCAGTGTAATTAAAAACAAGTATTTCTAAGCACAAAGCTTAAAAAAAAATATTATCACAAGCTACAATGATTTCCAGATATATTTCTAGTTTAGCTCTGGTGACTGTTTCAAGACAGCTTAACAGTCCTTTGTCAACAGTTATCCTTTTTTTTAATTCTTAGGAGACAACTACAAAATATTTTGGCAAAGGCTGGTTGTGAAACTATTGGGTTCAATTTAAATTACAGCTGACTAGCTTGGACTTGCTTTGGTAAGGATGTTGCACAATCTATGTGACGTGTCTTAAGCACTGACATTAAATGTTATATTCTTCAAGGTAATACTGGGCAGAATCGAGCATTGTGTGCATTGAATAACTTCATCTCTCGCTCCTCCCAAAAATGTTAGTGGCCCCTGATCTGTAATATTGACACAGCCCAGAAGAAAGCTACAAGAATGATAAAAGCTTTGAAATAATCTCATGTACTGAGTGACTCGAAGTAGCAAGTTTGTTCAGACTACAGAGTACTGGGGCAAGGGGCGTAACAACAATTTAAACATCAAATGTATTTCAGAATGAAAAGCTAAAACCATTGTTTCTCCTAACAATTAAGGACAGAACTTACAATGGATTAGAATTACACAGGAAAACCCAATGACTTTTAGAAATTAACTGCAACAATCTGACTAGTAAGTGATGCAATTTCATTCTTGGGGATTTTTTAAGAAGAGGGTGCATAAGAATCTTCTGACAGGCTGTTCTGAATAACTTTGTTATGATTCAAACAGATGATCCATGAGGGTCACTGAAGCACACAATATCCATTCAGCACCTGGACTAGATAGGCCACAGGGAATTCAACATCAATTTTAAATATGAAATAAAGCCTATTATACTAGATAGATTTCTCTTTAAGTGAGATTTGTTTCCAAAAACACTTCAATTTTGATAAATCATGGAAGACTGGTATAGACTTCAGCTGGAACATTTCTATGCCTCAACTGCAATTAAATACATGAGGGTGCTATACTTCTAAATCAAGACACGCTGAAAGTGCTGCTTCTAGCAACAAACACATGTAACAACTCAGGCAGCATTTCTCAGTAATGTGTTCTTGCTCAATTAAGTTGGGTAAATCTTACATAAATCTTCCCCTCCCCCCCTCCAAAAAAAATATAAATCACAAGAATGGAAACTTTCCCCCTGTTGTAGGTAAGGACCTTCTTCAACCAGCAACTGTAATTTACAAATAGCTATTAAGGTCACTCCTTATGACAGCATTTGTTCTCATGGAATCATAGAATTGTAGAGTTTAAAGGAACTCAGAGGGTCATCCAACCCCCTGCAATGCAGGTATCTCTGATATCTTACTTCATCCCGAAGGATCATAAAACTAGCTTTGTAAATAACAAGGTAAGAATAATAACCACATGAAAGAAGATTAATTTTAAAACCTTTTGGTTTACAGTTTCAAATATTATCAACAGTAATGCTTAGGATATTTTTTTAAAAAACACACATCCGAATCATACAATTTTTATGATCTGAAAAATCAATCTGAACAATACTCCACTTTATTTCCTGTACGTACTACCAAATATACAATAACAATACCTCATTCTGTTATCTGTAACCTAGGCTACTGCAACTATGTTCATCCAAGAATCACTAAACATTACTTTTTCCAACACTAAAATCACCTCTCGGGTATCTAACAAAAATGGCTAAGGATCTCTTTTCTAGATAAACAAAAATGTTTCAACAACAAATAGCAAGAAGTTGCACAAGCTTTTATGTCAATTATAATCATATTTACAGAGGTAAATCCTATTAATTTCACTAGAGTTGACTTTGAAGCATGTATGCTTAGGATTATGACCTCACATACTGTCATGGCAGAATAAAAATAGCAAGGTGCTATTTGTAAAACAATCACTATTATATGTATGGTTTTTTTTCTTGGAATCTGGCTTCAAAATGTCTGCATGCAATCCACTATTATACAAGGTCTAAGAAAAATTTTAATAGGTCAGCTTTGTTCTGTATGGTATCTCATGGGGGGGGGGAGACAGACAACTGTTATCTAAGTGGTTTTAATAAATGATCACACTTCGCCTTTTATACAGTTTTCCCCATTCATACAGGCACATAAGACTTAACAGCAATGAACATAAGTAGTGCATGTAATTTGCATGATATTCCATCAGAAATAATCAAAACAATGCTGAACAGAATCAGCATCAGATTTCTAAGCAAATAACATTTTAAAAAATAATATTGAAATAAGCCTACAAAAAAGGCAATATTGTGAAGCATTCCACTTGTCAAACAAGGAACAGATAAAGAAGAATGACAAGAAACGACTGCAATCCAAGATGCACTTCCAAAGAACCCTCCTCTTCAATGGAAAGAAGACGGCATGGGGATTCCCCCAACAGCTCAGGATAGAACAAGAAAATCCCTGCATGTACGCAAAGCTCCATAAGCGCATTAAAACAGCTGGCTAATATTCAGGATCTAGTTCCCAATACAAATATTTCAAATATAGCATCTGTAGTTTTTGAAGGAATACTTAAAGAGACTCACTTGCCTGGCCTGAAAGACATTTTTCAAACACTTATACCTATATCTGCTGTACTAGGCGCATTTCACAATCATATGCATCTCTTTCTATGAGACCAAAATTAGAAAATATTAGGTGCACTATGAAAGTACATAACTGTCCTAAGAATCTGAACAAGCACACAAGCAATTTTAAAGGCATATATCTGAAATTAGTTTTCCATGATATCATGGATGGATGCAAACATCTTTAACATTTTCACTGTCAGTAAATTTATACATACTCACCAATCTTAAATGCTTATGATTAAATTTAGGCTTCAGTTCTACAGCAATTACCTGGGAGTAAGTCCCAATGAACTCAGTGGGATGTACAGTGGTACCTCGGGTTACATACGCTTCAGGTTACAGACTCCACTAACCCAGAAATAGTGCTTTAGGTTAAGAACTTTGCTTCAATATGAGAATAGAAATCGTGCTCCGGCGGTGCGGCGGCAGCAGAAGGCCCCATTAGCTAAAGTGGTGCTTCAGGTTAAGAACAGTTTCAGGTTAAGTACGGACCTCCGAAACGAATTAAGTACTTAACCCGAGGTACCACTGTACCTGAGTAGCCATGCACAGCATCATGCTGCTGTTTTATTAAATAGGTCTTTAAGCATTCTTTATAACTGCCAGTGCCTTTTCTCTAAAAAAAATTTTTAGCCATACTCTCATTTTCCTACTCATATTGAAATACTGCCCCTCAATGAGGCCAAACTTAAGATTCACTAAATGTTTAGGGGTATACGTACCCCTGCATTCCTCCAGAAAAAAGCACTGCAAACTACTAATACTCAATAGGTTTTTAAACTCTTTTAGGAAAGATATTTCATATTCACAGATTGTAAACTAGTTGGGTTCAGATCGAAACCCCATAGGTTTATGTAAGTAAAACAAAAGATGTGCTTCAGTGTCCAAGGCTATCATACAGAATCACTCAACTGCTCTTTTTAAGTTAAAAATAATCGGAACATTTTATACATAACATACCGTACTTATACAGTACTTTTGATGACCCATTGATCAGGCTACTTTGTGACTTTACAAAGAAGCAACAGAAACAACACCCTTTAATACATCTATGTCTGTCCCTACAGAAACAACAGATTGGCTGAATGTGTCATGCCAGGAATTTATAATTTCTCACATTTGAAAGGTTGACAGATAATGCTCACATACAGTATTTAAAATAAGGTACCCTGAACAGGGTATAATAAGATTCAGTTGTGATTCTTTTTAAAAGTTCATGACTGCTTGTCTTTTTTTATTGTTTTTATAAATAGATTTTAATGGATAACAAAGATACGTATAGTGTTGCTGTTTTCATTCACATACTCCTATCTACAGGTCAGTTACATTCAGTGTGAAACACTGCTATCGTAAGCATAAGGTTGGGGTGGCAGAGAAAGGTGTGCGACAAAGTGGGGGGGTGATTTTTCCTTCATTTACATAGTGCATCGCCAATGAAAACTAATAAATAGATGAAGAACCTATCCACATTACTGATTGTCATTAAAAAAAAAAAACTATCCGGAAATGTAGGCAAATAACTAATCAAAGAGTCATATAGAGTTAGAAGGGACCACAAGGGTCACCCAGTCCAACCTTCTGCAATGCAGGAAACTTTTGCGCAAAATGGGGTTCAAACCCGCAACCCTGAGATTAGGAGTCTCATGCTCTACCGGACCGAGTTATCGATACGTTCCTCAGAGGTAAAATTGCATCTCTATCCAAAATTGTCAGAGAATTACCCAGTTTCCCCTACCCTGCCAAACAGGAAACAGTTTTTAATAAAGAAAACTGCACTCCATTTAGGTTTTCTAAGAAATTTACAAAATTGGCAGTTCTAAGCCTAAACTTTTTTCTTCTTCCCCATGTTGTCCTTTAAAATGCAGTCCCAGCATAGGCCAGCGGGGGAGCCTCGCCGTGCCCCAGACAGCTGGGTGGCACAGCAGACCCTGCCAGTCTCTCTGCGCCTCCTACATACAGGAGACGGGCGAAAGAGAGCAAGAGCGCAAATTGGGGTTTTTGTTTCCTCACTCTTATCAACTGCTCCTTCTGCGCCAGAACCCGCCTCTACAGCTACTTCTTGAGCCGCCCAACCAGCCACACTTTGCCCCCGCTTAGCTCTTGGCCGCAGCCAGCAGAGTCCTCCTTCAGCTGTGCAAGCTCACAAAACACGTCCTACCTCAAATGACCTCGGTTCGCTCACTCGCTCGCATAGAGAGCTGCTGCAAAAAAACCCCCAAGCTCCCTCCCGGCTCGCTGCTCACGTCCACCTCTTGCAACAGAGCCAGACAGGCCCCGATGCTTTCCACCCACCCACCCTCACTCTGGCACAACACCAAAGCAAGGCGGCCAGCTCGGATACAAGTAAAGGACCCCCCCCCCTTTTTCCAGACTCTCGTGCCTTTTAGTCCCACAAACCAGACAAGCCTCCGCACACATACAGAGCAGCAGAAGCCCCACAAAAAAACACACTATTGTGCTTGCATGCAAAACACGCAAGCAGTCAGTCACCCTGGAGAAGTTCAGCCGGAGCCCCTTCCCCTCCTCTTGTTGTTGTTCCTGTTCATTACATCTGTAGACTGCCCTTTCACCCGAAGATCGCAGGGCGCTTCACAACAGAAAAACCACGCGAAATTAAACCTGAATACAAACAACAAATGGATAACCCACACACACACACACACAAACACATCGAGAGTTTAAAAGGACACAGATGGTTTAATTGGGAGAAAAGAATGCTTTCGCCCAGGCCCGGATTTATGCAATGAAGGTACCAGGCGAATGGGGCGCCACCACAGAAAAGCCTCCCCAAACTCCTTCCCCTGCTGCCACCCTCCGGAAGAAAATCCCCGTCATCGCAGGGTCCGGATCGGTTCTATGGGGGGGTTTCCTTCTGAGGTAGGGCGGCCCCGAGCGGTCGCGCTGCACTTCAGCCCCTCGGAGCGGGACAATGAGCCAGCGCACTCCCCCCCCCCCGGCAAGCTCGCCCCTCTCCCCGCCTCCCCCCACCCCAATGGCTGACCCACACCGACAACGGCCCCTTCTTCGCCGCCGTCGCTACGGGACTTGCCCCGAGTCTCCCTCCCTCGGCACCCGCCTCGTCTTCCTCTCCCCCCACTGACCCGGGCCGACTCTTCATCCTGACCGGCGGCCGCCGCTGCTGCTGCTGCTGCCGCCGCCGCCGCCGCCCGAGCGCTGGTCCTAGACAAACGGGTCCTGGACGAGATGAAATGGCTGCCGGGCCCGGAGCCTGCCGCCGCCGCCGCTTTGCGGGAGAGGCGCAGGGAGCTCTTTCGGGTGTTCACCATGGCGCCCCCCTCCCGCCGCCGCCGCCTCCTCAGCCGCCCCGGAGAGGGAGGCTCAGTCTCTGGCGCCGCCGCCGCCTCTGCTTTGGGGAGCGGCGCCTCAGCCGCCGCCGGGCGAGGAACAAGGGCTCGAAGGGACGCGGGGAGCTGCTCCTCCTCTAGCTCAGTCACACACTAACTGGCCGCCATTACTTGGTTCCCTCTCCCCCTTTCTCCTCCTCGGCCCGCTGCCGCTGAGGGGCGCCGGTCTGCCGCCGCCGCTCATAGGGCCGCCTCTTCTTCCACCGCCTCCTCCCTACCCCTGGCAACATAGAAGTGAGGGGGGGGGCCGGGAGAGATCGACGGAGAGCGTGACGACGCGCGGCGTCCGGAACTTCCGGTCGACGTTGGAAGGGCCCTTTCGCGTCTCTATGGTTGAGGCCCGCCTGGCACGCTGGAGTTGTCGGCGGGGGCGGGGGGAAGAGCCGCAAGCGCAAAGGAGGTTTGGCCCGCCGGGTCCGTTTTCCGCGGAGGGGAGGCGCCACCTCCTCCGAGTGAACGCGCCGCCCGGTCGGGCTACATTGGGGTCGCTAGGCCCGTTTTTCCCCAGGAAGAGGAAGTGCGGCATAGTGGTTAGAGCGGTCAGACCTAGGTGGTCGCCACCAGAGAAGAATGGCAGATTAAACTGATGGGTTATACTGAAATAGCAAAAAAGAAAAGAAAAAAGGGGAAGAATTAGAAACCATTAGAAATAAGGAACGGGAGAAATATATCATTTACCTTAAAAAGCACACCATTGTAAACAATTAAAATTACGAGTAGGGTTGGAATGATACTTGTTGGGCTATGGTTGTACTGGAGATTCATAGAGAAGGTGCAGAAGTAAAAAAGTTAACATAACCCGCAAAAGGGGAGGAGGGAAGTCCGTTGGAATTTACTGAATTCTCTTCTTGTTTTGATTGATTGACGTTTGTAAATTTCAAAATCTGAAAATTAAATAACTTTTTATACTTTTTAATAAAATAGAATTTCAGGACCCGGGAGACCAGGGATTTTAGAATCCCCACTTAGTCATTGACCACACTTGTTCACCTTGGGATGATGGCCGCCTCTTAACCAGCCTCTGGGAAGAAAATATGGTATATAAATGTAATAAAAGCACACGCACAAATTCCTTGTCTCTTGATGGGATGGCCAGGTGCGAAAGAGGCAGAGCTCCTGCACCTCTCAGTAGTTATGCAGAAAAGGGGGTGCTTGGCAGAGGCAATTTCGTTGCTGCCTAAAACCCCTCTTCTGCATAGTGATTATTATTGTTGTTATTATTGTTATTATTTTCTTCCAACCCCAGATTTAGGGCAGTTGCCCCACACAGGGCACCAAGCTGAGGGGGCACATCACCATCATACCTATATTTATATAGGTAACTATTGAGAATATCCATTTAAAAAGCAACTGTACAAAAAGTAATTCTTGTGAAAATAAGAAATATATAACGGGGGGGGGCTCAAATTTTGTGTTCTTTCAGGGCACCATATCACCAAAGTCCATTCCAGCCTTTCCTCAGAGGATCACGGGGCAGCTTATACTATAAAAACACAAAAGCACATACCATAGTAACAAGCAAACTGCCCGCCGCCACCAGCAGTTTAAAAGGCCATTGATTGTTTAATTGGCCAAAGGCCTGGGTGAAGAGGAAAGATTTTGCCTGGTACCTGAAATATAGGTAACAAAGGCGCCATGCAAGCCTCCCTGGGGAGAGCATTCGCAAGCGGAGAGCCGCAGCTCAAAAGGTACAGGAGCCCTGTCCTCTTAAAAATCAGTGTTTTGTGGTGAATGTGGCAGGGCTGCAAAATAATGGGTGAGGGAGGTTCTTCACCTTTCCGATAAAGAAATGTTGCTGGCCTGTTGTAGTTCTTTGATCAAGGAAATAAAGCCCCCAAAATCTTAATTATTTCCTTTCATTCCTCCTAGGGAAAGAATTCACACCCACCCAGGAGAAAATCCATACAGATTATGGCCACCCGCAGGATAACCCACTCTCCACTCCTGCTCCTTGTTAGTTAATCTGGGATAATTTGCTCAACTCACCAGTAATGCTCTCACAACTAATACAGATAAGAATCCCCGTTTCACCTGAAAGAATCCCTGCTTCACCTGTAAGTCTTCACTGCCTTCATTGAAATAGGCATGGGAGGAAATTGCCCACCTTCTTTTACTCTGGTGCAGCATACAATTTTTCTTTTTAAAAAATGCATTATAAATAACATTGAACCAATGAACAACTCACTAATCATCCTGATCATATACATGTTTATTTATATCAGAAGAACATAAGACAAGGCCTGCTAGATCACACTAAAGGCATTCTATGCCCACAGTGACCAACCAATTTTATTTATAGCCTGGCCATCTTCAGCTCCGTTGATGCCAGGACAGGGCATTAAGCTCTAGAAACACACAATAACTAGGGTCTGTTCCCCTGCTGTGTCTGCTGGACAGCCCCTTGCCATTGCCCACACATTAACTCCCTAAAGCAGCAATTTCCAAACTCTGCCCTGCAAAGCGATTGGAAATAAAACTGCACAAATGTTTCTTTGGCATAAGGACAGCGATGGTGCTCTGTGATTAATTTCTCTCCTGAAAAGTGCTCCACAACTCAAAAAAGTTTGGGAACTGCTGCCCTAGACCTTCCCTTTCCCACCCTACACAACCTCTAAGCTCCCCTTTCAACTTTCCTGCCAACCTAGCAGTTTGAAAGCACGCCAGTGCAAGTAGATAAATAGGTACCGCTGCCGCGGGAAAAGAAATGGCGTTTCCGTGCGCTCTGGCACTTGTCATGTAATCATGCTGGCCACATGATGCAGAAAACTGTCTGTGGACAAACAACGGCTACCTTGGCCTGAAAGCGAGATGAGTGCCGCACCCCATAGTCTCCTTTGACTGGACCTAACCGTCCAAGGGTCCTTTACCTTTACCTGTAGCTGTAACATTATAGTCAACAGTTTGAATCCCCGTGACGGAGTGCGCTCCTGTTGTGCGGTCCCAGCTCCTGCCAACCTAGCAGTTTGAAAGCATGTCAGTGCAAGTAAATAAATGGTACCGCTCCGGCGGGAAGGTAAACAGTGTTTCTGTGCACTGCTCTGGTTCACCAGAAGCGGCTTAGTCATGCTGCCACATGACCTGGAAGCTGTCTGCAGACAAACGCTGGCTCCCTCGGCCTCTAGAGCAAGATGAGCGCCACAACCCCAGAGTCATCCACGACTGGACCTAATGGTCAGGGGTACCTTTACCTTTAATATTATTGTTGGCTCTGTCAGGTGTAGCCATGACATTCTGCTCATTTCTCAGCTGTGCAAATCCTTGCATAGGGCATGCTAGAAGAGTTACACGGGTACAGCAGTGCTACATAAGTCCCTTGCACTACTGCGAGCTCAGTAGCCCTTAGTAGCAGCAGTGTACGGTAGTGGCAAAAAACCTTATGCTGGTGATGGTTCACTTGGAATCTTACTAGATCAACTGCCAATCTAGCAGTTCGAAAGCACACCAGTGCAAGCAGATAAATAGGTACCTCTGTGGCGGGAAGGTAAACGGTGTTTCCGTGTGCTCTGGTTTCCGTCATGGTGTTCCGTTACACCAGAAGCGGTTTAGTCATGCTGGCCACAGGACCTGGAAAGCTGTGTGTGGACGAACGCCGGCTCCTTCGGCCTAAAAGTTAGTTGAGCGCCGCACCCCATAGTCGCCTTTGACTGGATTTAACTATCCAGAGATCCTTTACCTTTTTTACCTTACTAGATCCTAGCATTGATTTATATTTCTTTCTCTCTCTTTTTTTTTTAAAAAAGCACATTAATCTCTTTAACATGTATTCCAAATTCTCAAGCAAGCAGTATGCATTGGAACAGTGCCCAGAGGCCCTTTCAGGATTAGGAATCTGTGTATTAAAGCAGCAGAAACATATGGTGAGGGGGGAAATCATTTTCTGAGCAGTCTGGAAACAAACTGATGGGCCCAGAGTTTAGTGATCTCATAGGCTGTTATAATTGTTTTTTGCCAGTATTGTGTTCTGTTTGACTACAGCCTGTTTTTTTGTTTTAAAACAAAGGAGTCCTTAAAATGTATGCTAGACCATTTTTTCCACATTACTGGATAAGAATCTAGGTTTTTTTCCACCTTCCCGATGCAGTAAACAAAAAACTTAGCCATGACAATCCCTGCAACTTCGTGCAATTCTTCAGGTGCTTGTGGTTGAACAGATTGTTAGAAGATCCTAATGTTCCCTCTTTACTGGAACACACTTGGTAGGCTCTAGCGGGCATTTTAACCTGCATGGGTATTGACATTGTTGTTAAGACGGATTTAGACAGGACAGGGTTAATGGAAACAGAGGTACTGCTGGAGAGTCCCCTTATCAGTCTTGGCATAATTGCCAGGGAACTCATTTTAGAAAAGGAGGTTGGCTGATTCTTCTTAATAGCTGGCTTTTCCTCCGGTGTTCTGAATGACTGAGAGACATGTAAAAAAGGACAGGACTTTTTTCTGCACCTTTGCTGATGAGTTCATACAGGTCTGCATGGGTTTGGGGTAGATGCCAGTGGTGGGCGGAGCCAGAGACAAAGGTGGGTGGAGCAACATGTAAAGGTAAAGGGACCCCTGACCATTAGGTCCAGTCGCGGACGATTCTGGGGTTGCGGTGCTCATCTCGCTTTATTGGCCGAGGGAGCGGGTGTACAGCTTCCGGGTCATGTGGCCAGCATGAGTAAGCCGCTTCTGGCGAACCAGAGCAACACATAGAAACGCAACATGTACTCTTACCTTTGTACCATAAGCCACATTCCAGCCACATAAAAGCCAGAGCTCTCTACATGCACACACATCTCTTCACACAGGCAAACAAGAGACATGAGCACAGTTCAAGAACGCATTCTTGGCATGCAAGAACATTCAAGGAAGGTGCAATAAAAGCCAGTGGATGGTGTGGCCTAGAGATGGGCATGACTTGGGGACAGTCCCCACTTATTCCCTGAGTCTGAGGTTCCCAGCTGCTGCTGTAAGCAAACTAGCTACCTAAGAGCATAAGAAGAGCCCTTCTGGATCAGACCAATGACCCACATAAATTGTAGAGTTGGAAGGGACTCCAAGGGTCATCCAGTCCAAGTCCCTGCGATGCAGGAATCTCAGCTAAAGCATCCATGACAGATGACCATCCAACCTCTGCTTTAAAAACCTCCAAGGAAGGAGAAAAAACCTCTCGTGGGAATCTTTTCCGCTGTCAAACAGCTCTTGTTGTCCAAAAGATCTTCCTGATGTTTACTCACCTTTCTTGTAACTTGAAGGCATTGGTTTGAGTCCTACGCCCCAGAGCAGGAAAAAAACAAGCTTGCTCCATCTTCCATGTGACAGCCCTTAAGCTATTTGAAGATGCCTATCATACCTTCTCTCAGTCTCCTCTTTTCCAGGCTAAACATGCCCAGCTCCTTCAACTGACTTGGTTTCCACACCCTTAATCATCTTGGTTGCCCTCCTCTGTACATGTTCCAGCTTGTCAATATCCTTCTTAAATTGTAGCACCCAGAACTGGACACAGTACTCCAGGTGTGGCCTGAGCTATACTATTACTTCCCTTGATCAGAACACTAGACTTCTGTTGAAGCAGCATAGAATAGCATTAGCCTTTTTTTGCTGCCGCATCACACTGTTGACACTGTTGAGCCCCATGTTGGGCAAAAGATTCCTGAATCGTGGGGGGGTTGGACTAGATGACTCTATTGGTCCCTTCCAATTCTATGAAAAATCTCAATAGAGTTTGTAATAACTTTTATGTGCAACATAAGCAGCCAAGTGACTGCCAGCACCACACATCTATAAAAATATGTACGGTGTAGAACTTTTCCCACAAACTAGAGAGTTCTTGTGCAGAAACACAGGCGTACATTGGTTCATAATGCTAACTCAATATTCCATTACACTACTAATTTGTCGTCTCTCTTAATCTGAGTTGCATTTAGTCTATTTTACAGTAGTTTTTACAAAACATTGTCTAGTCAAAAGTCAAGGCTGCTCATTGTGGCACATAAATGTGCAGCTGGGATTTTCATCCCACCCCAATCTCCAGGACAAGCTTTCAGTAAAAACCTAGAGCCTTGCACCTTGTTGCTAAATGACTCCTGTGGAAATCCGTGGGGATAATAAACAAGGAAGGAAGGTCAGGCTCTTTATGGGGCACAGCTCCACCGTTCCTCCGCTGATTTGCCCACGAGAGCCCTTCCTATGGAAGAATTCGCGATCTTGTGCGTGTTTGCTCACAAATCTCTGGTTGCAAACAACGTGCAGCAGCTGCGCGCGCCGCCGATTGCAGCCAAGGCGCGACCCAGGGCGCGTCGCCCCCGCGCCATTGACACCTGAGCAACGACGGGCGCCGCGCCCCCGAGCCCCTGGCACCGCCTCTCCCGCTCCGCCCCCGCCAGGGCCCTCCTCTTTGGTGGGCGGAAAAAAAGGAGCCGCCGGTGCCGCCCCTGCCCGGCTTGCCGTCCGCCGGCGCTATAGCGCAATCGAAGGGAAACATTGCAGCGTGGCGGCCGCTTCGGCGGGGATCGGGCTGCTCTCCTCCCGCAGAGGGGGCGGCAGGTAAGGGCCAGAGCGAAGGGATGGCGGGCCTCTCGCAGGCGGCGGGGGAAACAACCGGGTTTGGGGGGGTTTCCATCCCCTACGGAGCTCCGGAGAATTCTTCCCGGCGGTGCCCTCGGGGGTCAGGGACTTGACGCATCCCGGGGCAACAGCATGACTTGGCACTTCGGGGGTTCGGCCAAGTTGCGCGCAGGCAAGGAAGGCGCGTCTCTTTTTCCCCTGGCGGGAAGGGTCGATGTTCCACCGCAGAGGCGGGGTAGGGGCTTCTGGCTTCCGGGGTGGGAGGGAAAGAGACTTGGGCGATTTGGGTGGGCACCCGCCGGGCCAACGGCGATCTGTCCTTTTTCTGCGCCGGGGACCATGGAGCGGCTTCTTGGGCTGCGCCGAGATCGCCCCGTCGGGTTTGTAGGTTTTGGTGTCTGAAGTTCCAGAAAGTTTATAGCGTTTGCTGCGTTATGCAAGGAGCTGTCTGTCTCTCCCCGAGTGCCCCCCTCCCCCAAAAAACAAACCCTTACAGACAGGTCCGGAAGCATGTTTGCTCACGAGTAAGCGCCCTCGCCCCCGTTCAGTGGATCGGTAATTGTGTTTTGGTTGTAGCGTCCGATCCTCCTCGCCTTACGTCTACTTAAAGGTCGTTCCCATTGCGTTAGGTGGCGCTTACTCCCAAGCGCGCATAATAAAAAGGATTGCAGCCGCCAAACTTCGGATCTGGGTAAAAATGCACCTGGCTTTGACCACTGGGGTTTTCGGAGGTTTTATAGCACTCTACACATTCACTTATATTATTGATTGAATTTTTATACCGCCCTGTACCCAGAGGTCTCAGGGCGGTTCACAGAACAAAATCAAAATATAAAACCTCAAAATAAAAACAACGACCCAATAAGCCTGTCTTGTTTGCGCTTCCTTGTTAGGTGCAAAGTTCAAGCATCTGTGGCCTTTTTGCTGTCACTTTTTAAAAATTTATTTTTCAGCTAGCTGTTAAGAGCAACGCGGGGCCCTCCAGATGGTGGTTTCCATCTGCCATTGGCTCCAGCCAGCATTACTAGTGGTCAGGGATGACGGGAGTTGTAGTCTCAGATAAAAACCAGCACTGTTAACGGCGCTTCGAAGTGGAGCAGCAGCAGTCACAACACCTGCTTCAAAACTTCTCAGTTGCCTCTTCCATGCAGATGGCAATATAGCCTACCGATAAGAGTTATTGCAATTATGTGTGCGGTTTGTTCAGTCGCAATACTAAAATGTATAGGTAAAGGTAAAGGGACCCCTGACCATTAGGTCCAGTCGTGACCGACTCTGGGGTTGCGGCGCTCATCTTGCTTTATTGGCCAGGGGAGCTGGCGTACAGCTTCGGGGTCATGTGGCCAGCATGACTAAGCCGCTTCTGGTGAACCAGAGCAGCTCATGGAAACGCTGTTTACCTTCCCGCTTTCGAACTGCTAGGTTGGCAGGAGCAGGGACCGAGCAACGGGAGCTCACTCTGTCACGGGGATTCAAACCGCCAACCTATTGATCGGCAAGTCCTAGGCTCTGTGGTTTAACCCGCAGCGCCACCATGCTAAATATTACTATGAAAATTTTCGAGGCAACCAGCAGCATTGTCCTTTATTATAACAATGTGCTGCTGTTTTGAGGATAATCGGTTTAGTTGTAGCATTTACTATATTTTAAAAATTGTCACAGCCTGCTAGTGCTGCATCTCGGAAGGTTGGTGGTTCGATCCCACCTGGGGATGGCTTTGGGCAGGATTCCTGCATTGCAAGGGGTTGGACTAGATGACCTGCAGGGTCCCTTACAACTCAACAATTCTATTATTCAGTAGTTGTAGAGCAGGCACCCCCAAACTCAGCCCTCCAGATGTTTTGGGACTACAATTCCCATCATCCCTGACCACTGGTCCTGTTAGGTAGGGATGATGGGAGTTGTAGTCCCAAAACATCTGGAGGGCCAAGTTTGGGGGTGCCTTTTGTAGAGCATGGGCTTTGCGTGTAGAAGGTTCCTGAATCAAGCCCTGATATCTCCAGGAAAGGCTGGAAAAGACCCCTATCTGAAACCCCGAGGAGCTGTTACTAATTAGTGTGTAGACATTAACAAGTTAGATAGGTAAATGGAAGTTGGTATCGTGTCCCCATGTCCTTTCTGCCTTTTACCAGAAGGCTCATATAGCCACATCTTTAAAGGGGGTGGCTGGATAACAACCTTAGTGGCAAAGCTATTTCTCTCGTGTAGCTTGGAAACAGGATTGTTGACATGGCAGTGGGATTTTCCGAGAACCTTTGCACAGATGTAGAAGTAATGCAAATGTGTGGCGAAAGACATATAAGGGAATCATGACAACTTGCTGCTTTTCCCTTCTATGTTGTTGTTTTGCACATGATTCATCGTTGTCAGGGTAGCTGCAAGCATGACAAGATACAGGAACTGCATGATGCTTTGGTCACACCGTTCTGGCCATGCATTGAGTTGCTGGGGGTATTAGTGTTCTTTTATTTATATCAGGCATGGCCAAACTTGGCCCTCCAGCCGTTTTGAGACTACAACTCCCATCATCCCTAGCTAACAGGACCAGTGGTCAGGGATGATGAGAATTGTAGTCCCCAAACAGCTGGAGGGCCAAGTTTGGCCATGCCTGATTTATATGCTGTTTAAAACACATTATCTGCTGTGCAACACTCTTGGGGAACCGTTTGACACCAGCCATGCCGTTGGGAGTTGATTCATCTGTGATGCAGGGCATGGGTGTAGCCAAGGCTACGCTCATGGATGCAGGCCATTCTCCGCTAACATTCCCTCCTGTTGGCAGGTCACATAATGCTGTTGTGGATGTTGCTGGCTTGCAGTTCCCATCACTCCCTTCCAAGATTCTCCAGGGGTGATGGGAATTGCAGTCTATAGCTTCTGGAGGATGCCCCATAGGCTGCAGGTCATCCTTTGTAGAAGAGGTTAAATGTAAAGGGACCCCTGACCATTAGGTCCAGTCGTGACTGACTCTGGGGTTGCGGCACTCATCTCGCTTTATTGACCGAGGGAGCCGGCATACAGCTTCTGGGTCATGTGGCCAGCATGACTAAGCTGCTTCTGGCAAACCAGAGCAGCGCACAGAAATGCCGTTTACCTTCCCGCTGGAGCGGTACCTACTTATCTACTTGCACTTTAACGTGCTTTCGTACTGCTAGATTGGCAGGAGCAGGGACCGAGCAACGGGAGCTCACCCCGTTGTGGGGATTCAAACCACTGACCTTCTGATCGGCAAGTCCTAGGCTCTGTGGTTTAGCCCACAGTGCCACCCACGTCCCAAGTGTAGAAGAGGATAAATGGACTCAAATTAGACGAAAAATGCTTATACCTAGAAGCCAGTAGGAGAGCATTTAAGTGTTCTGAGACGTTCTCTCTAAGACAGTCATGGATCTTTGACTGTTCTGTTGTCCATGCTGCCTGGAACAGATGAGTCCAGCAACACCTGGAGACCTGCAGGTTCCTCATCCCAGCAGCAGGATATTCTTAAACCAAAAAATAAGTTTCAAAGGAAGACTTCAATGTGATGCTACCAAACTGGAATTCAGCAAATTTGACTGTACAAATTGGTTGCTGCAGGTGCTGGAAATGGATAGAGAAAGTTCTATGGAAAGGTTGATCATGCACACATTTGATTTGCATATATTTGCGCTCTATCGCTTGACTTTTTTGCCTCACTTTGTTAGAAAAACAAATGCATGGCATTGGGGGTGGGGGTGGGGAAGAGACTTCTCTTTGTACTACTTAATTCATTTCATCTGTCTATAAATGTTGACGTTGGCCCATGGAAGCAAGTTCTGCAATAATTTGTTTTTGTTGACACCTGGAAGATCTGTCAGTACCTGCTGATGGTAAAGCTGATTGGATGTAATGCTGTAGCTCAGAAACTTGAGCTATGAATCGGGAAGATCCCAGTTCAGATCTGGAGTCTGCTATGATTTTGGGAAGTAGGCTAGGTAAGCCAGTCTCTGCCTCAAGCCCCACCTGCAGAATTGGGGTGGGGGGGAGAGAGGATGAATTGCTGAAATAAATGCTGAATAAAATGACATTTTCTAATTTAAATATTTCACTGTAAAAGTAGAGAAAGAGCCAAAAGGATTTATCCCATACCATCAAGTATGATCTATAAAAGCCAGTTAAGACTGCAATCCTTACCTCTCAATAAGTCTGATTGATTTTAACGAGGCTTACTTCTAAGTAGACAAATATAGGTAGTCAAGTATAGGCTAGCACTCTTAGGTCGTCAGTCTTACTAGCGGGTCAGCCCTACTTAAGGCAGTGTGTCTATGTGCCTTCAGAATTGTGCTGTTAAGTAAGTATCAAAATTCTTAGAGAGCAAGTGTCAAATCCTGACGTGTTTCAGATTGAGCATATTAGGGGTAATGTCAGAAATAAAGTTTGCCATCTCAGTACTCGGGCTTCCACTATCGGTAGCTAACCTGGTGAAGGTGTTATGCTTGAACGTGATTATTTTGAAAATGGAAATGTTTTGATCAGTTATCTAGTAGGGTTGTTCAATACCCAGGTTTATTGACAGGTGTGCCTTTAAGAGGGGAACTGGCTGGTGTTGCAGTGCTGATGGCATGTCTCTGAACTGCTGCTAAGCATCCTAGCAGCAAAACAGCAAATATAAATTTGGATGGATGAATCTAATTGTAGTGAGAAGGAAGTGGAGGGGGGGGAAAAAAGCCCCAAAGTTGTAAGTCTATTTTTTTAAAAAAATGGCTTCTGTTAATTCAGAATATTCTTTCGCTACTTAAAAAAGTCTTGTGTTCCAGGCTCTTTTTATTAAGAGTGCTTAGTTTTCAAACAAGTAGGGAAGAGCAAACATTGTGTGTTTGCCAAAGGGCCAAACCAGGCATTTGTCTTTAGCAATTTCTTCTGATTTTTTCTGTTTAATACTAAGCAGGGGGGTGATTTTCACTGGGACCACAGCACACAGGATGGAGAGGCTTAACCCTTACCTCCCCAGCTTTGACTTCAACAAAAGTCTGCTTCCCCACATTGCAATTAGCCTTGGTGGCAGTGGGACTCGCACTGGTACCAAACTGGCCAAAACCCTGTGCCTGATAGTAGTAGCACTATTTTTAGCAGGTGGAAATCCTGCTCTTTCTTTCCCACGTGGGCCTTCTCTGAATTTTACCCTAATTCAGGCACCCCCAAAATTGGCCCTCCAGCTGTTTTGGGACTACAACTCCCATCATCCCTAGCTAACAGGACCAGTGGTCAGAGATGATGGGAATTGTAGTCCCAAAACAGCTTGAGGGCCGAGTTTGGGGGCACCTGCCCTAATTCTTCTGCGGATCTTTTTTGCTGAACTGATTAGATTTAGAATAAGGATGTTTTTCGCGCTTCGTAGCAACGGAGCCAACCCAAGGAATAGAAGAAGAGGAGTTTGGATTTGATATCCCGCTTTATCACTACCCTAAGGAGTCTCAAAACGGCCAACAATCTCCTTTCCCTTCCTACCCCACAACAAACACTCTGTAAGGTGAGTGGGGCTGAGAGACTTCAGAGAAGTGTGACTGGCCCAAAGTCACCCAGCAGCTGCATGTGGAGGAGCGGAGACGCGAACCCGGTTCCCCAGATTACGAGACTACCGCTCTTAACCACTACACCACACTGGCTCTAGGAAGCTCTTGCTATCTAGGAAGCTGTTGGTCATTTTGTGGGTGTTACATCTGCCAGAGGCTTATCTAGAAGAGTGCTCTAGACCATTCCGGGCTAGGAGAACCAAGTCTAGCTGCATTACATTGCCTATTGGTGCCATGAAAACACATATGGATTGGGCTAGGGAGATAGATGGGAATTCTGTTTCCCAGCCCCTCAAGACGACTGTACATGCAAGCAGTTACCAGTTTCCTTTGACCTGATTTGGGTTAATTTCTGCACAGCACCTTTCCCGGCCTACAGGATTCCAGAACACAAAATAGTATTCTGATTAGCTATTGTGCGTGTGTTTAGTTTGCTGCTGTTAATTTGTGAAATTTGAAGTGCAGCCGCTTCCTAAGCTCTCCTGGCTTGCCATGCCTTGGGCAAAATGTTCTGGAAAGCACAGCAAGCTCCCATTCGTTTATGGGCCCAGTAGCAGATTTCTCTTATAATTATGGATAACCAAGAATTTTCTTCCTGGCCGTATGAATACCGATCAGATGAAGATGTAAGCTATTTCTGGCATGGTCCCTGCATGTTTTGGAGAGATGCCATACTTTCTTGTTTGGATTACACTGTTATTTCTGTGTTTGCAATTATATGTACAAGGGATATCCTGCGGTCTCTGTGTTGTATTGTAGCTTTTTTCTGCCTGGAGAGACAGAAAAGACCATTGATGAAATATACGCCCCAAGCCTACTGCCACGCAAACACCACAGTGTGTGCTCCGGACAATGGTGTAAGAAGGCACATGGGTGGTAAATCCTAGCGTTGTACCTAGGAGCTACATGCAAGTGTTGCTTCTGTGTGGAAGAACATTGCTAGAAGAGACAGTAGCCCCCTTGTCCATGGGCTAACACACAGCTATGCCAGCCATTCCATGTTGGCAGGGAAACAGTTGGTAAATTAGACTTCAGCTGTGGTGGCACAGGACATGGTTTCCACTGTTGTAAGTAATGCCATTGTGGACTCTCATGCTACCAAGGTATTAAATTTTCAGTGGGCCAAAGTACCATGTGGAAGATCTCTTGTTGGATGCCCCAATGTTTTCTTTTTTAATGAAATGGAGCCACAGGGAGCTGACAATATCGGGGTTCTTTCTCCATGTATATTTATATTTTAATGGATGTTTCATTCTTTTTATTGTGCTTTTTGGTGCTTGCTACCATTTCCCACCTATAAGTTATAAAATACCTTTATCAATATTATGATGATGGTGATTTATTCCAAACCTGAGCTTCTGTTTGCCGTGAGTGGAGATGTATTGTTTTACCTACAGAATCTTTGAGGGGTGATGGCAGTTTTGTTTGAGAAAACTGCACCGGGGAGTGAAACATCCCCTTCCTCTTGGTCAAATCAGCAACCACCCATGGCTACTTTTCATTTAAAAGAGAGTTCTGGCCACACACCTCCTATATACCATGTAGCTTGGCACAATGATTTTAAATAATATCTGTCACATATAAGGACACAGTGCCAATTCCAATCTGCTGGTTCTGATGTTGCAGCTGGCTACACAGACAGACTCTAATTGATGGCTTATCCTTGTGCGACACCAAGTTAACAGATATTAATGTTCAAAGAACAAGAAAGACAGGAGCAGTTATCCTATTCATCATAGTGTCACCCTCAGACAAGACACACTTGCACAGAGGATGACACTGATAGTACAGTAATATCATGGCTGTGTGGTTGGCAACTCACTACTTTTACTTCTTGGTCTCTTTGCGGATCCATGCTTCTCATATGCATAGGGCATCAGTTACATCAGGGGTCCCCAAACTAAGGCCCGTGGGCTGGATAAGTCCCAAGGGACTTGTTTATCCAGCCTGCAGCGCTGCCCGCTGCCCACTCTTACCGGCACTGCGCTGTGTGGCTGCCCACTTCCAGGTTAGAGGAGCACCAGAAATAGCTTGTATACATGCGCAAGCGTTATTTCCGGTGCACATCCGGGTTGGAAGAGGCTCATGCACATGCGCACAAGCTATTTCCGGTGCTCCTCTGACCTGGAAGTGCGCCGGAAATAGCGTATGGGCACGCGCTCCCCCGCCCTCCGGCCTGCCGCAGAATCGGCGCTGGAGACACTGTTGACCCCTGAATTAGAGGATCTTTATGAGTAGTGGATGGATACTTGCGCGGGGGGGTGCACATTAATAATGGCACTCAGTGATTTGCACTTGAAAAAGGAATGGTTGTGTTAAGGGGTGTGAGAGAGAGTTGGCTTTGTGCAAACTTCACTCCCTACACTCTTGGTCATATAACCATAGAATCACAGAATTGTAGCGTTGGAAGGGAACCCAAGGGTCATCGAGTCCAACCCTCGAAATGCAAAAATCACAGCAACCATCTTCTTATTTCTCCTTGTATATGCCCAGTTGCTCGACGCAAACATGGAAGTAAGTGTTCCTGTTTGCGAACGTTTTTCGGAAGCCGAACATCCGACACAGCTTCCACTTGACTGCAGGAAACTCCTGCAGCCAATCGGAAGCCATGTCTTGGTTTTCAAACAGTTTCAGGAGTCAAACAGACTCCTGGAATGGATTAAATTCGAGAACCAAGGTACCATTGTAGTTGTTTATTTCCTTGACATCTGAAGGGATGGTGTCCCACAGGGTGGGAGCCACTACCAAGAGAAATTTTATTCGGTGGAGCAATATATATGTTTTCCATTGGAACATATTTCGGGGAATTTTTGTCTCTAGTCGTGGTTGTCTATCAGTGTCAATGAACCAAGCGTGTGGTAATCATATCGCTTCTTACCTGAGTACAAAGTGGGAGTTTACTGGGATTTGCCAGTCAGGCAAGCCTCCCTTTTATGGTATGTGCATTGTGTGGGATCTAATGCTATTATTGGTTTTATTGGGAGCAAGTTGCCTGGCACCCTCCTCTGCCCCCTACCCAATTTCCACAAGTCCTAAAAGAACACCATGTACCCATTTGTGTTCCAGTCCCTCACATGCCCAGCTATGGTTGGGAATGTTTTTTGGAGGGACGATTGACATTAATAATGAACTTGGTGGTTTGTTAACTATCAGAGTAGTGCCAGTGCATGGACCCATAAGTGTCTTCCTGTTCTTTTTTAATGTCAACATCTGTAAAATTACATAAGAATCGGAGACCTTCATGGGAAAAGCAATCTGTATTTCAAACAAATTACTTCAATGGTTCCAAAGTCTTACTCAGTCTAGAAAATCTGTGTTGCTTGGCTTTTATTGATTTCTCTCTCTCTCTCTCCCCAATGCTAGGTGCAGCACAATGCAAGAAGTCAACAAGTCTGAAACTTTGAAACAAGAATGGTGGGTATTTTTCGGTTACGTTGCATTTTTGCCGTTTGTGATCTCATGCCTTTTAAATACGGTCTTACAACGAAACTGATTTTTTATTAATAGATAAGCCTTTGGTAATGGAGTCGAGATGTGACCCGTGGGGCAATTAGGGGTCCATTATTGCTTAGGTTGGAACGGATTCTTGAGGCACATACTTTGAGGGACAAATCCACTGGGGGCTTCAAATTGCTATCAAGCCAGCTGTTCTTGGGAATAATTGTCTGGCGGCTGTGGCCCTGACCCAGGCATTGTTATTGATTTGGTCCGTGTCGTGCTTCCAGAGGAGTGTTGCTTTTTGCCCTGGTAGCAAAAGTCCAGACAGATTCTGACATAGATACATCAGGCATATAGGGGAGTCTCTCTCTCTCTCTCTGTCTTTATTCCAGGATGGAAGATCTACAGTAGGGCTGTTGAGGGAAGGAGGGATGAGTATAAATTAACTTTACCCAACCTTCCACGAGTGGGAGCAGTCAGTCAGTCAGTTTCATTGCACATAGTTTTACTGCCGCAGTGTACACAGAATCATTCAACAATTAAAAGAAAATATACTGGATTGATACAAAAAACTTAAAACATTTATATTATCAAGACATTACCTACTCTAAACAGAGCTATAAAAGTAACTTAATATACAAGTTAAGACATTAAACAATAACATTTATAAGCTAAAATTATCACATGGCCACTAATATATTAGAAAATAATGTTAATTAATACAATGCGCAATTATATTCGGAGTTTGGTGATAAAGATAGAATATAGCTTGATGTAGATAGGGTCAAATAAATTCATCTCCTTTACAGTTGGTGGCTTCCTTGGCTATATAATTTGCTCTAATTTTCCTAGTGGCAGTTGCAAAGAGTGCTACACGCCAGGTCACATGCTTATCTGTGTCTGCGAGGAGATATAAAATCATGTCAGAGGGGTTCTGGCCAGGGGACCTTGTCATTATAGGTGCTAAAAATCTTTCTCTTGCTTCATTATATAAGGGGCAGCGCAAGATATAATGCATAAGGTCCTCTGCTTCAGGACATCCCCTAACCAGTGGGAGCAACTCATAAGAACTGGGAACTGAAGATGCAGCCCATGCAGGGATGAACCATAGCATAGAGAACTTGGGAACGGACGGCACAATAATTACCATGGAAGGCTGGGCGAGAGGGGTTTTCTGTTAAGGAAGGAGCTTGTGTACAGAATAAGAGGGAGAGGGGAATTGTTACAGGGAAGAGATTGGGTGCCTCAATGAAAGCTGAAGGGTGGTATCCAGTGCTTTTTTTCTTTAAAAAATGTTTAGGGGTACTGTCATTTTGACTCAAGAAAATCACCATTTTATAGTTGAAATTGGGAAAAATAAATACAGTAAATGGACAAAAGTACAAAGATTCACAAAATGTTTAGGGGTGTGCGTACCCCTGCTTCCCCCCAGAAAAAAAGCACTGGTGGTATCCAACTAAGCCCCCCTGAGAGCAGCAGACCCATTGAAATTAAGTTAGGTCCATTAATTTCAGTAGGCTTACTCTGAGTAAGATTTGACTGCAACACCTGAATTTGGGGATGTGCTTGGGACAGATCCAGGCATGACGCAAGAAGGCCTAGAGGTTCTGTCCATCTGATCGGCCCACTGATGTAAATATATCTAGATTCTAGACCAAGGGAAACACTGGCGTTTGAATGATTTGTCTACTCTGCCCATACGGTGACATCTAAATTTGGGAGGCAGGCTGCTAGTAGTGTTAGTCTCAACCTCCCCTGGCTGGAACAAGGCCTTAATCATTACTTGTTGGATACATTGCGTGTCCTAAAAATCCTTTGTCCTGCAGAGCCTTAAATGCTTTGTCAGGCTAGTTTGCTTCCTGTTCACGGTTTCCTCTCCTCTTGAAGGACACAGCTGCTGCTGCTGCAGGCTGAAGGGAGCGTTATGGCTTCTGTCATGCCACGTTATTAAGCCTTCTCCTTTATAATAAAGTGCCGAGGTAAGCTTGCTGTGAAAGAAGAAAGCTGCTCTCTTCTGATCTTTTGCTTTGCAAAAGCAGCATTTTCCTTCCAAAACAGCTTTTGTTTGTAGAGCAGATGAATGGGTTTTCCCACCCCCACGCACCCAGCACTTGTACCTATACAGTATATTTTAGGAGCGTTAAATGCTCTCTTAAATGTTTTGTGTTTGCAAGTAAATGTGAAAGATCATGGGTGGTATCCAGTTGCATAATTGGACTTGGAGCTGAACAATGTATATTCTCTGCCCTCTCCCCTCTCTGCACAACCCCTAAATCGGCTTCAAAGAGTGGGAGGAAATCCCAGAAAATATTTAGGGGTGGTGCATGGAAATCGTTGAACTAGTGGAACTATTTAGCTGGATACACCACTGCATAGGGCTTCTTTCCCTTTCCTTTCCCAATAATAATAATAATAATAATAATAATAATAATAATAAATTAATTTTATTTATACCCCGCCCTCCCCAGCCAGAGCCAGGCTCAGGGCGGCTAACACCAGTAAAATTACAGTAAAAACATAATGGGGGGGACGGGCACCAATTTAAAATACAGGTTAAAATGCAATTTAAAATGCAGCCTCATTTTAAAAGTAGCCCATAGATCAAAACCATAAGGGGAGGGAAACATAAAAGGGTCAGACTGAGTCCAAACCAAAGGCCAGGCAGAACAGCTCTCTCTTGCAGGCCCTGCGGAAAGATGTCAAATCCCGCAGGGCCCTAGTCTCTTGTGACAGAGCGTTCCACCAAGTCGGAGCTAGTACTGAAAAGGCCCTGGCCCTAGTTGAGACTATTCTAACCACCTTGCGACTTGGGACCTGCAAAATGTTGTCATTTGTGGACCTTAAGGTCCTCCGTGGGCATACCAGGAGAGGCTGACCCATAGGTACGTGGGTCCTAGGCCGCATAGGACTTTAAAGGTCAAAACCAGCACCTTAAACCTGATCCTGTACTCCACTGGGAGCCAGTGCAGTTGGTAAAGCACTGGATGAATGTGATCCTGCGGCAAGGACCCCATAAAGAGCCTCGCTGCGGCATTCTGCACCCGCTGGAATTTCTGGGTCAGCTTCAAGGGAAGAAGAAGAAGAAGAAGAAGAAGAAGAAGAAGAAGAAGAAGAATAGGCCCTTTTTAACTAAACAACAGTCACAGTGATAGGAGCATGCCCCCAGCCTGCCTCCTCCATCACAACACACAGAACATACAATGCCACAGCATTCCCAGTGGGAATCTACCCGTGGCCCTCCTAGCCGCTGCTCTGTGAACGCAATATAGAAAGAGGAGGTAGGAGAGCCTACACCAGAGTTTCTCAACCTTGGGTCCCCAGATGTTGTTGGACTACAACTCCCATCATCCCTGAGCTTTGGCCTTGCTAGCTAGGGATGATGGGAGTTGTAGGGCAAAAACATCTGGGGACCCAAGGTTGAGAAAGGCTGGCCTACACAATGTGGCACACACCTAGCTCCAAAGGCAGGGGGTCTGCAGAGAGAGCGCAAAGACCTCCTGGGGTAAGGGTTCAAGATCCACCCTGAGGAGGAAAATGCTCTTTTGAGGAGCCGCCAGAGGAGCAGGCCAGGCAGGACATGCAACAAGGGCAGCCGCAGAGACTCATTGGCAGTGGCTGCTTTTTTTCTGGTGACTCCTTGCAAAAAAACACACACGCAGGTTTGGGAAGCCTCAGAGTCAAACTGAGATTATTATTTTTTTTTAAACCAATTTAACCAAACGTCATTCTATAAAAAAGTTTATTTTGGAAAAGGGAGAAAGAGAAGGGGGTTCACTCTATTTTCTGCCTAAGGAGAAGAAAAAACCATTTGAAACTGAGAAAATGTATTGGACACAAAATCCAAAACACGGTTTCCTCAGGAGCACTTCTGAATCCCAGATACTCTATAGGTCTGCATCAGAATATAGGGGTTTGTTACTGCCCCATTGAACATAGTGGAACAAACTTCTGAATAAACACACATAATATTGCACTGTAAAGTAAATTATCCATAGAGCTGCTAATCAGTATAATGTCTAACTCGCTTTTACATTGTGGATCTTTGTTTATGCATAAAGTATAAATGGACTACTTCAGACATGCATATTGTATTACCATCTTAAGTTCTTTAATTATTTAGAATTATTAAGATCAATAATTAAATGTGCCCCAGGGTGGTTGTTGTTTTAAAAATGTGCACATATTTATTACATATAAACACAATGACTACCCTTCAGTAATGCTTAGTTTAGGTCTGTTCTTAAGCTAAAGGTATGCTCTGGTCAATGGGGTCACAAAGAGTTGGACACGACTAAATGACTAAACAACAACAACAACAACATAACACAGTGTTACTAGATAGTTGACTGTGGAGGATATCTCTACTTGCTAATGTTGTCACCCAAAGAGTATTTTTTGACTAAAGACCAGGGACCATATTTTATAAATAGGAGAGAAGGAGCTGGAGTTGGATCTGCAGACTGAAACACAAGAAGAAGTTGAGAAAGGTTGGAGAATCATCTGGTATAATCTGCAGCAAGGCAGGATCTTACAGACCTTAACAGTCCTGCCCTGCTCATCTATAACATATACACTAATAAACTAGGGCGCACTAAAATGACACATATTTAGTCCTCTTGTCTTACTACAAGTAATAGACTGCCACAGTGAAGTGAGAATCGATGCACCAGGATAGCTACGCTTGCAGTTAACAAAGGAATGTGAAGCACATCTAGATTGTTCATATCAAAATGAGCCAATTGCCAGGCCACATTAAATCTGGTTCTAACTTGGAAGCAGCTTGTGGACAGGTACATACTCCATTTGCATATGAATTCCCCCACTGCCCACCCCACCCTACCAAATTTGGCCTTGGTAGCTGGGCTGAAATATAACCAGAAACACCACTAAGTTTACTTTGAGGAAAAAAATTATAAATCTGAACTGGGACATTATAGAATTCAAGGCGACTTGTATTACAGAGTGGGCCATTATAGAGTGCAAGAGTGCAAGCACCAAAAGTTAGCTACCTCGTCTGATTTGGAGGATGGAGGTGGTTTTTCTGATTCCAGGTACGTTACTGAGGCTGCCTCGTTAAGCGGAAGATACTTTCAAAGAAATATAACTAGCTGTTGCTGGTGTTTAGGGATTTGTGAACCTCCTGTTCTATGGCTGGCCTGATCTATGATACTCCTATCTTGTTGTTGTTGTTGTTTAGTCGTTTAGTCGTGTCCGACTCTTCGTGACCCCATGGACCAAAGCACGCCAGGCACTCCTGTCTTCCACTGCCTCCCGCACTTTGGTCAAACTCATGCTGGTAGCTTTGAGAATACTATCCTATCTTACTGCGCAGTATTTAGGACAAGGTGCACACTCATAATTTTCTGGAATGCTTACAAGAATGTTTGGTTCAGATTTAACATAACTGACAGGCCAATAGACATGTGGTTTAAGTCAAGCATTGTGTTTCATATGCACCTTCCTTCCCCCCCCCCTTTTCCTTTTTTTTGCAGGGCTTGCAAACCTAGAACTGATGACCAAATTCATGATGGTGCAGACCAGAAAGGCTGTGATCTTTTTATTGATGACCTTTTTGAAGAAGCACAGAAATTTGGAGCTGTATGCACGCAACAGTCTCAAGTTAAAAATAGAGTATGTGAGTTTAAGTAGTTGTGTACAATTTTGTTTAAGGTTTTTCTTTTAATGTATGCAGTACTACAAGCTGTCTTTTTCTTCTTCTTCTTAATTTCATTTCTATGTCGCATTATAATTTTAAGGGGGGGGGGGGAATCAATGTGGTTTACAACCTACATTAAAATATCAAACAAAACCATCCAGAATAAAACATTATTCTGTACTGAACAAATTCAAGTATACATTCAAAGCAACATAATTAATGGGAAGTCAAATATAAAATGCACATTTAAAACAGCATAATTAGCAAGAGGATAAAGTTTTATCATAAGAATAGAACATATCTGCTGCTATTGCTGCCAAATCCTGGTTCAGCGCAGCAGTGGCTGTGGAATGTCAGTCTCAATGACTTGAGACGGCACTAAAGGCAAAGGGACCCCTGACTGTTAGTTCCAGTTGCGGACGACTCTGGGGTTGCGGCGCTCATCTCGCTTTACTGGCCAAGAGAGCCAGTGTACAGCTTCCAGGTCATGTGGCCAGCATGACTAAGCCGCTTCTGGCGAACCAGAGCAGCACACAGAAATGCCATTTACCTCCCCGCCAGAGCGGTACCTATTTATCTACTTGCCCTGGTGTGCTTTCGAACTGCCAGATTGGCAGGAGCAGGGACCGAGCAACAGGAGCTCACCCTGTTGTGGGGATTTGAACTGCCGACCTTCTGATCGCCAAGCCCTAGGCTCTGTGGTTTAACCCACAGCGCCACCCGCGTCCCTTGAGTCTGCACTAAGAGACAGCTAAACCGTTCTCTCCAGAGGACCCACCCACCCCTTGAAATCTACCACCCACCCAGAATGCAAGCAACAAAGATAAGGAAAGGGGGGGTGGAATATATATGTGTGTGTCCCCATATCCATGCCCTTTATTTTCCAAATCTGCAGATCCAGATGTTCTGGTATGATTTTCTAGTCCCAGTGCATACTAAAAACCAACTCATTCCTTGTTGGTGACAGCACTCGCATAGAGTGGTCTAGGTTCAGTTGTTGCAAAGCCAATAGCTGAGCAAATGTTCTGCTTACAAATGTTCCCCAGTGCAATTCCTGGTATCTCTGGGATGGGGTGGGTGGGAAAGGGCCCTGTCTGAATCCCTGGGGAGTCACTGCCTAGTCATTGTAAATCAGGGGTCAGCAAAGTTTGGTAGGCAAACTAAGGCCCAGGGGCCAGATGCGGCCCAATCGCCTTCTAAATCCGGCCCGCCGACGGTCCGGGAATCAGCATGTTTTTACATGAGTAGAATGTGTCCTTTTATTTAAAATGCATCTCTAGGTTATCTGTGGGGCATAGGAATTTGTTCTTTTTCCCCCTTCAAAATATAGTCACCACATGGTCTGAGGGACGGTGGACCGGCCCCCTGCTGAAAAAGGTTGCTGACCCCTGTTGTAAATAAACCCTGAGCTGGTGGGCCAGTGATTGACTTGGCATAAGGCTGTTTCCTATGCCGCTTTCCTCTGTTTTATTTGGATATGTTTTATGAACCTGCTGCTTGCTTGTTGTGACATAATGTTCATTTGAGTTTATTTTGCTTTGCAGGTTGATACAACAATTAAATTATGGAAAAATGGGTTCACGGTGAATGATGGCGAGCTCCGAAGCTACACAGATGTTGCAAACAAGCGTTTCTTGGACTCGATTAAAAAAGGGCAAGTCAGCTTTGTATGTTGAGCCAAATTGCACAAGCACAGCTCTGGCTTAGCACAGAGATGAGGAGGCCTGGGAGGCAAATGCAACTTTCCAAATTTGGCCCTTGAGATTTTTCCTAGACTGTACCACCTCCCCAGCCACATGCACCCTCTCCCTAGGTCATGCCAGTCACTGTCCCGCCTTCACATGTTTTTGCCTTGTTGAAATATGTTATTGAACTCTGAGAATGCCTGCTGTATGCCTGGACAGTTCCCCACTCTAGGATTAGTGCAGTGTATGAAACTGGGCTTGCTCCAGACAGACTGTGAACTGTGAACCCAAGAATAAGCCATGATTATAGCTCATAGTTTGTCTGAAGGGGGCAAACCATGATCCCATGTTTGCCATAAACCATGGCCTATGTTGTTGCTCTTACGTAATTGTGGTGATAAAGAAAAATAGGGGTGGTTAGCTTTTGCTGCCCAACTCCCCAAGGGACTGAGTCCTCTAAGTCATAGATGAATTGTTGGAGGCAGGATGCAGTGAAAGCAAGGCAGATCTTTATTTTTCTGTTGCAACAGAGTTCCCTCCTTCCTAGCAAGGAGGCAAGAGAGACCCAGAACCAAGAAGAAACATCTCTTCTAAGGGTTTGCATTTTGGCACGGAGAAGAAGGGCATCCCCTCTACAAACAGTCAGAAATTACATCACACATAAGGTGGGATTACTGTGGCTCAGGCAGGCCTAGGTGTGATATTCCTGAAGATTTAGCAAGTTTCACATAGTTCCAGACACAATTTACACAAAACATCAGCAATTTGTTTAGACAATCAGGATGCTGGTCAGACATCCCTCAGTGCAGAGCAAACAATGACAATTAATACAAAAGAGGTTCAAAGATACAAGAGAGGAATCCTTTCAGGAACTTCCCCTGATTGCTATCTGTTCTCAGGCAAGGGAGATTAAGGGGGCAGAGGAAATATTTAGAGTCTTTAGGAGAGCAAAGATGGCTTTTGGATTGCTCTCCTGTACTATTTTAGACGTGGTTTATATATGTATGTGTGTTTACCTTGTGCAATTATCAACATCTCTATTTGAGACCTTAGAATTCCTATAACAGTGGCTATGGTGAGTTTTTCCTTTCAACTAAAATCTTCTTTAAAATATCACTTTCCACACGCATAGGAACTTTTTCTATGTTTATTTTAAAGGGAGCTGCCTCTTGAGTTGCAGAAGATTTGTGATAAAGAAGAGGTGGACATTAAGGTAGACGATAAGAAGAACGAGGTGTATGCTTTGAGAAAGCCACCGTTCCATCCTTTCTCTGGACAAGGCTACAGATTAGGAAGGTGAAGAGCCTGGTATTTCTATAAAACTAAAAAATGGTTTGGGGAAATAATTAAGGTTGTTGCTCTTGCTTCCTTCTTTGAGACTGCAATCCAATACTCACTTTTCTGGGAGCACTCAGCGGGGCTTACTTCAGAGTAGACATGCATAGGATTACAATATCAACAGGGTTTTTTCATAGGTTTAGCCTGACTCTCAGGATTTTGATTATAACTTGTAAAGGAGAGACAGGCAACTTGCTTTAAGATGTAGCCCTCTTACGGTGGCTACTGCTGCAGTCGACTTAGACCAGCACAGGGTAGTAGTAGTAGTAGTAGTAACAACAACAGCAGCCACTCTGGGCAACTCCCAACAGAATATTAAAAACACAATAAAACAACAAACATTAAAAACTTTCCTAAACACAGCTTCCTTCAGATATCTTCTAAAAGTCAGATACAGTGGTACCTTGAGTTACAAATGCCTCAGGTTACAAACGCTTCAGGTTACAAACTCCGCTAACCTGGAAGAGTTACCTCGAGTTGAGAACTTTGCCCCAGGATGAGAACGGAAATTGTGTGCCGGCAGCGCAGCGACAGAAAGATGCCCCATTAGTGAAAGCACGCCTCTAGTTAAGAACAGTTTTAGGTTAAGAACGAACCTGCGGAACGAATTAAGTTTGTAACTAGAGGTACCACTGTAGTTGTTTATTCCCTTGACATCTGAAGGGAGGGCATTCCACAGGGCGGGGCGCCACTACCGAGAAGGCCCTCTTCCTGGTTCTACCTCACCAGCAACTAACAAATCATTAGTAATGATGTTAACTGTCTAATTCTAAACATCTATTCAGAAGCAAGTCCTGCTGAGTCCAGTGAGGCATATTCCCAGTAAAGTGAGTACAGGATTGACTCCAAAAAGAACAGTAAATGCAGAAACTGCTATAGCAACAACCGTAGCAACGGAACAGTTCCTTTATCAATCACCACTGTGCAAATTCCCTTTCAAAGTGCAGGGCAAGAGTTCATTAGGATGCCTAATCGGTCCTGCTGTTCTGACAATATTTAATTAGCCGAGTTAACCCGACCTGTTTATCTGACTAGCCATTGTTGTTGGGAAGATATTGAACCCTATCCAGACCAGGTCACTTGGGGGGGGGGGTGGAAATCCCTTATGCTGATCCATTGGGACTGTGTCCCATTGTAAATATGTCGCAGGTGTGACCTATCGTGGGGGAGGAGATGTCGGCCAAAATAATCTCTACTTCTGATTAGGAAATAGTCCTCTGCCATTACATGTACAAGGCAACAGGTTGGCTCCACCATACATGTGCGAACCTGTCCCATGCTTTCCATTAAAAATGAAGTTTGTATGGTGAGGAAGGAAGGTTGCAATGTTAAAATGCTACTTCTGGGAGCCGTTCTGTACTTGACGATGGCACGGACCCAAGTGTGCTCCTTTTACTGGAAGGGGTTATCAAAAAAATACGCAAGTTCTCCCTGATTTCAAAGTTTCGGAAGGTGTTGATGGATAGACAAAATCTTATCGATTGATAGAGCTTATTCTATTTTCTAGAAATTGTTTTTTCTCATGCATAATTTTGCCATTCAGATTTCTTGTGTATATTATGATTGATTGATTTAAAATAGTGATATCTCTGTCTTTCCAGTAAAAATACAGTGGTGCCTCGCAAGACGAAATTAATCCGTTCCGCAAGTCTCTTCGTCTTGCGGTTTTTTCGTCTTGCGAAGCACAGCTATTAGCGGCTTAGCGGCTTTAAGAAAAAGGAAACAAACTCGCAAGAACTCGCAAGACATTTCGTCTTGCGAAGCAAGCCCATAGGGAAATTTGTCTTGCGGAACGACTCAAAAAACGGAAAACTCTTTCGTCTAGCGAGTTTTTCGTCTTGCGAGGCATTCGTCTTGCGGGGCACCACTGTACAAATAAAGTCCATGGTAAGGTAGAAAGAGAATCGTATTTCAAACAATAAAGCCACAAAGAGGCAAATTATAAATCACTGCTCCCTTGAAGAGGGAACTGGAATACCGGAGTGCCTACAAGCTTAAAAACAGAACAGGGATTTTAATGAGATAGCAGTTTTTACATGCTTATTCTTGAGTTATTCTGCCAGCCTCAAATGCACTTTTTTACATTACCAAATAGACTGAAAAATTAGACTGCTTTTAATTTAAACATCTTTTAAGGATGTAGTAAAAATGCTATTGTTTCATCTATTTGTTGTTGATGGGATTAAAGCTATCTAGCCTTTAGAAGCATTTTGAAGTCATCAGAAAATAAGAATAGCCAGTGTGTGGCCTGACCCTTCTTGGAGAGGTGATATTGCCTTGTTTGAGTTCATGTTGTTTTCTTTTACTCTGCAGTGCCACACCAAGAATAATTTCGAAAGTAAAAAGAGATGTAGAAGAAATTGAAAAGAGAAAACCAACAGTGGTATTAAATCATTCAGAACCCATTACTAGTATCCAGATCTGGCTAGCAGATGGAACAAGGATAGTACAAAACTTTAATATTTCTCATAGGTAAGAACCGATTGTATTAGCACACTCCCTTACAAGTGCAATGCAATCCTGTACATGTCTATTTAGAATTAAACTCTGTTGAGTTCAACTGGACTCCCAGGTAAATATTCATATAGGCTTACAGAGGAAGAGATTGTAACATGGAAAGAATTCCATGGAAAGAATCTCAGACCTATCTGGGTTTTCAGAATGAAGTCATTGAGACCAGACATTTAGTTTTGACTTAATACCATTTTTCTTAAGTCCCAAACATGATCGTTTTCAAAATGAAAATTTGTAGTACAGTACTGTTTTGTTTTCGGCAGTTCGAATCCCCGCGACGGGGTGAGCTCCCATTGCTCGGTCCCTGCTCCTGCCAACCTAGCAGTTTGAAAGCACGTCAAAGTGCAAGTAGATAAATAGGTACCGCTCCGGCGGGAAGATAAACGGTGTTTCCGTGTGCTGCTCTGGTTCATTAGTCATGCGGCTTAGTCATGCTGGCCACATGACCCGGAAGCTGTACACCGGCTCCCTCGGCCAGTAAAGCGAGATGAGTGCTGAAACCCCAGAGTCGGTCACAACCGGACCTAATGGTCAGGGGTCCCTTTACCTTTACCTTTACTGTTTTGTTTTGTTTTGTGCTGGCCAGTTAGCACAAAGTCTTTGGATTTGTGACAGCTTAGAATCATATATTTTTCAATGTTCTGGTTATATCCAGTGTTGCAAACCCTGCTTTCTTGGTTTCATAACACCAAGAACTTGTTATTACATAGTTTCACATAAAGACTAACAGTGCTTTGCCTTGCCATCATCATTTTGTTCAGATCACCAGAACACCCTCTATTGTCATTTTACAAGTATTGCAGGATAAGGAAGGAGGTACTATATGAACAGATATCCCTGATTGCAAGCATGCTTTGTACCAGAAGACATATGTTTATTAACAATGAAAATTCTGGTTGGCAGAATTCTCTTCTCTACTGCAGACAAAACAAAACATTCCCCTTCTCTCCTGTTCCTATTGTTTCTCAGGTTTAGTTACTTTGGTATGAAGTTCTGTGCATGAATACGTAGAGAGTCCTGATGAACTCACTGGGAATGATTTCTGAATAAACATGCATAGGATCAGCCTATTTGAAAGTTTGAAGAGGCTCTGAAGAAAAGCACTTCGTCTACTTTGGGTTAAACACGTTATTACGTTTCCTATAGGATTGTTGTGCATAAAGCAATGGCAATATCTGGTTTATATGGGAAAGGCAATCTATAGATTTGAGTGTGATAAAGGATTATCTTTCTTGGTATTAATGGTTGGGCATATTCTCAAAGAGCGACACTAGCAGCTCTACAGTAAATCCATCAGTATGCAGCTTAGTTAATTTGGATATTTTATTTATTTATTTTACAAAATGTATAAAATGAAGAAGAAAAAATAAATCTCTAAGTTGTTTACATACCAGTTTGGATAGATGGTTTATGAGAATTACCAAAGATCAGAGCTTCTCTCTTCAATTGAACCAACTTGCAAATGTTTGATGAATTTATTCTCATAAACATTTTGCCCACTTAACCTAGCAGTGAAGGAGGATGAGTCGACACAAACCAGATTCTGAGTGGACATGCCACTCACTGGGCAATGTAAGCGTTCTGTCAAAAACTTGTTTCCCTGAACCACACTTTCCTTACTGTATTTGTACCCTAAATGATTCAAAATAACGGTGGTATACAGCTTGGTTTTTACCACTGTAGACCTGTTGAAATTTACAGACTTTTTCGTGCTCGTTAATTTTAATATGTCAACTTGATGAGTAAGACTTCACTGAATACCACCCACAGACTTTAAAATATATATATTTGCTTTTCTTCCTAGAATATGGCACGTCAGAGATTTCATAGCAAATTACCAAGGACATCAAGGAAGAAGTCATTTCACGCTGACCACATCGCTTCCTTTTCACGAGCTGCTGAACGAATCTCTCACCTTAGAGGAGGCTAATTTAAAAAATGCTGTTGTTGTTCAGAGACTTAAAAAAAATGGCGAGCCTTTTCAGAGTTTGTCCTAGCATCCTTTCTGAAGATTGCCTAAGATACATTAGCGGTGGAGTCTTGGAGAAGAAGCAGATGGTACCCACCAAACAGTTGCTCGGCTGGGTTTGTTTTACCAAAGCCCAGGAGGTGTATGTAACCCCAAAAAGAAATCAATAGCAATATTTGTGGTGTGGTGTATAACATCTGCAGCGCTTGTTGGAAAAGTCATATAGCATGTGCTGTACTGACTCCAGTGCATTCTCTCTCTTTTTCTATTTATCAACCTAACTAGAATATAACGGGCAATAATTCACCAGGACAGCCATCTTAAGCTGTGTGTTTTGTCAGCTAGATAGCTGTGATAGTCTTGCAAAGGGGCATTCTAGAGAAACTGCTAGGCTTTTGTTCGCACTTTTAGTTACAAACTGGGGGGGAAATGCACCTTGCTTTTTGAAGGTACTGCCGGTTGATACTATTCTTGCTTTCTGCTATAGCCCAATATGCTTTATTGTTTCCTCAGTGCCACAGTGCAGAATTTATGGGAGGCTAATACTAACATTTAAAGCTAAAACTAATTTTAACACCTGAGGCAGCAGTTTCTAAATTTTGAAGTAGTTGCTGCCTTCCTTGAAAACATCTGCCAATTCATGTCTTACAATACAATCCTATACATCTCTACTCAGAAGTAAAAGTTCTGCAGGGCTTACACTTACGTGAGTGTAGGACTGCAGCCTTAATCTCGTATTGTGCCATTAGATCCATACATTATGCTCAGTCTTGAAAAATTTATTTGAAACTGAACTCCACTGATATCAGTGGAACTTCTGCACTTATGTGCTTGGGATAGTAGTTTTAGCTAGTGAGATGGAAGTATATGAAATGAACAACCAATTGCTTGAGAAGCATTAATTCAAAAGTTCAGCTGTAAGTTTGCCACAGGTCAGGAAGCTTTGTGGGCACTTTCCCACAACTAATCACACATGCATTATGAAATGGTACGTTCTCATTGTGAGATCGTACCATGTCACAACTGAATAGTCTCACTGAATAAAAGGAACATGTTTTCACCTTGAAGCTTGTCTTAAAACCATCAGATGTATTTGGCATGGGCTTATCTGAGCATGTTGCTTTTTAAGAGTTAGAATGCAGGTGTTGCTGGATTACACCCCTCCTCTGGAGGAAATGTTGTTGCTGTTGTTGTTGTTGTTGTTTACCTTGAATGATAGTCAGGGGTGCTGCAGGCAACAATGGCCTCTGTCCCTCTTTCCTTCCCTCCCTGCTTTTATGCCCTCTCACATCTCTGCCACCCAAAGTCATGCACAGCTGTTTGTGGCAGCAGCCCTGGCTACAAACTCCCCAGGCAAATGTTGCCTCTGGGGCTGGTCCAGGGGGTGCTGGTTGCCAGGAGCTTAAGTGGCCTCGGAGTAAGCAAGCAAGGGGGACAAACAAGTCCCATGGGTCAGTGTGAAGGGGCACCTCTCTTTGGGGTGGGAGGGGCAGCTCAGAGACCAGGGGTGACAGCAGCGGCTGCCCAGAGGACTCCCAAGGGGAGAGGGGAGAGGAGGCTGAGGGAACCCTCCACAAGGGAAGGTGTTCAAAAAAGGGTAAGAGGCTGGCAGCTCTGCAGGCAAGGGGTGACCTAACTGGGCTCCTGAGCCCCACAGGGGTGCCGCAGAAAGAACGTAGTTGGTCAAGGGAGCCACGGACTCAAAAAGGTTGAAAACCTCTGCCCTATGCTAAGGAGATAGAGAGAAATTCAGGTATTAATTCTTCACAGCTGCTTCATGACCCGGTGGAATGGTCACTGAAGAAGACAGGTCTGGGAAACAAAGAGCCATGTTAGTCCCAGTCAAGCCATGGCGTCTCACCAGAGCCAGTGTGGTGTAGTGGTTAAGAGCGATAGACTCGTAATCTGGGGAACCGGGTTCGCGTCTCCGCTCCTCCACATGCAGCTGCTGGGTGACCTTGGGCCAGTCACACTTCTCTGAAGTCTCTCAGCCTCACTCACCTCACAGAGTGTTTGTTGTGGGGGAGGAAGGGAAAGGAGACTGTGAGCCGCTTTGAGACTCCTTCAGGTAGTGATAAAGCGGGATATCAAATCCAAATTCTTCTTCTTCTTCTTCTTCTTCTTCTTCTTCTTCTTCTTCTTCTTCACCTGCCCACCCACAGTGCAGATACAACCAGACGTATGCAGGAAGCAGAGGAGAGTTTTAAGGTGTTTTCGGGTTTTTTAGGCTTATGTATCTTTATAAGATGAATTTGCCTGATTTCCAAAAATAGCAGCTTTTATCCCCATCCCACTCTGTGGCAGGAAGGGCACTGAACAACGAGGGCATTAGTTCTCATCTTTTAGTTATAGGAATGTTTGTCAGAAACAGGTGGCAATCACATTTTGGGGGCGCTGCTTATCTGCATCCTGGTTGTTAAGACTGTCGCACATAGATACTACTGGAGGATGGGAAACAGCCTTATCTGTGAGTTGCCATTCTTGGTGGGGCAGTCCACCTGTCAAAGGGTTCTTCAGACATACAGTTCCCCCCCATGACTGTTGGGTACAGTTATTTTTTTGTTTGTTCTCCATGCAACTCTGTTTTAGATCCATGAAGGCCTATATACTGTATTGTATTTTTCACCTGTTAAAATTTTGCTGATGTTACTGTTTTACTGTTGGGTTGATGATTTGTTGTCAGCTGCAGAGGGAGTTGTCTTACAGCTGAGGTTTCATCCTGAATACAGTGGTACCTCGGGTTAAGTACTTAATTCGTTTCAGAGGTCAGTTCTTAACCTGAAACTGTTCTTAACCTGAAGCACCACTTTAGCTAATGGGGCCTCCTGCTGCCGCCGCGCCGCTGCTGCACGATTTCTGTTCTTATCCTGAAGCAAAGTTGTTAACCTGAAGCACTATTTCTGGGTTAGCAGAGTCTGTAACCTGAAGCGTATGTAACCTGAAGCGTATGCAACCCGAGGTACCACTGTACTGGGCTTGGTCAAAAATGGCTTCTGCCTGATGATCCAAGAGAAGGAGCTAGTGCAGTAGTCAACTGCCTCACGCTGATACCACTGAGCAGAGGAATTGACAGGGAAGTCCTCTGTTTGCTGGAGAAAGAGAGTGCAGTTTTGTTAAGCCATAGCTCAGAACAGATTCATGCATTTCGAAAATGTTGTAGCCAGACGCCAGATCACAATGGCAACATATGCAAGGGCCAATTGCAGATGTCCTTCCCAGCGGCTTATAAAAACTAAATAAGAGTGAGGAGAATGACCTGTGTAATTGTCCCATGCAGAAGTTCTTCATGTTCTGCTTAATCCAGCTGTGGGGAAGAGGTTTCACAGCAGATGTTGGTGGCGGATAGAGGGGTAGGAAAGGCAGGAGAAGTTCTGTTGTGCATGCAAGAAGAGATGTTTTAATTTTCACCTGGAGTTTAGTACTCCAAACTTTAGGATGCATTCACAAGGTCATTCTGCAATTTAACCATGCCTTAGCCTCAAAGGATCTCCCTTCCCCGACTCCAAATATCTGGAGCATTTAAATGGCAGTATTATTATTATTATTATTATTATTATTATCAATATTTGTATACCATTTTTACTAAAACCAGAACATTATCAGGAATGCACATTTTCTGACTTCACTAGGTGAGTCATTCCAGATTATTCAGCTGACTAAACTCTGTTCTTAGTCATTTTTTCTGTAATAAGGAAATAGAACAGGGTTTGATCTGATTACCATAGCCAACATGGAGTTTGTACAGGGAGATGAGTACTTAAATTTTTAGCTTATTTCAGGAAAGCTAACCTGGAATGCTCTAAATGCCATGAATGTAGATTTATATTGTCTTCAGGTTTGAAAGCCTCTTGGAACAATAAACTGGTTTTTTATTATTTATTTATTTAAACACATACCCCAATAATGTTTTTTCTATATATTTTTTAAAAAGATTAAACATAACAGAGCCGTAACTAATGGACATTAAGTGTAATTGTCAACACCGTCTCTAAGAGAAATCTCTCTTTGAAAGTCCTTATTTTCTTTTAAACGGTATTTACTGTATTTGTCTGCACTTTTGAAAGAAAATCAAAGAACGAATAGGAGAAATCGCATTTCTGACAGTTTATCAGTTACCGTCTTTGTATAAAAATGGACATGTGTTTTACTGGAGTGCGTTAATGGGGACTTCCAATCTGTATGCTCTCTCAGTGAAATAGACATGTCTGCTCATTATACCTGATGGAACCTCGCACAAGACTTACACACTTCTTCTATGTGGAATATTTTGTCTTGTGTTAATCAGCCCTTATGCACGCAAAGACATTCGTTTTTCATTACAAAAGCTCACCCAAATTTGCATGAAACCACTAAAAAAAATAAAATGCTGGCATCTGTGTGTACACATTTATATTTGCCGGTGCAGTGGGTACACAAGTACCCATGGAGCCCTTCAGTTCTTCTCCCCTTACCCTCTCCCATTGAAATTAGGCTTGAAAGAAGTATTCTATTGTAGCCAATAGTAAAAGTTGCAGAGTGTGTGATGCCCAGGATGTTTGCAAGTATACACACATACAAACACACATGCACAAAGTTATATATTCAGTCTTCTTGTATGTTTACGATGATGCACTTGTACTGTTCATAGAAACAGCATATTTTGTTAGTGAAGCATGGAACAATATATAGAATTATCCAATCTACTAATTGCTTTAGTGATTAGAAAATCTGGATAGTGTTCTCTGTTCTTTGCTACATGGAATGCTGTATATATTTCTCAAAGCAACTGATTGTTGTGTCTTGTTTACCGTAGATCCACAGAAAGCAAGTGCCTGCTAATATTGTTTTTTCTTCATGCGAGAAGGATTTGCTTTTTTGAAGTATTAAAAGAACCAGATGGTATTTTCCCCTGAAAAAAGTTATGTATTGATACCAAATTGTTGACGTTAATTAATATGCATACCTTTACGTAGCTATGCGTTGAACTGTAGGACACCAATCCAGTAGCAACATCAACTTTATATACAGTATGTTGAAAATCACACATACAGTATCTGTTTCATAGTGTTCCAGTGTTATAAAGGTAAAGGTAAAGGGATCCCTGACCATTAGGTCCAGTCGTGACCGACTCTGGGGTTGCGGCGCTCATCTCGCTTTATTGGCCGAGGGAGCCGGCGTACAGCTTCCGGGTCATGTGGCTAGCATGACTAAGCCGCTTCTGGCAAAACAGAGCAGTGCACGGAAACGCCGTTTACCTTCCCGCTGGAGCGCTACCTATTTATCTACTTGCACTTTGACTTGCTTTCGGACTGCTAGGTTGGCAGGAGCAGGGACTGAGCAACGGGAGCTCACCCCGTCACAGGGATTCGAACCACCGACCTTCTGATTGGCAAGTCCTAGGCTCTGTGGTTTAACCAGTGTTATAATATTTGTTTAAACTTAGTGCCTTAATATCGTAATATGCAGCAAAGTCAAAGTGGCCTGGTAATAAGAGATGAGCAGTGTTGTTTCAAGAAGCTGGGCATTCAGTTTTAGATTATAAAGCAAATTAATTAGTGCATTTCTTAAAATTGCTGGAAAATGACTTGGCATAGGCAATAACCTTCCTGTTACAGTTCTTAAAAAGTGGTAGGAGACATAAGGAACTTGCTGAGCTGAAAAGCAGGCAAAAAACAATCCTGCAGGTGTTACTCTCCTACCACCTTTCAATTTTGGAGGCAACTGTGGTTAGCTGTGTCAACCATGGTTAGCCCAAACCCGTTTACAGACCCATTTGATCAGATCACCATAGAAACAGCAATGTGCAGTGCTCTATCATACATGTTGTTTTCAAAGTAAGTTCAATGAGTTCAATGGGACTTGCTCCCAGGTAAGTGTGTAGAGGCTTGCAGCCAGTTAGAACTGTGACATCTAGAGAGTTGAAGACTGGAAAATGGGATTCTACAGACGCAGGATTCACAGCGCAATCACTATGCATGCCCTCACCGAAGCAAGCTTCTCAAAAGGAGCTGGTGTGTGCTTAGGTTGCAGCTGCAATTTTTGGACCGGATGCAGTTTAAACTCTTCATTTGTTATGATTTTAAGCACAATACGAAGATTTTACTTTGAAACATTTCCAGCACAGTACCGAACTGGAAAGATGAGGCACAATATTAATAGGGGGCTATTTGTAGAACTATTTGTATTTATAAAAGTTGCAGGGTGGTTGGTTTTTTTTTGAGACGATGGTGGAATGAATACTATTAAAAGCACTGTTTTAAGCCTGCATTGTCTTTGGCTATATTTTGTCCTTGTAATTCACATATGGCTTAAAATTTGATACGTCTTTAAAAAAAATAATAAATTATCAGACATCTTTATTGAAAGTTAAAACGTACATAATTACATGTGCACTAAACATGGTAAGATGTAAATAAAAGAGAAAAAAAGAAAAAAAGAGATAGCACCTGTGTAGAAGAGAAAGTAAAGGAGGGAGGGAAGCCCAAACTCTATACTTTACAATTGTTACTGTACTTAACAAGATCTTAACTTAATACAGTATTTGTAAGAATGGATTCCAAATGTTGTTGAATTTGTCCATGGCAAGTCTGCATTTATATGCAAGTCGTTCATATGTTGGGAGTTTGTATAAGTCTTCAATCCAATCGTAGAAGGGAACCCCATTTTTATTCTTCCAGTTCATCAGTATCAGTCTTTTTTGCCTTGGTAAAATCTGGTATGTGCTGCTGGGGAGGCTCAGGAGTTTCTGACAGTAACTTAACGGCACAGCGCTATAAATAATGGGCTGAATCTTTTCCAATGCAAAAACTTGGCATCCCTGGTATATATCATTTATGAGATTGCTGGAGCGAGACAGCACAGGCCCATGTCCAAAACCCTCTGACCTCAGCCATGAAGCTTATTGGATGATCTGAAGACTTCATCCATTTGGACTAGCCTACTTTGCAGGCTTGTGAGGACAAAACGAGAGGAGAGACGTAACCCTGGAAGATGCCTTGCCTTGGAGGATAGGAGATGCCTTGGAGGATAGGTGTAAATATCCAGTTTAGCCCAGAAAGATTGGCCTCCACACATCTTTTGCCAGCAATCCTGTTTGAACGCCATGCTCAGGCTCCTTAAGTTTCTGTTGTAAACACAAAGCTCAGGGGTTTTATACATGTCAATATAAATGTGGGATCTTGCAGTTCAGAATTGTTTGAGAGAGAAAAGGTTTAAAGAAAGCCAACGGGTGGAAAGCGAGCGAGGTCCCAACTGAAGAATGGCAATTTGACAGAATAGACACGACTTGCAGACTTAACATATAGAATAAGAGAACACAAAGAAAATACGTTTAAAGAAGACTGGAAAACGTTTATTGAATATGTGGGAAATGTGTTGGCAGCTGAAAACGCTGGCAGCATTAAGATAAATTCAACAGCGTAAACAAGTTTTGATGGATGCAATAATGGCATAGTGTTTGTAAAACACGCTGGGATTTATGATATGTTAAAATGAACCATGGAAAGGGAAGAAGGGAAGCCATCGATATTTTAAGGATGTCAAATGAGTATTTTAAACTGTAAAACAGAAAAATAAAATTATATACAAGAAAATAAAGGAACCCAACGGATGTGACCCAAGTCCACACCAGAGGAACCGACGCGTGAGCGCGGAGTTGAGGCAGTTCATCCGTGTAGAAAACACGCAGAGGCGTTTAAACTCCATTCGGACGTTGGGCGCGGAAGCGAGCCCCACAGCATTCAATGGGTTTCATATTTATTGAATTTATATACAGTACCTCCTTATACCCCGGAAGTCTCAGGGCGGTTCACGGAGGCAAGGAGCACTTAGGGGTTGCAGACTGAGTTACGCAGAGGCTGTTTTTGAGCACCGGGTGGGCTCTGAGGAACTGGAGGGGGCGGGAAAGGGACGCGCGCCTCACGGGCCGCGGAGAAGCCAACTTGGCCAGGGCCGGCGGCGGCGGCGGTTCTTCTGGGTCGATGCTGAGCGGCGAGGGGCCACCCGGTGGGCCGCTTCTCTCCCTGCCCGCCCGGGCGAAGGGAGGCTAGAGCGCCGGGCGGGCGGCCCCGCCCCTGGCCGAACCAGCGCCCGCGGGGCTCCGCTGCCGAAGGGCTGCCGTTGCCGCCGCCGCCGCGATGGCCGGCGCGAGAATTAGCGGCACGCTGCTGCCCGAGCCGAGGCTGGAGGAGCCTTGCGACGAACAGGTGAGTCCAGAAAGTTCCCTTCTTCCACACGGAGCGGCTGCCTGCGCTCTCGTCCGCCCCTCGGGGAAAAAAACACCACGTCGAGGCAGGGAACACCGCGAAGTCTCACCATCAAGTGCTTTTACTTAATTTAACCCGGGGGCAAGACTTGTTTTTGTTTAATCCGTAAACCGCCTGGAGTCCCGTCAGCGAGAAAGGCGGGCATAACAATAGTAATAGTAATTCCCCGCATCTCTTTCTTCACAAAAATGTAGCTCCATGTGTCATTCTGAAGATCACGACCTCAAGCTTAAATTAAGACAGAAGAAGTAATTGACTTTTTGTTGGGTATTCATAATGCTCTGAACCGCTCTGACATCTACCTACGAAGGTTAATAATAATAATAATAATAATAAATTCCCACATCTCTTTCTTCACAAAAATGTAGCTTCATGTGTCATTCTGAAGATCATGACCTCAAGCTTAAATTAAGCCAGAAGAAGCAATTGACTTTTTGGTTGGGTATTCATAATGCTCTGAACTGCTCTGACATCTAGGGATGAAGATTAATAATAATAACAATTTTAAAAAAAAATCCCACATCTCTTTCTTCACAAAAACGTAGCTTCATATGTCATTCTGAAGATCTCAACTGCAAGTTTAAATTAAGCCAGCAGAAGTAATTGACTTTCTTGCTGGATATTCAAAATGCTCTGAACCACTCTGACATCTATGGATAAAGGGTAATAATAATAATAATAATATAGTTTTTCTTCTCACTCAAAACGTGTAAGGAAAGAGCAGGAGTGGGGAAGCCTTTTTTTACCATCAATGTGAACCAACTGATTTATGAAGTGGTAGCTAACCTATTGTGAAGGCTGCGTAAGGTTTTTCTGAGTATAGAGAGAAGTTTTAAGAATAAGAATGAACAAAACAAAAAGATCACACGGCGTGAAACTCCAGTTGAATTTAAAATACTGCATTCTGTAAATTAAATTAATTGCAAAATATTATAGATAGATGCCTGTTTTAAAAATGTAAACCTTATTTGATTTCTTGGTTTAACATTGCAATACAAACAATATGCATCTACAGAATTGCCCATTCTTCTGTGATAAACCATCACATACCCATAATCCAAACCCCTGCAAACTTAGAGAAAAGTAAAGGTGAAGAAGAAGAAAAAGAAGAAGAATGTGGGGCAAGGAGAGCGAGTGGCTTTTAAATGTCTTGCTTTCATTCAATGAGTAGGTTAGAGAATGTGAAGAAAAAGTCTTGCAGTACAAAACCTGCACTTTCCTTACAATGCGATCCTGTACATTTTACTCAGAATAAGCCTCACTGAGTTTATTGGGACAGATAAATGTGCATCAGACTGCAGCCTAAAATATGCTCTGGTTACTTCCAAATGAAGCGAATATTGAGCAAACAACTTAATATAAAAAGCATCACTCCTTGCAAAATGTACAATTTTTTCAAAAGATATTGTATTCAATTGTTTTCTTGCAAAAAAAAATATTTATTTGTTTATTTATTAACTTTACCCCACCTTTTAATTCAAAATAATCCTTAAAGCAAATTACAGTTGTACCTTGGTTCTCGAACAGAATGCGTTCTGGGAGTCCATTTGACTTCCGGAACTGTTCGAAAACCAAGGCACGGCTTCCAATTGGCTGCAGAAACATTCAGCAGCCAATTGGAAGCCACGGAAGCCAGAAAACCAGAACACTCACTTCTGGGTTTCGATCGTGCGGGAGCCGATTTGTTCGGGAGCCAAGGCATTTGAAATCCAAGGTACAACAGTAAAACAAACTCAGATACAATTATTTCTCCTCCCCCGACAACATTCCTCTTGGCTAGTATGTTTTCTCCACACCACCAATGGTCCTTCCCACTGTGTCCTGTTGCCTATTACTCCCTCCTGTTTTCACTGTTCAGAGACGGAAGGAGCTGGATACAGCAGGTGTGCTTCAATATTTATTTAGCAGCACTGAATGCTAGGTCTAGTACCTGGAAAAGCGTTGTCCCTGAAATAGTACAATTCTAGGAGTGTTGTGTGCAATGCAGTATTACTGAATGCATCAAGAGCATCATGTGATACTGAGGACATTCCTAGTTGTTTCCCAATTTATTTCTTATCAATAAAAAAACTGCAAGCAAATTTTTATTCTAAAAGGGTGGCCCAGAGAAAAAAGTTTGAGAACCACTTAGTTAATCCATCAATAAGCCAGTTTGTTCCTTAGAACAATGAAATAGATAAATAAAGACGAGGAAGGAATGGAACACTGGAAATTCTGTGGATTCCAACAAGTACTGTACATGCAAAGAGAATGGAAAATGTTTGGATTTTAGAAGGCTGGAAAGCATGAAACCGACTAATGCTCACAAGATAATTTCAGAGAGTTTGTCAAAATTTCCAGTGCTCATTCTCATTGATTAGGCCAGCCTGTAGCTTTATCTCTGAGTCCCATGTTTTGTAGTTCTTTTTCATTCTTTTCAAACTCCTGCTGGTTCAATCCTGGTCCTTTCTGATAATGAAACAGCAACAACATGGGACTGGCAGTTTTTGAAATCAGTAGCTCAAAATAACCCCGTCTCTGTATAGTTCCTTGTTAACAATGTTTCAAAAATACACAAACTAAATATATGCATTAGGGTTTGCAATTGCCACTATTTTCATTATTATTTTTTAAAAAACCCTGTTTGAAAACAGTGCTGCTTCTGTTCAGCAAGGGGTGGCACAGAAACGGGTGTGACGAGATTAGTGACAGTAGGAGAGTCTGGTCTGGCAAATTTATTTTAAACATTTTCTTTACAAACAAAAAAGGGCAGACAAATTCCTTCTTATGGCTAGGAGCTGCAGTGCACAGTTGATCGCCATGGCAACCATATTTGTGGGCTCCTGATTAAAAGTGATTCAGACCTATTGTTTCTCTGTCAATTATTTTTTAGGTGAGCAGATACATTCTGTTGAGAGAGAGAGAGCAAGCAAGCGGTTGGAATCTATTCATAACTTTTTGAAATTTGATCGCCACTCTTTCTGTACTTGATCTTGGCCTGTCTTCTCACCTTTTCAGCTCAGCAATGAAGACAAGCTTTCGGTGTGCAGCAAATTGTGCTATGGCATTGGAGGTGCTCCAAACCAGGCTGCTAGCAGTGCCACCTCTTTCTTTCTGCAAATCTTTCTCTTAGATATAGCAATGGTAAGTAGTTTTGTAAGCTCCAGGCACAAGTTAGAGAATGTCATCCTTGCCGGTGTCATGTGTGTCAACTTGGTATTCACGAGAGGTCTGGAGGATGGCAACACAAGTAGAGGCCTTTTCTGCAGTGACTCCCCATTTGCAGAATGTTCTCCCTAGGGAGGTTAGGCTGGTGCCTTCATTGTACATTTTTTGCACCCGGTAAAAATGTTCCTCTTTAACCAGACCTTTGGCTGATTGACATCCGATACCCTTTTAAAATGTGTTGCGGGGGATTATTGGATTGTTGTGGTGGTGGTTTTAATTTTTATTATGTACTTTGTGTTTTTATATAGTGATTTTATCTTGTGAACCACCCTGATAACTGCGAGTATAGGGTGGTATTAAAAATAAAATAAAATAAAAATTAATAATATTGAGATAATTGAGCTTGTAAACATCTCTCTTTGCTCTTACACATCTCCAGTTAGGAGGATTTGTGGAAGCACTTGCTGAACTCATTAGGAGTAAAAAGACTTACTAATGAGTGGGAGCCACCAAAGAATTGTTGAACGGGAGGAACCAGCCTGTCTCCCTCTCTTCCACCCCCTGAACAGTCGCAGGATGCCATTTCTCTTCAGCCCAAACCAAACCTCCGGTAATCTGTTTAGGGCTTTGGGTTGGTTCAGCATGCTCAGCTGGCATGGATCCCCCAAGCCATGTCTCCTGAGTGCAGTTGCACAAATATGTCTCGCAGCTTGTATATGGAATTGGATAATTCACGTACCTGTGTGCAGTTTTGTGGATTTTTGTTTAACCCTTTCTATGGACCACTGCTCACCTAACAGCCACGTGGTGAAGGTTCATTTAAGATGTAAAGTTTAAAATGTAAAGTTCCAATCATTTGAAGTTGCGGCTGTCTCCACAGGAGAGCGTGATTCTACCCCCCAATGCCATTTCAGACCTTTGGACAAATTTGTGATTAAACGGTCAAATGAGTGATTGACATGTAAACTGCAGTATATTCCTGGTTTTTCCCCCAGTTGCATGAGCCACATGATTACTGCATATACAGTCATACCTCTGGTTATGAACATGATCCATGCGGGAGGCACGTTCACAACCTGCAGCGTTCGCAACCCGCAGCACCGCATCTGCGCACGCGCATGATGCAATTTGGTGCGAGCACCAAAACCCAGAAGTAACCCGTTCTGGTACTTCCAGGTTCGGTGTGGTCCACAAACCAAAAATGTGCAACCCGCAGCGTTCGTAACCCGAGGTATGATGCAGATGCAGCCAGAATTCAGCCTTATAGGAACACCCCTTGCACTGCTGTGAAAATGTTTGCATCAGCCCTCAAATGCTGTGTAGTAGTAATTCTTAACAGTGCTATTATAATAGATTAGACTATCCTTTGAAGACCACCGTAATTGCATACATTATGTAGAAAACTTCCTGAAAGTCTTCTGGGTTGTGACACAATTTCTTTGAAGTGAAGCTGTACATTGGGGGTGGAGAAGAACTTTGAGTTGTAACTTCTTGCCTGACAGAATTTCAGTGACAGAACATTCATGACTCTATCACTGCCCAGTCACTAGCTAGTAATGCTTAAAAGTATTTGTCATTGTTTGTTCTGGAAAGGCCTAAATTTACCTCTTTATTTTGGGTGCCATTTCACAGACCACCTGAAAGCTGTCCATGGAGCACAGTTTATGGATCACTGTGCTATTTTGTTCATTATCAGCATAGTGCTAGCTTGCTATTCCGCACTCATGATGGAGAGTCATCTATTTGATGCCTTCAGTAGCAACCAGCATGTGGTGTTGTGTCCATGTTTATTTAATCTTCTATCTCACTTTTCTTAAAATATAATCAAGCTTCCATACAACTAGAATGATGCCAAAATATACAGTAAAACCAACTAGCAGTAGCACAAATGAAACCTCTAGCAACAAAATACAGGGATAGAATTCTTCCCTCATTTTATATAATGCATTGAAGTACATTTTTGGAGAGTTATTTTGTGCTCTCTGATTCTTGTAATGGTTATGCCTTTCTTAAGGTAGGTGTCCTTTTTTGTTTTTCAGATTACTCCATTTCATACTTCTTTGATGCTTTTTATTGGCAAAACATGGGGGGCAGCAGCAGACCCTGTTGCCAGCTATCTTATTAATAAAAGCAAACGGACCAAAATTGGCCTACTTATGCCTTGGTAAGCTGATTTTTGCTGATTGCTTATAATAACATATTTTCCTTTGTATTCTACATGCATGCCCGATCCCTAAGACGGTTGATTTTTATGAACATGTTATTGTAAAGCCTATCCATTTTCCACATTTGCAAAAGGAAAAGTACACCGCATAGCAGCAATTGGTGGCCAGGTACTTGCCATCCTTGCTGAAGTTTGGCATTTGTCTACCTTTTACGCTGGCTATGCTCATTCTTATGAGCCTCTTGCAGAACAAACTAACTCTTGCACATCTCTTTTTGCCCCTGGGGAAACTGTATTAGTTCCAGGTTCTTTTTTAAACAAGCTTGTGCAGACAGAAAGAGGTGCTAGCTTAAAACAAAACTATCCAGTTGTGGCCAATGGAAAGGGAAGGAAAAAATAAAAAATGTTTTCTTTCTACATTTCAGACTGAGAATAAGTTAGAAAATGGACTTGTAGATTAAACTCAAAAACCTCCACATTTGCCTTGCATAGAGCAAAGCATATATGGCCAAGAGACCCTTTGTGGGTAAGGGTGATGGCTTGCCAAAATAGATGTGTCCAGTGAGTTTATCTCTGCTTAGACAAATTCACCAGAGCCAAGAGCATGTTAAATATATGAGGCCCTGACAGGAAACAGATGCTGCAACATTGATACTCTTCTAGCTTACTCAAGGTTTGGAATGGGATAAGGGGGGGAATTTCTTCCTTTCCTGGTAAACTACCTTCACATTTGTAGGAAGCTTTTCTAGTGCTGGATAAAATCAAATTGTATTAAATATTATATTAAATTGTATTAAAACCATGGCTTTAACTATACGGACCTTTGTTGGCAAGGTGATGTCTCTGCTTTTTAAGATGCTGTCTAGGTTTGTCATTGCTTTTCTCCCAAGAAGCAGGCGTCTTTTAATTTTGTGACTGCTGTCACCATCTGCAGTGATCATGGAGCCCAAGAAAGTAAAATCTCTCACTGTCTCCATTTCTTCCCCTTCTATTTGACAGGAGGTGATGGGCCCAGTGGCCATGATCTTCGTTTTTTTGATGTTGAGCTTCAGACCATATTTTGCACTCTCCTCTTTCACCCTCATTAAAAGGTTCTTTAATTCCTCCTCACTTTCTGCCATCAAGGTTGTGTCACCTGCATATCTGAGGTAGTTGATATTTCTTCTGGAAATCTTAATTCCGGCTTGGAATTCATCCAGCCCAGACTTTCGCATGATGAATTCTGCATATAAGTTAAATAAGCGAGGAGACAATATACAGCCTTGTCGTACTCCTTTCCTAATTTTGAACCAATCAGTTGTTCCATATCCAGTTCTAACTGTAGCTTCTTGTCCCACATAGAGATTTCTCAGGAGACAGATGAGGTGATCAGGCACTCCCATTTCTTTAAGAATTTGCCATAGTTTGCTGTGGTCGACACAGTCAAAGGCTTTTGCATAATCAATGAAGCAGAAGTAGATGTCTTTCTGGAAGCGGTCTAGACTGGTTGAATCTGGTCCAAACCGGTTGGAACCTGTTGAAGCTGGTTTGAACAGCTCCAAGCTGGTTGGAACTGGTCCAGACTGGTTTGAACCAGTCCAGACCGGTCTAGACCGGTTGGAACCGGCCCAAGCTGGTTGGAACGGGTCTAGACCCGTTGAATCTGGTCTAGACCGGTTGGAACTGGTCCAAGCTGGTTGGAACCTCTCTAGACCGGTTGGAACCGGTTCAGACCAGTTTGAACCAGTCCAAGCTGGTTGGAACCTGTCCACCCCGGTTTGAACCGGTTTCAACCAGTTGAAGCCAGTTTCAGCTGGACTAGACCGGTTTAAACTGGTTGAAGCTGGTTTCAGCTGGACTAAATCGGATGGAACCGATCCAAGCTGGTTAGAACCGGTCTAGACTGGTTGGAACTGGTTCAAACCGGTTCAGACTGGTTGGAACCTGTCCAAGCTGGTTTGAACCGGTCCAAGCTGTTTGGAGCCGGTCTAAACGGGTTGCAACTGGTTGAGACCGGTTGGGACTGGTTGAATCTGGTCCAAACCAGTCTGGACCAGTTGAAGCAGGTTGGAACCGGTATAGTCCTGTTGGAACCGGTCCAAGCTGGTTGGACCAGGTCTAGACTGGTTGGAATCGGTCTTAACCGGTTTGAACATGTTAAAGCCTGTTGGAACCGGGCCAAGCTTCGTGGAACCAGTCTAGACCGGTTGGAACCGGTTTGAATCGGTTGAAGCCGGTTTGAACCGGTCCAGACCGGTTTAAACTGATTGAAGCCAGTTTCAGCCAGACTAGACCAGTTGGAACCGGTCCAGGCTGGTTGGAACTGGTCTAGACTAGTTGGAACCGGTTCAGACCGGTTTGAACTGGTTGAAGCCGGTTGGAACCGGTCCAGACAGGTTTAAACTGGTTGAAGCCAGTTTCAGCCGGACTAGACTGGTTGGAACCGGTCCAAGCTGGTTAGAACCGGTCTAGACTGGTTGGAACTGGTTCAGACTGGTTTGAATCGGTCCAAGCTCTTTGGAACCGGTCTAGACTGGTTAGAACCGGTTCAGACCGGTTAGGACGGGTTGAATCTGGTCCAAACCAGTCTGGACCAGTTGAAGCCGGTTTGAACCTGTCCAAGCAGGTTGGAACCAGTGTAGTCCAGTTGAAACCGGGCCAAGCTGGTTGAAACGGGTCTAGACCGGTTTGAACCGGTCCAGATCGGTTTAAACTGGTTGAAGCCGGTTTCAGCCGGACTAGACCAGTTGGAACCGGTCTAGACCAGTTGGAACCGCTCTAGACCAGTTGGAATTGGTTCAGACCGGTTTGAACCGGTTGAAGCCGGTTTGAACCGGTCTAGACCGGTTCCAACTGGTCCAGACCAGTTTGAACCGGTTGAAGCTGGTTTCAGCCAGTCTAGACCGGTTGGAACCGGTCCAAGCTGGTTGAAACCGGTCTAGACCGGTTAAATCTGGTGCAAACCAGCCGCAACCGCTTGAAGCCGGTTTGAACCTGTCCAAGCCGGTTGGAACCGGTTGAAGCCGGTTTGAACCGGTCCAAGCTGGTTCGAACCAGTCTAGACCAGTTTGATCTGGTTGAAGTCAGTTTGAACCAGTCAAAGCTGGTTGGAACTGGTTCAGACTGGTAGGAACAAGTCCAAGCCAGTTTCAGCCGGACTAGACCGGTTGAACCGGTCCAAGCTGGTTGGAACCAGTCTGCACGTTGGACAGTTGAGAACCGGGTTGAACCGACCAGTTTGATCTGGTTGAAGTCAGTTTGAACCAGTCAAAGCTGGTTGGAACTGGTTCAGACTGGTAGGAACAAGTCCAAGCCAGTTTCAGCCGGACTAGACCGGTTGGAACCGGTCCAAGCTGGTTGGAACCAGTCTACACCGGTTGGAACCGGTTCAGACCGGTTTGAACCGGTTGAAGCTGGTTTGAACCGGTCTAGACCGGTTGGAACGGGTCCAAGCTGGTTGTGACCTTTCTAGACCAGGTGGAACTTACCCAGACCGGTTTGAGCCGGTTGAAGCCAGTTTGAACTGGTCCAAGCTGGTTGGAACAGGTCTAGACTGGTTGGAACCGGTCTTAACTGGTTTGAACCTGTTAAAGCCTGTTTGAACCAGTCTAGACTGGTTGGAACCGGTTGAAGCTGGTTTAAACTGGTCCAGACCGGTTTAAACTGGTTGAAGCCATTTTCAGCCAGACTAGACCCGTTGGAACCGGTCCAGACCGGTTTGAACCAATTGAAGCCTATTTGAACCGGTCTAGACCTGTTGGAACCGGTTCAGACCTGTTTGAACCAGTTGAAGCCGGTTTCAGCCAGTCTAGACCGGTTGGAACTGGTCCAAGCTGGTTGGAACCGGTCTAGATCGGTTGGAACCGGTTGAAGCTGGTTTCATCTAGCCTCGATCCGTTGGAACCGGTCCATGCTGGTTGTAATCTTTCTAGACCAGGTGGAACTTGCGCAGACCGGTTGGAACCGGTTGAAGCCCGTTTCAGCCAGTCCAGACCGGTTTAAACTGGTTGAAGCCAGTTTCAGCCGGACTAGACCCGTTGGAACCGGTCCAAGCTGGTTGGAACCTCTCTAGATCAGTTTGAACCGGTTGAAGCCGATTTGAACCGGTCTAGACCTGTTGGAACTGGTTCAGACCGGTTTGAACCGGTTGAAGCTGGTTTGAACCAGTCTAGACCAGTTGGAACCGGTCCAGACCGGTTTGAACTGGTTGAAGCCGGTTTCAGCCAATATTTACCAGTTGGAACCAGTCCAAGCTGGTTGGGACCGGTCTAGACCGGTTAAATCTGGTGCAAACCAGTCGCAGCCGGTTGAAGCTGGTTTGAACCTGTCCAAGCAGGTTGGAACCAGTTTGAACCGGTTGAAGCCAGTTTGAACTGGTCCAAGCTGGTTGGAACCGGTCTAGACCGGTTGGAACCGGTTGAAGCCGGATGAAGCTGGTTTCAGCCAGTCTAGATCCGTTGGAACCGGTCCATGCTGATTGTAACCTTTCTAGACCAGGTGGAACTTGCCCAGACCAGTTTGAACTGGTTGAAGCCTGTTTGAACTGGTCCAAGCTGGGTGGAACCGGTCTAGACCGGTTGGAACCGGTTGAAGTCAGTTTGAACCGGTCTAGACCAGTTGGAACCAGTCCAGACCGGTTTAAACTGGTTGACGCCAGTTTCAGCCGGACTAGAACGGTTGGAACCGGTTCAGACCGGTTTGAACAGGTTGAAGCCGGTTTGAACCGGTCTAGACCAGTTGGAACCGGTTCAGACCGGTTTGAACCGGTTGAAGCCGGTTTCAGCCAGTCTATAATTTAGCTGAGCTAAACAGAGCCATCATTAAATTTAGCTCTTTGTAGCCTATATTACAGTATGCTTTCGTATGGTGTGTGTGTCGTTGTATACACCTTTGTGCAATAAAATCATCTGAAAGTGGCAGCTACTATCCATGTTGACTGTACACAGGTGGGCATCTTTCCAAACTAGCATATGACAATGGTGTTCTCTATCCCCCTTCCTTCAATTATAGTTTCCATTGACTTTTTAAAAATATGTGTATTTTTCACAGTCTTTTGAAAGCCTGGAAGCCGGTATGATGATATGCCGAGGATATGTATACAGTGGTACCTCCGGTTACGAACTTAATTTGTTCCGGAGGTCCATTCTTGAGCTGAAACCGTTCTTAACATGAGACGCGCTTTCGCTAATGGCTCCTCCTGCTGCCAGCGCACCACTGGTGCGCGACTTCTGCTTGCATCCCGGGGCAAAGTTTGCAACCGGGAGCATCTACCAAAGTGTTCGCGAGGAGGACAGTACGTAACACGAGGTTCCATTGTATCGATATACAGAAGCGACTAAGTTACTATACCGCTTCCAATTTTGCCTGTTTCATTCATGGAGAAGTTGAACACGGGAATGATGCAAGGCTGCACATGTCTGCACCAAGCACTTGAGAAGTGCATTCTCAACACAGAGTGGATTATAGCTCTTCTAGCAGATTGCACTCTAGATTGACAAATAGTGTGGGGCAGGGACGAAATGGGGATGGCATTGTGTGCGTAGCATCCCCAAATGTCACTACCATCTAGCGCTGAATGCACATTACCCTGCAGCATGTATGCGCCCTGAGTTTAACTTCTCATACATGCAACTGGTGGGAAATCAGGGAGAAGGGTTCTGTCTTAGCATTCCCAGATGTGCTAGGTTTCTATGTGCAAATTTTCTTTACATACGAAGTTGCAACAACAATCTGGGGAATACAGCCCAGAAAGATCTGTACCATGTGCTAAGTTCTGCACTTGCATTTCAGGTATGTGAAATAACAAACTGAGAGAGAGGCAAGAAAAGCATGTTCTCATTCTTCCCTTCCCACTATTAGCTCTGTTGTAACTGCAACCTAAATTCAAGGTGCTGTTTTGAACTTTTAGAGCCCTAGATGGCTTGGAACCTGGTATTTAAGGAACACCATCTTAGATATCTTCCTCCCTGTACTTTCCACTTAGTCTCTGAGGCCTTGTTCCAGATGCTACTGCCAAATAAGGTACAGTGGGTAGCTGGTGGCACCCACTCTGACAGGGGTGCCAACTTGAATAAAATATTGTAGGGTCCCAGGTAAGCCCCAGTCCACATAACTGATCACATGACATGGTGTACACACACCATTTGAATGGCAACGTTCATCCCCCTCAAATATTTTATTCTGGGGACCGAAGCCCCCACAGCTCCTAGGAGTCTGGTTCCTATGCAGTCTACAGAATGCTCTAAGGAGACTTGCCAGGCTCCAACAGTTTATTTTTTCAGTGGACAAAGCATGGCTTTTCTTTAGGCTGTAAATTTCCTTAGACTTACATCCAGATAAAGACCTATATCTGTTTACTCATAGACAAGCCCCATTGAGTTCAATGGGACTTACTCCTGTTTAGGATTGCAACTTTAATTTAGTACTGCTGTTTGCATGATCAGTGTTGATTTGGTATTGGTAGGTTGTTGTTGTTGTTCCATAATCTTATATTGGATTATTTGTTTTATATGTTGTTTGTTTTAAATCATCAGATAAATGTTGCATCTTATTCCTAAATATAACTTGCATCCAAATAGCTAGTGGTATTTTTCTATGTGCCCACCTGAGAGGTGCTGGAACTGAGTTCCAGCGAGTTCCAGCTGGGAAAAAAAGCTCTGCAAAAATAGCACAAGAAATGTGACCAAAGCAAGGAAGTTCAGTCAATGCCTTGTAAAATGAGTGTGGCATGAGTGTGAGCCCTCAGCAGATGCCACTCATGCTGATCCTTGATGCTGGCCCTTGTCTTAAGGTATTTAACCTGGGCAGACTGGCTCTTCTACTGGAAATGAGAATTGAGCATCCCACAAAGTTCTGGCCTTTTTACACCTGACCTGGGAGGGCAGGGCCTGAGGCAGCTGAGGTGTTGTTGGGGAGGGAGTTGTTGCTCTTGTTGCTGCTTTTTTTTGGTATCTTTTGCTGTGATTTATGTGGAAATTGTTCAGTTTGGTTTTGTATTTTGTATTTTTGTATTTACTATTGATGGCTACTTTTGTCACGTTGTAGTTATGTATTTTTTCATGATGTAAGCTGCCGTGAGCATGGCTTGAACTGTGGAAATTATGTATTTCTGTAAAATACATGGCCTTCCCTCTGAATTGCTGGGCTGGCAAATCTAGAATGGAATACAGTAATGCTGTGTTGTCACACTTCGTTGTAGTGGATTAATGATCCACCCTGACCTAACCTCAGTGCCCTGCTCCACATCATGGCTGCTTTCCTTGCAGTCCATCATGCCAGCCTCTAACAATGCCTTTGTATCCCTTACAACAGAATGGAAGAGCTATTATACTGAATTAGTGCATTCCACCTCTTTCCTCCCCCTCGCCAATCCCCTGCTGCAAATCATCAGCTGACATACCCAGTCCCATTCATGTAATGTATAAGAAAATACTGTGCAGATAGCACTCTTCTGAAAGGATTAATCTGTGTTGTCTGTTCGTTTCAGGGTTTTGTTAATAGTGTCGGTGGTTATCTAATTACATTGTGTAGCGGCTGCTTTACAAGTACACTGGAGAATTCTGCTGTAGTTAGAGGTCACACTCTGCAGAATTAATTGCATCTGCCCATCACTTGCACATAACAAAGCTAGAATATACTAGATTCTGTCTCCCAGCTTTACACAAGCCTTGAATGACATGCAGCTTATCAGCCCTGAGTGTCACTTTACCGGTTGCCTTTAGAACCATGTTTACTATTGAAGGGCTGGTCTGTGTTTCCTCGGAGTCATTGCCATTTAAATAAATGACAGCTGAATCGCTTCCAGCATCGTAAAACACAGGGATGACTAAAGAGGGACCGTATTTAGGGGACAGTGATAGAGAGGCTTTCGTCTCTTATACGGCTGTTCGTCTACATTAATAGATAATAGAGCAATAGTGAGCCCTTCCTGTGTCTTAAGCAGAGTGAGGTAGTAGTAGTAAAAATAATCATATTGTTTATTAAGCCACTAAATTTTTTAGATGCTATATAAAATATATGTAAAGAAATAATAATAACCGTGCCCATAGAGAATATTAAAAAAATTAGACAAGTGAGATGGTGCAGACAATACAGTATTGAATTTGAACCGGACAGATTTTATCCCCTTTTTAGTTTTGCTTTTTAACAATCAAAATGGTTCATAGATATGTTTGGCATTCACCGTATTGTTTTTATTCCAGGTTACTGGGTACTACACCTTTCCTTATTGTGTCCTACTTCTTCCTGTGGTACTGCCCAAGCGTTATAGAAGCAAAAGATGTATGGTATATGGCTTTCTTCTGCCTTTTCCAGGCATTGAGTACAGTAAGTTGATCAATACTGACACCCTTTTCCTCTGCAATTAGATGCTTCTGGACATCGCATCCGTCGGATCACAATTATTTCTAATATAGAACGAGACAACTATTTGGTCATATACGCTAGGCAGTGAGGAACTGCACCTCTGCAGTGTAACTTGATTAATTTAGAAAGTACAGAGGGATTTCAGCAGGCCAGTTAATGAAAGCTGCTGTACATCATATTTTAATGTAGAACTGCTACCACATCGCAAAGGCTTTTTTGCATATCTTGGAAAGATACAAACAGTACTCTAGATCCTATTGCATCAGTGAGACAACATTCGTGAAATAATATGCCACAAAGACAAAGAAATATTTGCTGGGAGCCACCAGTGATTGTTTGGCTTTCTTGGTTAACATATAAGCATATATGCCTGAGGTTCAGTACAGCTGTTAAATTCTGTTAAATTCTCATGCCTTTATACTGTAACAATGGGCTTTTAGAAGTAAGAGATGAGTTTGTGTTTCTTTATTCATATGAGATATTTACTCAGTTGCCTTGCTATAAATCTGTTTGGAAATAGGTCAACAAACAACAATGCCCTCCATTAGAGTGACTTTTTGTTGTTCTTTTAGGATGAAGTTGCACTCCACCCTCGCGAAATGCTATTCATCGCACAGTACAAATATGCCTCACAGCTTATTATACTTTCTGTACCCATATTTGTGCTCAGTTGTACTCATTTCCTTAATGCCTCCATAGAACCTATTCAGGCTTTGGAAACGTTGTACTTTCACAAGGGGGTGCCACAGCCTGACTGCTATCTAAGAGGACTCTGGGATATTGCTCTGGGCCTTTTAATCTCAGTAGTTAACACTTCTGCCAATCCTGAAGCTTCCTTCTTTGATCCCTTCGTGGGGGGCGGGGGAATCTGCTGGAACAGAAAAGTCATCCGGGGTAAAATATTCATCTTTACAAAAAAGAATTAAGAAGAAGAAGCTTCCTCATACCCTTTTGCCAGGCAATGCGTGGGCATTTTCGGATATATACCAACAGCACCCCTGTATTTATCTCATCATTTTTGTGCATGCTTGATCGGGATAGAAAGGGGAAGGCCAATTTTTAATTTGAATGGGTACTTAGTTCTAGCTAGTGCAGGTTTTCTATTAGCATTATAGACATAAGAAATGCAGAACATTCTTCTAGTTCATATTTGAAAATGCCCTTAATTTTTCTGAACAGTAATGTTGTCGTTTTTTTACCATAAATGCTTGCTTCAAATATTAAAAGTTTTAAATCAAGGATGAGCAGTGGAGCTTTCCTGGTAGGTTATATCCTGTGATTGGGAGACCTCTGTCAACAGACCTGGGATCTGTGCCTCCTGCAGAGCAGCATTTCAGGAAATTCTAGAGCAGGGGTAGCTAACCCATTTTTGGTCTAAGGGCTGCATTCACCTTTTGCCAACTCCTCTTTTTTGCAAGGGGGGGGGATATATGCTTTTGAAGCGTGTGGCCAACCCATACTCTGCCACACAAAGCATCAGCTGAGCCATGCAGAACAGCTGGGGGGGGTATCTTTCTGTCCCCACTTACAAAATGATTCCCTTGATGACCAGGGTGGGGGTGATCTACCTCCCCGTCAGTGCACTTGACTGTGCACAGTGCGCTGTGTCTATTTATTTACCTTGCCACTGTTGGTTGGGAAAGGAAAAGATAGGTATAAAAAGGAGAATTCCTGGATGTCCAGACCCAGGTTTGGGGCAAGTACTCTTTGGTGAGAGTACTCTTTGGTGTGATTTAAAATCACAAAACATGCAGCAAGGTAAAGCACAGAAATACAGGTCATTATACCTTTAAAATATGCCCTTCTCAGTTCCTTCCAAATTTTCCCACTTCCCTTAGAATAGAAAAATACCATCCGTTGGTAAGTTAATATGGTTTACTTACAAACTCTTCAAAGGTCAGAATCATGTGCTTTTCCATAGAGCATTCAGAAAACACAGGCAGTAAAGACTTAGGTTAGTTCCAAAGTGGTGGAAGTTCCTAAATAATTTGTATAGATACACAAAGATGGCTTTGTAGGAACCAAGCTCAGACCTCTTTACACAACAGAGTTCGCATGGTAAACTGAGGGAACAATAGACTAGACTTCCTTTCTGCCAAAGTAGGGTGTATGTGTCCTAGCTAAGCCTGGCAGGACAGCTTATTCTGGCACTAACCCTTTCGTGCATTAATTACACTTAAGAATTTTGGTTATATGAGGCTGATTATCCAACAGCCACAACCGTCAAAACGAGTGAGGTCTTTGGGGACCAGAAAAAAATTGTCGGGGAGTTGAGCAAAGAAACTCCTGCCTCCAAGGATGGCTAAGGCTCTTTTTACTTCCTTTTTGAGCTATTGCACATTTGAAGGTTGGAGGAGAAAGGTACAGCATGCCTCATAAGGAGCAGGATTACTGGGCCTAACTACATAGCAAGCCTTCCGGTTACAATGAAAAGCAGCATGCTAAAGTGATACATTTTTCCAGTGCTTTTTTTTTCTCTTAAAAAATGTTTAGGGGTACTCTCATTTTCCTACTCATATTGAAATACTACCCCTCAATGAAGCCAAACTTAGAGTCACAAAATGTTTAGGGGTATGCGTGCCCCTGCGTCCCCCCAGAAAAAAGCACTGCATTTTCCTAACTGGGGTGTGTGTGTGTGTGTACTTTCGTTACAGCTATTCCATGTACCATATACAGCTCTCGTCATGTTTTTGAGCGCAGACCAGAAGGAACGAGATTCAGCAACGGCATACCGTGAGTCTTACTGAGCATGCTGCATGTAGCATGCTGCTCTGGAGACTCCCCTCCCCCCAAACATATTGGGGGAGCTGTGGCAAAGGGGTGGAGACTAGTATTGAAAAACAGAAAAGCTCAGTTCTCTTGTGTTGCCAAACTATGGGTTGGTGTTTTGTAAGCAAGCCTCAGAATTGCATGATTCCCCATCCCCTTCCTTCCTGTCCTTCCACACCCTGATTCTCTCCCTGCCTCAGTGTTTCAGGCAAACCACAGTTGCTACTATTATATCCAAATTAGCAAATTTATTTTACACTTGCCCTCCAAATTAGAACTGGAAGTCACGGTTTGGAGTTGGTTTCAGTTTTGTTTCCCCCTGTTTCAGATGCAGGGAAGGAATTGAAGCATGAAGACGGAGGGAGAGGAGGGATCATGACTCAGTGTAGCCTCTAGTAACATAGCTTGAACTATATTGGAAGACAGATGACTCCAGAAAGTCTGTTCTTGTCCATAGGAGCACATAATCTTTAAGGGAGGGGTGGGTAGCTTCTTTTTTGAGCTAAGGGTCACATTGAAACATGGTCAACCCTCCTGGCCCCCAAGTTTAAAAGTGGGTGTCGCCAAGCAAGAATAGCTGGGGGCAGTTTTATTTCTTTATTTAAAAGGCAATATATGTGGCGGGGGGTCACAAAAACCTTTTGACATCACAACAGGGGAGTGCTCAGTTATTTCTGAGCCTTGTTGGCAGCTGTTCCACCATTTCAGGTTTAAAAAGAAGTGGGCTTTTTTCCCTACTTTAGGAATGGGATTTGAAGGTCTTGGAACATTGGTTGGAGCTACACTCCAGGTCAGTATGGTTTCCGATGCTCACAGCTCTGACCACTGTAACAATACTGTGGATAACATGGACTCTTCCACCAATCTGTACGGAAACAGTTCCAGTGTTCCAGACATGTCTGAGGCAGTAAGTTGAAAAGCTTTCAAAAGATTTGGGGTGGGTGGGAAGGGAGCATCCTGTATTTCACCATCCTACTGTCTAGATATGTTATTGATTTTCTTAATAGCAATGGCAATAGAATTGGGACAGGAACTTTCCTAAAATTAGGGTTGCCATATGTCCGGAATTCCCTGGACGTACCCAGAATACTGTAGTAGGAAGCAGTGTCTGGGCAGAAATTGGAAAAATGTCTGGGAAAATCCAGACGTATGGCAACCTATGTCAGCAGTGTTGTTTTTGCTGATTTTCCTTAATATAGCTCAAGATTGTCAGTTTGGGGGGGGGCAGTTTTGCCAAAAAAAGCTCAACCACTTTGACAAAAAAGGAGAAGCTCAACATCTTTGCCAACCAGTTTTTGAAATATGGTAACCCTACTAAAATGAACTTTGAGCCTAAACATGATAGTGGGATTCATTACTTCTGAGGGATGTTAGTATTTCATTTATTGTCTGCTAATCTTATTTTTCCAATTATCTGTTCAACACCACTGAGAAGCTTTGGTTTACACACACACATACACACACGCACACAGACAGACTGTGTGTGTGTGTGTGTGTGTGTGCGCGCGCGTGTGTGTGTGCGCGTATGCACACACACACACACACACATCTTGAATAAATAAAATAAAATATGTTTGGCATTTGATGTGTGCTGGGAGTTGTGGTCCCAGTCGCAGTGCCACCCTCTCCTAGGCAGTGACTAAAGTGAGGTGTGATAGAACAAACTGAAACAGACAACAATCTGGATTTAAAATGGCCACAACTTTATAGATTACATATGTAGGTGGAATTTTGGCTCAGTGTAAAGTAAAGTTTCAGTGTAAAGTTTTTTATTTAACTGGAAGATGAAGATGAATATTAAACTATAAAATAGAATGAGTTGTTGTACATTAGTTAAAATAAGAAAGTCCAGGTAAAGACTATCAACTTTATCAGATCAAGTATAATTCCAGATTTGCTGGCTTGTGACAAGGATTGTATATAAAATGATGGTTCCGCTGTACTGTTTATGTCATAAAGGAATGCCAAATCATATAAAATGTTTCTTGAGGTTCTAGTCTTTGTCAAAACCTCAGATTCTGCATGATTTTCTCCATTATAGCTATATTCCAGAGTGATCAGTACGAAGTGTCCAGTGTTAAGATTTGGGCTTGTTTTCCATTAAGTTACAATTACTATTCATGCTCCCAAGATGATATATAAGACCAATTCTTTTGACAATATATTTACATTGTTATCATAAAAAATACTCAGTAATATTAATTTCGGATAGCAAACAACAATTTCTTTAGAAATGTTTATCATTTCTATCAAATTTATGTTCCAAAAATCTTGTACCAATTCCCACTATAAATGATAATATGTGCCAAGTTTATTGCAACCTCTCCAACCGTTAAGTGATACAGAAGAAAACATTTTTGACATTTGGAAAGGAGTGTGATGCCATCTGTGTAACAATTTTAAGGTGTTTACTTTGAGAAAACTGGAAACAGATTTTAAGGGTTGTGAATCCCAAATTTTATTCTAATCTTTGGGGAAAATTTATGTGCCAGTATCTAGTTCCCATATCTTTTTAAGAGGTTCCATAGATCCGTAAGTTACATTAAGCAACCGAGTACAATTTAGAAACTAATCCTTTCGCCCCTCTACCCATTGTGCTTCATAGATTTTCATTCATATATTATATATATATATTCATTTTGTTTGTATCAAGCATTTTCTCACCTATATTTAAATTTAAATTTAAATTTTTATTCCTTTTCTTCCTTTTTTCCTTTGTTGGGGGTGGGTGGGATGGATAGTTGGTTGGGGATTAATTTTAGTATAATTGTTCTGTTCCTTTTTGTTGTTGTTGTTTTATTGGTTCTGTATAGTTTGTGTTTTGTTTTTAAGGGGCGGGATCAGGGCTGCCTGGGAGTGGCTCCCAGCCAACACGATGGCTGGGACAAGTTCCACAGGGGGGGAAGCACTGGGACATCCGATCTCGGTGATCATGGGCAGGAGGCGGAGTTACGCTAAGACCAGACCATGTCATTACCGAGGAGGCAGGTTTAGTCGTTGTTTGAAGACTATCCCTGCCTCCAGGTCTGGCCTTGACCGGATGGATACTGGAATCAACAGGGAAACCCACATGACCTGAAAGTGTTGCTGTGCAATGCCAAGTCAATGATGAATAAAACCACTGCCATCCACGACTTGATTGTGGATGGAGGATTTGACCTGGCATGTGTGACAGAGACCTGGTTGGAAGAAGCAGATGGGCCTGTCCTTGCCGCTGCTTGCCCACCAGGTTTCTCTTACGCACAGCAACCCAGGTCATGTGGGCGGGGAGGGGGGGTTGCAGTGATTTTTAGGAAGTCACTAGCTTGCACCAGGCGTCCTACTGGGAAGATCCAGTTCTCTGAGTGCATGTTCTGGAAATTGGGCAATAGGGGCAGTACAGGATTCCTTTTGGTGTACCGACCTCCCCACTGCACCAAGGATTCCCTGTCCGAGCTGCTTCAGGTCGTGGCGGATTTTCTCCTGGAGACACCTAGCTTGGTTGTCCTAGGGGATTTTAACATCCATGCCGACACGACCTTACAAGGGGCTGCTCGGGACTTCGTGGAAAGCATGGCCTCCATGGGGCTGTCCCTGAATAAGTTTGGCCCAACTCATAGTCATGGACATGCCTTAGACCTGGTGTTCACCTCTAGTGACGTGGGTGATCTGACACTAAGTAAAAGTGAAACAAAAGAAGTGCCATGGTCAGATCACTTCCTGGTGCAACTGGACTTCTCCGCGACCCTTCCCCTCTACAGGGAGGTGGGACCAATTCGGATGGTCCGCCCCCGCCACTTAATGGATCCAAATGGTTTCCAGAGAGTGGTAGGGGATGCTTTAGCCCATGTTGATGGCCTTTCAGCTGATTCCCTGGTGGCCCGCTGGAATGCGGAGTTAACCAGGGCTATCGACTGTCTGGCTCCAAAGCGCCCTCTCCGATTGCATGGAGCCCGGACAGCCCCGTGGTTTTCTTCGGAGCTGAGGGCGATGAAACAATCGCTGAGATGGCTAGAGCGTCAGTGGCAGAAAACTCACTCCGAATCTGACCGGACACAGGTTAGAGCTCAACGTCGAGCCTACCAAGTGGCGATAACGACGGCGAAGAAGACTTTCTTCACCGCCTCTATTGCATCTGCAGAAAATAGTAGCAGGAGACTCTTTCAGGTGGTTCGCAATTTAACGGAACCACCTTTACCACCAGGGCCTTGTAAAGACCCCAAGATCTCCTGCAACGATTTTGCAAAGTTTTTATTCAGATAAAATCACTCATATTCGGAAGGAGCTAGACACCACCGTGGGAGCAGGGCCAGGGCGGGAGAGTGCTAGAGCTCTGTCTGGTCAAGTTGCATGGAATCAATTTCAATCCGTTACCCCCGAGGATGTGGACAGGCTGCTTGGACGCGTGAAACCAACCACCTGTCTCCTTGATCCTTGCCCATCCTGGCTAATAAAAGCAAGCCGGGAAGGGCTGGGCGATGGGCTCTGTGGGGTGGTGAATGCTTCCCTCTGTGAGGGAACATTCCCAGATCCGCTGAAAGAGGCGGTCATTAAACCGCTTCTTAAAAAACCATCTTTAGACCCGGCCAGTATGGCCAACTATCGCCCAGTCTCAAATCTTCCATTCTTGGGCAAGGTGATTGAGCGCGTGGTTGCTGAACAACTCCAGGCACGCCTGGAGGATGCGGACCATTTGGATCCCTTCCAGTCGGGATTCAGGCTTCACCATGGGACTGAAACTGCCTTGGTCGCGCTGGTTGATGATCTCCGGCGAGCTAGGGCAAAGGTGAGAGTTGTTTCCTGGTTCTGCTGGATCTCTCAGCGGCCTTTGATACAATTGACCATAACATCCTTCTGGACCGTCTAGAGGGGCTGGGAGCTGGGGGCACTGTTATACAGTGGTTCCGCTCCTTCCTCCTGGGCCGTGTTCAGAAAGTGGTGGTGGGGGATGAGTGTTCAGACCCCTGGGCCCTCACTTGTGGGGTGCCTCAGGGTTCCGTCCTCTCCCCCATGCTTTTTAACATCTATATGAAGCAGCTGGGAGAGATCATCAGGGGGTTTGGACTGGGTGTCCATCAATATGCAGATGATACCCAGCTCTACCTTTCTTTCAAATCAGAACCAGTGAAGGCGGTGAAGGTCCTGTGTGAGTGCCTGGAGGCGGTTGGAGGATGGATGGCGGCTAATGGATTGAAGTTGAATCCTGACAAGACAGAAGTATTGTTTTTGGGGGACAGGGGCGGGCTGGTGTGGAGGACTCCTGGTCCTGAATAGGGTAACTGTGCCCCTGAAGGACCAGGTGCGCAGCCTGGGAGTCATTTTGGACTCACAGCTGTCCATGGAGGTGCAGGTCAATTCTGTATCCAGGGCAGCTGTCTACCAACTCCACCTGGTACGCAGGCTGAGACCCTACCTGCCCGCGGACTGTCTCGCCAGAGTGGTGCATGCTCTAGTTATCTCCCGCTTGGACTACTGCAATGCGCTCTACGTGGGGCTACCTTTGAAGGTGACTCGGAAACTACAACTAATCCAGAATGCGGCAGCTAGACTGGTGACTGGGGGCGGCTGCCGAGACCACATAACACCGGTCTTGAAAGACCTACATTGGCTCCCAGTACGTTTCCGAGCACAATTCAAAGTGCTGATGTTGACCTTTAAAGCCCTAAACGGCCTCGGCCCAGTATACCTGAAGGAGCGTCTCCACCCCCATCGTTCTGCCCGGACGCTGAGGTTCAGCGCCGAGGGCCTTCTGGCGGTTCCCTCATTGCGAGAAGCAAAGCTACAGGGAACCAGGCAGAGGGCCTTCTCGGTAGTGGCACCCGCCCTGTGGAACGCCCTCCCATCAGATGTCAAAGCGATAAATAACTACCTGACATTTAGAAGACATCTTAAGGCAGCCCTGTTCAGGGAAGTTTTTAATCTGTGATATTTTACTGTATTTTTGGTTTCTATGGAAGCCGCCCAGAGTGGCTGGGGAAACCCAGCCAGATGGGCGGGGTACAAATAATAAATTATTATTATTATTATTATTATTATTATTATTATTATGTCTTATTGAAATTTGATTCCCTTTTCCCACCCCACATCACCACTACCACCTATTTTTATTTTTTAGAACAAAACACTCTACATGATTGCAGGAGGAACAGTATCAGTATTATACATCATTGGCATTATTGCCCTTTGCGCTGGAGTGAGAGAGAAAGTAGGTGAGTTTATTTAATCGCAACAAACATTCCTAATACATTTCTTTCCTACTTTAAAAACAAGGTATCAGATATGCATTTATTTATTTATTTATTTATTTATTTATTTATTCCACTCGTTATAGATCCTTATGCCTTAAAATCAGACCAACAAATTCCCTTCCTTAAGGGACACAAACTTGCACTGATGTGTGGACCATATGTGAAACTTGCAGCATCATTTCTCCTGATTTCAACAGCTGTTCAGGTAATTCTAGTTCATAAGAGGATTTGCAGCAGCATAGATTGTACCTGAACTATGAAAGAACCCACATCAGCTGTGAAACAGAAACATGGTCATATATATATATATATATATATATATATATATATAGTTAGTTAGTTACAAACCACCGGCGTTAAGTTGGAAGCTGTAGTGGATTTCCCCCCACTTCAAGATGGTTGGACCATCTCAAGAGCTCCTTCTACCAAACTCATTCTTTGGATCTTTAACAAATACAAATACCATTTTAAAATATAACAATAATTGAACAGCAGCTTATCCAAAAGCAGTCCAATTAGCTCAGCGATGGATGATGATGCAGAAGGTCCAAGGTTCAATACCTGGCATCTCCCTGTGGGGCTGGAAATGTCCACTGCCTGAAACCCTTGTTAAGTATAATTGTTCAATTCACACTGAAATGGAGAATGCCTATGTATATAATAATAATAATAATAATAATAATAATAATAATAATAATAATTTATTTATACCCTGCCCATCTGGCTGGGTTTCCAAAAGAATATTAAAATACTGTGATACATCAAACATTAAAAGCTTCCCTAAACAGGGCTGCCTTCAGATGTCTTCTAAAAGTCTGGTAGTGTGATAGCCTGGGAATCCGATTCAGAGGGTGAACTGGAGGAATCCCAGCCTGCACAGGAGTCCCCGCCTCCAGGCCCGGCTGAACTGGGGCAGGGCCTTGATTCTGAGGCACCTGCACCTGTGCTGGATCCTCAGGAGCAGGCACCAGGTGAATCCACTCTGGCTCCAGAGGTGGTTGAGGACTCAGTGCCTACAGGTGAGACTCCCCCTGGGCCCAGTAACCCTTCAGCCTCTCCTGAACTGCAGAGGCTCAGGGCAGAGAGGCGAAGGGAACTGGTTTCTCCCAGGAGGAGTGCTCGCCTTAAGGCCAGGAGAGGCGGGTCTCCTGGGGGCCAGGACCGCCCCTGGCCTCAGAGAAGATAAACGCCAGTCAGCCCAGTCCCAGGTTGCGGGAGCAACGTCATTGTTGAGTACCTGTTCCTGCCTGGACCCAGACCTGACCCTCCAGTGTTCCTGTCCCCGCCCGGCTTCCTGCTTCGGACCTCGCCCCGCTCCTTGTGAACTGTTTCCAGGCTAGTGACCCAGGACCGGACTTTGACTACGCCAACGGTAACCTTCCCCCCGGGACCAGCACAGTTAGTTCTTGTTCTCTTTGACATCTGGTGGGAGGGCGTTCCACAGGGAGGGCGCCACTACCGAGAAGGCCCTCTGCCTGGTTCCCTGTAACCTGGCTTCTCGCAGTGAGGGAACCGCCAGAAGGTCCTCGGTGCTGGACCTCAGTGTCCAGGTAGAATGATGGGGGTGGAGACGCTCCTTCAGGTATACTGGACCAAGGCCGTTTAGGGCTTTAAAGGTCAGCACCAACACTTTGAATTGTGCTCGGAAACGTACTGGGAGCCAATGTAGGTCTTTCAAGACCGGTGTTATATGGTCTCGGCGGCCGCTCCCAGTCACCAGTCTGGCTGCTGCATTCTGGATTAGTTGTAGTTTCCGGGTCACCTTCAAAGGTAGCCCCACGTAGAGCGCATTGCAGTAGTCCAAGCGGGAGATAACCAGAGCATGCACCACTCTGGTGAGGCAGTCCGCAGGCAGATAGGGTCTCAGCCTGCGTACCAGATGGAGCTGGTACACAGCTGTCCTGGACACGGATTTAACCTGTGCCTCCATGGACAGCTGTGAGTCCAAAATGACTCCCAGGCTGCGCACCTGGTCCTTCAGGGGCACAGTTACCCCATTCAGGACCAGGGAATCCTCCACACCTGCCCGCCTCCTGTCCCCCAGAAACAGTACTTCTGTCTTGTCAGGATTCAATCTCAATCTGTTTGCCGCCATCCATCCTCCAACCGCCTCCAGACACTCACACAGGACCGTCACCGCCTTCACTGGTTCTGATTTGAAAGAGAGGTAGAGCTGGGTATCATCCGCATACTGATGAACACCCAGCCCAAACTGCCTGATGATCTCTCCCAGCGGCTGCATGTAGATGTTGAAAAGCATGGGGGAGAGGACAGAACCCTGAGGCACCCCACAAGTGAGAGCCCAGGGGTCTGAACACTCATCCCCCACCACCACTTTCTGAACACGGTCCAGGAGGAAGGAGCGGAACCACTGTATGACAGTGCCCCCATCTCCCAGCCCCTCTAGACGGTCCAGAAGGATGTTATGGTTGATGGTATCAAACGCCGCTGAGAGATCCAGCAGAACTAGGAAACAGCTCTCACCTTTGTCCCTAGCCCGCCGACCAAGGCAGTTTCAGTCCCGTGATGAGGCCTGAATCCCGACTGGAAGGGATCCAAATGGTCCGCTTCTTCCAGGCGTGCCTGGAGTAGTTCAGCAACCACTCCCTCAATCACCTTGCCCAAGAATGGAAGATTTGAGCCTGGGCAATAGTTGGCCATCGTGGCCGCATCTAAAGATGGTTTTTTAAGAAGCGGTTTAATAACCGCCTCTTTCAGCGGGTCTGGGAAGGCTCCCTCACGGAGGGAAGCATTCACCACCCCACGAAGCCCATCGCCCAGCCCTTCCCGGTTAGCTTTTATAAGCCAGGATGGGCAAGGATCAAGGAGACAGGTGGTTGGTTTCACTCATCCAAGCAGCCTGTCCACATCCTCGGAGGTAACAGATTGGAATTGATCCCACGCAAATTGACTAGACAGGAGTCTAGCACTCTCCCGCCCTGGCCCTGCTCCCACGGTGGCGTCTACCTCTTCCCGAATCTGAGCGACTTTATCTGCAAAAAACTTTGCAAAATCATTGCAGGAGATCATGTGGCCCGTACTGGGCCCCGATGTAGCAGGTGGTTCCGCTAAATTGTGGACCACCTGAAAAGGTCTCCTGCTGCTGTTTTCTGCAGATGCAATAGAGGCGGTGAAGAAAGTCTTCTTTGCCGTCGCTACCGCCACTTGGTAGGCTCGACGTTGAGCTCTAACCTGTGTCCAGTCAGCTTCAGAATGGGTCATCCACCACCGGCGCTCTAGCCGTCTCAACGATTGTTTCATTGCCCTCAGATCCATGGAAAACCACGGGGCTGTCCGGGCTCCATGCAATCGGCGAGGGCGCTTCGGAGCCAAATAGTCAATAGCCCTGGTTAACTCCGCATTCCAGCGGGCCACCAGGGAATCAGCTGAAAGGCCATCAACATGGGATAAAGCATCCCCTACCACTCTCTGGAAACCATTCGGATCCATTAAGTGGCGGGGGCGGACCATCCGAATCGATCCCACCTCCCTGCAGAGGGGAAGGGTCGCGGAGAAGTCCAGTTGCACCAGGAAGTGATCTGACCATGGCACTTCTTTCGTTTCACTTTTACTTAGTGTCAGATCACCAACATCCATGGAGGTAAACACCAGGTCCAAGGCATGTCCACGGCTATGGGTTGGGCCAAACTTATTCAGGGACAGCCCCATGGAGGCCATGCTTTCCACGAAGTCCCGAGCGGCCCCTTGTAAGGTCGTGTCGGCATGGATATTAAAATTCCCTAGGACAACCAAGCTAGGTGTTTCCAGGAGAACATCCGCCACGACCTGAAGCAGCTCGGGCAGGTAATCCTTAGTGCAGCGGGGAGGTCGGTACACCAAAAGGAATCCTGTACTGCCCCTATTGCCCAACTTCCAGAACATGCACTCAGAGAACTGGGTCTTCCCAATAGGACGCCTGGTGCAAACTTATGACTTCCTAAAAATCACTGCAGCCCCCCCTCCCCGCCCACAAGGCCTGGGTTGCTGTGCGTAAGAGAAACCTGGTGGACAAGCAGCGGCAAGGACAGGCCCATCTGCTTCATCCAACCAAGTCTCTGTTACACATGCCAGGTCAAATCCTCCATCCATGATCAAGTCATGGATGGCAGTGGTCTTATGAATCATTGACCTGGCATTGCACAGCAGCACCTTCAGGTCATGTGAGTATCCCTTGCTGATTCTAGTATCCGTCCAGTCAGGACCAGACCCGGAGGCAGGGATAGTCCTCAGACAACGACTAAACCTGCCTCCTCTGTAATGACATGGTCTGGTCTTAGCATAACTCCTCCTCCTACCCGTGATCACTGAGATCGGTTGTCCCAGCGCATCCCCCTCTGTGGAACATGCCCCAGCCATTTTGTTGGCTGGGACCCACTCCCCGGCAGCCCTGACCCCTCCCCTTAAGAACAAAATAAGACCTTAAAACAATAAAAACAAAAAACAAAACAAAACAAAAAAACCCCAGAAAACAAAAAGCAATACAAATAAAAAACTATAAAAATTACAAATCCATTAAAATCAAACAAATTCGCAACTAAACATCCATCCCACCCCCATCCCCGTCCCCGCATATACAAAAAAATAAAAGGAAAAGGAAAAGGAAAATTTTAAAACATTTTAAAAAGAACTCTGCGCCCCTCCGGATCCCCCTGGGCCGCAGCAGCAGTAACAGCAACCGTCCCTGTGAGGCTTCAGGTCCCGCCCTGGGCCAGGTGGTAAGTGGCAGGAAGGAGCAGGGCCCTCAGACACTCACACAGGAGAGTCCTCCTGGGCAGCAGAGCGCAGCAGTCCCTGTGAGGCTTCAGGCCCCGCCCTGGGCCAGGTGGTAAGTGGCAGGAAGGAGCAGGGCCCTCAGACACTCACACAGGAGAGTCCTCCTGGGCAGCAGAGCGCAGCAGTCCCTGTGAGGCTTCAGGCCCCGCCCTGGACCAGGTAGGTGGTAAGCGGCAAGAGCAGGGCCCTCAGACACTCACACAGGAGAGTCCTCCTGGGCAGCAGAGCGCAGCAGTCCTTATGAGGCTTCAGGCCCCGCCCCGGGCCAGGTGGTAAGCGGCAGGAAGGAGCAGGGCCCTCAGACACTCACACAGGAGAGTGTGAGTCTTACTGAACGCTTTAACTTGGGGATTTTCCATGGGGCTATATTAAGCTCTCTAAGCTCCTAGATGGGTTGATAATTTACTGTTACTCTTCTCTTGCTAGCTAACACCTGGTGTTTAACCTTAGATCACATGAGAGGTATTGAATTGCAAATCACCATTTTGAAAGGGAGTGGCCTTTGGTCTTTGTTCCCAGACTCCTTGGGGTAGGGATACGTAAAAGAGCTCAACAGCCTTGGGGCTGGAATACAGGCTAATGGAGTCTTTGAGAGAGAGCTATGTTTGTCAGCTCTGATTATGCTATTTTATTTCTAAGAAGCTGAGCCTGTGCTGGTCATTGCACATGACCTTATGGATATTTTGGATGTATCATTTACTGTGTTTTGTTCTGTTTTGAATAAAGTGCTGCATGTAAAGCTTTGAATCAAACATGGGTCTGGACAACGGCTTATTCCAAAATGAACCAGTTGTTATGCATCCAGTTGCTTCAAGCTGTGCAATCTGCAATAACCCTGGCGGGACACTGCCAGTCATTGTGGACTGACTTTAGGGGTCTGTCATACTTTTATAGTGGATCTTGTCCAGTTCATTGGTGGCACTGGAAACGATCTCCCACATAAATATGTCCTCGTTGGAGTAAAAGATGTTGATTATCAGTGACATAAACTGGGCAGCCTCTGCCTGGAAGACACAGGTCTCACCTTTTCACTATGCTGTATTTCTTTGGGCATTTTGATGAAAGTTGGGAGATAAGCCAGTGATAACCCTCTGTTTGCTGTACACATGAAGGGTTATTTATCTGATGTTAGTGAACTAATCCACTACCACCTATAGAGGAAACTCTCTATAAGACCATTACAGTGGTACCTCGGGTTAAGTACTTAATTCGTTCTGGAGGTCCGTACTTAATATGAAACTGTTCTTAACCTGAAGCACCACTTTAGCTAATGGGGCCTCCTGCTGTGCTGCGCCACCAGAGCACAATTTCTGTTCTCATCCTGAAGCAAAGTTCTTAACCTGAAGCACTATTTCTGGGTTAGCGGAGTCTGTAACCTGAAGCGTATGTAACTGTATGTAGATAGTCTAAAATTACCTAACTGCACAACTGCTAGTTTATGTTAGATGTACCTGTACTGGAACAAATTTTGTTGTTTTTAATATATTCAAAAAGTGCATGTATATATATTTGCATTGTTTAAATGGCATGCATAATGAGAGATTTTGATTATGCTCCCTGCTAGTAGCAGCTTTGTCTTGTTGCCAGCCAGCATGTGTTTAATTATTATAGCAATCAGTTCACTTTCGCTCTTGTTCAGCATTTGTAAATGGGAAATCTGGTTTTAAACCATTTAAATGGCCTTGATTAATCAACCCTGCTCCACGTTTGCTTTGTGACTAATTTATCGTTTTGTTCCTCCTCTTGTCTTCAACTCTCCAGGTTGTACAAAACAACTTTGTCCTCTTTTGTTCTGCTGCAACTAATCTTCACAACCACATTGATTATTTAGTGCTGATTGTCTTGGTAAGCATGTGGACAAAGCAGAGCCTCCTTGCAAAGTATGTTGCTCTTAAGCTCTTATTTTCGTAATATGGTATGCATATCACTATTTAGACCCTGGATCATGCCACACCCAGGGTTAATTTCATGTCATCAGGCAAGTAAATGATCTGGATTGCAGCTAGGAAGTTGGACAGGGTGTGAAATTCATTGAGTTTGATTTGCGTTTTAAAAACATTATTTGCTAACTCTCTGATCAGCTTTTTGACCCATGTTTATCAAGTTCACATGATAGAGATGGTGCAGTGGGTTAGTGTGTCTGGCTTTTAACCAGAAGGTTGGTGGTTCGAGCCCACCCAGGGATTTTTTTGGGCAGGATTCTTGCATTGCAGGGGGGTTGGACTAGATAACAGTTCTATGATTCTATGAGAACTGCTTTGCGGTGAACCCATATGGCCTAGTTTGTCCCCCTCCCTTTTTGTGATGTGTGCAATTATTCATATGGTGCTTCCTTGATCCCCTTGATATGAAGCATGCTTTCTCCTGTAATGGTTTTTCTCATCATTCATAGATATCTGCAGCACTGAGTGTTCCATGCTGGCAATGGTTTCTGAACAAGTTCGGCAAAAAGACTACTGCGGGTGGGATATCAGTAAGTAAGCAACTGAGGCACTAAATGCAGGCTGGCATTTTTGTTCTTTAGAAATAGCCGTTTCTGGGATTGCACCAAACATTTTTAACAGTGCTTTTGAAACTTGAGACACCTTCTCCCTTTTGGCCTTTGTGCTTCTTTTCTTAGCCAGGCCAATATGGGCTCCCAATTTCTGGTTATCGTTCAGATTTGTCTTCATTTTTCCTGCATTCCCTCCTACTTTGGATTGGATCATTCTCTCCTTCACACTATGGGCTATACTCTGCCTTGATAGGTAGGATGTAGATTATATAACGCAAGGTTAATTAAAGGCTACTTCTGGTAACATTGCATTCTTTCCTGCAGTCTTCAAGAGACTAGCCAGTGTTTCCCTTTAAGCCATTGTTTAATCCAGTATAAGGGAAATCTTGATTAATTTTAACTACAGAGAATGTTGACGATGGCAAACTGCTTGATTTGGGCTGGTATAGTATAAAGCACACATAGAACATTCTTAAATGGGTCAACCTGGTACTTTTATCTTTCTGAAATTTATAACATGACGTCTTAGAGCATTTTATTTTCCTAAGGGCTTATTCTCTCATGCCTTTAATCAAGGTTCTCTGTCACCACTCTGGTTTAGAATATCATAGAATTGCTTACCCAAATGAGCTAATTATAAAATCTGTGCATATCAGGAGTTCCTGAACTGTGTCAGGGAGGAAGATACTTTGTAAGTGCAGATTTTCTGTTACAATTAACAAGAAGGCTAAGAGCAAGCACTACCTACAATCATTTGTCTGCAAAGAGCATAGATACATCAGCCGTGAATTTATTTCCTGCTTCTCTGCTTATGCTAGCAAAGCTTTTAAGAATATTAGTGTGAGCCTCTGGAATGCTGGGTCATACTCCTTCTTTACAAGAAAATCCCATTTTATGGCACTATTGGTTTATAAATATCTGGGTGCTTTGGCTTCCAAGTCGGTAAACACTGCTGCTGTGCTTAATCTGTGCACATGGCAATCTTGTATTGTTGGAGTGCTCTCTTGTGGTGAAACAAGGTCTATTGCTGAGTATTACAGACTAATTCAAGTATGTGTATTTCTCATTCAGAGTTCTGTTGGTTGTTGACTCTTTCGTTTTAGAAACACTGGTTATTATAGGCAAAGCTGTCTAGCTGAGTGTCTGCTTATGAATGATTAGGCAGAGCTTATAAGCAGAGCTTGTTCAGCTATGTACAGTCATACCTTGGAAGTTAAACAGAATCCGTTCCAGAAGTCCGCTTGACTTCCAAAAATGTTTGGAAACCAAAGTGCAGCTTCTGATTGGCTGCAGGAAGCTCCTGCAGCCAATCAGAAGCTGCGTCGGATGTTTGGCTTCTGAAAATCTTTCAAAAACCGGTACACTAACTACCAGGTTTTGACCGATCGGGAGCCGATTTGTTCGGGAGCCAAGGCGTTTGAGATCCAAGGTACAACTGTATATATTTGATCCTTGCATAGCATGGGGAGCATGAGCCAGAAATGTCTGGCCCATGCACACCTGTAAGAAATTATAAAATTAGAAAGATATGGTGTCAACATGGATTGGCAGATATTTTCCTCACAGAGCAAACTGGGTGTGTTCTATACTGTGGTGGATACGAGATGCACTGTGTGAGGCAGAGGCAGGAAGTCCATGATTTCCCCTGCAGCAAACACAGCCTGCATCTTTAACGTCTTGAGTGGATGATCACATGTTGCATATAGGAAGCACAGGTGTGTCTGTTGTGTGCAGATTTATAGCTTCTGCAGGTGGGGCGGAGGGCCCCAAAATAAATCAGGGCCCACACACACATAATAAGAGGTTTGACTTCTGAGTGTCAACAGGTGAAGCTCTCCCCGTAATTGTCTTTCCAAATGACAAAAGGCTTAAGCAGGTCATATTTCTACCTGCATACAGACGCAAAAATCTGGGTCTTCCCCGAATGCCCACCCTGTTCCATGAAAAAAACACAAGCTTCATGAGCAGCAAACCAAATGCATTATTTTCATCAACTGATCTTAGGCTTACAATACTGCATTTGGTGCAAGACTGGGCTTAGTAATTCTGGATGTTGTTTGCAGGGAAGGTAGTCAACCTTTCGATTTAGAGTAGTTAAGGTCCAGGTGCCCATGCTTGGATAAATTTAAGACTAAATGGTTAAAAAGCAAGCAGTTGTCACGATCCAAGGGACGTCCTCAGGGACAGGGGATCCACTAACTGATGATATAAGCCTCCACCAAAGCACCCATGCCACCACCGAGGGCAGGGTTGCAGGTGCAAGGGAAGCGGTTTGGATTCAGAGCACTGGAAGAAGCCTTTTGGACCCAGACTGCATCCTCCAGCCTCCTCAGGCTCTCTCCTAGGGAGTTCCCAACAGGGAACTTCTTAGCGCACCCAATCTCAGCAGAGTTTCCTGTCGGCATTGCTCATCAGATGGGAACTGGCAGGGAGCCCTGCTTGCAAAGGAACAAATCAGAAGCTCCCTTTAAGCTGTCAGCTCTTCCTTTATAACAAAGTCCGTACCTGATCCACATCAGACATAGCAGGTATGAGGCAGGTGAGCACCATTTGTAGGATACAGCGTTGCAGGCCAAATGGGAGCCAGGTCCCCCACTCCTGCACTCCTGTTTCTCAACTCCACAGTAACGCTGATCTAACCATACACATTTCTCCCGATTTCCATTTCTTCCAGTTGATGATTCCCGCTTCGACCATGCTGGTGTTCTTTCCAGAACCGGCTGTTGCCTACCTTTCGGCTGGTGTTTCAGGGATCAGCATTGCAGCCACTTTGCTGTTGCCATGGTAGGACAGTCTTATAGGTGTGTGTGCATATGTGTACCAGGTACAAAATCAACTGTTATCGGCATTTAAAAGGAAATATCTGTTACACAGTAGGATGTGCGGGACATCAGACTTTGTAGTATCTGTAAGGTATACTACCTGTGCCCTGTATCAGGGCACTAAGAAAAAGAGCAGTGTGTCACAGTAGACTTTTGACTCACCCAAACTCACAGGCCAGCTCTTTTTCGCCTGCACGCAGTGAAAGCAGCTTCCTAAGCTGAAGTTAAAAGCCACTTTTCATGCTATTTTCCCCCTAGCATAGATAAGAGATTGAGTGTGGAAAGGGGATGTGAGAAGAGTTGCACAAATGTCTTGTTTCTCTCTTTAACCCTCACCTTAGGAGAAGCAGCCTCTGCCATATTAATACTTCCTTGAAATGTTAGGCATCACTAAGAAGGACTTAAACTTACATTTATTCATCTCCTATAGAGAGCAAAGCCAGGCACCTTAAGATGGCTATTTCATTTGTAAAAAGGTTTATGGGAACATAATAATAAACGTACAACATAATTTGTATTGGTTGAGAGCAGATCAAAGAGCTGGTCAAACAGAGGAATGAATTTTCTTTAGAGTCGCACTGGTGTTTTCAGCCAGTACAATACCCGCAGATGCTTTGAAAATCTGCTATCTTGTTAGGAGCATAGATATTTGGGATCTCTCTCGCTCTGTCTCTCTTGTAATGGCTTGAGAGGTTTTACAAATGTCTCTTACTGTAACTCATTACAAAAGTCCTCCTGGGGAATATGCTACACTCATTCAGTTTTATTCTCTGTTGTTCTAGACATCACTAACCTATCAGCAGAAGTAATTAAATTTGATGTTAATCAAGAGTGCAGTCCCAGCCTCCCTCCCTCATGCTTATTCCAGAATAGCAAACCTCTGCCAGTGTTAAGTTTCTATCCATTAACCTGCACGATCATTAATTGCTTCAGGATTCCTACCTGACCTGACCTAATTAGTTTGTAAACCCTCCATGTTTTACATAAGTGGTATAATATTGATTAATTGTGCCACAAAATATGAAAATGTCTTTCTTTTAAAGTACTGTATGCTGCTCATTAAAATGTCACATCTTTTTCCAGAAATATCTAATGGATGTGTAATTATTTTCATTGGTTGGTTAAAGGTCCATGTTGCCTGATGTAGTGGACTACTTTCGGGTGCAGAATCCTAATTCAGTAGGACATGAAACCATCTTTTATGCTTCATATACCTTTTTTTATAAGATGTCAGCTGGGATTGGACTAGGAATTTCTGCAGCTAGTCTGAAGTGAGTAAAACACATGCACACACACGCACACACACACATGGTTGCTCCAGACATAGATATAGGACCACATTATAAATATCCATGTGTCAGTATCTGGGTTCTTTTAGGTACATAAGAACCCAGGGCATGGTAAACTAATGTGGGGTTTGTTCAGTTAAACTCTCAGTATCACTTATAGTTCAAGGCTCTTATTACCACTAGAACCAGCATCCACGCCCAGGAGTATCAGTAAGCAGGAAGTGGTGAATCTCTGAGTATCAAACCTAGTGAGAGCCAGTCAAATGAGGTGGCTAAAGGGTCAAACTAGGTCTGAGGAGCATCCAAGTTAAAATCCTCACCATGAGGTTTGCTGGGCAAAAAGAAAAACAAACAAATACAAAAAAGAGAGGTTCACTAGATGACCTTAGGCGAGTCTCGATTTCTCAGATTGCAAACCTGCCATGTTGTAAAAATAGGCAGCAGGAGACCCTCAAATGACATTCCGAGTGGAATCTAAATGTGAAAATTAATATTTGTTTACCTGATACAAAAAGCCATTTTGAAATCAAAAGCCAGCCCTGCTTAGTTTTCAACCTACTTGGAATATACAAGCTGTGGATTGTGGCTCTTTCCTAATGAGGGTTAAAAACAACAACACTCATTTAACAGCTTGGAAGCAGTGTGTGGAGACAAATTCCTACATGTCAAATTATATTTATTTCATAAAATCTATATGCTGCTCGATTGTAGAAAACCTCAAAGCAGTTCACATGTACAAATTGTTGTTGGGGGTGCTGTGCGAACCCGCACAGATGTACAATTCCACTTTCCATGGCTAGTATGATGAGTCTCACCTTTCCTTACTGACCTTGAAAGTGGGGAAAGGGGTTGGGTATCATCCCCACAGTTATACTGGGCTTATGAAGCAAGCACAAACTACAAGCCTCAGTCCTCTTTATCAAATGGATCCACTCCCAAGTGTGTAGAAATCGTTCCAACAGTGATGTTGTGCCCCAGAGCTGGTCAGAGGCCTCCAGAAGCTCTGTGTAACTGCAAAGGTGATTCCTTATACCTTCCCTATACCCAAGCTTAGAGAGGGAGGAGGGAATAGGACTGTCCTTAATCCTGCACTGTGTTTTTCCGAGATGCAGTTTGAAGTTGGGTAAAGTCTCTGCTCCTTTTGGTTGCTACCACAGCCATCTGAAGTTTGTGGACCCCTGTGCATTTATATTGCAAATTTAATCAGAGCTCCATTGAACTGCCTGAATGTGCATTTTGATGTGAAATAGGAAGTGCATCAGTTAAAAAGTCACAAAATCCAGCTAGTGTTTGAGTGAGTAGCAAAGACTCCACATGCAATTTTTAGTGCAAGACAATTTAAAATTAAGTCTTGCAGTGAACATGCTCTACTCCTGCTTTAGTGTCTGCAGACAGGGAACTTAGAGTTCACAGAATTTCTAGCAGATAATGAATTCTACTGCATTCTGCTTGCTTAAAAATGCCAGAAAAGTTTAATAGGATACAAAGGTTAATAAATACATGTCCATGTACAAGGTGAAATAAATTAATCCACAATGTGAAACTGGTTTGCCGAAGATTTCGGCTACAGAGTGTAGGTAATAATTGGCTCATTGCTTCAGTCTTGACCACAGCGAGAGGTAAAAACGTGACTATGTTTCATCTGTAAGCCCCTACCTTCTTCATTACTCAGATCTGGCATCAGCAAGAAAAAAAAATCTCCAAGGAAGCTGAGATGATATCAAGGAGCCAGTGAAACCCCAAGGGAAAAAAATTATGGGGAAGGCTCTACATTGTGGGTGGGAGAGGTTACACACACACAGAGTACGGTAAATAGTAGTATGAAGATACGACTGTAACAGATGTATTTATTTTTTTAATAGTCTTGCAGGCTTCAAATCGGGTGTGTGCAAACAGTCTCACAGTGTTGTTATCATGCTGAAAGTCCTGGTTGGAGCAGTCCCATCTCTTCTCGTGCCATTAGGCTTGTTTATACTCATTTTCTATCCAATCAATGAAAAAACTCGAAAGGAAACGAAACATGCCCTTGAAAGACGAAGGTAAGTATGTACCTACAACAGATTCTCTTAGTGCTCACTATGGAAGAGATAGGCTATTTCAAAAGCAAACACCTTGTATTACGCTGCATACAGAGAACCCCTTTACTGACCTAGAAAACAAAGTCTTTTACTTTGAAAAGCATACTGCTTTGCTTGACTACCAGCATTTTCTGGCTTCATTTCAGCAGAGGCTCTCTAGGCTTTCTATATGGTATGATGTATTGCCCTGCTATTGCATTTTTGCATTGTTAATCATTTCAGTGCAAAGCTGCAAAGGGAAGTGCAAAGGGAAGTGATTTTTGTTAACTGCCCCTTCGCCCTGCACTTCTCAGGGCCACCTTCTACAGTGTTCTGGAGGGTCCATCAACACTCTAAAGCAGCAGTAGGGGAGAGGCCCCACCGGGCCAAAAGCATTCCCCACCTCTGAGCTACAAGCTGCCACTTCAAATACTACTAAGGGGCAGGACCATGTAACCGCCCTGAAAGTTACAAAAGCATGGAAGAATAGTTGCCAGGTTCTTAATGCCTCAGGAACAATTTCAGATGATGCATAACTGAAACGAAACACTTCAAAAAGGCTGGGTCCAGGGGATGCAGGTGGCGCTGTGGTCTAAACCACTGAGCCTCTTGAACTTGCCGTTTGGTAGGTCGGCAATTCGAATCCATGTGACGGAGTGAGCTCCTGTTGCTCTGTCCCAGCTTCTGCCAACCTAACAGTTTGAAAGTACACCAGTGCAAATAGGTAAATAGGTAGCGCTGTGGCGGGAAGGTAAACGGCGTTTCCGTGTGCTCTGGCACTTGTCACAGTGTTCCACTGTACCAGAAACAGTTTAGTCATGCTGGCCACATGACCCGGAAAGCTATCTGTGGGCAAATGCAGCTCCCTTAGCCTGAAAAGCGAGATGAGCATCGCATCCCATAGTCACCTTTGATTGGACTTAACCATCCAGGAGTCCTTTACCTTTTACCTTTATTAGATGTCATTGTCTTAGCACTTATGTTACAATGTCAAACACAGAAACCACATTTCTTCATGTGTGGTTCTTTTGCATTTTTTAAAACAGGCATCGTCTAAGCATTCTCTGTGAGAATGAAGAAATCACTCCTCTTTGAAAGCCGGAATAGCTTGTGGTAACGAAAACCTAACCAGGCAGCAGCGCTTTGTGGGATAAAAGGCTGCTCCTTATTCCACCGAAGCTTTATTTCACGGATGATACACACATCTATTTATCAAGGCTAAATGAATTCAAAACACATTGTAACTTGGAGCATAGTTTGGAGAGGAATGCTTGGAACCTGTATGTATAGAACACTGGGGAAACTGCTTGCTGCTCTTTCCACTGATCTATAGCTATACTGAGGATTGGAAAACAAGCTGCCTTCTAAGCGTCGCCCGACGGTCTGTCTCCAAGGATGGGTAGTCCTCAAAATTTCAACTAAGAGGTCACATTATCCATGCCTACGCAGACTCTCTGTTCGTCAAACAATCCCCTTTCACAATTTGTTATAAATAACCGATTAGAGCAAAAATAAAAATGGGATCTTCTTCATCAACCCTTCAAAGTGTCGGCATGTTTTCATGATTTTAAAATGTAATGTTTTGCACCTTCTGCTTATCTAAATCAAGACTTTTATAGACACTTGGTTATGTCCCATTAAAAGTGGCTCTGTGCAAAAACATATTGCCAATTAGAAAGGCTTGCTTTTCATGTGCTTTTTAAATTCAAGCCCATATTTAAACTATCAAATTAAGGCTGTGACAAAGCAAGAGCATCTGTAATCCAGCACGATGCTCCAAAAGAAAAGAGAAGAAAAGAGCAAAACCTTTAATTGTGTCTTTGCTCCTGTAAAATGTTGGAGATTTGCTATTCTAAGTGAACAGCTAGCTCCATGATTATTTACCTGGAGATAATAATAATTGAGTGTGGCTCTTCAAAATCAAGGGTTCAAACAATTACCACTACGTTGCATTACTACTTTTGGCATTTCTTGGTATGACAGTGTGCACAAGAGGGTTGGAGGTAGTTTATTTAAATAATAGCTAATCAGGCGAAAACCATATTTTTTCCAGGTACTATATTATTGGGAGAATCCTTTTGATTGCTACATTCTGAAAGTTAAGACTTTCAGAGGTTATTGCACCAAATAGCTGACACTCTTTGGGAGTACCACATGGTCCACCACTGATTTTGTAGTCAGATGTTCATGTGGAGGTTCTGTTGTTGTTATTTTGAACTGGCACCTTCATATTGGAGTCACAATTTGGGTAATTTCTATGGCGCTTTTCTGAGCTCCTAGGACTCTAATTGCAGCAGAAGTGCATACAGCCTTCACATGGAGGCACCAGTTCCTATTAATAGCATCTCCAAATGAACACCACCTGCTCATGAGCTCCGCGGCAGATTCCACAGAAGTTTCCAGATAATGTAAATAATTATCCGTTCCGGTGCCAAATGCTTGGGACAGGAGTGATTAGTCAGTGTTGTGTCTGCCTGTGCACACAGAATATTGGCATTCTCTTTCACAATGTGCTAAGTTATTGTCTCCCAATGACACACTGTAACTGCCATCCAGTGCTATTTCACTCATTTCTCCCAGGTCATGTTTTGATCCTGTGTTGAGAGTACAGATTAATGAAACTTTCAACTTGAAGCCAGTCCACACACAGAAAGAGATACAAAAGCAGAGCACACGGCTACATGTGTTGTCTTCCTCTGCTTGCAAGTAAATTGACTCTCCAGGTAGGTTCTTAGTGAGCTAAAAATATCCAATGCAGCATGTAGCATTGCTAGGAAATCGAAGTGGGGGGCAGATTATATGGTACATGGCAGGCTTTGTGACCAGTGTTGGCTGGATATGATGAAGTATAAAACTCCCATTATCACACTTAGCTGTCGGCAGAGAAATTGCGCTATTTTTACAGTGAAGAGCAGGTTCTCTCAGTCTGACCTGGTACATGTTGGATTTTTAATGGCTAGAGTGTATAGCTGAATATATTTAGAAATGGAGAATGTATTTTTGTTAATGAACTGTAGTGTTCGTAAGTTTATGTTTAAAAGCTTTCACAGGGTTGGGGAAAATTCTGAACACTTAGAACGGGCGCATTTAAGTTATTTTGGAGCACAACCCATTTGAAGCAGATAATCAGCTGGGCCCAATGAATGAGTAGATTTGAGGATTTAAATGTTAAAAGTATGCTATTTGGCATTGCTTGCCGTGATACCTCACAACAAAGCAAAAAAGTTGCTTTTGTATCTAATCCTGAAGCCTAATGTATCTGGGAGTTGTCAAGCTACATATGAGCTGAATGAGGTGGTGGAAACTAAACGCTTCTTCCATTACATAGTGGATATTAAGCCTACAAAATACAAGACTAGGCCACTGTATTGTTTAAGGGTCTCAAAGATGACACAGTAACCCAAGGAACTTCAATCTTTCTGCTGCCAAGAAAGCTTGTCCTCCTTTACAGTCTCTGTGCAGCCACAAGGGATGTCGGAGAATTCTGGCAGAAGCTGAAGGGGAAATCAACATCATGTTTGCTTATCTGTCCCATGTCCCGAACGGTATGTCACTGTTGATGGTTTTAGTCTTCAACCAATGTGTATTTGATTATATTCCCCCCTGTTTGCATTATGTTTGCTTTGCATTAAAATGAATGGGATGGAATAACAATGACAAAGTAATTTATGCCAGAAATCACATAGGTTCTGTATTTTTGCTGCAGCGGACAGCAAGATGAGTAACATTTTTGGTGCAAGGCAAGCTGCAGTGGATGCCACAAATACAAGACACAACAGAAAACGATGCCTTAATACATCCCCAGCAGCCACATACCAGTTTTAAACCTGTAAAAACCCTTTTGGAACTGAAAGCACGCCTAGTATGCATTCAACACTCCCCTGTAGGTGAACATTGCAAGGGAAGATAAATTACTGAACTGCCTATCAGGCACTTTTTTTAAAACCTTTAAAACTTCACATGCCTGCTGTTTCCAGGAAGTCTTCTAATTGTGAGATTTTGTGGTTGAGCTGAGAGTTTGTTTGGACCCTGGATGAGAACCCAAAGGCTGAAGGGTGTGTCACAAGGAAAATGAATTGATACTGATTTATAGATATATTCACAACTTTGTATTTTGTAACATTTTTATATGTAATTGTGTATTTTTGTAATATTTTAAGTTGTTGCTTCAAATTTTTTTACACCGCTTAGAGAAAAGTCTAATCTATTAAGCAGTATAGAAATTAAATAATTAATTAAATCATCTCAAACTGCTGATAGACCTGCAAATGCCACAGAGGATAGTTTTGACAATTACTATTAGAATAGAACATGCCGTATTCCAGAACGAAAACATGCTGTTCAGCTGACTAGCATAGGAGAGATAGCAGCTGCTGCTTTTTGGAGAAGCTGAATCAGTTTATTAAAAAATATTTTGGTATATGTAAGATAATAGTTAGCAGTACAATGAAAATGTATAATGGCAATATTAGCTGTCAGGTGATTTTAACAGTTTCTCCATTATTATTTTAACATCTTATTTTAACCAGGATTTTATAAAAATGGATTAGGGTTTTTAATATGTTCTATATGCCCCTTTCCCATTCTTCTTTCTTGAAACATCCACCAACCCACTTACCTGTAAGGTCTAAACAGCATTGCAAAGCAGCAAAACATCATGTTTGAGATCTCCAGTTCCCAAATATTAACTCTGCCCCTCACCTCCTAGGGTATGTGATATCACTTTAGAATACCCAGCAATCAGTCTCCACAGCTGTTATGAATCAAACAAATCTACTTTTTATTATAGCTTAGAATTGTTTATCTTCGATACATGCATACTCTTTGACATTTTGAAGGAAGACTTCAGTTGAGATACATTAAGGTTAGATGCAGTTACTCTTATCATGATTCTAATTAGTGACTAGTTCTGTAAGTGGATTTAAATAATCACTTGTTCAAGTGCATAGGAATTTCCAGGCACTGGTAAAATACAAATACATTAGTATAACAATACAGAAACTGTAGCAGGAGGAGTGTGTTATATGGCACAGCAATAAATATGAGCCAGTTTTGATTTCCGCTTCTAGAATCATAAATACCACCAGTAACATAGTTTTCAATGTGTTCATGCCACTGAGATGTCTCCTGAGTAAATTCTAATGACAAAACCCCCTGAAGACCAATGCTCTGGATAAAATTTGACTTTTGTGTTTAGTAGAGAAACATAATTGGTGAGGAAATCTGAAAATATAAATTTGTTAATAAATAGGGTTGTTGCTGTACACTGCCCTGGCAATTTATACTTTTTATAAATAAATAAATAAAATAAAAGACTGAATAAACACGTGGATGTAGTCTACAGAACTATACCAGGATCCATTACTAAAATAACCTGAAGTTTGCAGAGCTGTAAATTATATTTTAAAAAAGACCGACAAGGTAAGATGTACAAAATGGTGAAACACCATTGGAGTGTAAAAGCAGGGAACCCTCCCCCCCCACCCCCATGAAAATGCAACTTTTAATTATGGGCAGTAAAAACTTTCAGTCTTAAGTGACAACTAACAAACTGTCCTGACGGAACGACTTTAATTTGGTTATGAAGCCGTACTGGTTTGGCCTGAAGAATTGCTCTGTACCAGACACTGAGAAGAATGTTCTCCCATTACTTCCATAGAACTGTTATCACAATCCAAGCTTTGGGAGGAAATCTTCCTGTATCCACCACCTGTGGAACTGATAGTTTTCAGTGTTTTGGAAGAATCAGTGCTGCTATCGTTACAGCTGGCAATATCACTGGAGTGGGCATCCCTTATGACTATCTCCTGCAGGGCATCAAATGTTAATGGAATAAAACCTTCGTTGTCTGAAGTGAGCACAATCCAGGACAAACCTGTTGAAGACATTAGATACATACAATTTTTCAAGAGCATAATAGAAAAACAGTGATCTTTGTTACACTGTTTGCAATATAAAATGACAGTAGCTGGCTGGCTGGCCTAAATTCAGAATTTAGCTTAACGGTATCAGACGCAACAGTTATGTATTATGCAATACACTTCTAGCCATAGGTGCCAACTCCCCAGGGCCCTGGGTGCCCGAGCACCCACAAAATTCCCCATGAAGGGCACCCACAGCCCTGGGCATCCATGGTCATGGGACCAAGCTGGAACTCCTGCTTCTAGCTAGCAATGTTAGATTAATTTTTACATGCACAGAAAGCAGCAAGAAATACATCTTGACATGACTTCCAAGTCACAGACAACTTTTAAAATGAGTGCATCAAAATGACACGGGCAATTCTTGGCTGGAAACATTTAATTCAGACAATTCTTGCAATTCAGATTCTACCTTGTACATTGAGAATGGTGGTATTTCAATACAGTGATTATACTCTCTGAATGGCTGGTACAAGCTAGTAAGACATGAACACTCCCAAGGGAAGGGATAGTACTAGCAAACCAAACAGAAATTGGGGGTGACCACTCCACTCTGACAGCCGTCCATGTCTTGGTTCAGCTTGTAGCCCAGTGAACAGAGAAGCATGTAGCACCTCAGTACTGGAGAACTAAGCAGCAACAAAGGTTGGATTCTATGCTTTAGCCAGGGTCCCTCCTGTTGTCAAGCAAGGCCACAGACCCCACTGTTCTGTAGCTTGGCTGCTAATGACTTCAGATGTTTCTTGCTGAGCAGCAGAAGCAAACTCCCATTTTTTTTCTTGTAGTCCTGATGGCACTACAATTTTACGAAGTCTGAAAATGCAGTGCTGCAGATGCTCAAGAGTATTTTTCTCTAAAAAAAATCAGGATAACCAAACTGCTTTTGGTTTGGGGTCCCCCCCCCGCCTTCTTCCAACACAGCAGGAATGTTGGAAGTAAAGAATGAAATGGTGGAGGGTGGGTGGGTGTGAAATGACTGTTAAACCCAAGGTCTATATCTACCTAGCTGCACCGTTCAGGGCCCTCCTCCCTTTCATATCAGTTTCAGCCCATTGATACAGCAATGTTAGTGAGCTGCCTAAAGATTGTGGTGGGGTGTTCTTCCTGGAATGTGCATGGAAACACTGTGGAGATGATCTTAGCCTTGATAGAACTAAAAGCATTTGGCATGCCTCTGCTTTCCTAAAGCAGTTAAAAGCAGCCATTTCCCCCAACACCATTCCAAAGTATTTATACCCCAGATGGCAGGGTATAAGTAAAGGTAAAGGGACCCCTGACCATTAGGTCCAGTCGTGGCCGACTCTGGGGTTGCGACGATCATCTCATTTTATTGGCTGATGGAGCCGGCGTACAGCTTCCAGGTCATGTGGCCAGCATGACTAAGCCGCTTCTGGCAAACCAGAGCAGCGCACGGAAATGCTGTTTACCTTCCCGCCGGAGTGGTACCTATTTATCTACTTGCACTTTGACGTGCTTTCGAACTGCTAGGTTGGCAGGAGCAGGGACTGAGCAATGGGAGCTCACCCCGTTGCGGTGATTCGAACCACCGACCTTCTGATCAGCAAGCCCTAGGCTCTGTGGTTTAACTCACAGCGCCACCCGCATCCCTTAGGGTATAAATAATAATATATCATCATCATAATCATCATTATTAAAGAGGCATTTGGAGGCTTGCTTTTTTCAGGTCACAGGCTTAAAAAGCAGGAGGTAAAATAGGGAAGGGGAGTAAAACCAGACAGTACATGCCAGCTTGAGTTGGGGTAGGGCATGGATAGAATAATACCAGCATCAGCAAAGCAGTTCAGGAGAAACAGGGAGGCACACTCGCAGACATGCAAGGGGGGCATTATTGTAAAAGATGTCAGGAAGGGCAGCAAACAGCTTTCCCAAACCACCTCTTCCTGAAAGCACAATCAGGGCGAAAACTGGCAGGTCCAAATGATAGTTCTGCCAGCACCTCGTGAAGCAGCCTTTCCAAAGGAACTTGGTTCCAAACTGTAAAACTGTTCCTGGATTACAGGTGTAGTCACCTTTTAGCAGTCATGCAGTACTTCTCAAATTTTATATCAACATGGCAACGTCATTCACTACCCGTAATTTTAGGAACTGCTAGAAATGCAATTCTTACTGGCAGCTCCATTTGTCGGTTATGTAACACTATGCGGCAAGTGACATCATGAGAAGATTGAGGCTTTACAGTCATGTGAACTTTTAATCTTTCTACTTAATGCTTTATCTGAACTCAACTTAAGGCCAATACCGCACAAGACTTTCAAAATATCTCTGTGGGCACAGTTAACAAGCCAGTATATGTAACACATTGTAGACGTGTTAATAACCCACCCTGAAATTGTGCAAGGAAAATTAGGGCAAGTTGCAATTTGTAAGATTTACTTTCATAATTGAATAAGGGGAATCAATCTGAAAATCACTATTGATAGCAAGAATGCAACTGCCTATTTGAACGGAACGGTGGCAATTTTCTTAAATTATTCCAAATGCCATTTGGGAGTTCTTGCAGCAGCTTGCAACAAATGAAGCATGCTGAAGCCACTGGGTATGGAACGGGGTGTTGCTAAATTGGGCACACTCGGTTTTTTTACTGGGCCTTGATAGTGCTGTTAACTTGTAAAATGCCTGCAATTAGGCAACTGCACTTGGGATGCCGAGTATAATTCTGGTCATAGCTCCTCAAAAAGGATGTAGAGCTGGAAAAGGGTAATGAAAATCAAATTCCCTATGAGGAAAAGCAGAGCTAATGCTCAAAAATATCTCTACACTTTCTACTGAAATACAGTGGACTCTCGGGTTGCAGACATGATCCGTGCGGGATACACATTTGCAACCTGCAGTGTTCACAACCCGCAGTGGCGCGTCTGCGCACACACGGGTTTGCGATTCGGCGCTTCTGCGCATGTACGACCGCTGAAATCCGGAAGTAACCAGTTCCGGTACTTCCGGGTTTTGGCGCGTCCATAACCCGAAAAAACGCAACCTGAAGCATCTGTAACCCAAGGTATAACTGTAAACATTACTCTAAAGCATAGGTGATATTGTGAGAAATGACACAGAAGATAAAAGTTATGCAGAAGAAATCAGTATTCCTTCTCTGATTTCCCAAATGGTTTCTGAGTGCCCAAATGTTCTTCTAATAAGCACAAACCCTAGCTGAAAATAAAGGGCTTTGGCACCCTCACCTCTTATAAACAAAAATGTAAAGCAACTTCCGTTTCTGAATTCTAAATTAGACCAAATGTAACACACACAATAAAAGGCACAACTGTTTTCCCACTGGCACACTGCCTTCCTTCCAGATCAATCAAATATTTTCATTAAATACCATATTTCTGACAAACAGAACTTACCATGCTGCATTTCAACAAGAGTCAGGTTGAAAATCTGCTGAATTAGACTTAGACGAAGTTTGCCATCGCAGAGGATAACAGCTCGCTTCTCAGGTGTAACAGTTCCGGAACAATCCTTCTGTAAATTAAGAACAAACTACTAGCGTGATTGGGACGCGGGTGGCGCTGTGGGTAAAACCTCAGCGCATAGGGCTTGCCGATCGCATGGTCGGCGGTTCGAATCCCCGTGGCGGGGTGAGCTCCTGTCGTTCGGTCCCAGCTCCTGCCCACCTAGCAGTTCGAAAGCACGTCAAAGTGCAAGTAGATAAGTAGGTACCGCTTTATAGTGGGAAGGTAAACGGCATTTCCATGTGCTGCGCTGGTGCTGGCTCATCAGAGCAGCTTCGTCACGCTGCCCACGTGACCCGGAAGTGTCTCCGGACAGCGCTGGCCCCCAGCCTCTTAAGTGAGATGGGCGCACAACCCTAGAGTCGGACACGACTGGCCCGTACGGGCAGGGGTACCTTTACCTTTTTACTAGCGTGATCAAGACTTATTTCACCCCATTCCCAGGCACCTAGCAACAAGTCTGATCTGCATGCATCTAAATTTGCTGAATGTTCCAACTCAGCCTGTGCTGATCACCTGCTTGGCCCAGGAGTGGGGGAACTATATCCAGGCCACCTCTTTGCTGATTTGCCCTTTACAGGTAATTAGCAGAAGCACTCAAATTGGACAGCACTTGCCAAAATCAAACAGATGCCCAGAGTCTGGGACTGCATTCAAGAATCTGCAGGCCAGTGCAACAGATATGCATTGTTTGTGCACACGAGAATTCCAAGCAGTTTCAACTGATGAAAGCCCAGTGGAGAATTTCCAGGGGTCTCCTTCCCAGCTGTTGCTCTATGGATGTGGCCCTCCAGATCTGTTACACTCCCAAATCTCATCAGCCCCAGGCAGCATAGCCAATAGCCAGGGATGATGGGAGTTGTAGTCCAGCAATGTCTGGAAGGCCACAGGCTCCCATCCCTAGATGCTCTTAGTGTCACACAGCTAGTTTTGGACAGTAAAATAGTTTGCCTCCCTTCAGTGAGTTTGTGTTAGCCCATGCTGCTATACAAAAGTTGCTTCTCTCCAGAGATAGGAAGCAAGATTTCTAGTATTTTTAAGCATAGCTGGTAACAATAAAGCACATGAATACATGTACTTTGTGTTTGAAAGGTACCTGATAAGTGATGTTAACAAAAGAGGGAGCACGCGAAGATGGATATCCCAGCAGAGGTTTTTTCCCCGATTTCAAAAGCTCGGTTAGTTCAAAAAGCTGATGCTGCAATTCTGCAAACCTGCAGCACAGCCTTTCCAGATGCTTAGAGGTGTAAGAGGGTTCTTTTTCAATTTGCAGCAAGTTTGTTTTTGAGGAATTTGACATATCCGTAGAACTATGCACATGCTTGTTTGGTGAAATGGATACGTTTGACAATCCTGAAGAGGTTTCGATTCCTTGAAGAACAAGTGAACGATTTGTTGGTTCAGCATCCAAACTTCCCAGGACTTGAGGGAAGTCCCTGGAAATCTTTTTCTCCTGGAAGTCAACTGCATTGGTCAGCACGCTTTGCTCATTAGCAGGGCTCTTAATTTCTTCTATGAGTTTTCTTCTGTTTCTAGGAGACTGGATCGCTGTGCAACTTGGCATCAGCAATCCATCACACAGTACATGAGGCTCTGAAGAATGAATTTCTATGCCCTCTTTTTTTACCGGTACGTTTGCAAAGCAAACCTGGGTAGTCCCTGAAAAGGCAGAAGAGTCTTCTTTGCACACAATTTCTTTGACCATCAAACGGAGAATGTACTTGTCCGAGCGTGACGATGGAAGAAAAGCCGGGTCTGTTAATTTCTGTTTTCCAACCAGTATCAGCAATAGCTTTTCTGTCAGGAAACACAATCCCTTTGGCCTTTCACTTTTCTCCAGTTGAATTTGTTGAATGTTAGGCAAGTGAGATGAAGATAAAGAGTAAGCCAAAATTATATTACAAGTGTTGGATGCCACTGCCACAGTTTGAGTTTTAGAATCAAAAGTCATTATGTCTGGGACCAGAATCCCTGAGATGCTGACTTTTTTGGTAGCTGTCACTTTTCTTTCAAAAGTCACCAAGATCAGGTGTGAGGCATCTTGGCCACTTCCTGTTAAGTAATCCTTAGTTCTTAGATGAAGGAGAGAATTGTTATCAGTCTGCTGCTTGCTTGCAGTAAGGTGGGTTAGATCCACCGACGAAGATGTAGAAGTTACAATGGACCCAGGTTTTTCTTGGTCTGTTAACTTTTTCCCACTGTCTACAGAGAGCTCTTCTTTGCAGGCCGACGAGGAAGTTTGTGAGGGAACAGAGTTTCCGACAGCCTCAGATGGCATTTCAAACGAAATGCCCGCGTTTAAGCTACATATCTTATCTAGTGGAAGTTCGGTAGCAACCGCCACTTGAGAACCTAATGTCGCTTCGATTGCACAGATGTAGCCTCCCACGTCAAATATCGGGCAAAAAGAGCATGCATTCAAAGTTTTCTGTTCATCATCCCAAATATAGGAATGGAGGGCACTGCCTATCCCAACCACCAAGCGGTTGCCTTCCTCAGTCCAGCAAGCACAGTGGATGAGCGCACTGCTTTTAATATCTGCTTTTATTCTGGAGTTGTTGATCCGAACTGAGTGTAGCACAGAGGTGTCCCGCGTAGTAAGCACAGCCAAGATTTCCTTTTTCGGATGCCACACACAGCCCTGAGGAAGGATGGGAAACAGCTCACCAATTTCGCTGATTTGATAAACCATCAGTTTGTTTCTTTCAGAAACACTGTAACATAGCTGCCACATGGTGATGTGTTTTTTATGCTGGATAGCAAGGAGTGCAGGCAGATCTGGGGCACAAGATGGAGCCCAGTAAAGTCCATGAACGTGTTCAAACTGGCCAACAACATTCGAGTTGCCAAATTTAGGTTCTCCATTATGCTGATACAACGAAGTCAGGATCACTTGCTTTCCATCAGTCCAAGCAATCCCATGCACAGGATGTATGGCCTGGTATAAGGCATTGAGGCCAGTTCTCAGCAATTTTCCTTTCCCCAACTCCATTTTTATGTTCTGAAGGAATACATCTATAAAGTAAGCAAACAAAAAACATTATTTGAAACATTTTTGCTGTTGCTAATTTGTCTTTATGCCATATAATGACGCAAATACAAAAGGTAAATTCCCAGGAACATTCTGGGGCTCACTGTTGAAAAGAGCATGCTGGATGAATCTCTACCTTGATCCATCAAGGTTACTTGTTTTCTTCTAGCATTCATATTTTTTTAAAAAAAAATCTTTAGTGATTTGAGACAATAAGCAAAAAGGGGAGTAAAGTAAACACAGTATACAACTGAGGTTCATGTATCTTTTTTCCATAGAGTTTTTTAAATTTCATTTTACAATGTATATAATAAAAGAAAGAACAATGAATAAAAAATAAAAAGATGAAAAACAAAACTATAAAATAGGCCCATGGAATGAGTATAGTTGCACATGGGTTAAAATAACGAAGTCCGAGAATATAGGGGCCCATGTATCAGTAGGTATTATTTGCATTTTAAAAAAAGTATTTATATTATTTTGTTACAATGTTGTAATAGACAATAACAACTTTAACAAATGCTAGAATATGGATGTTCTTCTCACATTACCCATTTTTATCTGTAAGGTTGCATACACACTATAGCTTTAAAGCCAATTTGAAACACATTCAAAAGAATTCTGGGTACTGCAGTTCATCCCTCAGAGGTACAAATCCCAGCAACTCTTGACAAAACTACGGTACCCATAATTCTTTGGGAGGGGAGGGGATGTGTTTTCTGACATCTATGTCAGACAGGTACTCGCACCACAGTCAGGATTGGTAGCAGCTCCCTGCCAAGTGTATACTTTGTGTCAAAGCCAAATCTGCCTTGCATAAGGCAAATATAAGAAGCTGAGGAGAGGAGGGGGCACTTTGTACTAAGTTTACCATCAGAGTGAAAAATAATCAGCCCTACTGCTTGGGGTACCGCTGCCTTCCCATTTCTTTTTTTAAAAAGTGTTTGTAGTGGCTGGGAGAAGTGTGCAACCGAAAAATATTTGGTAAAAGTTTAAAACCTTGACTATATAATGCAGATTGTGCCGTTCCTGCCATAGGCTTGGATTAGTTTCAAAGCTCTGCATGTGTTCTGTATTCCCTGTACTATAGCTATTCGCTAAAGGTGAATAAGTGAGTATCTATGGTAGAGAATTCAGAACACATGCAGAGCACTCAAAATGATCCAAGCCAGTGATATGTCCCAAGTCTGCCTTAGTGATCCCATCTGTGAAATGGGTATGTTTTCTAGTATGTCTTCTACATGCATGGTTGGCATCCGTCTGTCCTGGGAGACTACTGTGGAGTGATTACTTGACAATACACTCCACATATAACCAAGAGTCTTGGGGTACCTTATGAAGTAATAAATTGTGGCATAAACTCTTGTGGCCCAGAACCCGTTTTGTCAGATAACAGGCGGCAAACTGAACTAGTGCTGCATGTGTGAGACTTGATGTATAGACCACAGCAGGGATGTCTGCACATAGTTCTTGCTTTATGCTTGTGACACAATTCCAGCTTGATTTGTTATGCTACGCTGCACTGGCCTTGGTATCATTGTTAAGTCTTTCAAAAACCCAGTTGCTTGGCGGCAGGTAACTTGTAAAGTGCATACAATAGCCAAACAAAACATTTTTCCGAACAGAGCAAGCAAGGTGTTTTCTGTAGGCTCTGCCAGTCTTCGGGGAGTTCAGAATCATACAAGCATATATAATTGTTGGAACCCGCATGCCTGCTTCTTCACTAGTTTAGTTGGCAGAGCGTAAGACTCTTAAATCTCAGGGTTGCAGACTCAAGCCCCACACACTGAGCAAAATGTGGACCAGATGGGGTCCCTTCCAATTTGACATTTTTAATGCGATTGGAGCAACCGCAGTCGCGCTTAACTCTGCTGCATGAGAGCAGAAATCTCTCTTCCAGCGTGATAGTAGCCTAGTCAGGTAGAGCACGAGACCCTTCATCTCAGGGTTGTGGGTTTGAGCCCCGCGTCGAAAGATTCCTGCATTGAAGGGGGTTGGACTAGATGGCCTTTGGGGGTTCCTTCCGACTCCGAAATTCTACGATTTTATACAAACCGTATTGCGAAGGGCCCCCAAGGCCTAGACTGAGGACTGTTCTGTGACTCACAGCTCCAGTTGGTTTGGAGCGGGCTGCCGATAACCATAGCTGTCAACCTTCCCTTTTTTTGCGGGGAATTCCCTTATTCCAGCGCCGTTGCCCGCTGCTTCCCGCTGCTATCCCAGATTGTTAGATATCCCATAGACTGTCCTCGGGACAGGTGAGGCTGCTGATCCCTTATTTTCTAGGCTCCCCGGGACGGGTGAGGCTGCTGATCCCGTATTTTCAAGGCTGCTGATCCCTTATTTTTGAGGTTCCCTGGGACAGTTGAGCCTGCTGATCCCTTATTTTCGAGGCTCCCTGGGACAGTTGAGCCTGCTGATCCCTTATTTTCAAGGCTGCTGATCCCTTATTTTCAAATCTGAAAGTTGACAGCTATGCCGATAACCCCAAGGTCGCAGGTTCGAGCCCCGTATGGGACCGGCGCTGCCTTATTCCTGCATTGCAGGGGGTTGGACTATATGATCCTCAGGATCCCTTCCGATCCCATGAAAGGAGAACTGTCCCCGTGGGTTTGCTTTTCTTTAAACTGAAGTTCAACGGGACTCACACCAAGCAGGCGTATTGGACTGCGGCCTAAATCGTGTTACACACCCACCGCAGCGCCTCGGGTTTTTCCCCTCAGGCCGTTGGCCCCGCCCCCTCCTCCTCCTCCATCGCCCCCGCCTACCTGCCCGCCCCCGCCCCCGCCGCGGGAGGCTCTTACCTTATAAGGGAACGCGGTTCGGTCGCCAATCGGGATAACGACATCGGCCTCTTCTCGCACCCGCTCGGCGCTCTGTTCATTCCTGTTAGTTCGCGAGCGGAGGAGGAGGAGCTGCTCGGCTCCCGAGCCGCCACAAGGGGCGCTGGCTGGCCTTCGGGAGGCCTTCGGTGGTGGCAGTAGGAGGAAAAAGGGGCGGGGCCTTAAGCCGGCGCCTCGCGTCAGCTCCCCTTGTCTACGCTCCTCAGTCGACGGCGCTCTACTTACCACCAACGGGTCTCTCTATGATCTAACAAACGCCCTCTCGCGACAAGGGAGCTGCTTTCCCCTCCCCCCCTTTTTTTGAGGCCTCGCTCACGTGGCTTAAGCTTCTCCTATGCGGTTGGGTGGCAGGCGGCGCGTGCGGTGCGTGAGGAGCATTTCTGACAGGGAGGCGGGGCCAGGAGACGCGCTGGTCCCGCCTCGTCCTCGGGGCTTCAGTTGGCCGTTATGAGGCAACCTTCCCCGGTTTGTTCATTAGGAGTTCGTAAGCTTCTCAATACATTTTACGTGCCTGACAATAAAAACAAGTGCTCTGTGTGTATACTCACATACATATAAAGGTAAAGGGACCCCTGACCATTAGGTCCATATACATATACATACATATACATATACATATATATATAATATACGGGCGTTAAGCCGTTTTCCTTCACAGGCGACCACGGCTTGAAAGAGCCTGCCTCAAACGCCCATTCGGCCACGAAGCGCGTCAGGCTGAGGTTGCCCACACGCACCAAACACCACCGCCAAGAATGTCAGAAGCTATAGTTCACCCCCTTCCAGAGCTACAGTTCCCAACATTTTAACACACCACAGTTCCCACGTTTCTGGGTCAGGGGGGCGAGTCTTGGACTTTATATGCACATGGGCGCAGGCCGCTAGTCTCCGTCCTAGCGCGTACGGTTGCTGTGAGTATAACCCGACCGCTTTGTAGAAATACTGTAGCAGGTTACATGTGTAGGTAGCTAGCTCTGCCTCTGAAGCTCTCCTCCTGGTAAAAAACAACCGCTGAATATAAACAAGTGTATAGCAAATAAGAAGACACATATGTGCAGTCCTTGGGTTTCTGGGAGGTTTTAAAATGGAGGAGCTCTGGGTTTTTTCCTGTTTGTCTAGGCCCCTTTTTTGGTAAGCTACGAAGGTCTCTCACCTTTTTGCTATTAATAAGATCGGGTTCAGATGATTTGACTTTCCCTGTACGTTTATGAATCCTCGTGGTTTATTGCTGTCTGTGCTTTTTCAGTACTTCTGAGCTCTTTTCACACACGTACCATGTATACATTTTCATACATTACCATGTATGTTGTGTTACCTGTAACAAGGGGATAACAATCTGATGGTAAACATTTTATGTCATATTTGCTAGTCTTTAAGGGGCCACAGGACTCTTGCTCTTGCGGCAAAAGACTAAACACATCTCTCCCTGTTTAGAAATTATTAGAAATAATATCAAATCAATGTCAGAATGAAACCCCCTGTCATTTTTGCTGTTTTGTGAAAAGGTGCAGCCTTATTCCAAGGACTCTTGGAGGCTTGCGGTGGAGCAAAGACATGGTAGCGGAAGGAAGAACAATATTCCGAGCAAATATTGAATAAGCCACAATGAGGGAGAAGAGGTAAGACTTAGAATTACAGTTAGAGGAGAAAGGGCTAGTTTCTTCCCCTATATGTATCCCAAACTATATGGATGAACCATCACAGGTAATATACTGGATCATATTTTTAAAAGCAGCAATCCACTACTTAAGGAAATGAGTAAGTCCCTCCTTCCAAATAACGAGCATAATAACTCCATGGCATGAATTAAACACATTTAATAATCTGCATATTTGTCTGTCGATACATCTCTCGTGTTTATAAAAATATATATATTTGCTGGCACAGATGCAGCATTACTTCTTGAAAATTCTGTTTTAACTATGTAAATACAATACAAGTAGAGAAAATATATATATGCTAGCGAATGTCACATTGCACAATATATGTAAAGTCTCTCATAAATTATGGCAGTTCGTTCATAATCAGGCTGGTAGTGCCACCTTTGCGCCTCATCTTCAGTAATCGAAAGCAAGCTGCCTTCATATCAAAAGTCCAAAAATAGAAGCTTTGGAAAAAATAATAATCTAAAGTTACTTCTTTTTAATTTCAAGATCTACAGAATTCTTGTTTTACAGTATAATGCTACAGGTAGAAAGAAATTGGTTGATTGCTTTTAGCTGTCCTTACTTTGGCCACAGAACCCTGGAAATGTTCTTCCAAGGGTGCAGACATTCTGTGGGAGCCTTCACAGCAATACAGAACTACAATTTCCAATGTTCTGGGGAGGGAAGCTATGTCACTGAAACCAATTTAAGCTTGTAATGTAAGCATACCTTTGTACTGAACTCTGGAGAAAATATTTTTCCCCCATCTGTTGGGGGGGGGGAATATTAGTTTAGACTAAGAGCCAAACTAGATGCAATGTAAGAGAGATGATAATAAGATATTCCATCTTTTTTCCTAATTAAAAGCAGTAAATCCCACCCTCGCCCCAGTTTGGACAGTGGCCATGGTGCTAGGAGAAGGGTTTTACTTTTTAATCCTTCTCCACACATCATTTTCCTAATTTAAATCACTCAAAGCGTTGATTTGTCTCATGTGGAAAAGCATACAAGTATCAAAGGAGATCTTCCATGTCACATTCAGTTTGGCTCATAGACAGAGTGGAAATATAGGCCAGTTAGTCTTACGTATGGGAGAAACTTGAAATGCTAGAATAACAACCGGAAGGGGATTCTCAGCAACAATTTATATTCTGCCTTATGAGTTTCATCGTATGTGTAGACTGTATGAATGCGGTTGTCAGGAATAAGGAAAAGGTTTACAGAAACCATTATGCATTGTGTAAAAAAGTAATTAATTAATTAACACTGTACAGTCTAATAATTGCTTCATAATTCAGTTTCATGTAGGGAAAAGGTAGAACACATCTATTTTGTTATGTCATGTATAATAAATGCACGTTTCAATCTCACTGCATTTGTGGCAAAATAAACACATATGGACTGGATCTAGAGTTGCCTAGAGCAGAACTAACAGGCCAAAGGGGGAGGTGATTTTTTTTGCCAGTTCTCCTTTTCCTCTGCAGCCCAAATCGCTACCTGTATGTCAGAAGGTCCCACAATTTTTCAGTGTTACCATTATATCCCACCTTTCCTCAAAGGTGCTCATGTTTCTTCTAGGTCAGAAACAGTGACTGGTTCAAGGGCAACCAGCTAGGTTCATGGCTAAGTGGATATTTGATCCCTGGTTTTCCTAGGTCCTAGTCCAGCGCTCTAGCCACTACACCACAGAGGCCACAGGAGGCTGCTGTGGGAAGGGGATATTGGTGAAATCTGCTTCCATTTATTTCTGCCAATGGGCATTTCCTGTGAATGAGTTGTACTCACTGGAAGTTAGTAACCGCACAATTGTATTTTTTTCTTCTTCGCTTTGTTGTTTCTTGGTGTTCTTTAGTATAATCTAGGGAGAAGCTTTGCCACGTGAAAAATTAAAACAGACCAAACCATTCTGCACCAGCATCTTGGCATTGTATAGACTCCAAACTAATGCATGTTTTTCACACCCCCAGAATCCTTAGGGCAAGTTAGTCAGCTTACCAAATTTAGCCTTTCTTTAGCAAACATGAACTTCATTTTCATGCACAGAATATATACCAAATATGAATATGGCAATATTTACCCATTGTCGTGACATTACTTTTAGTTCAGTATTCTCCTTTTCAGTGCCAGGAATCTCAGTCTGTAGCCTAAGTGGATACAGACATAACATACTAGATCTGATCCAGTAGATTACTGTGAGGAGGACTAGCTACCATGGAACACAAGCCACATGAGTTATAGTTTAAAATGCAGTCAAACATCCTGCTGATCGTTTTCTACTCATGCAGTTATTTATGTTGAAGAACATCTTTTTTTGGTTTGCCTCATTATGTCACGCTGCTCGGTGGTTGCGAAGAAATGTTTCTTTTGAAGGAGTGACTTCCACAGGCTTCCAAACTATCACTCCCCTCCCTTATGATGATCTCTTGCTTTGCCTTAAATGTTAATGGTATAAAACCTTCACCATCTGCAGTAAGAACAATCCAAGAAGAACCTAGAGGAAAAGGAAAGCAAAGCATCAGTGTGTATATATGTATAATCGTTATTATGTTGGGAATGCAGTTGCCTACGTAAATGTTAGCATTCACCCTAAATTCATGCTTTGTTCATGTCTTTTTCATAGGTTCTTCTTCCTACAGTGTTGCAAAGCTTAATGGGTTACCATGCTGATGTAGGTTTTGAACCAAGGGTTACCATGCTGATGTAGGTTTTGAACCAAGATGGACAAACCATTTATCAGTAATTTTCTTTCCTTTTTGGTATTTTCATTTGGCTCCACTAGCTGTGGCATGGTAATGGGGAAGGGGCCAGGAGAAGGAACAACCAAACCTCATAACTGGAAAATGTGTACACCAAGGGCCTGGGGAAAACTGACAATGAAGCACCAGTTTATTATGTTTTTTATTTACCATGATTTCAACTCACATATCAAGACTTTTCTAGGATTAACTAAAAATTTTAACATTCAAGGATGATTTCCTAGTAAAAATATTGAACATGTATAGTTTACCCTCTTTGTTCCACTAGCTTTGCATGGAGAATTGGTGTGTGCGTGCGGGGTAGATTGAACTCATAAGTCTATTCAAAGGCTCCTTGTACACTTTCTCAAGTTAAACTCTCAGAAACCTCTTTGGCATGTATAATTTTTTCTCATGCAGGAACATACAAGTGAAGTCAAGTTGTGTTTAGAGAAACTTCTGCATGTGAAATCATGATTATGTACAGGTAATTCAAGAACAAACTTTGGCTGCCACCTGTGGTTTGTTTGGAGATAAACAAACAATGAGTTCTGCTTTGCATGTAATGCTAGGGCATTGCTGTTATTTTTGTACTCCTGGCTTTGCAAAGGGAGCACCTGAGTGGGCAAAAATTGAAGTGTTTGCACCAGCACATTGTCACGGTAATAAGGGCTCGTCTACACTTTACTTGTCCCACTCCTAAAAAGCAAGGGCCAGAGAAGTTTTCTGCTTGTCCTGTGCTTTCTGTGCACGGCTTTCCATTTGCCTCACTGCTTTCCCTGAGAAAACCTGCCCTTTACCACTGAATCGGAGCAAATGTCAATCCATGGAAAACCCTATTGACGTTTGCTCTGATTCAGGTGTAGAGAGTGGGTTTCCCAGAGGAAAGTGGCAGGACAAGCAGAAGTGTGGGCGAGCCCTAAGACATTGTTTGTGTCAGACCATGGCTTACCATAACATGCAAACCAAGCCAATTGATCTGCTGTATTCATGGGTCAATTCTATCCAATTCACAGTTCAAGTTAATTTCTGAATTTAAAACAAAGGAGCTAAGACATTTGTGTTTTAGAACTTCATTAGCTTTAATTTCTACCAAGAGCAGGTGTGTGTGTGTTTTTAATGTGCATGCCTATAAACAGAACAGCTACCTTTTATAGATGATGGTATCTTGTACCCAATAAGGTTTGGTGGGAAATAATAAACTGTGCACTCCAATTTGACCAATTAAAGCAAAACAAATGTGTTGTTTCCTTATAATACTGTATCTGAAAGTACAGAAAGTTCTTTTCATTAAATCTATTAATTAAACACCTACACATGTTGCTTTGCTGTTTCGTGTTGTCTGTCGCGTCATAAGAAGATTACCGTTACCAAGCATGAACTTTTAATCTTTTGCAGTTAATGCTTTCTTTCTAATTCTGGACAGACTTTTGATTCTATAAACTACCCTGTGCTTGGGTGTTTGTGTGTGTCATGTAAACCTACGCAATTACATCGCTAACCTTATATGTAAAACATGGGGGGGGGGGTTACTTCCAAAATAGTTTATTTAACACTCTGCATTGGGTACAGATAAATGTTATTATGCCTGCAATGCAATCAACTTACTTGAGAGTAAACCGTGTTTTTCTAAACTTACTAGAGAAAAACAAAGGCTGCAAACCTATATACCTTTTCCTGGGAGTAAGTCCTATTGAACTGAGTACAGCTGGCTTCTGAGTTGGTATGTACAGAATTCTTTTAGCAGGGAGAAAACATTTAACAAATCTAGATTATAAATTGAAGTATACAGTATCTGGATAGGTGAGGATATGACTGAAGGGTTAAAAAGCTTTAGTAATTTCTAAACATGGTTGGCCTAATAAGAATATAATATCAATAATTATTTTTTATTTCAGAGTATAACTGAAGAGTTAGATTTAATAGTTGTCCGAGTTGGACAACTGTGGCTTTTACCAGCTTTTGCCCAGTTTGGGGTAATTCCACTCCTCCAGCAACCCTGCCACTCTCAACATTGTTAAGAACAACCCTTCTCCTTCAGAGAGTCTTGTTATGGGGTACAGAAGGTAGCATGGAGGAGTATGGAATGGAAAACCTAAAGAAAGTTGAATGAAAGTTAATCTTAATATCTAAGCCAGGCATAGGCAAACTCGGCCCTCCAGATGTTTTGGGACTACAACTCCCATCATCCCTGACCACTGGTCCTGTTAGCTAGGGATGGTGGGAGTTGTAGTCCTAAAACATCTGGAGGGCTGAGTTTGCCTATGCCTGATCTAAGCCATAGTATATGAAAGTATGGGTGATTAAGTGCTCACATAACTCTTTAAAAAGGAGGAAAGAACAGTTTTCCTTAATGAATTAAAATTCTACATTCAAAACGATGTGTTCAACTTCACATTGTGTTTTGTATGGGACTGGGGCAGTGTTTCCTAAAGATATACATTTTTTCTTAATTAAAGTTGGACTCTCACTTGCCTTCAAAAAGCAAAGCTATGAAAACACTCAAAAGTTACCTAATCTTAAAAGTGTCTGCCCCTATGTTTCCCTTCAAGTTATTATTATTATTATTATTAATTAGATTTCTATACTGCCCATTGAGGATTGCAGGGTGGTTTGTGATATAAAAACACGAAAATACATAACATAGTAACAAACAAAACAAAAAACCCACACACAGTTTAAAAGGCCACATAGATTGTATAATTAGCCAAACGCCTGAGAGAATGTTTTTGTCCAATGCTTATTACTATTGTGAGCATGATGCTTCGTGACTTCATTGGAGGTAAGCCAAGAGCAGCTACTCATTCCAAGACAGAAAGGGCAGGCTCCTCTGAGAGTGGGTAATTTTACTGTATCTCTTGAGTATACTAAATAAATAAAGGATGTAGCAAAAACTAGTGATGTGAACCCCTTCATATATGCCCTACCATTTAGTTACACTTTCTCCTCTTTCTGTCTTTTCTCTCTTGGGGGTTATCCATTGGCATAGCCAGGATTTATTTTAGGGGGGTGCAGGACTGAGTTATTTGCGACACAGTTGGTCAGTCAAGTATTCTTATTTATTTACTTGATTGGGGAGCAGCTGTCCCCTCCCCCCCGCTGTGCTCATGGGTTTTCCACACCTCCATTTGCCCCACCTCTTTCGCGATCTTTAGTGCTGATTTGGAACAAACAGCTATAAATTTATCTGTGGATTGCCATTTGTTCCAATTTAATGCTAAACAGTGGGTTTTCTGGGGGAAAGTGGTGGTGCAAAGGCAAAACTGCTTGGACCCGTGCTAGAAAGCATGGGGCAAGTAGAAAACCGCTCAGACCCATTCTAGGTACGGAACAAGCAAAAGTGTGGACAATCCCTGTGTCCTCAATATATTGTGTATATATTTGCAGTATATGGTAAAGCTACTTGCAGAAAACATTATAGGCTGAAAATGGTTGAGCTGTGGCTGAAGTTGTTAAATCATTGAATACATAGAGGCATGAACAAAGAAGCTGTGTATAAAGATCTTTTCTTTCCTGACTGCTCCCTACCTTCACAAGTAAATCAAAGGTGGGAGTTTGGAAGATTATGTTGGTGAGCTCCTTCTGTTCTCAGCGTAGATTAAACTAATCCAGAGCATAACAATTTGATACACCTGTTAAGTATCACTGAGTTTATGGTGTCTGTATCTGATAGAGAAAGGCATTCAATTGTCAGCAAACCTGTTAGGAAATCTTTCCTATGAGTTTTGTTTTTCGACTTACTTAATCCAGTAAGCAAAGGCAGCAACCAGCCTGCTTTGGTTATGGGATTGCTGAACAATCATGCTAAATATTAAACTTCCCCATTTATGCTACATGACATTAGACCCAGGTGAGAATTAGTAGCTTGATTGGGTGCTCTGCTGCAAGAAGGGAAGCCTACTAATATGTAGCATATTTCTGGACATAGTCAACTAATATATGACTAAGGACAGACATTGAGACAAAACAAGAAGGTCCCTATCAATGGTAGAAACAACATTCTGCTGAAAAAACATGAGGATTAAACTGACCATCTATTGTATATATAGGTCATGATACCTGTGAACCAACTGAGTAGGGCTTGATCAGTGTCAGGCAAGTGTTGAGACGCACTCAGGAGAATAAGCTTGCCAGGAAAGGGAATAGAACTCAGTTAAACTTCCATCACATTGGAGGATGTACATGTAAACAATCCCTTAATAGCACAACTTATGTTCCCTAAAAGTACTACCTACTATAATAAACACTTGCATTTTTTAAAAGAGAGAGAGAGAGTGGCTGGGGCAACCCAGTCGGGTGGGGTATAAATAATAAAATTATTATTATTATAGTAAGAGAGAACTTACCATGTTTCATTTCAACAATAGGCAGATCAAAAAGTCGTTGGACTAAATTCAGATGAACCTTGCCATCACACAGGAGAACAGTTCTTGTTTCTTCAGCTATAGCTCCGTTTGAAAAATGCTTCTTCAGGCACATAAACATATAGGGATAAACATCTTGTTAGAATATTGGTCACATTTACATTAATTATTGTTAATTAGCCCTATGAATCAGCAATTTTCATGAATTCTGCTTTCTATATTTTCACATGCCCAAAAGTAAGGGGTGGGGACAGCACAAAAACAACTTGTTTATAAGAGACTTCTTTTTTTTTTTTTTAAGAAAGGTTCAGGATTTCCCAAAGTATGGGGCTACAACCCTGCTAGGATCACTCAGATGTTGTTGTGAGTCTCTGAATGCTGCTGGCTCAGTCATCTCAGGCTAGAGATGGTGACTTCAAGAGCATGTGTGTAAATGTAGTGATGTTCTGGACCAGTAGCGTGGAGGGTTTAAGACCCATTGGCTACCCTCACCTGGTTTAGCCAGACAAAGTAATTTCTGCGGTGTTGCCACTGTTGCATACTGACAGCTTCCAGGAGCCACAGGTGAGAGCTGAGTGCAGGGTGGATAAACTACTCCAGAAGTAGCATGACCTATTCCCCACCAGAAGTACTTCCCCTTCCCTAACACCCCACACATTCCTGCTTGGAAATAAAGAGACTGGTTTTGTTATTAAATCACCACAGCCAATCACAAGCAAACAATCACACCCTAGGCCAACCCCAACCTCTCTCACCACCAAAGGAACACAAGTGAACAACACAAGCAACGCTGACACCAAACTCTACATACATTAAACATAATAGAAACACCGCCACCCGACCCCACCCCCATCCATCTTCCCTCTCTCCACCCCCTTTCTTTTTCCTTTCTTTTTCTTCTCCCCTAATGCCTCAACAAATGAAACGGATTTGTAAAAATGTTACATGGAAAAAAAAATACGAGGCACTACACTTCTGTAAAACAAGAAAATCCTTAATAAAATATTTTTTTAAAAAAAAAAATCTCCCCCCCCTTTCTTTACTCATTTTGGCTTCAGCATTAAATACACAAGGTAGTCCCCAGTCAACATGCTATGATTCTCAGTAAAAGTGCTGAGGATCACACTGTTTGGAGTTCACTCCATTACTTCCTAACCAATCCAGGGCTCATCCTATTCCCTCACCACTAAGTAATTGGTATTTGTTTGCAACACTTCTCAATTTAGCACCATCCGTAAGTCACATCAACATCCTATTTAGTCCTCCACATATTAAACAAGAAATAAAATGCAGTGTCACAGGCATTTTAACGGGAAAATAATCAGGACCATCAAAGTAATATAGATCTCATTCTGCTGTGGTTCTGCAGTGTTTCCATTCTGATACTGAAAACTTATACCAACATTCTCTTTCAGCAGACTCACAGCTGCATCTTCTGTTTCTGTTTTTAGTAATCTGTTCCTCATCTTAATTAACCTTCAGTACAAATAAATGTCTCCTAATCTCCTTTAGTGCACAGATGCTGGTTTCTACTCAGGTTCACTTGCTCTGTCAGCGTCTTAGGTAGTTTTGCTGCATCAATGTGCACCTACGCACCATGCAAAATCCTATAAGCACCCTCCTCTTATGTGCATTTTCTTTCAGTTAAAGGCCATTTTTATATTTGTGTTTTCTGATGTACAGTATACCGCATCACAGTGGTCTAGTTCTCACAAACAGCAGGAAAATGTGGTAAATCTGTGTCTGGTTTATACTATTTCATAAGCAGGTAGGGTCTCGCATGGTTGAATGCTCCTTTGTACAATAAATATTGTGTACATAGGGAAGGAACCTGAGATCAAAAGCCTATCCTTCATTGCATGCTAGTTTTTCATGTGGGAATATGCCATTATGTTGTTACCCTTACCAACAGCTTCACCACCTCATCAGAAGCTGGCTTTATGCGTCTGCAAACAGAATCCAAATCTTTTCTAGTAGTCCAGACTGAAACCTTAACCACATACTATACATTCTGAATAGAAATATTGTAAAGGAAAGGGGAGGTAGGCACCATGAATGGTTGAAGATTTTACTTTCTGTGAGAGGATGGGACAGGTAATAACCATTACCTTGGCACAGATTCTCATTTTTTCTTATGTGACGGACTGTGCATTTATAGAGGAGGAAAAACCCATTAAGCTTGGGCTTTCTTAACACGCAAAAATGTTGTATAAGTTATCAAAAGCAACTGATTGAAAGAGGTTGGTTGTATTTGAAATGGGGTGCCTGAATTTTGATTTTCCTCTTCTCATAGAATCATAGAATCATAGAGTTGGAAGAGACCACAAGGGCCATCGAGTCCAACCCCCTGCCAAGCAGGAAACACCATCAGAGCACTCCTGACATATGGTTGTCAAGCCTCTGCTTAAAGACCTCCAAAGAGGAGACTCCACCACACTCCTTGGCAGCAAATTCCACTGTCGAACAGCTCTTACTGTCAGGAAGTTCTTCCTAATGTTTAGGTGGAATCTTCTTTCTTGTAGTTTGGATCCATTGCTCCGTGTCTGCTTCTCTGGAGCAGCAGAAAACAACCTTTCTCCCTCCTCTATGTGACATCCTTTTATATATTTGAACATGGCTATCATATCACCCCTTAACCTCCTCTTCTCCAGGCTAAACATGCACAGCTCCCTTAGCCGTTCCTCATAAGGCATCGTTTCCAGGCCTTTGACCATTTTGGTTGCCCTCCTCTGGACACGTTCCAGTTTGTCAGTGTCCTTCTTGAACTGTGGTGCCCAGAACTGGACACAGTACTCCAGGTGAGGTCTGACCAGAGCAGAATACAGTGGCACTATTACTTCCCTTGATCTAGATGCTATACTCCTATTGATGCAGCCCAGAATTGCATTGGCTTTTTAGCTGCCGCGTCACACTGTTGGCTCATGTCCAGTTTGTGGTCAACCAAGACTCCTAGATCCTTTTCACATGTACTGCTCTCAAGCCAGGTGTCACCCATCTTGTATTTGTGCCTCTCATTTTTTTTGCCCAAGTGCAATACTTTACATTTCTGCCTGTTAAAATTCATCTTGTTTGCTTTTGCCCAGTTCTCTAATCTGTCAAGGTCGTTTTGAAGTGTGATCCTGTCCTCTGGGGTGTTAGCCACCCCTCCCAGTTTGGTGTCATCTGCAAATTCTGTTCCCTGTCCCTTTCCCCTGGGGTTCCCACGTTTCAAAAAGTAAAAACCAGGACACCCTGAAAGTTGTTGAGTGGTTGTTTTTTTAGGAAAACCCCAAAATTGTTGAGTTTTTTGTTTTTTTTTTAGGAAAACCCGCATGATTTTTCAATTGATTGGCCTAAGATCCAAGACAAAGCTCCGCCTTTCGGAAATTCCCCTGGATGTCAATGCCGCCTTTGAAATCCCGCTAATGTCTGGGGAAATCTGGACGTATGGCAACCCTACTTTCCACTTGTGTGTTAGCTTTCCCCCCTTCCCCAAGCCTGCGGGTAGGTACTGTCTTGTTTTTGTTGTATGTAAGCTGCTCTGGGAGACTTTTTGGACAAAGAGCACAAATGCTCTAAATAAATAAATAACCTTTGCTGGTTCAAATGCTGTTGACAGCGGGATCATGTATGACTGCCCTAATAGTATCAGAAGCACAAGCCATCAGGAATGAACAATCAAAGGATATATTGATATACCATCAGTACAATCACCCAGAGCCACTATTAGATTTCAGTAATACTGTGTTTTCTTATATAGTACACTTTTTTCTTATTTATTTCATAAAATTTATACACTGCTTGACTGTAAAAAACCTCAAAGCAGTTTACAAAAGAATAAAACAATAAAATTATCAGTAAACACAGTTAGAAGCAACTATTTAAAAAAATTAAAGAAATTCAAATCAGCGACAAACTGAAAACAGATAAAAATACAAATAAACATATCTGGGTAGGCTTGTTTAAACAAAAATGTTCTTAGCAGTGACCAAAAAGAGTGCAGTGATGGCATCTCCTGATGTCAACATGAATGGAAATTCCAAAGTGTCAGTGCTGCAACACTAAAAGGTTGATCTTACAAATGTGGAATGGGTATTATGTGTGGCACCTTAAATTTCTCCCCTCACTTCCTTTTTATATCAACATAACCTCTTGAATAACAAGAGTAAAAGTAACCACTTGCCAAAAAAGTATGTCATTCCTATCATATCCTGTGCAAATTTATCATTATTTTTATTAAAATATTTTTATACCACTTTTCTTTCAAAAGAGAATATCATGGTAGTGTACAATATCAATATGAAACAATTCAACCAAACTACATTAAACAAAGTGCAATGTACAGATACAGTAGACAAGACTATAACTAGTCAGAAAATGCTTGGCAGAAAAATATAATCACAGTCGTAGCATGGGGGGCGGGGGGCAGCAGGGGCTGTTGGCCCAGGCACAACTGGGCTGCAGAAGTCCCGAAGGTGCCATGAGACTGGGAGGGAGGTGGTTCCCTTTTCTGGTCTGGTATTGCGCAGTGTGTGCAGCATGCACGGCCCCTGAGTGGCTATGGGTTGCACGTGGAGAGCAGGCAGCTGGTCAGGCCTTCCTCTTATGGGGTGGAGCACCCTCTTGCTTCCCACCCCTTTCGGTGCCTTGGAACGGCTCGCCACACATTTCTTGCACTATGACTGGTGCCACCACCATGTGTGTCAGGTCTCAGCCGTGCTGGGCGGCCCCTCGGCTCCCTCCTGCCCCCCCCAAATCTACCCACTGTAACGTTCTTTAAAGATCTCTCCTGTTTCTCTCTACTTGTTTAGCTTCAAAGACAAGACTCTCCCTCATTTGCAAAAGTTAGCAAGCTACTAACACCATACACATAAATCACAGTAATGAGGATCTTTACCAAACAGAACACTAATATCCCCTGAAGAGAGTCTAGTTGAATGATTAATCAGGTTACCAGCTAGAGAGGAAGGAACTTTTATAGAACATCATAGAATTAGTAACCAGGACCTTCACAGAAGTAAGAAGTCTGTGCTTCTAATTTCGAAATACACAGTACTGTTTTTCATTCAGAATTTCTATTTGTGGGTGCTCAGCCTCATCAGAACGTTATTAGAATGTGCCCTTTCTTCACCCCGTCCTCTTGGGCTTTAATGCCTCCAAGCATTAATCCCCTGTTTTGACTACTGCATTCCCACTTCTTAACAGGCTTTTTAAATCTTGCTTTCAAAACTGTCTGACTAGTCTATCACACTATAAAGCTGAGCCATATCGCCCTCATCTTTCATCAGTTTTCACGACTCCTTTTATGTTTTCAATCTACTTCAAAATTGCCTTCCCGATTATAAGAATGGTTTGTGGATTTATTAAAGATGACCTCTGTGATGATTCACCTGCTCCTTGGCTCAGTTTATTGACTTCTCCAGTCTCTCCTTCCTCTCTGTTCTCTACTCTCTCACTGTTTATCACAAGTTTGCTTCTTATCTTTCTCAACTTTATTGTGTACATTTAACAGGCTTCCCTAAATTTACCTTCCTATTCTGTTTCATTTACTGTTGATGGAGCAAATTATCACTTTGCCAGCAAAAAGAGGGTTTGATGCTGTACATTAAATGTCTTCAACTCCTCGGTGTCTCTTAAATAGGACATTGTAATAGCTGTTTATACCAAATATCTTCTTCCTTACTGACTTAGAGACATGCATTATTACAATAATTTCCCTCAGTTGCTCATGGCATACACACTTATTCCCAACTCTGTCAACTTTGTCCAAACCACAACTGTTTTTTCTTCTTCTAAATTAATTCATCACACACACTGATTTTTGTTTATTTCCCTAACAAAAGCCTTGCACTCTACAAGACACAGCAAAGCATGAAATGAGGGTGCACCAGCAAGGGTAGCTAAGCACCCCTCTGCTATAGATCACCCCATCCTGTGGCTGGGTCCATTATAAGGAAGAAGCAGTAATCAGGCTAACATAACGTGCAGTCTGAATTGTGTGCTTGCAATTTTTGCTTGGACCTCTGTGCTTATAGTTGTGTTTAGCATGTGTTGTTTGCACCAGTGCTTCTCAAGCTATTTGATGTTGTGGACCAGCAATTCCCCCCACCCCACCCCAATGTACCAGGGATCAGTACCATATTTGGTCCTTGAAACATCCCACCCAGGCTGTGGTGTATTCACCAGGGACCAGCAGCCAATAGCTTGCGGACTGGTGCCGGTCCACGGACCACTACTTAGAGTAGCACTGGTTTGCACTACATTTTGTGTCCAGTTCTGATTCCCCACATCCTTTGGGAATGGCCACAGCTTAGCAACAGAGTACATGCTTTGCATGCAGAAGGTCTCAGATCCAGTACCGGAGCAGGTTGCTTCACCTCTGATTCCCTCCCCTGGGTCTTTTCTATCATCTTGTATTATACATGTCTATAAGTAAGTAAAGGATTTTATTTGAATTTTCAAAATAGTGCCAAACCACCATGCACCTCTGATGATGCAAGGATCACATAATAAGCTATGTATGAACTTCTCACCTTCCATATGCAAAAATTCTTACTTTTATATATTAATATTTCTAGTTAAAAAACACTTAGCTACATAGCCCAATGCTGAATAGGTTGCTTCCTATGTTTCAGGCTTAAATACAAGTTGTGGGAGAGGACTATACTTTCATGTTAACTGAATTGCATGATGAGAATAAAGATTTATATAGTGATTACCCGCATAGCTTCAAAAACCCTTAACATTGCAGGAACAAGGCAGGCCAGCCTATTTATCCTAGGATTGCAGATGGGGAGGAGGCTGCTAAGGTCCGTAGAGGATAGTAGGAAACAAATTTCCACAAAATAACTAGCTATTTTTATTCAGATGCTTTGGTTAAAAGAATATGTTTGTAGAAATATTGCTTTATTTCTAAAGTAGACTGCAAAATGTCGTGAGTGGGAATTGCCCTCTGAGGGTATATAGGGGAGGAGATCCAGCCACCATCACAATTGCCTAGTTTGTTTGCAGTCTCTGTCCTTGTGAGGTGCACAGCGTTTTCTACAGCCTAGAAGAGCATAAGCTACCTAGATGGCAGCTCTTTCAAGATGAAACTTAGGGTAGCAGCAGGTCACCTTAGAGGTGAATGTCAAGGAGTGGGAAAATGGTGAAGAGTTGTAATGAACCTTGCATAATGGGGATGGGTACTATTTGGAGGATGGGAGAAATGCTGGATTTGTGAAAGAGTGCTTTCTTCCAGCTTCAGCTGGTATGCCAGCTACGTTTGTTCCTAGACAGGGATAGTTTGGCTACAGTGGTGCAGCCACTGGTAACCTTTAGAATGCAGTACAGCAGTGCATGCTACGTAGGGCTGCCCTTGAGTCTGGTTCAAAAATTGCAGCTAGTATAGAATGATGTGCCCTGGCTTTTGGCCAGTGCAGCTTCGTATCAGGTAGTCTTGGTGGCTAGAAGCACCTTTTATCAGCTGCAGCCATTCCTGGACCAGGATAGCTTGACCACTGTAGATCAGACACTGGTAACTTCAAGACTGGATTACTGCAATACAGTCTATGTGGGACTTCCCTTGTTTGGTCCAGAAACCTGAGTTAGTGCAGAATGCTGAAGCACAATTTCTGGTAAGGGTAAGATCCTGTCCTGCAGGGCAAATGGCATTCCCCCCGCCTTTCTTTCTGTATTTTAACTGGGAAAACAGAAAATCTGTGTGTGTCTTTGTGTGTGCACCTTAAAGAGTCCCAATCTGATTCAGGGGCCCTTGTGACTGCAATTAGAAGATCACAATTACAGATTTCCCATATAATATAAAGGTACACCTTAAATTAAGTGAAAGAAAATTGGACAGCAAGTGGGCAAGTTATGTTTTTTAATGCTCCCCTGCAGTAAACAAGCCCAATCGTCGTCCTCATTCTGCACAATATGTAAAATGACTCTTGAATGTTACATTGGGAGGCAAAGTAATGGTATAGAAAAGATGCCATATATGTTTCACATTCGCACCATTGCTTGTGTATGCAGGTCTACCCTAAGGGGTCAGCATGGTCAGAAGCAGTGCTATTTTTCTAGAAAAAGAGGTGCCTTGTTCTCTTATAATGGCAATGTCGCCCACCTGAGAGGTGCCAGAACTGAGTTCTGGTGCGTTCCAGCTTGGGAAAAAAAATATCTGGTCAGAAGAACTGATTGCTGAATGGCCTGACCCTGACAACTCATGCTTCTGACACTAGTCACTCACCTGGGCCTTTGGGTTGGCCATTGCAGTGTGGTTAAGATGTGGCAGGATTGGAGCCAAGCACTACCACCCCACCCACCTGCAAAGCATGCCCAAGGGTCCATCAAGGAGTGAGATGAATGGGTTAACAGGGTCAAAGTAGTCAGCAGTGGGCAACAGTGGTTTGCTGCATCAATGGGCACCTACGCAGCCCTTCCACAGCAACCCATCTTAGAAGCTGCACATGGTAGTGGGCTCACTGAAGTCTAATGTCACGTGGGAACATGCTAGTCCATTTGGACTAACAGCATGCTTCCACTATATATTTTGCTTTTAAGGGCCAAACTTGAAGGGATGTTAACTTCATGAAGGCAATTAACATATGCAACCACTGCAAAGTAGGCTTGGGACCATTAGTGGAAGAGAGCAGGAACTTAGCTCTTTCTCTCCCACAATATTGCTTCCCACAAAATTGCTGAACTTTGTCAGGCAGAATCAAGATTCTTGGCTGCTATTTACATACAAAAGAAGTACATGTCTGTTGCATTCATGGCCCACCATGAATGAGCATTCTCATACTTTGCAAGTCTTCATCAAAAGCATTAAGTATTATTATCTGTATTGCAGGCTTCTGTATTTTAGATTGGAGGAAAAAACTTATTGCAGTTCCCTTCATTTCATTTCAGCCATTGCTTCAGCCCTCCTCCTTGACTATCAGGCACACTCCACAATTTATTTTGTTCACATCCAACCCATTCAGGAATCCCCACTAACTTGTACAGCTGTGTCTTGTACAACCATGACTCCTAGAGATCCCCAAGGCCTCTCCTTTTTTACCATCAGCAAAGCATTAATTTGTATTAGACTACATCTATGTATTCATTTATTTATTTTTAAGTTACTTGAGCCAAAAGACAACCCACAACTCAGTGTGGGGAAAGCACGTTACAGATTACTGACATGACAATCTGCATCAAAGAGCCATCGGTGCAGACCAGCCCTATGTATCTAGGTTCCTACTTATACCTATCCCAGGTGCAAGGTCCATAGCTGTCAACTTTTCCCTTTTCTTAAGGGAAATTCCCTTATTCCGAATAGGATTCCTCACAAGAAAAAGGAAAAGTTGACAGCTATGGCAAGGTCAGGGGTGCCAACTTAAATAAAATATTGTGGGGGCCCAGGTAAGCCCCACTCTACATAATCAATCACATGACGCAGTGCACACACAAACACACTATTTGAATGGGAATGCCCATCAACTTTGTGGGGGCTTGGCTCCCTCAAAAAAGTTTTGTGGGTTTTTGGCTTCTATGTGCAAGGCTGAGTCTGCTCACTGGGAAACAGAGGCATAGTGGGGGGGGGGGAGCCAGGGGGGCATGGCCCCAGCTGCATATTTTTGAGGGGGAGCAATAAGGCACCCCCATGACAGGTACAGAGCCCAACTCTATGAGTAGCTTCTGCTTTAAAAGCAGCTATGCTTAAAGGCTGGCAAAGTGACTTTATCCAGCCCTGAAAAGTGCACCACTGGAGTGGTTGTGTGGGTGGAGCGGGGTGGAATGGAAGAGGAGGAAGAGGAAGGCAACAACAGTAGTTGAAAAGTCAACCATGAGTTGGAAGGATTAATGGCCGCGAAAGCAGCAACAGCAGCTCCCAGAGCAAATATCTCATATGTACTCTGGATGTACTGGTTTAGATAAAATTAACTCACAGCAAAACAAAAAGCGTAAAATAATTCCACTGCTATACCTCTAATCTAAAAGCAGCCCCCAAATCCTCAACACACCACAATTTTCTGCCTGGGTCATCGGAATAAGAGAGTGCAGAATCAAGCTTCATATCATAGAGACTTTTTTTGAGAAACTATTGCTTCATAATAATAAAATTTGTTAGGAAAAAACCAATAGCAACTCTACAGAAGTTTCTTAGAAAAGAGTGGAAGGAGGAAGATAGATATCTGCCTTGCTACTACACTATATTTTATATATTAATGAAAGTTACTCTGAATTATTAAAGAAATACAAATAATGGTTTTTATGCTCCAGCTTGCTTAATGCAGCACATCTAAATTATTGACTCATTTTTGTTGCCATTAGTGTTGTACCACAAAACACTACAACATTGACTAGCAATCAAATTAATAAAATAGTGACAATTATTTCATGAAAAAGCAAGGGAGGAGAAAAGAATTGCTGTTGAGGAAACAGGAACCTTGATCCACGGATTTTGATTTTCTTAAATTGCTTCATTATGTAATCAAATATTAATATCCCATATTTCCTGAATGCTTTTATGCTGTGAGACCCATGATCCTTTGAAGCTTATATATTCTTATCTACAGAAGTTGGTCTGATATCTTCTCTCTCTAAAAAGATTCAAAGCATTTCAAAAGCCACATATAGAGCTGCCAGTTATTTCTCGTAGTAAAAAAAATATGCCGTAAGATTTGGAAACAGATGACTTAGAACAAATGGACATATATAATACATCAATGACAATTAAGCTGAACAGTAAAGGAAGCACAGGTCTGGATTTTCCTGTGCAGAATATCAGACATAACCATTGCTCCTAATAACTATCATTTCACCATTTAAATCAAGCACAGCATGAAGCTCATGTGAAACTTACTAATTAAGCAAAATCCTGTAATGAAGTTTCTAAGAACTGTAATGAAGTTTCTAAGAGCAAACTACTTTGGAGAATGGTATATAAATTACCTGGTAGGTGATGTGAACAAAAGGTGGTTCTTGAGAAGATGGGTAAGCTACAGATAGTCTCTTTCCATTTTTTGTGAAATCTACTAGTTCCAGAAGTCTCAACTGTAAGTCATTGAAGCTGCCACACAATTTTTCCAAATTCCTGGATATTTGACTGCCTCCTTTTTCATTAGCCAAGCTGCTGTTTTTAGGAGAATTCAAAGTTTCTTGCATCACTTTAGAAGAAACTGATCTATTGGAAAACCTGGTAGGCGTTCCAAGACCAAACAGGGCTACTGACCGATTAATTGGTTCTGCATCCAAAGTTTCCAGTGCAATGGATGGGTCACCTAAGACTCTTTTCTCATCAAAATCGCTCACACTAGATGATGAACTTTGCTCATAACTAGGACTCTTCACTTCTTCCAGCATTCGTCTCCTGCCACTAGGTGACTGAATAATCGTTCTGCCTGGGATTAAGAGCTCCCGCCCTACAATGTGATCCTCTGCAGCAAGATTCTCAAAATACTTTCTTTTCCCAGGAATGTTCACAGAGGACTCAAAACTGAATGGCAGACTGTGGGCGGTATCAGATTTTGCTGATGGCTCTTCCTCAAATATTAATTCTTTGATCATCAGTCGGATGATATATCTATCAGAATTAGATGATGGGATAAGTGAGGGGTCAGTGAACTTCTGCTTCCCTATCAGAACTAGTAAGAGTTTCTCTGTCAAAAAGGACAGACCCTTGGGTCGTTCGCTTTTCTCTAGTTGGATTTGCTGAATATTGGGCATGCAGGATGAGGTGACTGAGTAGACTAAAACAATGTTACAAGTGTTAGAAGCTATTGCCACAATCTGAGCTCTAAGGTCAAAAGCAATTATATCAGGGACCAAAATTCCTGGAATGCTGACTTTCCTGGTTGTGGTTACCTTTCCTTCAAAAGTCACTAAGATCAAGTGTGACGAATCTTGGCCAGTTCCTGAAGGGTAATCCTTCCTTCTCAAAGGAATGAGAGGACTGGGATCAGATCTCCGGTGATTTGAAAGGATGTGGGTTAAATCAACTGGGCCCGAGGAAGATGAAGCTACTGAATCAACGGCTACTGATTTGTCTGAATCTATAGACTTCCTTCGCAGGTCCATAGAGTATTCCTCATCCCCAAGCACCAGTGTAGACTGCGAAGTTAAAGAACCCGTTTCCGTTCCTACAGGCAATTCAAATGTAATGCCTGCATTTAAGCCACAAATCTTATCAAGGGGGAGTTCGGTAGCCACAGCAATTTGAAAATCCAACGTGGCTTCGATAGCACAAATGTAGCTTCCAACGTCAAATATTGGGCAAAAGGAGCAAGCGTTTAATGTTTTCTGGGCATCGTCCCATATATAGGAGTGAAGAGCGCTGCCTATAGCAACGACTAAGCGATGCCCATCCTTAGTCCAGCAAGCACAGTGGATGAGACCACTGCTTTTGATATCTGCTTTAATCCTGGAGTTGTCTGAACGAACGGCATATAAAACAGAAGCATCCCGTTTGGTAAGTACAGACAAAACGTCCCTCTTTGGGTGCCACACACATCCCTGAGGAAGCAACTGGAATGGCTCGCCAATTTCACAGGTCTGAGAAACCAGGAGCTTATTCTTTTCCGAGGCAACGTGGCTCAGTTGCCAAACGCTGACATGCTTCTTATGCTGAACAGCTAGCAGGGCTGGTGTGTCAGCCGAGTAACATGGGCTCCAGTAAAGTCCATGGACGTGTTCAAACTGACCAATAACAGTTGAGTCGCCAAACCGCAGTTCTTTGTTGTGAAAGTGCAGGCCGGTCAGTGCCACCTGCTTGCCATCTGTCCACGCAATCCCATGCACAGGGTGTATGGCCTGGTGCAAAGCATTAAGGCCTGTTCTCAGCAGCTTCGCTTTCCCCAGTTCCATTATTCAACCCTCCTTGCTAGTGTGGTTGGCTCCAAAGTTGATTTTTCACAGGATTCATCAGAACAGCTTGACAAAGCAAATGCTCCTTGACCGAAGACGGATTTCCCTATGGCAATGCCCCTTCTTTCAAGCCTCTTCTGCGATGTAGCTCTGCTGATGTATAGATCTACATCAAAGCTGCTCTAACCATACTCTTTTCTGGGGAGGCGCTCTCTCTCTGTGTGTCTCTCACAGACACATGTGACATCTAATAAGGTTTAGCTAATTACTGTTCTCTGAGATGACATGTTCTTGGAAGCCTATTTTTAACTCTTTAAGGGCTGGGCCTGTGTTTTAAAATAGCAGTTTAATACCTTCAGTGAATAACGGTCTCTTCACTGAATGGAGGAAAGCTCTTATGCACCAGCAAGCAATGCAGCTGCAGCATGAAATAATGACCTGACACTTTTTCTTTCACAGCCCCTGAAGGGAACACTAAGAATATTTAATCACATTCTTGAAGTATAAGGAAAGAAGGGTAGTATTCAGTTTTGCCAGTAGTTCCAACCAAGTAATGGGAGTGACAGGAAACAAAAGCAAGAGCAACAGAAATAAGGTGTTGGTTTCTGTGAGTGGCAGACCAATTGATTCCAGACTTTTCTTCTTCTGCATTTACTCTTTTCTCACTTTATTCTGTAATCCAAACTGAAGGGTCATAAAAAGAGAAAATCTGGGCCTTAAGCCTGAGTCATACTATCTTGAAGCACTGATGGTAATTAAAGATGCTTATGGGCTACCTGTGATTACTTTCTGGTGAAGGAAATGTGCTCTGCACACGCTCAGAAGCACTGTTATCTTTATTAGTTTTATTTCATGCATTTGAGTGCTGAATCCCAGCATTTAGAAGGAATACGGGAAATAAATGTTCACAATACTGTATGATTAAAAGATGCAAGGCTTTGCAATGAATTTCTTTCTTGCTGTGAATAAGATATTGCAGAAGCCAACTCAAAGCAGTGCAGTTCATCTCTTGTCCATGTTTTACATTACTCCCTTGTCTCAACTGCCTCCCATCTTGCTGACCTTATTTAGAATAATAGATTCATAGAATCATAGAGCTGAAAGTACCCACTAACTGACACAAAAGGCACCCAGTGCAGCAGTTAGGCTGTTCTTTCCCACAACAGAGCAGAAGGAATTCCAAATGAAATGCACTTCATCCAAGATCCCATTATGGCTTGTACATCAATTCTGTATCTTTGGCTGGAGTAGTACATCAATTCCCAAAAGTAAAAACAGCCACCAGATGGCGCCTCTGACAGTTTCACAGGCACAATTAAAGCAGCCTTTTAACAGACATGTCTGCAAAAGTTCCCTGTTCACAAAATACTTGAATGGTTTTAGTTATTTGTGGCATACACTGATGACCTGAAAAGGGGGGGGGGACCAGGTTTCCTCCAATTCACAATGGTTCCCCTGGCTAAGCTGGGCTCAGATCTCATAAACCTTGTTGCAACTTCAAATTTAATACTACCAATACAGCAGCTGAATACTACCAATATTTCACAGAAATGTAGAGAAGTACTTCAACCCTCCTCCTCCTTTTACCTGAAATCTTTATTTCTTGTTTTTTTTAATGTATTCACAAAAAATATTGTGAACATAATTTCAGTTCAAAAATACAGTATCACATGCGTAAAATAATGCATAGGTGAAATATAGCAACAATGCATAATAATAATAATAATAATAATAATAATAATAATATAAGCCCAATACACAAAACCTCAACACATTGGGCTGCTTGTCAGTAAAACATGTATCAGACTGCAGCCTTGACTTGTAAATTAAGCTAGACACTTTCCTTTTTATTAAGGGCTGTTACAATGATTTCCACAGCTTGGCCTTGATCTCTTTGTGAAGTTACAAAAAGAACTTGAAAGCAAACACATTTTGTTCAGGCCCCCACTTCTGCACAATACTTTGTGTGTGTGTCTGTGCATTGTGCAGAATGTGGGCTATCAAAACTATGTCACTCTGTAGAAGGTTACATATTGTAATACAATACTTGAGAGAGCATTCTCACATCCAAATTATTTTCTCAGCATTTTTACCCTTGGAGGGTGTGTTTGTGTGTGTGTGTGTGTGTGTGTCTGTCTGTCTGTCACAGACTGGACATGCTGAAAGAAATCCAGATGTACCAATAAATGACTCAGTGCTTGTATGTTGATTCAGACATTAAGCAAGGCAGATGGTGCTGTTGTCTTCCACATAAATTGTTGGCATAGTGCGCCTTGGGGGCGAAGTCAAACTTGAAAGGTTACAGGGCCTTCTGTGGCTGTAGAGACCGATACGGGGGGAGACATGTTTTGTTGCAGCTGGGGTGGATGAAGCTCCTCCCAGTGGTCATTCCTCCTCTGATCACTGCTATGCATACATGACCTGACTGTCTCCAGGCATCATGGAGTTGATGTTGCCAGCCTTCATGCCACATTTGCAGACATCTTTGTAATACAGAGTTTTACCCCAGTGGGTGTGGTGCCTGAAGCCAGTTCCCCATAAAGAACTACATCATCTAAATAAGGGAGAGGGGGAATGCTTGTCAAAAAGTGCTCCCATGCCAGTTCATTCTGCATGTGTGGAGCCAACAGCTCCTGGAGGAATGGAGGGCTTCCATCCTATCTAATCTCCTTCCTTTCACTGTCTCTTAAAGCAGAGCCAGCCCTACCATTGGGTAGAGTGAAGCATCTGCCTCAAGTGGCAGGCGGTGATGGGCAGGCGGCAACAGTGAGGTGAAGAACATAGCTATTTGTGCTATGTGACCTGCTCTCCAGCCCCTAAGCTAGCCTGCTGCCCTAATGTCGTGATTGATACTGTCCCATCACCAGGGCTGAAGGAATATCCAAATGCAAGTCTAGCGGGCTTCAGTACATGGAAGGGAAACGGAGGGAGCTGTCGTCTTGTCCTTCACCCGAGGCAGCAAAATGTATTGGGCTGGATCTGTCTCAAAGCTTTCTACCACTTAAGAGTGCCAGGGGCAGACCCCGAGAGGACCTCAAAACCTTACAGTATTAAATTACTGAACGGGGGGGGGGGGGGAGGAATTGGATGGAGGAATGAAAGTATTTGTTTCCAAACCCTTTTTGCAAGTAAACAGTATATATTAAAGTAAATCTTCCTGGACAGTGATTTAAAAGAAATAAGAATAAAACAGAGTGATTTTATGGGCTGTTTCTTTAATTGATTTAGTGAAAATTAAATTAAACTAGCAAGAGAAGGGTTGGGAAAATTTCCAGCATTAATTCTTTGTAAATAGTGAAGGCAGAAATCTTAGTCACTTATTACATATATATGTCACTTGCTTTATACAGTTGTTATAGTCCTATTGTGCTTAGGAATTGTATGAAGCCTGATATTGCCATATGATTCTGTGCATTTTGCTTTCTTATATATATGGCAATTCTAACCTTGAAAAACCTTTGGTTAGAGAACATAATCACATACAAAAAGTCTAGCTGGATCAGACCAAAGATCTGTGTAATTCAGTATCCTGTTTTCCTTAATTGCCAGTCAGATGCTTTGTCTAGCTGTTGTCCCTCAGCAAATGGCATCTAGAGGTGCAGTACGTCTGATCATGGAGGCAGTATATTGCCTTTAGGATTATCAGCCATTGATAGCCTCCTCTTTTAAAAAAAGAAATCATAAATAGTGTGCACCAATACTTCAAACAGGGATTGTGAAATGCATCCAAGCTACATCCCTTATCCAAATTCCATGACACTTCTGGTTAGCTGCTGTGGGATGCAGGACTAGATGAACCTTTGATTTGTTCCAGCAGAGCTCCTTTCTCAGTTTATTAGGAAACTGCTTTACACTTAGGGCTCATCCGCACTTCCGCTTGCCCTGTGCCTAGAAAGCATGGATCTGAACAGTTTTCCACGTCTGTGCTTTCTAGGTATGGGTCTGTCTGAGTTGCTTTGCCTTTCCCCCACTGCTTTCCCCCAGAAAACTTGCTCTTTAATGCTAAATCGGAACAAACAGCAATCTGTTGCCATTTGTTCCAATTTGGCACTATACTGACTGGCAGTGGCTCGTGAGGGCTTCAGACCGGAAGTCTCTCCCAGTCCTACCTGGAGATGCCCTTGGAGGTTGAACCTGGTACCTTCTGCATGCAAAACAAATGCTCCACCACTGAGCTAAGGCTTTTCCTCACCAAGCATCTGCTCTTTGGGCCTTAGGCAGAGGATTAGAGGCAGATGTAGGGGAATGCAACTGATTCAATTGCACTGGGCATGAAGCCTTGGGGACTCCACCAGAGATGCAAACTATGTTTTAGAATTGAGGGTGAGGGGGGCGCTGCTGAAATTTGAGACCCCAAGTTCTGCAACTGGAAGGATCTTTCCCAGGGACCTTCTGCAGTCAAAGCTGCTGCCTTTACCGCTGAGCAATGGTGCCTCCCTATTAAAAAAACAACACCCCTGTTTTCTACAGGTTCATTTCTATTCTTGTCCAGTATAATGATAGCTGCAGGGTCCTTGTTGCTTTATTTCCTGAGGCTGCAGGCAGGATTGCAGAGAGGGTTTCTCTGGAAACGAGTCTCGCGGTTGCAGCTTTTTCAGTTCTGTTTGGTAGGCCTGGATCCTTACTCTGTGGTATTTTTATTTATTTTTAAAATTTGTATAGCACCCTTCATCCAAAGATCACAGGGCAGTCCACAACATAAAAATACGGAATGGAAACACAAAATACATAATAAAACAAAAGCAAAGCAAAGCAAACCAGTAACCCGTCCCTCCCCCATTCACACATTTTAAAGCCCACAGAATGTTAATCAGCCAAATGCCTGGTTGAAGAGAAATGTTTTCACCTGGCGCCTAAATATATTTAATGTAGGTGCCAGGTGAGCCTCCTTGGAGAGAGCATTTCACAGGGGATGGGGGACACTTCAGAAAATGGCCATTCTTGTTTTACCACTCCAGAACTCTTGTGGAGGAAGCACACGAGGAAGATCGCAGGGTCTGGGTTGGTTCATATGGGGAGATGGGGCCCTTGAGTAGAACCAGCCTCGTATAGGAGCAGCTTCGCACCTTAGCGCTCTGCCTATGAAATGGGGCTTGATAGCATGAAACGGAGCAAAGTAAAGTAAAAAAAAAAAAGTGCATAAAAGCCCTAGATTGGAATCATAGGCTCACGGAGTTGGAAGGGATCCCGAGGATCATCTAGCCCAACCCCCTGCAATGCAGGGTTCTCACATGACATATAGCCACCCAACCTCCACTTAAAATGCGGAGCCGTTTCCACGCACGCGTTTGGCAAGCCGGGCTCTGCGCTGCCAAAGGAGCAGCGCCTGCTTCCCGCAAGGAAACAGGACTGCATTCATTCCGCAAGCTGCGCTGCCTGCCTGCCTGTCTTCTCTTTTCGCCGCGCGGTCCCCCGCCCTCTTACTCCGCCGCCCAGCTCCTCCCCACGGGAGGCTTTTCGCCCTGCCTTCCCCTCCGCCACCTCGCGGGGGGATTGGGCGACGGCGGCGCCTGCAGCCCCCCACCCCACTTTTCCATTGGCCCGGTGGGCTGATGGGCAGCTCCGGAGGCGCTTGTCCGTCAGCTGCGGAGAGGGGCGGGGAGCTATGCGCCGGCTGGAGGGTCTCGCTAAGCCGGGACCGGCCGAGGAGGACGGCGGCGCGTGGTGCGCGGAGCAGGTTGCCAAGCGGGAGCGCGCCGCGTCGAGAGCACGGCGGCCATGGGGGTGGAAGTGGAGACCATCACGCCGGGAGACGGTGCGGTGCCCCCCTCGCTGCGGGTTCGGGCTGAGGGGCGCGGGGAAGAGAGGGGCGGCAGGGCAAAGCAGCTGCAGGAGGAGCTGGGTGCCTATGGGGGAAAGGAGGGTGGTGGTGGTGGTGGTGAAGCTTTTGGCTGCTCAGAAGAGGAGAGGAGGAGATTTGGTTGGGAGAAGGCGATGAATGAACTGGAAGGGGAGTTTTTTGGCCAGGGAGTGGTACCAAGTAGGGGTGCTCCTGGTAACGGTGGAGCTACGTCAGTTCTGGAATTGTCCAGTTGGAAGGGACCCCAACGATCATCTAGTCCAGCCCCCTGCAATGCAGGAATCTTTTGCCCACCGTGGGACTCGAACCCACGATTCTGCAGTTAAGAGCCTCAGGCTCCACCGACGGAGCTGTTGAGGGCCAGCTCAGTGCAATGCAGGTGCGTGTTCAGGGTTTCTGGGTACCTTATTTGAGCTGCAGCGCGTCCTCCTGTTCTCCACACCCTGGTCAGTACCCTGTGGTTCTTTGGCTCTCTCCTGCCTTGGCCATCACTCTTGTCCACCTTGCCAAGCTTGTAAAGTATATTTCAGCCCAACTGCGGCTGACGAAGGGATCGGATTTCCTATCATTTCAGAGGGATATTTGAGGTCAGAGGGCTGAGGGGTAGGTGACTGTCTCTTTCTCTGGCTGTCAGGAGATTGAATCAGGGAGGATCGGAGAAAGTGGAACCTACAGGATGTTCGGAACAGGAATTTTAAAATGCAAAATGCGTGGAAAAAATGCTAAATGCAAATATACCTACATATATATATGGTGGGGGATGGGAGCGGTCAGGTGAGGGGAAACTTGAGACTCCCTGGCTTAGAATATGGTGGAGGGTGCCTGTCCTGAGCAACATAATGAGGGGAAATGCCCAGAGGGCTCTGTGGATCGGTGGGCTGCAGTCTTCTGCTTCTTTGGCAGCAGCATCGGCAGCCACAAGCGATTAGGGATATTTAAATGGCATTTGCTGACAGCTGCATAAATCCAAGCGCAGTGAAGTAATTTAGTAGCAAGAGCAAATTATAGTACGCTGTACTTCCCTGTTTAAAATGTGAGCCTCTCCATTCAGGAGAGAGACAAGGCTTCAGGCTTGCTCCTCTGTGAAAACCTGGAGAAGGCTCTTATTGAAGAGACCACTGCTGCAACTGCAGAGCTAGCAAAGCAAAGAACTCCTGTTTTTACGGGGTGGGGGTGACCAGTGAATGGGATTTAGCAGGGTTTTGTGGCTGACAGTAACATGTGGAGATAGCTTTTTGCCATGAAGTGGAGATAGCTTTTTGCCATGAAGGAAATGTGTGCCACTTAGTCATTAGCCAGACATTGACTTTGAAGAAGTCTTCGTTGTGGGTGCAGCTCGGTTTGAGAACATACAATAGAACGATGGCAGTTTGGCCCAGCTCACAGCACAGAGGAAGAATCCTGTAAAACCTCAAATGCTCTGCTCATTCTAAAATGGTTACAGCGTGTTCAGCCAGGCATAACTCTTCAGTTTCACCAGATTTACAGCCCCTGACTGGTGAATATAATTACTGTGGACAATAGTCTACAGATTTTGGCAGGTGAGTAAGTGCCTGGGACATCTGATTGGCCACCATGGGAAAAGGATGCTTGACTAGATAGCTCAGAAAGTAGAGCATGAGACTCTTAATCTCAGGATTGTGGGTTCAAGTAGGGTTGCCATACCTCTGGAATTTCCTGGACATAGCCGGAATACTGCATTTGGAAACAGTGTCTGTTGCAGAAATCGCTAAAAATGTCCGGGGAAATCCGGACGCATGGCAAGTCATGTCGGCAGTGTCATTTCTGATGATTTACCTGAAAAAATAAGGTAAAGGTACCCTTGCCCGTACGGGCCAGTCGTGTCCGACTCTAGGGTTGTGCGCCCATCTCACTTAAGAGGCTGGGGGCCAGCGCTGTCTGGAGACACTTCTGGGTCACGTGGCCAGCGTGACGAAGCTGCACTGGTGAGCCAGCACTAGCGCAGCACACGGAAACACCGTTTACCTTCCCGCTAGAAAGCGGTACCTATTTATCTGCTTGCACTTTAGGGGTGCTTTCGAACTGCTAGGTGGGCAGGAGCTGGGACCGCAGGCGGGAGCTCACCCCGCTGCGGGGATTCGAACCGCCGACCATGCGATCGGCAAGCCCTAGGCACTGAGGATTTACCCACAGCGCCACCCGCGTCCCATACCTGAAAAAATAGCTCCAGTTTATTTATTTTTGCTCAACAACTTTGGAACTTTTTGAAATATCTTCCAGTCCTACGTTGGGCAAAATATTCCTACATTGCAGAGGACTAGATGACCCTCGGGTCCCCTTCCAAGTCTAAAATTCTATTATTCTAGGTCTTTGGTCTGAATGAGCAGGGCTGCTCTTTTGTTCACAAGGTAGCCGATACAAAGTAAGTGTATCCCCTGTGGACCAGATGCTCAACAAAAGGATTTTACAGGGACAAAGTGGAAGGCACCATGATCGCAGTATGAGGCACATTCTTCTGCTGTTTGCCTCCCCATGTCACTGATAACTTTGTTGAAAATGGTCCTGTGATGAAGCAAACTAGAAGCTGGCCGAAATCAAGCTTTTGGTCACTGCTCTTTGAAATCATATTTGTGGGCCCTCTTTAGGCATGGTTGTCATTTAATTAAAAAAACACAGTAGTAAAAGAATGATCCCAATTGTATCGTTTAAATTGATGGTCACTGAAAATTGAAATCTGTTCCCCCTTCTTTCCAAATGGCACATATAAGCCACTCTCTGGGAGGGTGAGACTAGCATAAGCTACAGGTATGTGATTACAATGTCATTCACACTACATGACACCATCTCTGCCTCTACACCTTTGCTTTCTTACACTGGTCGGTGTTTTTAACACAGAAAACCGAAATTATTCAATTTCCATTTTATCTTGTATTTAATGTAGATTTCGATATGAATGAGTTTATTCTGCTTTGACTCTTTTTAAACATCCACTTTTCTAAAAGGATGTTCAACAGCATTTTTAACGTATGCGTTTGTTCATGTTTTTAAACAGGAAGGACATTTCCAAAGAAAGGCCAGACATGTGTGGTCCATTATACAGGTAAGTTCCATTATGAATAGACCATTTTGTGTTTTCAGATTGTTATTTTCTGTTTGCAGTCCAACCATATTTATTTCTCCATACTGATTCGTGATGTCCTACATCTTTGTATAACGGCATTCAGGTTATCCAAAATGCTATTGATTTACATGAATTCAGATAATTGTTGCTCAGGTTATTATACTAAAAGAAGTACCCTGGACCCTTCTAGCTTTTCTCTCCCTCTCCCCACCCATTTCATAAAAAGGACCAGAGGTTGTAGTCTAGCTAGTCATGTTGTCATCACTACAGAAAGCAGAGCAGAAGCTTGATTTCTTCAGTACAGCATTAATGACTCCACTCCTGCCTTGCTGTTTTTTACCCTTTCTTCTACTGCTCAGTACATACTGAACACTTATGATGTTCTTTGTGGAGAGCAGCTATAAAGCCTGTCAGTGTTCAGGTGCAGTGGTCTTCAGCTTACTAAGAGCTGGGACTCACCTGTAATCCCAACCTGAAATATGGGACTCTCTTTCAAACGATCATAGGCTCCACAGGGCAGAGCCCAGCATTAAAAAGGGTGGATCCCAAGAATCTGGGGTGTGGTTGAGGCAGTCTGAAAAAGCAGAGTGTTAAAAGAAAATCAGCATGAAGAAGTGGAGTGTCATGTTAGTGGGTAGGGCAATTTTAATGTGTGTGCCTGGGGGACGGTGTGTGTGCAGGTAGTAGCCCACAGAGATTGCAGAGCCCCCTTTATCTGTCCCCACCTCTGTTACTGCTGCTGATAGTGTTGCAGCACTGAGTAAGAGCTGGCTTTTTGGTGAGGAGCGGCCATCATGCACATACAGCTGTTTGCACGCAGGCTCTGTATGTGTTGTTGTGAACTGTGATTGTTGCAATGGCAGAAAACAGGAAGCTGCATTGTGCTGAATGTACGCCGGTGGTTTTTCTGGAAAAAGGTGCAAAATTCAAAACTGCAGGTAGATCCAGATGATTGGGGGGGGGGGTTCTGCCATTATAATGTGGCACACAGAGAAAAGCACCCCACCCCCAGACAGTTGCTTCGCAGAAAGATCTTGTGGAACATTACTTGGCAGAAGACAATACAACGGTGGTGAAGTTTGCTCAGTTCTGAAGCCCAATTCTGCAAGTGTGTCCTTGTGAGACAACTGAAAATTACCATGTCACTAAGAGAAGAACAGGAATTCTCTCATGTAAAGCCACTGCAAACCATATCTCGCGTTTGACAAATGTTGACATAAAGAGAAGTATTTTTAAGCATTGCTTCTTCTTTTTAACAACCTCAAGTTGTTAGGTTCTTAATGAAATAGGGTTTTTTTAAATAGGTGAGGCCCCCCCCCATTTTTATATTGTGTGCCTTTAACTGCTTGTTCTTATTACCAAAATCACTGACTCAGCACAGAATGAAATCGGGATTTAGAAATGATCCATAGATTATTGTTGTATTTACTGGGTTCATTCAGAGTCAGTAAAGAGTAAGAACTGCTCTCCAAAAAGGTATCGGTGCTGTCTCCATGCAGCAGAAGTTCTGATGATCAGGGAGGAGGTGCCTCACTTCTGACATAGCTGGAGAGTAGTATGTGTGTGATGCTGAGATGTCATTACTGATGGAGTTATACAAAGACCCAACTCTTGTACTATGATCCTATAATCCCTTGTTAGCCGGCTTTTTTCTTTATTCTGGGAACCACTGTAAAGTGAGCTAAACTTGGCTGCTGTGGCCATTAATATAATTGCAATAACTGGCAGAAACTTGCAAGAAGTGGCAAAAAATAACTCTCCCTTGAGATGACTATGATGATATATTTATCACTATTCTGGTAATGGAAAGAAGGAGCAGACTAGAAGACTTCAGACTACATGGCTACCATGCTAGAATTTCCTTAAAGTAGGGTAGGGAAACCAACCCAAAATGCAGAGATACCAATTTATTATTAACTACATATTTAAACCAGATTACTCTGAACATCTTTACAGAAATGTGGCGGCATGGGTGAATTTGTTCAGTTCCATGGTGCTCTTTACCCCTTCTTTTGTGACTCACACTTTGACAGTTGAACAATTGCTTGGATAAGTAAAACTCAACTTGATTTTTTGTAAATCTGCTGCCATGTTAATCCAGTGACCTTTGTATTCAGCAGCTTGCTGTGTTAATTCAGCATACTTGAGTTCACAGAAATCTTCTGGATAAATAAACTTTTTCTTATTTCATGTTTAGGTATCTTGTGTTATTTGCCACCATTTTAATCGTAAAGTCCAATACCGGAAACTGTGTTGGTGGTGATGGCGTGTGTGCTTTTCAAAAACCCTTTGGCTGTAAATACACGTAACTCCATAGTAAGACACATAGGCGCAGCAGAACTTCTGAGTGAACTTCTGGATGAAGTAGAAATTCATTCCATTTGAGCCCACCTAAATTGTAGTCCCTGAATCCACTTAAGAATGGAGTTGCTGCTGTGAAATTGCCAAGCCTGGCACTGACCTGGTACCAGACACTGAGTCCTGAAAGGATGGCTCAGACTCCACACAGGTCAAGGGTGTTGAGGAGCAGGCAGGGTCCCTTGGAAACAGTGCTAAGGGTCTCCTTGAGGGGCCTCCTGGTGGTGGGGAGACCCACCGAAGAGCAGAGGAAGAGGTGGAGTCACCCTCCACAGTTCTCGAGAATGCCCAAACCAAAAGATTTGAGACAAAGAGCAGCAACATAGTATACATCTATGGACCTTGGGTTGCGAGTGAGGGTGTCTCCCTGTGAGTAAATAATCCCCAAAACTGCTTCATTGTCAGCTGTTGAGGTTAGGATGTAGTTTAGGAGACTGCAGTATTAAAGGTCTCCCTCTTGAGCCATCCAGTTGTTGGAGGAAAGGCTTTTCGTTCCTAAACCTAGTCTTCGTTTCGTTCCTAAACCTGATTGCTGAGCTACGTGGTGCTGGGACACCCTGTGTTAACTGATCTTGGGAGGGTTGTCTCTGGATCATGTTTTGAACCTTGTGTTTGTCCCCAGTTTCCTTGCACTGCACTACACTGCACCCCCTCAATGGTATCTTTAGTGAATGCTTTGGTGAGAGACTTATACCTCCTGGCACCCATGGGAGTGTGACAGGAATTCACATTTTTTTCTGAATTTTGCAATGCAGTTAACCAGCCAAACATTAAAAATGCCAAATCTTTATTTGAGGGGAAAGGGTGCACACACACAAAAGCGTATATTACTCGATACTGTGCAAAAATAAGTGTTGTTAGAAATTCTGTGCAAAAATGTATTTATGAGGCAAAATTGCATACAAAAATGTGTGGGAGAAATGTACCATACATAAAAATACATACAGGCAGCTACCATTTTGTGCTGGGGTTCCGTTCCCAGACCCTGTGTGTGTTGGTGGAGCACACATAAGTATGCCCTACCCTGTTACACCCCAGTCTGTATATATTTTTGTCCAGAGTTTAAAAAAGGATTACTGCAAGCTGATGTGGAAATGGGACGGTGCACTTAAGATTAGAAAAAAGGAGCCACCAAACATAGACATTGACTTTAATGGGAAAAATTTGCCCATCAATTGCAACCAATTAGGAATTGTAAGGAAGGCAACTTTATTAGAAAACGTTGCTGTTTATTGATTGTGCCACCAGAAAAGAAAGTAATTGCAGACCACTGTCTGTGAATGGTTCATTATGGAAAGGCACCTTGGGCTAAATTGATTTTGTTCAAAATAGACAACTCTGGCAATATTTTGTAAGTGAGAGTGCTCATTGATTGTTCACTGGCTCCTGTTGTTGTGGGTTTCTTTTCCTTGTTGTTTCTTTTCCTCCAGTTCCTGTTCTGTATTCCTGAAATAATGTACCATAAGTTATTTCTGCACTGCATTAAGTACAGAGTAGCATGTCTTTCACTCCATAAATGCCTTCTGATTCTAACCAAGTATTTTCTGAATATTCCGAGCAGCAACTGTGTCTCAGGCTTCCTCTCCCTCATCATAGTGTAGCAAAACTTCCCCTGTCTCAGCATCGTCATGTTGGGCATTTTCCCTCCCACCAATAATAGGGTATGAAGGTGGGGAAATATACAGCATGATAAACCATGTGGAGCAGCATCCCTGATGAGATATGACAGGCATCCACTCACTGTATTTCCCGGAAATAGTTGAAGATATTTTTGTTTTGACAAGCTTTTCCAGCTGGGTGAAAAGGGCTCTGCCTTGGGTGTTCATTTTGAACTGTTTTTCCAACCTCTCTTCAGTTGTCTTTTGTACTGTTTCTAAACTGGTTATATGGTATGCTTGTAAATTGCCTTGAGACGCATGCAGAGCTGACCCCACCCATGAGGGAAGGTGAGGTGATCACCTTGGGTGGCAGGATTCACAGTGGCAGCAGGTCCAGCCTCCAAGGAATGCCTCGCCACTGCTACAGTGTCAGTGACAGCTGTGATACACTTCCTGGAGGCCAGATCTGCCTCTTCCTTGGCATCCCCCCATCAATGCTGCCTCTAGAGTGGCCTCTTGGTGGACAGGAGGCACTCTTGGTCTTCTCCCACCCTTTCCCCCCAAAGTAGGCCTTCCCCCACTTCTCGTACCTAAAGTAGATCCTTATTCCCGCATCTTTCTCAGTGTAGATCTTTATTACCGCCTTGTTCCTGATGTAGATCATCACTCACTCCTTCTTCCCTGGTGGAAGGAAGCATTTTGTGGCCTTGAGCCGATCCTGGATGTATATATGTGTGAGTGAGCCATGTTATTGAGCTTCTGCAACTATAAGCATGCTTGTGCCTGAATCAGCTACCAAGAAACTAATTTTTGTGTGTGTGAAGATTAGATCTAGTTGTCTTCTACGGAAGGTGAAGGCTGAAGTTTTTCTCATAGGGCCAAACCCTACCATGAGGTAGAGTGGAGTGGCCACTCAGGCAGCTCATTTTAGGTGTCCTGAAGGTACAGATTCAGTCAAGGTTAGAGAGATGTGGAGGCGACTGGGCAGTGACCCATAAAAGTTTTATCATTCTCACCAGGAGGTCAGTCCATCTGGGAACTGGATGGGAGGGTTTATACTTGGTGCTGGGAGGCAAGTCATGTTGGTATACTGTCTTCCCTACTGCCCAACTACCTCCCTGACTAAGCTGTCTGAAGTAATCTGGTGAGGAGTTGGAGAATCTCCCGACTTTAGTTCTGCAGGTATGCCTGGAAGAAGTGTATTATCAAGATCCTTTCTGGTTTGGATGCTGAATCAGCCTTAGTCACCCTTATAAATGACCTTCAAATGGAGTAAAACAGGGTAGTGTGAACCTGTTAGTTTTCCTTGACATCTCAGTGGTTTTTGACACCATTGAACATAGTGTTCTTCTGGAGCAACCCAAGTAGGTGGAAACTGGAGGTAACGTATTACTGTAATTCTGCTGCTACCCATAGGATTGCTACCAGAAAGTAGTAATCAGAGATTGTTGCTCGGCTCAGTGGCTTTGGGACTCTGATGTCTCACAAGTGTCTCTTCTGTCTCCTGAGCTATTTAAAATCTACATGAAACAGTTGGGAGCTGTGACCTGGGGATTTGGAACACAGTGCCACCCATGTGCTGATGACACACAGCTTTAGCTCCATTCCATCACAATCAGGAGGGACTGTGAAGGTGTTCCACAGGCGTCTGGAAGCAGTGAAGGGCTGGATCGGGGCCAATTAATTACTGCTGAATCCCAATAAGACAGAAGCACTGCGGGTAGGTGATTCCCATGTCCAGAAATTAAGGTGTACAACCTGTTCTGGAAGGTTTGCAGCTCCCCACTGAAGAAACAAGTACTTCTGGGAGTACTTCTGGATTCCAACTTGTCATTAGGGTCTCAAGCAACTTCTGTAACTAGGAGTGCTTATGCCTAACTTAAGCTGACTCTCCAGCTACTGTGATAGCTCAGTTCCTCATGCTCTGGTGAGCTCCCATCTTGGCTACTGGCTATATGTAGGGCTGCCCTTGAAGAGGGCCCAGAGGCTGCAGCTCTTGCAGATGATAAGTGGGGCAGCCCAGTGGAACCTGTGTCACCAGTCCTGAAAGCTGCATTGGCTGCCAGTGAGGACCAATTCAGAGCGTTAGTACTAGTATACAAAGCCCTAAATAGCTTGGAACCTACATAAAAAGAGTGCCCTCCCCAGCATCAACCATCTTGGACGTTGCACTGCCGGCAGCTGCCTGGCAGGCATTGACCTGTAACACAGCCTTTTCAGTGGCAGTTCTCCATTTGTGGAATGGCTTCTCTGGTGACATGTGTCTCATTATTGACTTTCAGGAGAAATTTTAAAAGATTCTTGTTTACCCAGGCATTTGATGGCTACAGTACACCCTTCCTGGGCACTCTGGGATAACTGTTATCATCATCATCATCATCATATTTGTGACTCTGGGCTCTTTCAGGAGGATGGGTAGGATAGAAATTGAATGAATGAATGAATGAATGAATGAATAAAAGAGTTGTGTTTTTACTCCTGAAATGTGGGATTTTCTACCACTGGTGCCAAATGACTTGGCAAGCCTTTGGTGCTGTGCCCCTCGAGCTGGCGGGGGTGGGGGGGGCGGGGAGAGAAGTAGCACATGCCATTACATCCCGGGCAGCAAAATGTCTGGGGCCAGCCCTGCACCAACTGTGTTTGGTTTGATTAACCACATCACATCCAAGTTCTATTTTAGACCTGGATACTGTATCAGACATTGTAAGTGCGAAGGACAGTGTTAAGCAATCAGTCCTGATGCTGCTGTAACATTTGAGATACCGGGGGTGAGCTGTGGATAAGGTTGCAACGTTGTCAGGGTGGCTTGAACAGCAGCATGCGAGGCACAGTTCAGTGGCTGCCGATTCCCCTTTCGCTACGTCTCCTTGCCGGGTAAAACTGTACCTGCTGGACTTCTGCCTGTCTGTGCAGCTGTTTCAGTGTACAGGAACCCTGCCAGAAGACAGACGGCCTCTCTAGCTGTGGAGCCGGCAGCTGTCCTTTATGCTCTTTCCATCGGGGCAGCCTATGTGTGAAAAATATATCACAGCGTGAAATGTATCTATGTGTGATTGGAAATAAGTCACAGAGGTGATAACATGTGAATAATTACTGGTGCGATTAAGTATCTCCTGGTGCATCAATCTGTCTCTCATCCTGAAGAGCTAGCATGGACAGCTGCTAATATGGCACACAGAACTACTGAGTCAGTAGAACAAGGGAAGTTAATACTGGCCAACAGGAATGAGACAAAATCGTTCTGATCCTGCCGTTATTCTCACTTTCTTAGCCGTGTTTGGGGGTGGTGTTTTTTTTAAATGAATGGGACATTTTTTTGTTTCTGAGCATGGACAATCAACGTGGCAGATAGTGGAAATTATTCATTGCCGTTTTTTCTGTGAAGTGTAGATTAACCAGAGTTTCCCAAACATAGGTTTCGAGCTGTTGTTGGACTACAACTCCCATCATCCCTGGCTAGCGGGACCAGTGGTTGGGGACGATGGGAATTGTAGTCCAAAAGCAGCTGGAGACCCAGGTTTGGGAAACCCTGGATTAAACAAACAATAAAAAGGAATAGGCATTATTATCCTTCTGTCTATGGTGTGGTGTAGTGGTTAGAATGATGGATTGTGGGAGCTGGGAGTCCTGGGGTGATCCCCCCTCCCCCTTCTGACCCACTAAGCTCACTGAATGATCCTGGGCCAGTAACTTTTTAAAAAATAAAATCCAAATATTTTTTATTGATTTTCAGGTAAATACAAGAACAACGTATAGCTGCAGTAACTTGTCCAGTGGTACATTCTTATTAAGTTTGATATGCAGTACACAGTACACAAGCAATACGTTTATTTATGCACTGTCAATTCAAGTATCCTCTCCACAGAGATTTTTGTAGTAACTTTCAACCTAACCTACCTGACTGGGTTTTGTTGTGAGGATAAAATGGGTGGGTGGGGATTGTGTTCCTAAATAACCACTTTTGAAAAACAATATTGTACTTTTAGTGGGAATCATATTTTGCATGGACCTCCAAAGCGGTTCCTTGTATTTGATGCTGTGCTTTGCTGAAGACAATGTATTACATAATATGTCTTCAGGGTTTTTGCAGTTTTAAAGGTAGCTAGTGCTTTTATGTAATTTGTGGTCACCATGCATTTCTCATGGTGCAGAAACTGAGCAAAATTCTGTGTCGGCTAAGCTTATCTTGCAATACTTGTATATGTATATTAGGAATGTGTGTATATATATTAGGGTCCTGTGAAGCACATATTTATATAATTTGGTTAATTAAAATGAAATATTGCTCCAGAATCACTGGCAGATTTTATAAATTCTTATGGTTCTACTTGCTCTATATTGCTTTTAGCATCATAATAACCAGCATTCTGCATTCTTGCGGTATAGTTATCCTTGAGTTGCTTTAATCCAGTGCTTTTTCTGGGGGTACTCAAGGGTATGCACTACCCGCACCTTTTTTTTCTGGAAGAAAAGCACTGCTTCAACCCTTTTGCAACACACCACCTCTTGTTGAACCCCCATCTTTAATATTTTGTTTTTAATCCCCTGTTTTTACAGCAGCATTACATGACTAACTTGTTAAAAGTGTGATCTTAGCTCCCATCTCCACCAATTTAAACGTGTTGTCGTCAACTGGCACCTGCTGACTTGACAGATTTCTCTGTTTTAAAAGTTGCAGTCCTAATTTTGTGCATGTGTTGTTGTTGTTTTAAAAAGTGGCATTTATTGCTGTTTGTGTGGGATGCAGGTGGTGCTGTGGTCTAAACCACAGAGCCTAGGGCTTGCCGATCAGAAGGTCAGCGGTTCGAATCCTCGTGACAGGGTGAGCTCCCGTTGCTCGGTCCCTGCTCCTGCCAACCTAGCAGTTTGAAAGCACGTCAAAGTGCAAGTAGATAAATAGGTACCGCTCTGGCGGGAAGGTAAATGGCGTTTCCGTGCGTTGCTCTAGTTCACCAAAAGCGGCTTAGTCATGCTGGCCACATGACCCAGAAGCTGTATGCCAGCTCACTTGGCCAGTAAAGAGATGAGTGCCACAATGGTCAGGGGTCCCTTTACCTTTTATTGCTGTTTGTACATCAGTTCACATGCAGGGAAATTTGAGGCAAGAATTTGACTGTGTGGCTTTAACCCTTATAGTCAGCACTGCATAACTCTGGGCATGACCCATTCTCCTCTACGTGTAGAAGAGGGGATCTCCCCTAACTTCAGTCTTTCCTCTTCCTTTTTCTCATAGCCCTCATGCAGCTACATTCACACTGCAGTGCTTGGCTGCTATGGCCTTAAAAATATACTGTAGATCCATGTAGCCTGCTTTTTCCCATAGAGGTACAAGAAGGCTACTCTTCAGTGGAGCATGACTAGTCCTTGCACATGTCCTTAGTCATAGAGGAATCTGCTTATGTGAAGCATTGGAAACTGCCAAATATAGAGTGACAGTGACTGACAATGGCTTTCCAGTTACTAACCCACAAGGTCTACCAGAGATTATTCATTCATTGATTTTATGTGTCTGCAGCTTTTCCGCCCCCACCCCCCAAAATAAATCATGCTCACAGCAGCTTACAGCAAAGCAAAGAGGGAAATAGTTCAAGCAAGCACTACAAATCAATTTCATAATAATATATGAAATACAATGCAATACATTGGTACCTCGGGTTAAGTACTTAATTCGTTCCGGAAGTCCGTTCTTAACCTGCAACTGTTCTTAACCTGAAGCACCACTTTAGCTAATGGGGTCTCCTGCTGCCGCTGCACCGCCGGAGCACGGAGTTCTCATCCTGAAGCAAAGTTCTTAACCTGAGGTACTATTTCTGGGTTAGCGGAGTCTGTAACCTGAAGCATATGTAACCTGAAGCGTATGTAACCCGAGGTACCACTGTATACTGTAATATACTGCAAAACAACACAGTAACAATTTCATAATTATGTAGCAAAACAATTGTTTTGTTGTTGGCATCCATCTGTCTCAAGAGAGAATGGAGTATGTCTCTGGGGGTGAAGTCAAACTGCTGTGATAGTAGCATCAAAGTGATGTCCCCGGGGTACAAGGCTAGGCAGTGCGCATGGAGGTCCTGGGCTGCCCAGATGACAAGACTCCTATCTCGGCCTTGCTGATGTGGTTCAAAGGAAAGCGAAGCAATACGTTCAGCACCAGCTTGGCTGCAGGAGCTGCCCGAAGGAGCCATACAGGGCACCATCCAACCAGGGCAGATGGGGCTCTTCAGCCTAGGAAGGTAGTCCATCTAGGACAAGGAAAACTCTGACCCTAAACCTCGGCTGCCTTGCGGGAGATCTTCAGGAGAAGAGAGCCCTACACAAATCTGGAGTGGAATCCCTATAGCAATCATAACACACAAACCCCCACATTTCAATGCTATAAATGTAACAAGATTACAACATTCAGCATCCAATAGCAAAAATAACAGGAGCTTCAGTTTCAACTGGGGACCTTTTACATGCAAGGCATGTGCTCTGTCACTGAATCAAGGCCCTTTTCCTGCATAGGCCTCCCATTGTAGGTATTGACTGGCATATTGTGATACGTGTTTGACCCCCCCCAAAAATTAAAAATCAACAAAGATTAAGAGAGAATAGCATGCCATATAGACAGGGTTCAAAATTAGCAGGGTGCCAGGCGCATTTTGTGCCTAAAGAGTCTTCATTTGCAAGAACCTCAAAAAGTCTTGGTGCCCTTTTTTGCACCTGGCCGATACTCAAATATTACCGAAATATATGTGCTTTGAAGCCTCGAAGTGTATGTTAAGGATAAACAATACGTTAAGGAGTTTAACAATAAAGAGTAGAATGATTTGAAAACTAAAGTACGGTACCAATATTTTTATTGTAAACACCAAATTCAACATGTATTAACAATTTCTGCTAAAATGTGATATTAACAATGTGTCACTTATGTGAATTGGGTATTAATTCATGCTTATCAAAATAATAAATAAAAAGTGTTGCAGACACACACACACCAGTGGTGACTAGACATTATGCTTTGGCACCCACAACTCAGGTCCCAGAAGCCATTTGGCCCCTAGCTTTTCTGTCCCAGTTTCTAACACAACATATAGACATTTCTAGTGTTGCTTACTGTACAGCTGCCTCCTGGCCTGCTTGTTCCAAAAGCAAAACATTATTGAGCTTTTTGGATTTCCTTTCCATGCAATGCCATCTTTGAAAAAGCACTGGATTGCACATCAAAAGGTTGGGGTGGGAGATTCTAACGGAGGATGTTCGTGCCATTAAAAAAAATGGTTTGCTTTAGTTTTTACAGCTCTGACTTCACCCTTCCTATGGAAGTGCTTGCGTTTCTACAGTATGTACAGTATGAACATGTTGCTATTAATATCTCTTGTGGCAAGGGGTGGCCTGGGCAGAACAGCATGTGTGAAAAGAGATCTTGTGCTAGGAGATGACATGAATTTTGGATTGAGTCATTCTTCCCCATCTGTCGGGGCTCCCTGTGCAGACGCTCCCCGCGGGTTGAGGTAAGCCAACATGGGTTACAACTTGGCTCTCTAATGGTGCTCTTGTGTTTATATTAAGCGCCAGCACGACTTCCCACCTTCTGGTCTCATCCCACTTTAGTTCTGTAAATATTTTTGCTGCTCATATCTATTGTTGGCACAGAGACACCAGCTGAAAGTTCTCTTAAGCCTTTCATTGCATATATGGCTCTGTGCCAGTGAAAGCTAGACCTAAGCATCTTGGCCTCTTTCACTGCCTGGGGCAGATTCTCCCCTACCCTGTCCCCAGTAATAACTGATGTTTTTCTTTAAGCTAGGCAGGAATTTCCACAAGACAGGCTTTTGCCACTGCTGTAAACCAGAGGGTACTTTGTTTTCTGCCATTTTAGCACACGCCATCCTGTCTTGCTTGTCAGAGTCCCCCCGCCCTGCTCCAGCATGCCTCTTCAGCTAATCCATACAGGATGCACATTTCTGTCGTGGTGCTGTTGATTGTCTTCAACAGCCATGCCAAGTTTCCCAGCATGAAGTGGCTGCTGTTAAAATATTTATCTGCCATTTAGTTGGCAGGTGGCATTTCAGAGTTCTGTGGTTACACCTCCCCCCCCCTTCCGAATCAAGCAAAGCTTGAAATGATGATTTGCACATGAGCTGAAATTGTGTATAATTTAGACGCACCAGGAAGGGTGGCAGCTGCGATAGAGATTGCTAATTGAGAATTATAAGAGTAGCTTTGATCCATAGATTTAACATCTTCATGTCAAGTCTAGAGTATTTTTGTGAATGAGACAAATGCAACACAACACCTTCTGCTTGTGAATTTCTGGATTGAATGTCACCCCCACATGTGAGTCAGTTATTATAAGAAAATTAGTATTTCACTACCCACAGTGTGTACTGTTGTTGTCTTCTCCCATAAATGTGTATGCAGCCATTTTGGGAAACCTAGTCATTTGAAAATGTCTTTGTATTCCTGTTGTCTTCGGGAAGCTGCCAGTCTTCTAATGTAGCATTTGTGTTATTATGAAGTAGAAGTTGTATTGGTGATCTACCAGATGATGACATTCAAGCAGCCTCTGAATAGACTCGCCCAGTAAGGGCCAGTATTGACCCATGACCGCCTAACAGTAATCCTATGGTTCATTCCTTCTCTTAACCAGGCCAGCAGCATAACCCGAAGATATTTTACTGAAGCTAAGCAGGTTTGGGTCTGTTCAGTGCCTGGATGAAATTGCCCAGTCAACCTTTGAGTGACACCTTTAGCTCCCCATTCAAACCATTGCAGGCAGTATTCCCTATTAGCAAGCCCAAAAGACAATGGTAACTCCTTACACAAAAACCCTTGTCTCATTCTTTGGTAAACCGTTGTCTGTGAGAAGGATGCAGTTCACAGTGTTGAGAGATCCAGTCACAGATCTCCCACACAACATGCTTTTTTCTTCCTGTGTGAATTGAATCAAAGCAATTGTTTCATTAACAAATCAGGGGGGTTATTTTCTTTCCCAATTCTTGCTTGTGAAAGGATAGCTCTGGAAATGGCTATATATCTTTGGGTAACTTTACTACTTCACAAGTTTGTATGGAGGTCTGATCTTCCTTGGGGTGAGAAGTAAGATACAAAAGTGATAGTTTGGCTCCCCTTTGCCTCCCTCCTGTCTTCCTAATATCTCTGGCTGAGATACATTCCAGCAATTCTGGTTATGTAGTCTGCCTTGCCCTTTCCTTCATTTTTCAGGTGGGCTGTTGTCCTCTTTTTTGTTATTATTAAAATGACACACCTGTTCATCTTAAGCAACAACAAAAATCATTTGTCATCTTATTTGTAAAAAGAAAGTAAGAAAATAATGAAAGCACATTTTTAAATGCTACAAAATTGCTCTGGTGAAAGGGCCATCTAGAGTAGCAGAAGCTGTTTCCCAAAGTTCATCCCTGGAGAGGATTATGTCTGTCTGTCAAGGACATAAAAAAATCCTTCCAAAATACAAACTCTCCTCTTTTTACTTCCCTTTTAGGCATACTCACCCCCTCCCCTTGTGAGCTTGCTAACCTCAGGATAGCATGCTTGCCTCTGTTATCTTGCCAAATAGTTAGGGGGATTGGAAGCCCTCATCAGGTGCATGCGTATGTGTGGTGAAATTGCTATATACCCACCCAGAGATTGCATTAAAGCTGGGAAACAATAGACCACCTAGGACTCTGATATGCGGCTTTGACTGACATTATTATCTAGAGAAATGGAAAAGACTGAACTTTCTAATTTTGGCAGGTTCAAATAAAAGTGTAGCTCCTTCTTTGCATATTTGCAAAACATGGTCTATAACATCATGTTTTCTGGCAGTGCAGATTAGGATTTCCTGAAACCCTAAAGTGTGTGTCTTGCATGGCTTTGTAACTGTCTCCTACACGGTTAGGAATCCATTAGGCTAATAAATAAATAACCGAGCAGCAGCTGCTCATAACCACAAAAATGAAAATACAGATTGCAGCAAGACAAAATGTCGCAAGGGTTAAATCACATTTCTGAATCATGCCACAAGCAGTATTCAGTAACAATAACTCATACCTCACATTAATATAGTCCTGAGTTTTCAAAACATTCTCCATACATTATCTCATTATTTCTCACAACAACATTTTCAGGTAGAAACATATTATCCCCTTCTTGCAGAAGACAGTAGGGGCCATGGCTTAGATATCATGGTTTACCTGAGACCCCCGGATGAGTTGATTGTGACTAAACTCTTTCCCAGATTGTGCTTTTTAGGCAGTTACGTTGCATCAGTGCTCAAGGTGGAATAACCTCATAATTTGCTTAACCACCGAACTACCACTCTGTGCTCACACTGCAATAGAAGGTGTCGTCCATTTAACTGGTCTCATCAGCTGTGCATACCACATATGCATTTTAAAGTGCCCAGTTGCTTGTTCGCTGTGTACAACAAATCAAGACTGTCAGTCAACAACTTTTGTTGATACGTTAAATAGATATCAGACTAGAGGACTATCAGTCCAGCTGGTTATTGGTATTGTTTACTGCATGTGGTCTAGAGAGAACTGGAGACTGTCATAGTCTGGGAGGATCAATAAAATACTGTTACTATTATTGTGGGTTTGATTGCAAACATGGTATTCAGGCCTGATTTGCCCAGACAAACCTGCTGTAAAAGAGCATCTCAGCTCTGTTGATCAGACTGTAGGCATTATCAGTGCCAAGAGAAAAGATGGCAGCTCCCTCTATTGTCACCATACTCACATCCTCTTCCCTGCCCCAACCCAATGGCCTCACAGATGAGTGAGCAAAGGGCAAGTTGGCAGGTGAAATAACAAATACTTTCCCTTTAAAATCTGGTATTGCCAGTTTTCGGCTCATTGCTATGTGGCTTATTCATGGTGCTTGATTCAATACAGTGGTCAAAGGAACTTTACTTCTCTGCCACAACTTGTCATTTCATGGCAGCTATGCATGAACAAAGCAGTGCTACATATAGTTAAATAGACCTGTCCCTGATTCGGTAGTGGGAGGGGAGTGTGACTGAGTTAAACTCCCCCTGCCCTAACAAAGGATCAGCACCATCACTAAAATTTAAATGGCAGCCGTGTGCAGGGTGGGTAGGACTTCTTAGTCCTTGCACGATCAGTTCTGGCCAGGGATATGGAGGTGTCAACACGACCATCTTTATATAGCAGGCAGAAGTTCTGATGCACCCATTCACATTTTAAAAGCACATGAGAAAGAAGGGCTCTGGAGCTGTGTGTTAACTTTGCCCATTGTTGATGCGTTCTCTGGCCGTGTTCCCCACTAGGCATTCAGCCAACATGAGAAGAGACCCAAAGTAAGCAGCTACCACTGTGTGTGCAATGTGTTCTCTTCCATGTGAGAGAACCCAGAATTCCCTTACCTTGAGAACTCCATGCATAAATGTAGGCCTGTCTATAGGGCTCCTCTGCAGCCTAGCTGAATGCAAATGGAGCAGAATAGGCAGTGAGGGGCATGATTCTGCAGACTTCTCACATGTGTTGTTGACATGCTAGGGGTTTCTTTGAACTCCTCCTTCTCTATATGATCAGTTTCTGGTTTTACTTGTCTCCTGATTTTTCATAATCCAGCTTGATCTCCCCCCCCCTCAAAATGGGGGAAAATAATGTATAAAAACAATTTAAGTCAAGGTTTATGTGATCTGTCAAATGTGTCCTGTCTTGGGCTAAATGCAAGAATATTTCAAAGAAAGCATACCTGAGTCTTCCTGGGATGCTTGGCAACATGTTGTCATCTGAATGAGACCTGCAACCTCTCTCTTATTTCTTCTCCCCCTGCCTCACTTATTTTCTTGGGGTAGTGGGATGTCCACAGTTTACATTTACATTTACTGCTTATATTAAATCTTCTTACCAACGATACTAGCACACAATAATCCATTCTAAGTATGACTGTGAATGTGTGACAATGCACACACATATCCTTCTCTTTTGCTATGTTGTTAATTTCTAATATTCTTATATTGACCGGCAAATTGCAATTTATAATCATATTTATAATCATACGAGCCATCTTAAGAACAGCTTCTTCTCCAGAGCGATCTCGGCCCTGAATGGGAAGCCCGGACTTTGAAAGTCATCTAATCTCCCTTGCTGTATTATACTGTATTGTTTAATTAGTGTTTTTATGGAGCAGTCAAGTAATTTCGTTGTCCCGAAGGGGGCAATGACAATAAAGATATTATTATTATTATTATTATTATTATTATTATTATTTTTGTTTGACTGTAACTTAGTGGCTGATAAGTGATCATTATAAAGATTGGGTTGGATTGTTTATGCGTATATGAACACAATATAATCAACTGAGGAGAGTAAAATCTTTTTTTCAGCAAATAAAGGGCAGGTGATATCAAATGGACTGGAAACGCAGCAATGTTAAGCATATTTTGACCATCCTGGTGAATTATTTGAAACCCTGTTCTGTAAAGCGAGCTCTGCTGCCACCCAATTTCATCATTTTCCCTTTTCAGCGCCTAAATGTCCCAAGGCCTCTCATAATGTTAATTACAGACACATTATCCAGTGCTGCAGGATTGCTGGTTGATGTCTCTGAAGCAAAGTTGTCAAAGCAGCCAAAGGCACAGGCTCGATGTAAAGTCCCTACGTGCTGCATGGATCAAAAGAGGACATGAGCAGGAGCATTTAACTTGCAAGCCTTGCAAAAACTTGCACTCGGTGACTGTCTGTGCTGGAGATGACAAGCAACTCAGAAGCCGAAGCCATATTGGGTTGTTAAAATGCTGATTGGCTCTCAGCAAGGACTATTAATAGCAAGTGGCAGAATAGTCATTCCCAAAATCACAACCGACAATGTATTCTTATTGCAATTGAGATTTGCAAAAATGAGAATCTTACCTGGAAACAGCATGAGTGAATAACTTCCCCTGACCAGGTAAAGCACGTACTCACGGTATTCAGAATAGAAGCAAAAAGGTCTGTGTTCCTACATTCCTTTAGACTGTGGTTCAAAACAGCTGCAGCTATATTTGGATTTTTGGCAGATGTTCATACTGTCTCTTTGCAGATAAATTTTTTTCAAGTATCCTTGAGTTTCTGGGATGAGTCAGCATGTCACCAGTGCAGCTGTATCTGGTACAGTTAAGCATCTCAGCCTTAATTGAGGTGTGACTGCCCTTCAGCCATATTATCAGAAGACAGTATTAGCTAAGGAATTAGTCATATGCTGAGCAAGATGTGATGGGGGGGGGGGCGCTGCTGTGTTTGATATTAAGCATGCTCCATTCACTTACAAGGAAGGGATGTGTGGATGAGTGGAGTGGAAATTTTCCTGCCTTACTACATCACATTCTGTCACCCCAGATGCTTTTTCCCAAGGCCAGCTCAAGTCTAGCACTGGAACCATGTTTGAGAAATTTTTTATTGAATGACATTAGCCAGGAAGGTAAGATGAGGGAGTGTGTGTTTGGCTCCCTCGGCCATAGATATCTTTCAGAGTAGAATGGACCAGTGAGGTGTCACGATTAAAGTGTTGGACTAGGGCCTGGGAGACCAGGATTCAAATTCCTGCTAGGCCATAAAGCTCACTGGGTGACGCAGTTGGTAGTCTGGTAATCACAGTCTCTCCCTAAACTAACTCTCAGTGTAGTTCTGAGGCTAAAATGGGGAGAAGGAGAACTATGTATGCCCTTTGAGCTCCTTGGTGGAAAGGTGGGCTATGAATGAACTGAGAGGCATTACCCCTCTTTTTAGGCACCAGTGGGGCTACCATGTCACATCTATTGGTGAGGTGTATTTACCTATGCTTCTTCTAGTCTCTTGCTTCTTCTAGTCTCTTGCCATGACATTTGTTTGAAGGGAGGCGGAAAGGGCGGGGAATAGGCTCCAGCAGAGCCTCTGGGCTTCTACTTCATTCAGACAATTCCAAGTATGCATCTCAAATGTCCAAATGTTTGTTCTGTTTATGCCACCTGCTAAGGATAGCTTTTTCAGGTGGGAGAGGTCAGAGAACATTAGGTTGCCCCTTCGTTAAGGCCCACAGCATTGGAATATAATTGAGTAAAGTATGAGCAGCTGAGAAATTTAAGGATTTCCCCAGGACCCATCCAGAACAGGGCCGCTATAGGGCATCACCCGATATCTCCCACAGCAAAGTTTTCCACTATGCAGCTGGGGAAACCTCTATTTCCATGCTTTTATGTTGGGCATGGGGAACCTGGAATCTGAACGTGGCCCTTCAGGCCTCTCTGCCTGGCCCTCAGGACTCCCCTTAGGCCACACAATTACCCTTGCTCTGATCATGCCTCTTGCTTTCCTGGATGGAGGATAGAATATGTGTAGAAACTACCCTAATATAGAAAGGTAAAGTTTACATTCATTGCTCAACCCAATTTTGCCTCTGGCCCCACCCACCACTGATTTGTGGCCCCTAGAAAGTTGCCCACAAGGGAATGCGGCCCCTTTGGACTGAACATGCTTCCCCACTTAAATGATGATCTCTCTTAAGTGATGGCAGATTATCTTGGATTAGGTATGATTCATTTTATGCTTAGATACAAAGACTTCTATTGGCTCCACCAGGCACAGAGGCTCACCTGGCACTCATTTTGGCTGGCAGGAACACCCCATATATTTTGGGAATGCTAATGAAAGCCTTAATCCTTTTCCTATTTTTTTCTGTCATTATATTTTGTGTGTGTTTGTTATGCTGTGTATATATGTGTGTGCCATTTTAACTAACGTTTTATCGTGTTTCCACTGGTTTGTCTTGCACATTTCTTTTGTTTCTAGTGATGCTGAGTGTGGTCGCATTGGCCTTTAGTAGAAAAAGTTTATACATTACGCAGCTGTCCACTGAAGTTTCTAGGCTTTGTTTCAACCTGCACAATGCAAGGTCAGACTTTACAGAGTGTATTCTGGCTTGCCAATTTCTATTTGTTCTTGATTTCAGGAACATGCGCTATTTGAAAGGGAAACATGCCGGTATTGCTATGTAATCAATTTGATTAAAATGTACGCACACGTTAGTTTAGAACAAAGGCAAGCAAGGGAAGGACATGACAGCAGTCTATAAAATTATTATTTATCATTGTTTTCTCTCTTGGCTGACGCCTAGAATTTTAACTCTTTTCACATTAGAAAGTCCATCATGGCTCCCAAGCGTTTTGGCATAAATATACAAAATTCATATTCCAGTGTTTTAAAAAATTAAAAGCCTCTGTTGTTTTATTGGTTGTAGTAATATTGAGAACTTTTGTTTTTTGTTTACTTATTTGCTTGTGTCATCTTTTCTCTTGAATATATAAAGCGCAGCTTGTTTGTCTGTAACCGGATAGTCTTGTGTTGGCTGCCCTAGTTGCCAATTTGTCTGGATGACTCTGGGGGGTCTTTGCAGGCAACAGCATTGCTGGGAGGGTTACGCAATTGTAAGAAATTGGTCACTCATTCATAGTCTGGAATTTGAAGGATAAATGCAGTCCTGTTATAGTGCAGCTGGAAGTGTCTTGCAACAGACCAGCACCAAGGGAGCAAAATATTGCTTTTTAGTGTCCAGCGTTAGGTGACCCAAGCCTTGGTAGTGACCTCTAGGCCTGAATTACCACCACACAGATAACTACAGTAACAAACCACTGTCATGGGGATATTGCAGATAATTCTTAGAGGCCTCCGTATGTGGGTTTCCGAGCCTAGCCTTTAAAGACCAGCAGAGCATACCTGTTTTGTTCAGACTTCGGCAGCCATTTTTCAAATGTGCCACCATCTCAGAAACTCAGCAGGCTTGACTGGAACAGGAGCTGTTTTTGTGTTCTGGCAGGAATGCTACAGAACGGAAAGAAGTTTGATTCCTCCCGAGATCGAAACAAGCCTTTCAGGTTCAAGATCGGCAGGCAAGAGGTCATTAAAGGATTTGAGGAAGGTACTGCACAGGTATGCAGGATTATGCTGATGCTCTTTTCAGAACCGATAGAACAAGTACAATAATGAGGGGTTAACATCATAGGGAGGGTGGGAAGAGTGTCATATTTATAGTCTCAGAGCGGAGCGTAATGTGCATGGACTTGTATGCTGCTTTGAATATAAACAGCATTCAGCAGGATATGGCTGCAATCCTATGTACACACTTACCTGATAGGAAGTCCAGTTTAACTCAGTGGGATTTGATTCTGAGTAGACATACCTAGGATTGCCCTCTAAAGTTTTGGAACCCAGGGGCATTACTCCAGCACTTCCTGCTTCAGCCTGTCGGAGCATCAGTTGGCTATGTTCCCGCTATCACCATAAATTCAGCAGAGATAAACTTTTGCTGCACATCTGAAAATGCTCCAGGACCTACATTTGCAGTAATTTAAGGAATGAATCAAATAGCACCTTTTAAAATTAATCAACTAGTGATTTAGGTTTGCAGTGGTGCATCGTAAATTCAGTCTAAGCAACATGCTTGGCAACTGCCTACTTGCAGGCTCAGTCAGCTGGGAGTCCATACAGCCAATGTGAATAGGCCTTAAACATCCTGGGCAAAGTCTGAATTTAGTGCAGTGAATTTGTTCATGATTGTATCTTCCTCAGGTGTATGATCAACTGAGTGCCTCTGCAGCTGCTTCTGCTCTTCCTGGAGCAGAGCTTTACTTTTTAGATTCCTGAAGCTGCTATATTACCAAATATACAACCTCCAGGTGGAGTGTGGCAGAGAAAATTATTCAGTGTTTGTGAGGAATACCTTACTTTTAAGACGGCACTTTTCCCACCCTCATGTGTGTTTTACTCAGAGGTTCATTCCATTATGTTCAGTCATACTTACGCTTGAAATTGTTTCTAGGAGTGCAGTTTCTGCCATCCTAAGACATCCAACCTCTCATTGATATCCTTCAATTAATTGCTTGCCTTGGTCAAGTGTCTGTTGGCTCCACCTAGTGGATTGTTGCATTGGGAATTACTGTGATGCCATTAATATATTATTTCCACCTGTTGGCAGATTGGCCAAAGTACCATTCTGCATAGCACTACTGCAAATTCCTGTGTTCTTCTGGTGGTGTTTGGTTGCTAGATGGCAAGCATGGGGAACCTTTGGCTCTCCAGAGTTTGTTGGACTCCATTTCCTAGCAGCCCAGTAGTCAGGGATGATGGGACTTGTAGTCCAACAGCACCTAGAGAGCCACAGGTTAGTCGCCCCTCCTGCATGGTATCTTGGCCCCTATTACTTAAAAGATGGCGATTATGACCTGTGACTTCCTCACTGGAACCACTCTTTTTTAACATACAGCACGTCTTGAAATGCTTGCGTTGCTGACATGTTCTGATCTTTTCTTTTGCTTCTCGTTTTCTCTCTCCCATTTGCTATCGTTTAAAAAAAAATGCCAGATGAGCCTAGGACAAAGAGCAAAGTTGACCTGTACACCTGACATGGCATATGGACCCATGGGGCATCCCGGAGTCATCCCTCCCAACGCTACTCTGATTTTTGACGTGGAGCTACTTAGGATAGAGTAAAGAGGGGCAACTGACTGAAAGCACCTGTTGATAACCACCCTTCTTTCCCCTTCCTCTAAATGGGAGGCATCTTCACTAGAATTTCCATCGTTTTCACTCAAGCTCTCATGCCTACCATGCCTCGTCTGAGGGTTGTTTTCCCCACTTCTTCCTCCCTTTTTTACTGTTATTAGTGTTGGAATTTGTCCCCGATTAGATGCTTCTTTGCTGTAGAGACAGGAAAAAAAGATGGCTGTTACATCTGAGTTGTACATTTTATTTTAATTTGCATGTGAAGCTCCAAAATTGTGATTGAAACTATATATAATATATAAAAATATATATATAAACTTATAAATATATAAAGTTTACTTACTGAAAAACCACTGCCTTATACACTTAAAGAAAAACACACACAAGGGTGCTCAGAAATCCAGTGTACATTTTGTACACGAGTGGGCATTAGCCAAACCAAGTTACCTGCGCTGCCACTTTTCCCTCAGTTTGTATGTTCTGCTTGCTGCTGTTTTAAAGAAACATCTCACGTGATAACTTTCCAAGAAGAAAAATAAAATCTTGATACTTTATGGATTTCTATGCTTTCTCGTTTTTTAAAGCAGTTAAAAAAACTTAAGCGCAAGAATTCTTTCTCACTCCACTGGTAATATTGCTCCAGTTTTTGAATAATCGGATCTAATAACCAAAATTTTACTATAGGCACATAGACAGCTTCCTTCTACTGATTCAGACCATTGGTCTATCTGAATATTGTCTACACTGACTGGCAGTGCCTTGCCAGGTTCTCAGGCAGGACTCTTTCCTAGCCCTACCTGGAGATGCCAGGGATTGAGTCTGTGACCTTCTGCATGCAAGGCAGGTGTCCTGCCACTGAGCTTCGGTGCTGTAGTTGAAGTCCAGATACAAGTGCTCTTCATGTATTACAGGCAACGACCGACTGATGTTCGTCCAACTGCGCATGTGCACCCAGTGCCAAACCTGGAAGTGACACAAAAACGTCACTAAAAGGGCAAAACCCTTTATGGGGGCCCTGCCAATCCGAGCAAAACAAGGATTGCCTGTATTTGAATAATTAAAACTGTACAAAATGTATTTAAGAAAGGATACCGTGTTCTACACTCAAAATATACTCTGTAAATAATGGGCGGTGTCCAGTGTCAAGTTGTCAGATTTCTTCTTGCACAGCGAGACTTTATTTTCTCCAAGCTGTGGCCCCTTGTACGTCCCCAGAAAATTTGGGGGAGGTGTGCATGTAGTGGGTACTGAAAGGGAAAGGACAGGATAGCTCAACTTGCCTAGCGTATCATCTGTTCTGACAAGCTGTTTTTTTTTGAGGTTTCAGCCAGAGTCCTTTCCCATTACTTGCTATCTGGTCCTTTTGATTGATGATGTGCCTGATTGTAACCTGGGCCTTCTTATACTGTTGAGCTACAATTCCTCCCATATGAATTTATATCTCTGCTCTTTTTTTTGGAACTCATATGCCATACAAGCCCAGCTAGGCAATCTGTAAGTGATGGAACCCATTCAGGCTGACCAAAATGATACCCGCTTAGCTTTCACACTTGAGGTTAGTAGAAACACAGAAGCTAGAGTGGAATCAATGTGCAGGATCTGGGGCGGGTTTTTTCTCTTGGAAAATTAAATTACAAGCACCTTAACAACATGGGGGCGGGATATATTAAAAACCACCTGATCGTTTATATCCTGGCCTGATCACAAAGATCTTGTGTGTGGGGGGGGGGAGTCTTTGTTGTTGATCCCCCCTGGCTCAGATGAACAGCCCATAACTGTTACCTATGCAATCAGCATAGTGGGGTCAAGGCTGTGAAATGATCACCTGAGACGAGAAAGTACCCACCTTGCTAAACTTAAGGTTTTAGCAGCATTTTAATGTATTGTGTGATCATTTTTGTATTTGTCCCATTTTCTGTGGATTGCTTTGATGCACACCACTTAGAAATGTGAATAATTAAGAAGTATATAGATGCCTCAAATAAGCAGGAGGCAATAAAATTACAGGAGGAGCCAGGCATGGAAGAAGAAGGCTTAAGACTATCATGCAAGCTTTGGCTTGCTTTCTCAATAAAAATTAGCTTTGTTCAGGACCTTTCTGGTTTGAGCATTTTGCCCCTGCAATCATGAGGGTCAGGAGCTAATCTTTAAGTTCTTGATCTGAGACTTACCTAAATGCTAAGCTTAGGCAACTAGATTAGTTATATCAGTGCACCCCATTCCACGTACTGTCACAAGTTGCAGATATATATAAGGATTATGATAGTCATCAAGACAACCAAAGCATTAATTTGTGCTCTTTTTCTCTCAGCTTTGTTGTAGAATTATGTCAGTGTAATTTTCAAATAAGGGAATTCTGTTTCCTTCCATTATTAACATAAAAGTATTTTAGAAGGATAAGCTACTTTCTGGGCACAATTTCTGGTGTAGCCTTAAAAAAAAAAGAGCTTAAATTCAACTGCATCAATAGAAGTGTACAAGGACATTAATACCTTGGCAAGCCACCCTTTCCCCCATTCCTTTTAAATTGGTCTCATTCCTTGTATTTTGTTGCATCACAAGGAAAATATTGAAGAGATTTCATCCATATAACCCTCTAGGCACTTGCTTTCCATATCCTTGTGCGGAAAGCAAAAACTGTTTACTTTGTGTGCACACAGAGAAACAGGGCCCCTAAAATAAGCTCTAGAAGAGCAATCTGCGAATCTCCTCTGTCAATGAAACCCCAAAGACACTGCTTTGCTGAGTAATCAGCACCAAATACAGTTGGTTTTATATTGTCAGAACCAAAGAAACATTAAAATTTGAATAAACACATAGTAACAGAAATTAAAAGGAAAATGGCATACTATTTTTATTTGTCAAATGAACAAAGTTAAAACTTAATTTTAAAGTTATGTCTGTCACTTAGAAGAGCAAGCAATATTAACAGCAAAACGAAAAGCCAGTCCAGAAAAACATTGTCAAAAAAAAAATTGACACTGTCTCTGGATGGACACAATAAGCCTAGAACTCCTTTCATCTTTTGAAGAGCTTCACTGCAGAGACGAGTTTGTCGTTTTAGTCGTCCTTGCAGATGAATGACGGATTCAAAACCCAAGATAGTGGGTCAGGCCAAGCAAATAGACCACTGCAGCAAATGCCAAATGAACTCTGCTATTCTCTGTAACAAAGCTCTTTAAAATACATCTTGGAGCCAGTTCACTACCCTAATTGCATCAGACATTATTAAGCTGAATTTTTCCCTAAGGTTAGATGAACACTAGGCATAGTATCTCACTTGCAAACCTCATTCCCTACTTGCAGCTCTTTTCTAAAGCGTATCTTCATGCCACTGAAAAAGACAAATTGTGAAAATACATTTATGAAACCAAAACACAAAATAAGTGTACTTTCCTAACAGATTAAATACAGAATTTTATCCTGGAATGTTTTACATGTTCTCACAACTGTAATGATTATATTGATTAAATATTCAAAAAGCCTTTTTATAAGGCTCTGACCTGTAGGAGATTTCTACAAAAGTGTACCAAATTCTATGGCTAACCTTAATTTCAAAGGCAGGGCAGTCACGAGTCTTTCCAAAACTGGGATTATAAAGCTGTATTTGCACTAAATCTAGATCCCAAAATGTCCTTGCTCCAAACTAATCATGAACATTTTGTGGGGCACTTAGTTTAGAAACACCGATAGGATTTTTTAAAAGAAAAAAAAAAGTCCAAAAGAGCCAGTTCCTCATAGAGGTTATAATTTTTATTTTGGTGGGTCTGTATTTATTCCGTATTTCTCCTTCAGAAGTTTGAGCTGCTCTTCCTTCTTCTTTGTATCCATCTTTTGGAATGCCTGTAATAAAACAAAATTATTATTAACAAAAGAACACGCTTTAGTCAAAACAACTTCATCCCATCTATTTATTTCAAAGCAATCTCACTTTTTTATTTAAATGATTATCTTATGAATTTAAATGATAAACAGGCAACTTGCCTTGCTACCAAGAAAAGCAGACACTTTATAGTAACTATGATCCAAAACACATTTATTTAATTCCTCAGGAAAGGTATTTGGGAAAGAACAACTTGACCCTAAATAATACTGCATAAGCAGCCTCATGTTGTGCCCATGCTGCTCTAAGATTTTCACAAATCAGGAGGTGGAACAGAGGAGAAATTGCTGGGTGCCCCCAGGCACACCTTTTAACAGGCTTTTATAAGGCATCTCCTCTCATCAGCTGTAGAAAGATTCACCTCCAAGTAACCAAGCAAAGAAGCTTTGTGAACTGGATGAAAGAAAGGTGATCCCTTTCTTTGTTTTAAGACATCAATGCGGTACAAGCAACTAAACTAACCCCATTCCGCCCCCTCCTTTTTGCTGGCATTTTAACTTCTGCGGAAAAAACCCACATTTGTCCCATAGACAAAGACAGATGCAGGGCTTCTAAGAGACATATCAAGATCTGCACAGATTCAGTCAATCAATCAATGCACAGATTAAAACCCTGACGTCTTTGTACCTGTTCTGACCCTCAAGAGAGATTTGAACATAAATGCCAGTTATGTTAGTAGCCAAAGCAGCTCAAAACCAAGATGCTAGACTGAGGAGTCAAACCATTCAAATCATTTGCTCATTTTCTTTCTGTGGTACACAGAAATCCAGACCTTTCCCACAAGGTTATTTCACAGTCTGCAACAGTGAGTTAAAGCATTGAAACAACAAGCCTCCATCCTGCCTGCTGGTTCCTCGTCCATACAGTGGGCTGGACAAACCTAACACGTATGGAAATCCTGTGAGATTGTGCATTTTCCCGTCCACTCTGAATACTCTGGCTGGGGCATTCAGTCAATACCTTGCTCTGAATACGCAGCCTGTATTGAACTTGTTCTGTTCCGAGTTTGATAAACACTTTTAAAGAATGATTCAGGTTTTTTGATTTACACAAAATACAGATTCACTTCAATTTTCAGCCGAAGTAGTTTAGAGGATATTTGCTTTAGAGAACCTTAAGGGACACACAATCTGATTAGAAATAAACAGGACTGGAAGAGTCCTGTTTCCTTCATACAAGCCCCTGCTATTGAGGGTAAATAAAGAGGAAACACCCCAATTCACTTATACTGAATTATTCCAGCACTGTTTTCACAATGATCTTATAAAAAAGTTAATCTCATGTTCAAATGTTTTAAGAAAAGCTCTTGTACTTGCCCTGTTTGCATTATAGTACAAGACAACAAGGTATCTGTTGCACACGTTGAATCCTGACAGATGGTCACAAGCATTCTTGGCATCAAAGATATCTTCATAGACAACGTAGGCTGTACCTCTAGTCTCAGGAGTATTTCCTCTGTAACAAAAAACAAAACAAAAAATTAATGTTAGCAAAAATTAAGAAAAAAATCATGTTAATATTTACACCTCTTTGTTGTAGTCACTGTTACATTCTGACCCTAGGTAAGACAGTGACATTAGTCCTATGCTGTCTCACTTGGAGGTGAACCCAATGAAACTGTGCATTAGATTGGGCTGCGTAAGATATGCCTATACAGTAACAATTTTCTCACAACAAATTGCTCCCTTTTGGGTCTATTATCCTCCCTGTAAAAAAACAAAACAAAAAAACCCAACCCAAACACACAACCAAAACTCTCTACATAATTCTAATATTTTCACTCATGGAATATCCTCCATATTATCTATGTCTCTATGTGCACTGCCTATATTGGTTTGTTCCCCAGACAGAATTCAAATCAAGTGGGCTGATATATTTAGACCCCCAACTGCTTTATTTTACATTGAAAGCTACAATAATGATCCGTCAGTCAACTAGAAAGCTACTTGACATAAGTAAGAAAATTCTAATTTCTATGCTTTGTTTGGCAACGTACAACAGACTTACACTCTGATTTGTCGAATCGGTCCATATTTTCCAAAAATGTCATACATTTCTTCTGCTGTGATCTTATACGGTAAGTTTCTGATATATAAAATTCGATTCACTTCAGGGGGCAGACGGATCTAGAGTCGGTAAAAATTACAAACCAGAAACAAATTAGCAACATGATTTCTTTGTATGGTATATAGATATGTAATCAGAGAATAATTTTAACTTTGGCACTGCAGAGGGTTGGACTAGATGACCCTCAGGGGTCCTTCCAACTCTATGCAATTCTATGACTCCGCCTTGTTGTGAGTGCTATCCAGGTCATCCCCAACCAGCTTTGCTAACAGAAAAAGCACGACTCCTGGTCTCTACATCGGAGAAAGGTTGGAGGGTGTGTAGTTATGCAACCCCTGAGCCAAGGAAGAGAGCAACTATACAACCTTTAGAAGACATTCCAAGGCAGCCCTGTATGGGGAAGTTTTAGATGTTTTATTTCAATCAATCAATCAATCAATCAATCAATCAACATTTACTGGCATAGAGGACAGGACCATAGGAGTCGACAAATGAAAATTGGCATCTGTTCACAAGAGGAGATGCTTCGGGAGAAAAACCATAAAGGCCTAGTGGGGGTTTAATCTTTTATTGTGTTTTTATATATGTTGGAAGCCACCCAGAGTGGCTGGGGCAAACTTGTCAAGTGGGTGAGGAATAATAATGATAATGATAATAATAATAATAATAATAATGGCAGCCCTACAATATATGGGGGTGCCCTTCAGAGCCCAAAGGTTAATAATTCTAATGGTAGCCCCACAACATATGGGGGTGCCTCCCCAGAGTCCGAAGTAGGCTAATAATAATGCTCACCACAACATATAGGGGTGCCCCCCGAGCCCGAAGGCTAATTAATAATAATAATAATAATGGCAGCCCCACAACATATAGGGGTGCCCCCTGAACCCGAAGACTAATAATAATGGCAACCCCACAATATATGGGGGTGCCCCCCCGAGCCCGAAGGCTAATAAATAATAATAATGGCAGCCCCACAACATATGGGAGTGCCGCCCCCAGCCCGAAGGAGGCTACCCCAGCGGACCCGCTTCACGCCCTTTCCCACGTGACGCGCCCTCCTGAATGTCCCGAAGGTGGAGGAGGAAGAGGCGCAGAACCAGACGCGGAAGGCGGCGAGAGAGAGAGGCAGAAAGGAGAAGCGGAGTCGGAAGCGAGGAAAGGGCAGCCGACGTGCAAAATGGCCCCGCCACGCACAGGAGAAAGGGAAAGGGGGGGGGTCCCAGCTTACATTGGCGCGTTTCGCCGCTTGCATCGCCATGGCGGCGGCCTTGTGTGGGAAGCTGCTGCCGCCGCTGAGGGAAACAGGAGCGTCGTCGGGGCCGCGACTGACCAAGCGAGAGGGCCGCGAAGCCTCAGTACAGCCACAACCCCGTCCTGCGCCTGCGCCGAAAGAAGGCGCGCGGGGAACATCCGCTTCGCTTCGCCTCTCTCCCGGATATGACGTCTGACTTCCGACGCTCCGCCATAAGAGTGGCTGGGGATGGGGTGGATAATCTGGAGCGGATCCAGTTGCTGCTGATTCTCCCCCCCCCTCCCCTTCTTCTTCTTTTGAAAAAGCTGCTTAAGTCCAAAGCTCAGCAGCCGAAGGAGGCAATTTACTGCAGGAGAAAAAGTTAACCTATAAAGGGGAGGGAGGAAGTCCATGGGAACTTACGTAATTCTTGTTTTGTTTTGTTTTTGATGTAAAAAGTGAGGTTTCGTCGATATCTGATAATTGTCTCCGATTATATTACCTGGGCAGCCTGGCCATTCTTTTGTGTTTCAGTTTAAAAAAAATAAAGTGATACAGAAAAAGAAGAAGGAAAGGGGAGAGGGAGAAAAACAACAACACAGATACATATAAAAACGAAAATATACAAAAAAGGTAGCAATACAGTGGTACCTCAGGTTAAGTAGTTAATTCGTTCCGGAGGTCCGTACTTAACCTGAAACTGTTCTTAGCCTGAGACACCACTTTAGCTAATGGGGCCTCCTGCTGCTGCCGCACTGCCAGAGCACGGTTTCTGTTCTCATCCTGAAGCAAAGTTCTTAACCTGAGGTACTATTTCTGGGTTAGCGGAGTCTGTAACCTGAAGCCTATGTAACCCGAGGTACCACTGTATATGATACTGTATTCCCATACATTCTTATATAAATTGGTATAGTGTTATTGTCCTAGTGCAGGCATAGGCAAACTTGGCCCTCCAGCTGTTTTGGGACTACAACCACTGGTCCTGTTAGCTAGGGGTGATGGGAGTTGTAGTCCCAAAACATCTGGAGGGCCGAGTTTGCCTATGCCTGCCCTAGTGCTTATGTAAAAGCTAATAGCCTACTAAATTTTGCATAAACTCATTCCAAATGCTATCGTATTTATCCATACAGAGTCTGCGCCTGTAAGCAGTCTGTTCATAAATTGCCATTGATGTCATATTGTCAGTCCATTGATTGAAGGGTATAGCATATCTTTATTTTTCCAATTCCTCAGTATCAATCTTTTGGTCACCGTTAAGGCATATCCATTGTCCTGTTGATAATTTCCATACTGTAGGTATATAGTTCAATAAAATATTCTCTGCTGAAAGAGTTAACTTTTTCTGCACAGTCATATAGTTACACACTCCAGCACTTTCTCCCAAAGCTTGTTAAGTAAAGAGCACTGTGCAAACATGTCTTTCAGAGAGACATATTTCAGAAAGCCTGAAATGATATGATTTAGCCACAAGAGGGTAGCCACACAGTGTATTGTCGATTAAATGCTTTGGGAGTATTATTCCTCCAGGTGGCGCTGGTCCAAGCCTGCGCGGGAAATTTTGGATTTCCGCCTAAAGTCAGCAACACAGACTTACAATAGCAATAATGATAGACTGCTAACTCCATTGCTTGAAGATGAGATAGTCTGGTTCCTTAGATGCACAGGAAGCAGAAGATGCCACAGATGTTTTATCCCTGCCTGCCTCTCAGCCTTACATGTCTGAAACACAAAAGCAGCAGAAATAACCTACAACGAGCCTCTGTTGCCCAGTATGAGCCAGGGGTCTACATACCCTCAACACTGACTTATATTTCTTCACATGTAGCTTGAGGACCATGGGACAATATGTCCACAGATCTCCTTCCCATAGGTGATTGAATGTGAAAATTATTGTTACTGTGTTCATTAGTCAGAATCTTTATTTGTTTGCAGCAATGGGATTACTATTACAATCAAACCAGCCTTTTACCCAATTTCATTTTATGAATCTGAAATAAATAGGGAAGGGAGAAAATTGAGACCCCTCTCCACACATTACTAATAACCCCGTGTAGTATTTATGGGTTTTTAAAAAAACTTTTTATTAACACATACTGCATTACTTCATTAATTTAGACTCATGGGCTTAATTTTTTCTGTACGGTTTTTGCATGCTTGAAAAACAAGGTACTGCTTATTAATGAACAGATAGATTGCTTTTCAAAATTCCTCCATAAAATGAGCATTTAAAAACTTTGTGATTTTAAACTTTTATCCTATGATAAAAGAACTGCTTGGAATGACATAAATCTTCAACACATGTCTAGAAATAATAATAATAATTATTACTAAACATTTAGAAAAATCTAAAATTTTCAAAGCACTGCACACATATTGATAGTAAAAATGGCCCTTGCCTCCAAGCTTGCAATGATACACATGATACAAAAGGGAAAAGGAATGGGAAGGGAAGAGGAAAGCAAACATTTGAAGCCAATGGATGGGGCCAGGCCCAGTGGTGGAGGAATCCTCTCCAGCACCCGGGGCGGTGCAGCCCGTGCAGACTGCGCATGTGCGGCATCTCACGCGTGTGCACTCCTTATGGAATGCCGCACATGCAGAGTCCATATGGGCTGCCGCTCGAGCAGTATCCCATACGGACTGCACATGCCCTCGGTCGTTCTACAGCTGGGGGGAGGCAGGGGCCATCTTGTCACCCCTCCCAGAGTGGCACCCGGGACGGACCGCCCCCTCCACCCCCCTTCCTACACCCCTGGCCAGGCCAGGCCCTGGCCACCCCTGGTCTTCTTCTCCAATATGTGAGCTGCATTTTTGTGTAAGCCCATCTATGTTGGTACCTTTTTCTTAGAAGTGCTTCTTGCTTTTCAATCTAGGACTTCAAGGCAAGGGTAAGCAACATCTCCACAATTAAGAAATTCTTGGAGCCAGGCAGCCAGAGGAAATTTGAATTAGACGACAAGGCTCTTCAAGAGATCAGGAAGATTTTTAATGTCTGAGAACATCTGCTATGAAGATCACTACAAATACTGGCATGATTTTAACAAATCTGTGTGACTTCTCTCTTACCAGTTGGAGGATTAACAGTGTAGTCCTATTCATGTCTATTCAGCATTAGTTCCATTTGAATTCAGTGTAGCTTACTTCTGGGTAAATGTAGGTATAGGATTGGAGCCTAAATCCGTAAAATAGTATTTCCTCTTGGTTCCATAATCTCAAATGCTTTTGATTGCAAACTCTTGAAAAATGTAGTAGATGAGAACTCTTTTGTGAAGATTCTGAGGCCTCCTTTAGATATTAGTCTAATGCAACCTTCCCAAACCTGGTATGAAACCTTCCAGGGGTTTTGGACTACAGCTCCCATCAGACACAGCCAGCATGACCAGCAGTCAAAGAATGAAATTGCTAGAGCCAGCAAACATTTGATATTGTGCAAGGATTTTTTTCAGCCGGAACTCACTGGAACTGAGTTCCACCACCTCTCTGGTGCATTCCAGAGTTCAAATGCTACTGAGTAGAGAATCACCATAATGGCACTGTGTAAATCCACAAAAGGAGATGAAGATAATACTGTGTGATGGTACAATAAAATGAAATAAAGCATTCTACAGCGTTTGTACTTCAGTGCCATGTTTAACATGTCTGTTCTGTCATGACTAGTTCCTGTTGTACTTTGCGTAGATGTGACGGGATCTGTGTGGTCCTGCTGGATCAGAGGCAAGCAAAAGATATCCTATTAACGTTTTCCCTGCCAGAAAATGACCTGTTTTCATAGCCTTCTACAGCAATTAGTCTGACCAGCCATAGCAGCAATTCTTTACCAGTCCACCATGCTATCCTCAAGGAACGTTCTTCTCAGTTTTATGATTTGTCACAAATTTGTCAAAGCCAGACAACAAATATGTGATTTTCACTTGATCATCCGGATCAGGTATCTTACATAACAAATCAAGAATAATTTCTGGATTGCCTGTAGAAATCCAGTTTTGCATACCTTTAATTGTAGTGATCTATTCAGCCCAACCCCCATCAAAAGGTGGGTGGGACCAACAGGGAAGCCCTATGTATTTGACCTTTTTCTGTATTTTGTGGCTAGCAGCTGCAACCAGAGACTGCAGTGGCCTCCTGCCCAGTTATACAAAGGTTTCAGTTGAATATACAGTACTAAGACCAGGAATGTTTGCCCTCGGTGCAGCTGTACAGATATACAATAAACCGAGTTGCATCATGTTATGCAAGCGTGAGACAACCTTTCCCATTGTGAATTAACTTTGCGTGACTGATTTGTTGTAGGTGAAAAGTCTCACGAAAGGCAGAGTAAGTGTTTTTCTATTTGCAGTAGGGAGTGTCTGCTACAGATAAGCTGTTCTCTCAGAAGGTGGAGCTTCTGAGCTTTTATAACCCTGAGCCACACAAGTTCGGGGCTCACTCTGCTTGAGAAGAACTTCCACTAGTTCAGGACTTGCAGCAGGTTAGTATTCTAAGGTAGATGATTGCTTTGGAGAGTCATTGCTCAAGAGCAACACCCTGGACAGAGGAGTAGTGCAGGGACAATTTCCAAAGACCTCACCTCTGCCCAAAGGTTTTCTTCTTCTTACCCGCAGAGTACTAAAGGTTTGTGGGTTGGGGAGGGGGGATACTGTAATCCTCAGACCTGTAATCCTCAGAACAGAGACATTTCCCTTTGGACAGGCCAAAGGCAGGAGCTGGGCAGTGGGCAGAGTTCTAAAAATAATATGGGGTTGGTCTTTGTTGCACCTCAGAGGAAAAAGAAATCTTGGGTAAGAATGGAAGAGAAATTAGATTCATTTTTAAAATATTAACTCACCAAATTTCATTTCCGAAAAACATAGCTATCCCTTGAAATTTGACTGCAGTTCTCCAGCCAAACAATGTGTAAAAACACATATGGTGAGGTAAAATGTGCATATAAATGCATATATTATTGAAAGGAATGTAGAAAATGGGTGTGGTTATCCAGGGTTGAGGAGGGTGTAGATGCCATCCAACTGTCTTAGGGACTCCACTCTGGATTTGCTTAGGGTTTACTCCTTAGCCTTTTCTTCTTCCTAGGATATCCCACAAGGCAATGGAGGTTTAGGGTCAGAGGCTACCTCCTCCTAGATGGGTTACCTTCCCAGATTGATGAGCCCCACCTGCCCCTCACTTCCCTCTACAGCATGTGCAGAAACCGCCTTCTTGACCCTTGGACCCACTGTTGGTCTCATCCCTCAACCTGCCAGAGCCTGTCCTTGCGTAGAGGGGAGGTGCCTAACTCACATGGGTTTGAGACCCACCAGCTATCCTTACCTGGTTTAGCCAGCCAGTCAAAGAGGTGGTGCTTCAGATGTGATTCATCACTACAAAGTCCCATCATCCCTGGCGGCTGGCCATGCTGGAAAGCTATGTGCCCAGACTTGCCTGAGGAGATGAGAGGCAGCTGATGGCAATGGCAATGGTGCAAGTACGAGGGGGAAGTTACAATTTTGTGGCTCTGGGAACATGGACCATGGCTGTCCAAGAGGGGGTGATAGTCATATATTATGGGTAGGCAAACTAAGGCCCGGGGCCTGGATCCGGCCCAATTGCCTTCTAAATCCGGCCCACGGATGGTCCGGGAATCAACATGTTTTTACACGAGTAAAATGTGTCACTTTATTTAAAATGCATCTCTGGGTTATTTGTGGGGCATAGGAATTCATTCATATTTTTTTTTCAAAATATAGTCCGGCCCCCCACAAGGTCTGAGGGACAGTGGACCTGCCCCCTGCCGAAAAAGTTTGCTGACCCCTGTCATAGATTGTTGTGGTTTTTTAAACTCTTGCTTCCTATTTTATCTGTGCAATAATATGCTACATCTGCTTGTGCTCCATGATTATGAAAAAGAGTTTGTTAAAAAAAATAAACCAGAAGGCTTTATTTAGTATGAAATCTTTTCTTGCTGTAAGCAATCACAAGAGCACCATATTGAACAGTTGTCCTGCTCTGCAGTGGTTTCCCTATCAAACATGACCTCGCAATCTCTCTCTCTGTCTCTCATCATAACAGGAAAGCAAACACTTAGGAACATGGCTGGGAAACCTAAGCTTTACTACTTCAATGGAAGAGGCCGAATGGAAAGCATAAGGTGGCTGTTGGCTGCAGCAGGAGTCGAGGTTTGTTTGTCTTCTCTGACAAAGCACCTTTCCCCCACCCCCAAAAAAGAATCAAGGGAACTGTTGTTTTTCCAGCATTCTTATATTTCAGACAGTTTCCAAATTTGGGTCCAGCATTATCATTTGTGAGTGAGGTGCCTGCTTCAGGCGGGGGATTTTATCTATCCTGGAAGGGGCAGCTAATTGATGAGTTATCTTCATTCATTATTATTGTACTTCTGCTGCTAAGTAGGGGGGGAGGAGACATGATTGTGTGGACAGGCGGAGTCACCCAAACCCTGGGCGGCCCCCGTGTGGAATAACGACTCAAGACAACGTGCTATGGGATTAAAATTGGCCACAACTTTATTATGTTTCAGATGTGGGTAGACCTTGGCTCAGGCATTGGACGTTTATCCCTCTCAGTCCCCCACCAGGGATCTGGGGAACATCAGGGTTATCCAGTGGGGGGGGGGATGGGCTGGCTCTGGAGAACATATGTTCAAGCAGAGAGAGCCTGCCCCTGTTACACTGCCGTCGCAAGGAAAGCAATGACAACCTCCAGGCGTACGGCCGAAGCCTCCCCTCAAACAACCCCTTTAACGGGGAACCCTGGTATCGCCGTCGCAAAGAGAAGGGGGGCATGAGTCACTGCTGCACGCCCCCCCCATTTAGCGAAGATAGACTAAAGGATTCCGCCCAAGGCCTGATACCACCAAAGTTGTGACGCTTTGCTATGGGAAAGGCAAACCTGCCAATGCAGGAGAATTCCTTTCCGACCCTTCAACAGCGACCTTGACATAGTAGCACCTGCATACCTGTGAAGAAAAGGTTAACCTGCAAAAGAAGTCTTAACTGATGGTGGGTAGGGTGGGAGAAGCTCTGGAGCCAACTGACAATTCCCATGTAAGATCCTCCCCCTACTGTGTGGGCAGGTGGTCCCTCGACCTAACTGGCCTGATCACCTTGGCAACGCCTCCCCAGGCGGGATTGGGCAACTGGCTGAGGTAGGCGGAGATCTCCAGGTGTCCCACCTGGGGAAGGACAAGCCAAGCCTGTGCTAATGGTGCCACATAGGGGCCAGGGGGCTTCACGTGACCACACAAAGGGCACCCCCCATTTAATGTGGGGAGCGGTCATTGTGGGATTTACTGCTTCAAGTGCTAAAATGATATGACTAGCCTGTAGTACTTGATTTGTGCATGGGAAACATTTGTTGTTCTGTCCCAGACAGAGAAGATTATTGGGTGGGCTGGACCGGAATTCAGCTGTGAAAGGGGAGTTGTCATCAAATTTTGAAAACTTGAAAGGCCCCGTGTCATTTTTGGAGCCTGAAATTATTTCATGAGACCCTTGAAATATTCTACCTCTTTTATTTTTTAGTTTGAAGAACAATTAATTGAGACCAAAGAATATCTAGAAAAATTAAAGCATGGTGAGTATGTTATCTGAGTATCAGTGGGACTGTCTTCTAGTACAGTAAAGCCTTATAGTCTTCATACCAGGGGTTTTCAAAGTGGACTTGTTTCTCCAGTTCTGCATTGTGCACACTTTCAGGCAGGAATATGTGTCAATACACAGTTGTGATCTAGTTATATTGCATTTTTTCTCTCTTCTTTTAAAGAAAAGAGTTTTCCAGATACCCACAACACATACCACTCAACTCTGCATTGTGCAGAATGGTTTGCTTGTTTTTTAGCTGGAGAACAGAAGTAGCTTAAATAACATACAAAACTAGTTTCCAATGTGTGATTGCTGTACTATTTTAGCACATGTTCTGCAAAAGGGTTTTGAGGGGAAAGCAGAGGCAAACATGATTATCGCAAAGGCTCAATGTAAAAGTAAAGTCTCAAAATCAAAGCATGGCTTGGGAGATGCTCCTGAAAATTTACTTTCCATAGTAATTACCTGGGAGGATGGACTGATTTTTCATCTTCCTTTCACAAGGTGGAGACCTGCTCTTTCAGCAAGTGCCCATGGTGGAAATGGATGGGATGAAGATGGTGCAGAGCCGAGCTATTCTCAACTACATTGCCGCCAAATATAATCTCTCTGGGAAGGACGTGAAGCAGAGAGCATGGTACTGTAACATTCCTTTAAGTTTGGTTACTAAATGCATACTTTGGTTTGCTGTACATGATATAACATCATCTCTGGTCTGTCATATGATCTACTGATGAGTTATGAGTCAGCATGTTTCATCTCTACTGTCAGATTGGGCAAGAAAGGGTCCAATATGAGGTAATTTAACCTCTCAGTCCCAGCAAAGTTCATGTGCACTGGTTCATTTGAAATCAATGAATTTTCATGTAATCCCAATAGGAGATTGGGAGGTCATTGTCCCTTCCCAATGTTTTTTTTTGGGGGGGGGGTTCATGCAAATGTATAAAATTGATTTTTGATATAAGGCTTTCTTTATAAAAGGTCTAACTGGTGAAGATCACTATACTGGAAAGCACATTATAGGGGCTTTTGTTGCATAGAAAGAGGCTTTTTCCAGGGAAAATGCCCTTTCTCCAACATACAGGATCATTGTACTTGTTTTTCTGCTGGGTCATCACACATTTTTGCCTGTGACACTACCGCCCAATTCCTCCACAGGGTTTTGGCTCTGCATTATCATAATTAGTACTATTGCTGCTGCTGCTACCACTACTGTTTTTCTTATTATTACCTGAGTATGAGAGAAGGAAACACTTTCTCTTTCAAATAGGATTGATATGTATTGCGAAGGTGCTATGGATCTGAATGAATTGATAATGATGCTTCCCTTCAAGCCAGCTGACAGCAAGGAGAAAGAGTTTGCAAACATTATTGAAAAAGCCACCACCAGATACTTTCCAGTCTTTGAAAAGGTATGGGGCGAAGGAAACTTACAAACCTTTTAACACAACAAAGTTGGCAGCTGGTAATGTTGATAGGACTGCTTGGCTCATCAGAAATCATTTCCTTATTCCTTGTATTTTCCAAGCTTCTGAGCTAAAAGTAAAAAAAGTAAAACATGAATCACACACAGTGTTCGTTTACCATGTGAACTTTGATCTCAGACTCTGCCCTGCCTTATTGAAACATGATAAGCAGTGGTTTGGGAAGAGGGAATGTAATGATCAAGCTTCTCTTTCTTAGCCAGCAGTTTGTTAGAAGACATGAATCAGAACTGATACAAATACTCTTGATCTCCTGATACAATATAATCTGGGCGCGTGATATTCAAAAGTGGTTCAGATATACTGTAGAGTCTCCATTTTGTGTATGTACCTGAAGTACTCTTCAAACATTTCCTGCTCTATAGGTCCTCAAAGATCATGGACAAAATTACCTGGTAGGAAATCAGCTCAGCAGAGCAGATATTCAATTGCTTGAAACCATTTTAATGGCAGAAGAGCTGAAGGCTGATATTCTCTCCAAATTCCCTCTTTTAAAGGTAAGCATGCTTACTGAAGCATAAGCAAAGTTCTAGTATGGCACTTTTATTCTTTGCATATCTAAAACACCATTGTCTCTGGATTTCTATTGCACAAAGTCTAAATCACACAGGAGGCCCACATTCATGGATAAGCCTTCTGTGAATTAAATTTAGACATAAACAGGTAACCTACCTACGATTATAGACCTGCAATGGAGCTTGAATATTGACCTCCCTTTCCAAATGTGCATGCCTGAAATAACTGGGTTTAGTGTACGTATAAAGTTTGAGTACATATAAAGTTTATCACTTGTAGTTTCATTATTGACTATGAAATCATAGTAACCGTAAGCGGCAAATGATTATTTGGGGATACCACCATTTCTCCTTTTCTCTTCTAAAATATTTTGCGCTCTCTCTCTCTCTCTCTCTCTCTCTCTCAGGCCTTTAAAGAGAGAATAAGCAACATCCCGACAGTGAAGAAATTTCTGCAGCCTGGTAGTCCAAGAAAACCACCAACAGATGAAAAGACTGTTGAAAAGACAAGGAAAATTTTCGCCTGAGGATCACAGATGATGCACTATTGTATTCACAGGCAATGGGCAAAAACTGAAATGGGACCACAATGGCATAGTGTAAATCCACAAAACTACAGTAGGAACCAAAATAACTAACAGAACAAAAGGAAGTAGTGATAATACTGTGCTGCACTACACCAAAATGAAATAAAGCATTCTACAACTTTTGTATTCTGGTTGTTTTAGTTCCGGTATGACGTCGTTTACATTAATCTTAAACAGCAGGGGAGCTCATTAGCAGCCTTGTCATACTTTTTGTTGTTGTTGTTGGAAATGGAGCTGACAACTGACAGTTTACACCTACTCTCACACACATTTCAAAGTATAATATCCTAATAAGTGTAAATAACTGACACTCTATGTTTTAGTTCCAAAGTTGTAACCACAACTTTTTATGATTTATCCTACCAAACACTGCTGCAAGATCTACAAAGGTTGTATATAGGTCTTAGGCCCTTTACCATATTTCTTAATCAGATGGTTTAACACGTAACATTGGTTTATATATTTAGCTAAGTGTGCATTTATGCTTATTTATTCTATGATTGAGACCTTAAAATTCTTATAACAAGCCCCCATTTGGGGCAATAATTTAACTAAAATTGTTGCCCCACTAAACAACCTGATGTCCACTCTTCCTAAATGTTGGAACGGGATGTGTTTATGTAACCCTGAGGAGACTTGCATGTCAGGTCTCTTAAGGCTATTCACAAGTGTAGCAGTTGGACGTAGGATTCTTTATCATATAAAATAACACCATCTTGTTTTAATCTATTCTTAAAATACTGGGGGCATTCTAACACTTTGAGAGAAGCCTTCTCTCCCTTTTCGCTTTTAAAATGAGGGTCTATGCTTTACATTCAGCAGGAAGGTCCATTTAAAATGAAATATGATCAAGGTAATCATAGACCACACCAAATAATTGTGGGGTGGGGGAATGAAAGCAGAATTTCTTCCATGAAGAAAACACTGTATATTTCCCAGACAATGGGTTAGTATAAAGTATAGTATAAACAGTATAAAGTTTACCTGGCGCCTTCATTATACACCTTTAGGCGCCAGGCAAAAACGTTCTTTTTTAACCGTTAAGGCATGGAAAATCCACTTCCGTTGTCCCGCTGACAATTTCCATACTGCAGGTATATAGTTCAATAAAATATTCTCTGCTGAAAGAGTTAACTTTTTCTGCACAGTCATATAGTTACACAGTCCAGCACTTTCTCCCAAAGCTTGTTAAGTAAAGAGCACTGTACAAACATGTGTTTCCGAGAGACATATTTCAGAAAGCCTGAAATGATATGATTTAGCCACAAGAGGGTAGCCGCACAGTGTATTGTCGATTAAATGCTTTGGAAGTAATATTCCGCCAGGTGTCGCTGGCCCAAGCCTGCGCGGGAAATTTTGGATTTTCGCCTAAAGTCAGCAACACAGACTTACAATAGCAATAATGATAGACTGATAACTCCATTGGTTGAAGATGAGATAGTCTGGTTCCTTAGATGCCAGGATCTTAGCTTGCATAGCTCAGTCGGTAGAGCATAAGACTCTCGGGTTCGTGGGTTTGAGCCCAACGTCGGGTGAAAAGGAGGTTCGCCTAGATGACCCTCGTGGTCCCTTCTATGTCTCACACACCCTGACAAAGTTAGCTGCTGCCTGCCCATAGGGAACAATGTGTAAAGTTCCAAATTTTACAAAGTGAAACAGTATAAAGTTCGCCTGGCGCCTTCATTATACACCTTTAGGCGCCAGGCAAAAGCGTTCTTTTTAAACCAGGTCTTTGTTTGATTTGATTGACATTCTATGCCCCTTTAAAATCTGGTTCCTTTTTGGGGGGGAGGTGTTATTGGGTTGTTGTTTTTATTTTGATTATATATATATATATAGTGGTTTTATATTTTGATTTTGTTCTGTGAACCGCCCTGAGACCTCCGGGTATAGGGTGGTATACAAACTTAATCAATCAGTCAATCAATCAATCAATCAGTCAATCAATCAATCAATCAATCAATCAATACCCAGCCTTGTCACTGAAAGATCTCCAAGTTCTCCAAGTGACATACAGAATACTGTATATAAAAATTTACAACACTGCTGGTGCTCTGCCAAATGACTTGCTTCAATTATCCAAAAGAAGTGACTTCAAAATATAACAGTAAAGTATTATCAGAAATTTAGAAAATATAACAAAAACAGGGCTCCCCCCCCCCCCGGGGAACTCAACCGGCACCTTTAGTGTAACAACTTCATGGGCGTGTACCAGCACCGTTTTTCTTTCCTAGAAGAAAAAAAGCACCGACCAAAAAACTAATATGTATAAAACTTGTCTTTGCGCGTGGACGCCAAGCGAAGAAGTCTAGCGAGGACATTCCCATGCGACGACCCGCCAGCTGGCCCGCTTGTGCACCTCTTTTTGTTTTTGTATGTCTAGGGTTATAGCGAGGGGAGGGCCCGCAGCGAGCAGAAGGCAACATGCCGGCTGGGAGGCAGCGGCTCTTGGAAGCCTCCGCGGGGAATGGAGGCAGCGGCGGCCAATGGGTGATCGTTGCGCCAGGTAAAGAACTCCTTGCAAAGAGGCGCGGGGAGAGGGCTGCTGCAGCTGTGAAAGGATGGGCTCTTTTTTGGGGTGGGGGGTGGAATATCTTTTCATTTGAATGGATGGATCTTCCCGCCCTTGTCCTGAAGTTATGTTGCCCTCTTGGGGCAACGCGTGTCTGTATGTGCGCGTGTATGTATGTATGTATGTATGTATCCCCCTAAAAGGCATTTCTGGAGGATCTGATCAGTGCCAAAGGAACAGAAAACATCTCGGCGAGAATTTGCAGAAACGAAACTGGAAGTCACTTCCTGGAGCACTTGGGGCTTTTTTTAAAAAAAACGGGGAGGTGGTGGAGCCTGCTAGCAAGATAATGAAAATATGATCGCTTTTTAAAATGAGTTGTGGCCGATAAAGGCCTCGATCCAAAGAGCTGCTCTTACACGTGTCCAAGGGGGTCTGGACTTGTTTTCCTCAGTTTACTGCTGTGCTACGTTGGGACAGCTACGATATGGCCCCAGGAGATTTGCTGTTTAGAGCTGGGGGGGTGTGTGTGTGTGTGTGTGTGTGTGTGTGTGTGTGTGTGTGTAAAGAGCATAAATATATATACTGAGGGCATCCCTAAGGTCTTGCTCTAGCATCTCATTGGATCACAGCCATAATCATACCGGTTTGTATTTCTGTGGCGGTCGCAGTCATGAGCGGGAATTCATGGTAAAGCTAGTTCATTGAACGCAACGTTGGAGACCACTATTAAAATGCTGCAGCATTTGAACTGACTTCTGTGACATGCAGACATTGCAGATTTTTTAAAAAAGCAGGGGGTTTGCCAATATTTGCAATGGGTGGAGAAGATAGGTCAGAGAGGACCTTCTCACAGTTGTGCCCTTCTTTCTGGCACACACATGCACGTGCATGCATGTCAACTTGTGTGTGTGTGTGAGTGTGCACAAAGTGTGGGAGGATGAGACACAGGAAGCAAGGGTTTCCTCTTTCTGCCTTTCTCCTGTCACTCAAGTTTCTGTGTCCTCCTGATCTTCTCAGTCTGACCTCTTTCTCCTCCATTTCATCTGCCTCTGAGATGGGATTCTGACCATGTACACATGGCCTGGTGTAGCCAGGATTTATTTTCAGTGGCGGGCAGGCTTTATATTTGGGGGGAGCAGAACCAAGTTATCTGCAATGCAATTGGTCAGTTAGTTAAGTATTTTTATCTATTTACTTGATGGGGGGAAGCTGCCCCCCTGCCCTCCTGGCTACGCCCATGAGTCTTTAACATATCAAACTGCAGGAGTGGGAGCCTGCCAGTTAAGACTGTTATCCCATGTGGCAAAACAAACACTCAAATCCCCACAAGGAAAGATCTATCTATCACACCAGGGAAAGATATTGTGGTCCAACATGTTTCCTATTGGTGTGAAGTTTCTTTTATGTCAGGTGACATTCAAGCCCATGCAATATTTTACCACATCACAGCTCTTATTGCTATGTTTTGTTGCGTGTGTAGACTAGGCCTACAACTGTGGGGAATGAGGGCTGCTCCCCTGTCCTGCTTTTTGCCTCTTCTCTCTTCATCTTGGCTGTTGCTGTGCTTTGCACTGCTCTCTCTTTTCTTCTCCTTTATTCTGCTTTGCCTTCCGGCTTCAGAAAGCATGGAGAGAGCAATGGCTCTGCCTAGCTGTGTTTTCAGGTAAAACTAGGATGAGTAGCATGAAATGTTGTGGCAGCTCAGACATACTCTCTCCATTCCTATGAGTGATGATGATGTCGACTTGATGAATCTGAGTGCACAGCTTCTAGATTGCAACCCTGTTTAATAGAAGTCTGTACAATGGTACCTCGGGTTACATACGCTTCAGGTTACATACGCTTCAGGTTACAGACTCCGCTGACCTAGAAATATTACCTCAGGTTAAGAACTTTGCTTCAGGATGAGAACAGAAATCGTGCTCCAGCGGCGCGGCAGTAGCAGGAGGCCCCATTAGCTAAAGTGGTGCTTCAGGTTAAGAACAGTTTCAGGTTAAGTACGGACCTCCGGAACGAATTAAGTACTTAACCTGAGGTACCACTGTATTCAGAAGATAGGGGCTCACCTGATCTTCTGGGGGCAATTCTTACTCTCCACAGGTAACAAGGGAAGCCTCAACCATATTTACAGTAACAGTAGTTAGATGTGAATATTTTTAAATATATGAAGGGTATATCTCACTTTGGAATTTAACTTTTTTTCAGAATCTGCTACTAATCTGCCAAAGAAGCCAGGCTCTGAGCCTTTATTTACAAAACTGCGTAATCCAAGTACAGGCAAGTCTGAAATTGTAATTCTTCCCTTACCTTCAAATTTGAATTACAGTCGTACCTTGGTTCTGAAACACCTGTGACCTGAATGTTTTGGCTCCCTAACACCGCAAACCTGGAAGTGAGTATTCCAGTTTGCGAACGCTTTTTGGAAGCTGAACGTCCAACGCGGCTTCTGCAGCTTCTGATTGAGTGCAGGAAGCTCCTGTAGCCAATCGGAAGCTGCACCTTGGTTTTTGAATGTTTCGACAGACTTCTGGAACGGATTCTGTTCGAGAACAAAGGTACCACTGTATTTCCTTTGTAGACTGAAGCTTTAAAATGATGTGTTTAAAAAGAGTAGGGCTTTTTGTCTATTCAGTAAATGTTTTCTGTAAGATTATGTCTGTATGTTTCTGTATGTTGTGAATTGTGTTTTGCTGTAAAATACATGGGTTTGGGGGGCTGAGTTAAGCTGCCAGCTGTTCCTCTGTCCCAGAACTAATAAAACAATGGCTACCTCCAAGGGATATTGTTGTTGACATCTGTCTGTCTCGAGAGACAATGGAGTATGCCGCTGGGGGTGAATTCAAACCACTGTGTTAGCAGCACCACAAGCCTGGGCAATGTGTATGGAGATCCCGGGCTGCCCAGATCCATGTCAGATTTCTTTGAAATTAATTCCCAAGGGTCAACAGAACTGGGATATGTTCATCTCACATGATGTCTGTAATAGACTTGGTTCAGACATCATGCCAAACTATAGTTAATACCGGGACACGGGTGGTGCTGTGGGTTAAACCACAAAGCCTAGGGCTTGCCGATCAGAAGGTCGGCAGTTTGAATCCCCGCGATGGGGTGAGCTCCTGTTGCTCGGTCCCTGCTCCTGCCAATCTAGCAGTTTGAAAGCGCGAAGTGCAAGTAGACAAATAGGTACCGCTCCGGTGTAAACGGCGTTTCCGTGTGCTGCTCTGGTTTGCCTGAAGTGGCTTAGTCATGCTGGCCACATGACCTGGAAGCTGTATGCCGGCTCCCTTGGCCAATAAAGCGAGATGAGCACCGCAACCCCAGAGTCATCCGCGATGGACCTAATGTTCAGGGGTCCCTTTACCTTTTATAGTTAATACTATGGTTTTGTAAATCTACTTCAGGTCATGATTTTCAGTTTTGCTTTGCTGGCTGACTGCAAACCATGGCTTGCCAGTTTATACACGATGCTTACATTCAGATGGAACACGTTAAGCAAATTTAGCTTGTGTCCTGCCAACCTGGCAGTTCGAAAGCACGTCAAAGTGCAAGCAGATAAATAGGTACCGGTCTGGTGGGAAGGTAAACGGCGTTTCCATGCGCTGTTCTGGTTCGCCCAGAAGCGGCTTAGTCATGCTGGCCACAGGACCTGGAAGCTGTATGCCGGCTCCCTCGGCCAATAAAGCGAGATGAGCACCGCAACCCCAGAGTCATCCGCGATGGACCTAATGTTCAGGGGTCCCTTTACCTTTTATAGTTAATACTATGGTTTTGTAAATCTACTTCAGGTCATGATTTTCAGTTTTGCTTTGCTGGCTGACTGCAAACCATGGCTTGCCAGTTTATACACGATGCTTACATTCAGATGGAACACGTTAAGCAAATTTAGCTTGTGTCCTGCCAACCTAGCAGTTCGAAAGCACGTCAAAGTGCAAGCAGATAAATAGGTCTGGCGGGAAGGTAAACGGCGTTTCCATGCGCTGTTCTGGTTCGCCCAGAAGCGGCTTAGTCATGCTGGCCACATGACCCGGAAGCTGTCTGCGGACAAACGCCAGCTCCCTCAGCCTATAGAGCGAGATGAGCACAGCAACCCCAGAGTCATCCGCGACTGGACTTAACGGTCAGGGGTACATTTACTTTTATGAGCTTCCTGCTTGTGCACGCAGCTTGAGTCTTCCTTCCCTCTTCCTTTCCTGGAGCAAGGAAGCAAACCACAGAGTTGGCTGGCTTGACATTCTGTCCAAACCAATGTTTGTGTTCCAACTCCCCACCAAAGCTTATTGCTTCTCTCTACATTTAGCATTACATCCAGATGTGATCCCTGCGAAACGATAGTTAAGCTTCCTAAACCATGGGTTGGCACAGGAGTTGTCAACCATTTTGGACCCATGGGCACATTTGCAAAGCAGGGAAACAATGGTGACCCCCCCCACACACTTCACCCGTTCGTGCACAGCAGCCAATTGTTAGCTACAACATAATGCTTCTTTGCAGACTAAGGGGACTCAGCGGGTACCTGGGAAGGTCTCTGTGGGTGCTTGTGTTGGCAATCCCTAGTTTCAGTGTGATGCTTAAACTTTTCTATTTGTCTGAGTTTCTTTTGCACTTAAGGTTTGCGTATAGTCCGGCATTCTCCTGAGAGTTTACTTTCTTCTTTTGATTGGGGGTGGCTATTGGCAGCTTCAGAAATCCGAAACCAATATCTGTGTCGTCGTCGTTTTAACAGGACAAGCAGCCCTTTACTTGTTCGGAAGTGACGGCTGTCAGGTGTTTGAAGTGAAAGCTTTTCATGAAGAATACCGGTCGTGGTTTATAGGCGAAGCTGTTCAACATGGTGAGCAGTGTCCTCTTTCTCCATTTGCAGCCTGATCTTCAAGCAGCGATTCCTTGTGATTTTAGGCATACACAGATTCCTGAGCTACTGCGGCTTAGTTTATCCTCATTTACATGTAACGACCTGGGCGAAGCTTTATGCTTCCATTGCCCGCAATTCAGATCTGTATAAGAATATACACAGGAACATAGGAAGCTGTCTTACACCAAGTCAGGCCTCTTGGCTCAAAACTGTCTACATGGATTTGCTCCTGGATAAAGAAATAGGTTTGTGCACCCAAAATCAAATATAGCAATATTTTATTTGGGGTATAGAACCTATTTCTTTAATCAGGGGAAGATTGTCTTTATCAAGGGAAATTACTATTAGAATTAATTATCTATTGTCACGATGATGCTTTTTTATATACTTTTAGATGGACGGCTATTATTTGCTACACCAGTGGATCCCTTATTTCTTTTGTTGTTTTACCTTACCAAGGCAGAGAAAGAGGTAGGTAACTAGAAATTTTTAAGGATGACATTATATTGCTTTTCTCCAAAAACAACTGTAAATTAATGCTCTAAAGTAGGTAGGTGTTCAAGTGTAGTCGGTAGACTCCACTACATATTATAATGTGCTGGTTAGGTTGGCATGGCTGTAACTTGAAATTATTAAATCATGTAGAAAACAACTCCTGTAGGGCTTCAAGCCAAACTGGAACATGTATTGCAAGGAAGAAAGATTGGCTATTCCAGAGTTCTGTCCGTAAATCTTGCTAGTGAAAGAGAGAGTTCAAAATCTTGTTGCCTTTTGGTCTGCTAATTCTGTTGGTGCATTTTCACTTGCAGAACTTGCATTTATCCTTCACAACAAAGAGTCACTAGGAGTTTAAAATACTGACTTTTTAAAAAAAGCTTTATTTAAACACCCTTCATTAAAGAATTCTGTTGCCTTTTTCATCAGTTTGAAATAACTGTTAATGCTTTGCTGTTCTTTAATTTTTTAGCAGCTTTTGGTAGTACCTGTCATCCATCCATCTCTAGCTGAAATTACCTGGCCATAAAAAAAAATACATTTCTGGCAAAATATTTTAGAATCACTTTAATCCATTCACCATTTTGATTTATCTTCCCTTTTTCCAGCAGGGAAAGTTTCAGCCTTTGGATCAGTTCCTGGTAGACGAAGAGTTCTCTTCCTGTGCAATGTTGCTAAATTGCAAGAACGTTTTGCAATCTGTTCACCACCTAGTAGATGAAAAAGGTACAAGATCTGACAAATAAAATGAACAAGCAGCATTTGATACAGGTTTTACAATCCTTTGTCAGTTCATGCTGTTAGGCCAGTGAAGGTTTGTCACAGTCAGCCTTCCCAGGGCTTCACAAGCCATACATGCAGAAATAACTCCCAGTGAACCATGTCAAACTATAGAGGGTCTGTATGAGAGAGGCCACTGAACGCAGAGTATTCATACTTTCACGACAGTTTCTGCAATTGTGAGTGCCAGGAATGTAAGCTGAAACTCTGAGTGTGTTCAACATGCCCAAGTTGTAGAGGGAGGGACTGTAGCTTAATTAGTAGTAGAGTACATTTTTTGCATGCACATGGTCTCTGGTTCAGTCCCTGACATCTGTAGGTAAGACTGGAAGAGAGCCCTCTCTGAAACACAGGAGAGCCCTGCCAGTTAATGAGCAAAATAGACCAATGCTTATAAGGTGTTGTGTGTGTGTGTGTTTCACTGGTAAGCTTGTGTGTGTGTGTGTGTGTGTGTGTGTGTGTGTGTATATGTACAGTGCTTTTTTTCTGGGGGTACACAGGGGTACGCATACCCTTAAACATTTTGTGAATCTAACGGGAGAAGAAACAATATTTTTTTTTTAAAAAAAAGCTTCTTCTCTAGCACAGTGAATCATCAGTTCCATTGCTACCTCTGATGACGGCCTCATTTCCTGGCATGGTGTTTCCTGAATCTCAGATGGAAGTGAGCGTTTAATGTGTGAAGTAGGAGTTGGAATCTAGCACGGTGATTGGTTGGTTTCGTTGTATTTACTGTATTTATTTACCCCGATTTGGATTATAAAATGGTGATTTTCTTGAGTCAAAATGAGAGTACCCCTAAACATTTTTTTAGCGAAAAAAAGCAGTGTGTGTGTGTGTGTTTATAAATGTGTTCACTGGTAACCTTGTACAGATGCTGAAATAGCATATCTACTGCAATGTCTTATTTCATGTCAGAGCGGTGTATAAATTCAACAAATAAATATATAAATGTCGTGAAAGTACAAACCTAAATACGAGGCGACTCTTTTTGTCTCAGAAATAGGTGGCAGAAAATTTTATAAATACAGCGAGGAGAAAGCACTGAAGTGGCTGAAGAAGAAGGTATCTTTATGTTAAAAGAGTTTCTTTTCTATTGTGATGAATTCTGAATATTACATGTTGCCTTGTACAAAAGCAAGGGACTATAGTTAAAACTAAAAAAGTGTAACAGTGCTATAAGGATGCAGCCGATTTCTAAGGACCTCCCTCTTCTTTACCTGTACTATTGATTGCCTTAGTTACACCAGACCGGAAGGAAGCTTCCCAGTAAGTGTCCCAAGTTCCTATGTATTTTCTGGGACAGATTAGATATCGTAGTTGTCAGTAATTTTCCTCAGATTATCCCAAACTCCACCTCCACCCGTCTCCGCTTTGTGACTGGCTCAACCCTTGGGCAGCCATTTTGTGACTGGTGGACTTCCGTAATTTTCAGCCAATTCATGTGGAACCATGGGGGTGCAAACTTTTGAGATCTGCCGATTTAGTTAAGTACCGAAGGCATTGAGATTGTCGTAAAATATAACAATGAAATACAGTGGTACCTCGGGTTACAAACACCTCGGGTTACAAACACTTCGGGTTACAGACTCCGCTAACCTGGAAATAGTACCTCAGGTTAAGAACTTTACCTCAGGATGAGAACAGAAATTGTGCAGCGGCGGCGGGAGACCCCATTAGCTAAAGTGGTACCACAGGTTAAGAATGGTTTCAGGTTAACAACGGACCTCCGGAACAAATTAAGTTCGTAACCAGAGGTACCACTGTACTGAAATTGCTGCTTGACTGCTGTTTCTGCCTCTGGTGGGTGTGTATTCCTCCTTCCAATTTGTAAAGTACGTACATGTGTTCTCATGCTGCACTCGATTCAGCACTTAGAAAATATGACGCCCCTGAACTAAGTTTCACATTTGCTTTGCATAGTTACTTGTCTGAAAATAAAAGGGGGGCATTCAGATGTAATGCAGGACTTTCCCTCTCCTCTCCCCTCTCTCTTCACATTTTCTGTGAGCAGCATAAGCTGCATTCCACTTACTCATAGACTCATAGTTGGAAGGGATCCAAGGGTCATCTAGTCCAACCCCCTGCAATGAAGGAATCTTAGCTAAAACATCCCTGACAGACAGCCATCCAATCTCTGCTTAAAATCCCCACTTTTTCTGCTGTAGTTATGCTAGCTTAGTTGTGATCGCTCTACAAATGGAATACCTCAGTAGCCTTTGCTGGCTGCAGTAGGGAAAAAGTTTGGTTAAGAAAACTTTTTAAAAGTGTATCAATAATTTGCTAAGTTTGTAGCTATTTTAACAGTAAATTGTATGTCGTAAATGCAGTCCTCTGTGATTTTCTCCTGAGCAGTTACATTTTACACGAACGGAAATGTCTCAGGAGTGCCACTTTTTTCTTGCACAATTCTCATTCATCCCACCAAAAGGGGGTTTATTTGGGCAACCGTAGAAGATTGTGACCCATGTCAGTGTGGTAGCAGCTACAAACGTGTGCTAGATTTCAGTTCGTAGGTTCAGGGTTTGGCTTTGGTGGTACATTGCATGTACGCACAACGGCAGCGATGATAAGCCCTTCTGTTTTGTGGTTTTTGTCAGGTCGACCAGACTGTCAAAGTGTTAAAAGACAATGACATACCTGTGGGTGGAAAGGTGCAGTCTGCTACATTTATCAGCGGCAAACGGAACACGGATACCACTGAAGGTGAGGGGATTTAGGTCCCAAGTGAAATATAAATTTATGCTGGTAAGATTTGTACAGTACTTAATTTGTTTGCACATATGATTTTTTCTTGCAGTACAGTGGTACCTCGGGTTACATACGCTTCAGGTTACAAACGCTTCAGGTTACAGACTCCGCTAACCCAGAAATAGTACCTCGGGTTAAGAACTTTGCTTCAGTATGAGAACAGAAACCGTGCTCCAGCGGTGCGGCAGGAGCAGGAGGCCCCATTAGCTAAAGTGGTGCTTCAGGTTAAGAACAGTTTCAGGTTAAGAACGGACCTCCGGAATCAATTAAGTACTTAACCCGAGGTACCACTGTATTTACATTTTCCTTACTGTAACAACTCCCATATGACATCAGCTTGTGTGTTGCACTTTCCCCTCCTTCACTTAGTTGCTTTTCCAGGCATTCTTTTCAGTTTCTCTTAATTTTTGTGTGTGTGTGGTGTTTTTATAGTTACCAGGCCACTGCTGCTAAACACTATCAGGCCACAATGCACCCATCTCCCTCCCCAAAACTAGTTGATGTTCCCAGCACTGCTATCCTTTTGAGGCAAAACAGATAATAGTTGCTACATAACTTTATAGCCAGTTTTATGCCTTCAGTAGTATTCAGTTGGGAAGAGAAGAGAAGGTCAGATAGGGAGAAATAAGCCATCTGGTTGCCTGGGCTTATGAAACCAATAGGGAACATTTGCATGGCCATCTGTGTGGTTTTCCATCCCTTTCCAATTTTATTTTTTCCCAAGACACAACCAATACGAAGCTGACAACCACTGCTGCATTTTAATTATGAGTGACATTCGGGACATAAGTACTGCTGGCATGCTGCAAGCTGTCTATAGCATTCAGTGTCTGCTCTTTGCAAGTATTGATTCTGTTTAGGGTAGGTGTGAGAAGCCTTTGGCCCTCCCAACTGTTGCTGGACTGCAACTCCCGCCAGCCCTAACCATTGGCCATGCTTGTTGAGGGTCAGCGGTTCCCCACATCTGGTTTAGGCCAAAGGGTGTGTGAGATGTACTGATGGGAACACCACGGAACTAAAGGTGCTGATCACTCATCACAGATAGAAGTGGTAAACTTGGGGCAGTGTTAATTTGGAGACTGAACATTCTAAAGGAGAGATGTTTTAATAATATATAGCATTTATTTTGTTTTTCTTTCAGAGGACTATATTCGCTATGCTCATGGTTTAATGACTGAATATATTTCTGAAGAGCTGAGTACCGCACTAGCTCAGTATTTGAGGTGAGTGTTCATGCTTTATGTTGTAAGGGATAACTTTGATGACAATGACTGATTCCCCCCCCCCCCCCCATGCTTTAGCTCTTTATATACAGTGGTACCTCGGGCTACATACGCTTCAGGTTACATACGCTTCAGGTTACATACGCTTCAGGTTACAGACTCCGCTAACCCAGAAATAGTGCTTCAGGTTAAGAACTTTGCTTCAGGATGAGAACAGAAATCGTGCTCCGGCGGCGCGGCGGCAGCAAGAGGCCCCATTAGCTAAAGTGGTGCTTCAGGTTAAGAACAGTTTCAGGTTAAGAATGGACCTCCGGAACGAATTAAGTACTTAACCCGAGGTACCACTGTATTAGGTGGAAAGGATCCATCTGTGTCTGTAATTTTCAGCCAGTTAATTTGGAACTCGGGGGCGCAAACTTTGAGAATCGCTGATTTAGTTAAGTACAGAAGGCATTGAGACTGTCATAAAATATTATAATGAAATACTGAAATTGCTGCTTTACTTACTGCTGTTTCTGCCTTTGCTGGGTGTGTTTTTCTCTTTCCAATTTGCAAAGTACGTACACGTGCAGTTGATTCAGCACTTAGAAAATATGACGCCCATGACTAAGTTTCACATTTGCTTTGCATACAGTGGTACCTCTGGATACAAACGGGATCCATTCCGGAACCCCATTCGCATCTAGAAGCAAACGTAACTAGTGATGGCACGTCTGCGCACGTGCGCGTCGCTTTTCGCCGCTTCTGCGCATGCGCGTGATGTCATTTTGAGCGTCTGCGCATGCGCAAGTGGCGAAACCCGGAAGTAACGTGCTCTGTTATTTCCGGGTTGCCGCGGAGCGCAACTTGAACATTTTTTGTACATATTACATTTTCTCCTAATGCTACTTTTATGTTTTTTAGTCTTCCTGCCCACTGCTTACATCATTTGATTATTAGGTTGCATCTGAATTAATATTTGTTGTCATTTGGCTTTGGCATTTTTGTTTCAGAACTGACACACAGGGAATACAACTTTGAAATAAAAGTAGAATTCTTTTTTTTGTGTGTGGTGCATGGCTGTTCTAGCCCAGAAGTTTTTATTAAAGTTTTCACAATGCAATCAAATTATATCTAGAACAAATGAAGTCAAAGAGAGAGAGAGAGAGAGACAGCAAAAGCCAAGAGAGGAAGGCAAAAGAAGAAAGAAAGGAGAGGATTGAAGGTTAGGGTAAAACTCGAATGCAGGGCTATATATATATTCCAGTTTTACCCTAATCTTCAATCCACATACAAAAAGTGAGTATCCCCAGCTCCCACCTGGAAAGTTTCCCCCTTTCCCCAGGCTCCCACCCTGATAAAAACTCACTCTTGCTTGTCTCCCACACAAATACTTCAAAATAAATAGATGAGGCACTTACTGATAAAATATTCTAGCTTGATAGTTCTAAAATTTGATTACCTTAACCTCTTTTCTTTTTTGTTTTGCTTTCCAGGCTCCCACAGATTGCAAGTCCTCCGGCGGAGCCAGCATCCAAGGTAATGAAAATTTAGGTACTGCTGGATACGTATCATTTTCATGCAGTTATGCCCTGCGTTTCTTCCATCACGGAACTTGAGGGCAGTTTGCATGGGGTTTTCAGGCAGATCCCTGTTCAGGCATTGGCCAGACTCAGGTGAGCTTAGCCTCAGCGAGGTGGGTGCATTGTGAGCCTTCAGACCATGGTCTGGAACCCTGGAGATGGTGAAAAAGAAATGCTGTACCAGAGAAATCCTTAGAGGAGAGGAAGTCAAGTCCTGAAATACTTCTTTTCCCATTGATAACAAACTCCCCACCCCCATTGATAACTGGGCTTTTTTAAAGCATCGAGCTAAAAGCATGAAACAGTGTCACAGTGTTCGGCAAGATGTAAGAAGAATGTGCAATTATTTTTAATCAATCAAATGAGGAAGACCTTTCGAACTGTCTGGTACATAGAGTATATGTTGGCAATGAAGTGCTACAATTATGCCTATGGTTTTCAAAGCAGGAGTTATACGGATGCATGCATGATAAGAAAATACACTTGTGTCATTTGTATTAATGTCCTTGGCCTCTCACTTCCCCAGGTCTATACTACTTCCACTTTTCAGATCTCTGCTTCCTCTGCTCATAGTCTTCTTCCTTTATCCAACCATTCTCACTCAGTATTTTCCCCACCTCTGCTTGCATGTTCTGCAATCGGCTTTCCCACTTAATCTAGAGGACAGGTGATACTGCTTTGGATAACTTTATCACCATTGCTCACATTAAGCCTGAACGTTTTTTGTTTACGCTGAAGATCGGTGTATGCAATACACTGTGATTTTTATGGAGCAAATCCTCACTCTAACATTGCAGAAAAGGAAATTATCAGATGCCCCTGTGGAAGCAGAAGAAGATTACACCAAGTTTAATACTAGTGATCTGAAAAGCAAAAAGGTGAGTTGTATATTGCTTTTCCGACTAGCTTTTTGACTAGCAGCCTCATTTTCTTGTAGGATGCTACTTTACTCAGGAGAAAGTAGAATACATATTCTAAGCATGTACAGTACATTCTATCCAGTGCTATTTTTCCAGAAAAAGGGGTGCCAGAACTCACCATGAACACCTCCCTCATTCTCTTAGAATGGCAATGGCATCCACCTGAGAGGTGCCAGAATTGAGTTCCAGGAAGTTCTGGCTGGAAAAACCTCCTAATTCTATATGTGAGGGAAAAAAACCCATTAAGTTTTAGAATAGTATATTCTAACTAGTTCAAGAAATGGTGAAAATATTGGTGGCGGGAATTTAAAAGGCTTTCATGGCTATCTAGGACTAAAGAACTAGTAAAGCTTTTAATAAATCTGCTACAACTGTATCCTGGAATGTTGAATCCATTCCCTGAGTTCCTCCACCCACAGTGGGCCACTTTAAGCAAGGGGTGTGTGAGAGAGGCTCCGCCCACCTGCCAGTCACCTGACATCACTATGACATCAGGTGACCCATTTTTCCTTCATAGTACAGCTTGAGGCCAAGCCTTGCTATAAAGGAAAAACAAAGTCCTGCTTTCAGCAGGGGTCAGTTGCCCCAATGGAGTTCCCATTAGGGGAGGCCATAGCACTGCTGATTCCATTGATGGTGACAGCAAGCCTCCCTAGTTAAGGAGCAATTTTCTAACATATTCACCCCGAGCAGTTAGGATGTTTGTGACATCAAGGCTTAGGGTTGGAGTGTAGCTTACAGGTGACACTCTTAGCTTAGTAAAAAGGAACTCGAGAATCACACACAGTACAAAATTTTGGAGCAGGCATTGTACAGTATTTAAGATGTGGAAAGAGTTGAGTAGTCTGCATAATTCAGTTCAGTTTACTCATAAAAGATGTTGGATAACCTGAGAAACACAGAGTTTCAAAGTGAGGAATTTCAAGCAGCAACAGTAGTCTAATTTTACTTCTTCATTTAACCTTTTTAAAAAAATATACAATCCTTTATCACAAGATCTCAGGGCGGTTCACTGCATGTGTGGATGTGTATTAAAGATGTGTATATTAATACTTGTTTTTACTGTAGCATTTCCGGGATAAAAAACCATGCATTTAACTTCAATGTATTCCCAGCATGATCAGGATTCTGGTGTCTGATGTTTTCATTAATGTTTGTGCCGTCTAACTGATGAAACATCCCACCTATCTAAATGTGAAGAAATGTTGTCCGGATCAGGCCAAATGTCAGCTTTTTATATTAGCCAGATCTGCAAACCATGTGATTACATTTATCAAATTATCCCCCAGATAAAATATTTAGGCACGTAGTGTGAAGGGATATACAATAGCTAACGGATATGTGTGGTTTCTGCTTGATAGGCATGTGACGTTGCGTGGAAACTTTACTTTAGTCTAACTTTTTTCTCTGTTCTTATTTCCAGGCAAACAGTAAGATGTCAGCTGCTCAAAAGGCCCTGGCAAAAGTTGACAAGAGTGGCATGAAAACAATGTCTTCTTTCTTTAGTTCAAAAACTAAAACAACAAAATGAGACTTTTGATACAGTAATTATTTTTGTATAGGCCAGCTTCTTTTTCACTTCTTCCCTTCCTCCCCCCCCCCCCCCAAGTTTTCAGATATCCCTTTACTTAAAGTTAGGGCTCAAAAATAGAAACAGTACTGTGAAAGTTAATATTGTGTAAAACAAAGTCAGGATAGCCTGTTGTAGTTCCCACTGGGAAAGCTAATTTTGGTAATTATCATATCAGCCAATATGCTTGTTTATTTAGCACTGTTAAGCTGTAGGGTGTACATTGCAATGTAATGAGGTAAAATAAATTCATTTCTGAAACAGATATTTCTTGTTTCTTGTCTTTTTAATGGATGGGGATTAGGGAAATGCCAAATGTTTCCTCCTTTTTCAAAAAAACCTGAACTGGGTTTTTCCCCCCAAATGGTTTTTGTTGAATTTCAAAATATTAACAAATACAAAGTGCGGGGGAAATAAGTTTCTAACGCATACAAAAACTAAAGAAAATAAGTGTCATTAGGATATAAGAGCACATTTTTTAAAATCACTTTTCAGTTTTAAGAATTAATGATATACTAATACTAGACAAATTCTAATACACTTTGCCATTAACATGGCAGCATTTTGCTTATTACATTAGTGAGCTGGATTTTTTGTTAGCTGTTATGCTGCAATGTATGGTTAATCTCAGTTTCTCAAGAAAAGTGATGTGATACATGATTAAACATGTTTTCTCCATGTTGTGAGTGATCCTTGCTTCAAGAATATCAGTGATTCTTTCTGTGCAATAAGGATAATTTTAAGGGACATCGTTTTAGAGAGTCTGCTGATTTAAACATAAAAGTTTATTAAAGAGAGTTGGACACTTATTGGAAGAAAGTCTCATATACAGTTACACAAGCTGAGGTTGGAGACATCTCCTAATTAGCTAGAATGGAAAAGTAGCTCTCAGCAAGACTACAAGTTGGCCAAATAATTTTCCATATAGTGACAGTGGATCACATCCAATGTTGCTGTTCTGGTAAAACAGCTTGTGCAACTGAACTTTCCTCTCCCCTGTAGCTCTTCCCTCCATCAGTGCATCTTCAAAATCTGTCCCAGCGGGTTAGAGGACCCTCCAGAACAGTTTTTTTCCTGCCAATCTAAAATGGCACACATTTTGTGTGGGAGTAAATTTATCAGGAAAGATGGGTGGGGTGTGTACACACTCACACACCGTATTTTTCTGTGTATAAGACTAGGTTTCCCCCCTTAAAAATAATGTCAAAAATTAGGGGGCGCCTTATACATGCCGCCATCTTGCCCAATTTTCTTAAATCTGAGTCCCCCAAAATAGGCGGTGTCTTATACATGGGGGCGTCCTATAGACGGAAAAGTACGGTGTGTGTGTGTGTGTTAAAACAGAAGCCAGTAACAATGTTGTTAAACTGACTCTGTTCATTCAAACAGACCGATACAGTCGTCATGAATCCATTTTCAGCAGAGCCCCTCGTTTACTAAAAGGTGGCATTTGTGTGTGTGTGTGTGTGTGTGTGTTTTAGGTTATTTTTAAAAATTGCACCAAATGTACCAAAATACCTATGGGAAAAGAGAGCAGTTTGCTGTTTGAAACTGTAAAATGGTGCCTAAAAGCAATAAAATCCAATAGCAATAAAAGAAAATAAAACAGTAAAAAGTATTTTAAAAAATATTGTTAAACTGACTGAACTGTCACAATCAAAGTGTTACAAATACATTCATTGACAAATCATCTGGGTAATAATATTTATAGATGTGCTTTTTTCTTTCACTAGATGTCTGCTCGTCACCAGAGGAAGAGATGAAGGGAATGAAAGGAAATGTGGATGCCTTGTTTTAATGTGGAACATTCCTAAAGCCATTTTAAAGAAATGCAAATTGTATTGTTAGAGACTGTTATCCAGGTGAGATTCGCTGGTAGAGCTGGAATTTGATGAGGTCGATTTCCCTTCTGGTATGTGGTTGGGATCTCTTGCTTGAAGTTCTAGATTTTGATCTAGTACAATTATTCCTTGTCCTTTGAGCATTTCTGGCTTGGTGTACCTTGTCCGCTTACTGCTGTCTGCTTTCAGCAAATGTATTGAGGGGCTTGTCCACATGTGAGCATTATTTATCTGTTAATCCACTTTTCCTCATCCAAATTAACTTGGAGTATTCCACACTTGTGCATACTTGAATTTGTTTCTGAGGAGAAACCACAGTCTTTCGCATTCATACTGGTAGAAGTTTCCTTTTCTTTTTGAACCTGTCTTCTCATTTGTTATTATGCCAATTAAGTAACAGCAGATAGCTGTGCACCTTGGGTTTTTTATTTATTTGAAAAATCTGCATAAGAAGTGTGCAGTAGGTATAGCCAGGCAATTGTAAATTTGCTTGTGCAGTTTTCTGGTTTCAGCAAATCTGATGGTTCAGAATTATAAACACACAAAGGGGAAGAGGCTAATGCTAGTGCCATTTCCTTGTGCAGTTTTCTGGTTTTGTGCAAATGTGAAGGATCAAAAGGAAAAAATATCCTCCCTTCAGGAACGTACCAGAAACAGTTACAAAAAAAGAAATGAAAAGACTGAGGAAGCAGTGGGATGGAAGGGGGTTAGCAGAAAGTGACAATTGATCCATCCACCCCAAACTACCAAAACAAATTATTTGTGACCCTGAATGGAGCGGTTTAGAGTCCAATTTCCAGCAATTTACCAATCAAGATTTGTATTATTTGAGGGTAACGTTCTGGTACTACACAAATTACGCGTGAATGCAAACCTACAGCAAACTCTGGCATGGGCAAGCTCTAGATAATACTGTTTAATCTTATTAAGGGCTTATATAGGTAATTTATTTTCCTTTCTGAAAAAGCGCAACATCTAACCCTTGTGCCTATGGGATGAAAGGTAACTGAAGGACCACTTGCTCCCAAATAAACTTGCCTGTATGTTTCTGCCTTCAAAATGGAGGCAGATGACAACAAGAGACAGTGCCTTTTCTGTGGTGGTTCCCTGGTTGGGGAAAACTCAGAGATACTTGGCTTGTGCCTGCTTCACTAACTTCCTGAACTTTGAAAGGCTGATATATTATTACTGTTTCTTGCACTACTTGTACTACTGTTCTGATGGCTGGGTGTGTGCTTTTCTTCTTCTTTATTTTTAGCAATTTAATGTTAATAATGTGGGTGTTTTTTACTTTTTTATTGGGTTTCTGCCATGTAAACTTCTGTTGAAAGTTGATATGTCAATTTTAAAAAGTTGTTTAATGAACCGGGGACTATGCAAAGAACCCTTTACCCTGGATTATTCCCTTCACAATAAAGATGCACTTTTCCCCCACACGTGATCCCTATCTTCCCTTAACGCAGGTGTTTTGTTGTGGCGATACTGCACTTTCCTCAAACTCAAATCGCATTATTATTTGTTTGAGGAAAATGGAATTTTTAGAAGCTGTGTGCTGTTCCTCTACCCAGTGTACCTTATTTAGAAGAAAGTACAAACCGTAAAACTTCCTATTCTCCTCCACCAAGTCATCTTGTTTAAATGTATGTCTGGTTAATTTTTCTTCAGTTTTTTGGAAGCTATGTCCTGGCTCTGTTTGATAGGACACCTCTATCATCCTAGGCACGTTTATACAGAATTATGTCTTGTGTTCAAGAGGGTTTACTCCTTAGAATGGATTTCAGGCCTAGTATTCTTGGGATATCAGGCACCAAAAAGTGTCTTGTGCAAATTAAAGTCAAAATGTAAGTGAGATGTGCTTTGACAGACCATGGAGAGAATTGCACAGCACATCTTTCCAGTTACAGAGTGGCGTTTGTGTCGTGCAATTCTACTCAATATTGATCCAGAGCAGATTCCAATGTATAATTAGCAGAGTAAAAATTAAAACACATTGCAGGATTCCCCCCAAAATAGACCAGAGACAATTATATTTCATCCAGCAGAGCTTTACGGCTACTGAAGGCAAATGAGCATAATGGTCACAAATCCAATACATTCAGGATTGGCACTGTCCGTAAGAAATCCAGTTGCAGCAGACCTAACTTAAACTTACAATAACCTATAATGAATCTAAACCTTACCACTAAGCATACTATGTACAGAACACCACACCAGAAGGAAAAGAGATAGAAATCGAAGGAGTACAGCTCCTCCTGAAATTTACCTCAGGAAATGGGAAACACCACAGCTTACCCACCTGCCTAACACCCCAGGAACACCTGGCACAGTCATGGCATTAAATAAACAGTGTCAATTGCTGACAGTTTGCTCTAAGAACTCGATAAGCTATGTGTCTCATCCTTCGTTCGTTGAGCACCAGCAGAAGTGGTAAATCTTATTTCAGAAAGTGCCAGGAGCTGGTAATTGGGTCCATGCTGATTCTAAACAAGGGCTTTTGGGAAGGAAAGGTTTTGGGCATACTGAATCACAAGAAAGGTGGGAGAGAGATTTTTAGTCTCTAGTGCCACCTGAAAGGCGAGCTAGCACACTGCCTGTTGCCCTTTGCTGATTATTAATGGCTGCTTCCCTAAGGAAGCCTGAAGAGAGAGTTGTCCATGTGGCATTAAGCCCTTTGTAGTCCCCAAATCGCTGATCAGGAAAAGACTTGCCATCTGCAATTAACGAGGACTTGCTAATGTTTTGACTCTTGAGATGTATGTTTTTAGGACCTGCCTTATTTTTGTAAAATGTTAACTCATTTTTAAACTGCTTTTAATATTGTATAATAATAATTTTAACATTAATTTTGTGCTTTAATTGCTGTAACCTGCCATGAGACCTTAGGGTGAAGGGCGGATAACAAATTGTAATAATTGTAATAATAATTGCAGTAAACAACAACAACAACAACAACAATTTAAGGGAAAGACTCAGACAGAGGTTTTGTTGTGAATAAAAAAGTAGGGGTGTGGGGTTTTTTTTGCTTTATAATTTAATTCCATCGTGTCAGATGTGATTATTCATATAAATAAATCTGAGATAATTCATCTTGAATTGTCAGAATGGTGATTAAAGCTAAGCCCTGTTTCTGATGGACATTTTATTGTCTATTGTTCTTTGTTGGTCACTAGTTACCCAAAGGTCTCCAAGCGACTTAGAACACCTTTTAAAACAATCATAAATATACCATTAAAGAATATATAAGACCTGTATGATTCATCAATTATGTATTTATGCACATCCAGACAAACAGCTCCCTCCCCCAATCACATAGCTTTGCATGGAAAGGAGAACTGTGCTTCTTGTGGCTTCTCTCATCCTATCCAATGTGGCCAAACATTACAAGAAGGAAAGAAGTTTCAAATGAAATGAAGCCTTTCATGCTTGGCCTGTAAGGAGTGCAAACTCTTTAAGAGAAGGATGAAGTAGACCATTTGTTCTCAGCAAAACATTCCCTGCCCTTCCTTTGCTGTTTCTTTAATTCATCACACACGGTTACGTTCCAAGCTGTGGTGTAGGTAACAGGCAGAAGTTCTCTCCTCCCCGCCCTCCCAATTGAGTTTTCATTCCTCATATGACCATTTTTCTAAAACAGGACGCAAAGTGCTGAGGGAGCCGCACTCTCTGACAGATTAGGAAGTGAGACTTCTTTTTTCTGCTGTGAATCCTCTCCATGGGGAGCATCACTTTCAGCCCCTAACAGGTAACCAGGGAGAAGGAAACAAAAGGTGCGAGAAAAACAATCAGGAATATTCTAATTTAGAGCCAATTTGTTAGCCATCCTAGAGGTAGCCCCATTATTGTCTGCTGCCACACGGGAGTACAGTAATTCACATGGGTAATGATAGTTCACGCAATATTCCCCCCCCCTCCAATTCAGTTCAACTCTCATTTTTGAAAGGGAATGTGTATGTTTCTGCATCTAGGTAATCAAAGCGACAACAGTTCCAAGAGGCAGGGGAAATCAGCAAAATCCCCCCCCCCTTTTAAATTTGCATTTTCCACTGTTTTTTTATAACAACAACAATTATTTATACCCCGCCCATCTGGCTGGGTTTCCCCAGCCACTCTGGGCAGCTTCCAACAAAACACTAAAATACAATAACCTATTAAACATTAAAAGCTTCCCTAAACAGGGCTGCCTTCAGATGTCTTCTAAAAGTTTGGTAGTTATTTTTCTCTTTGACATCTGGTGGGAGGGCGTTCCACTACCGAGAAGGCCCTCTGCCTGGTTCCCTGTAACATGGCTTCTCGCAGCGAGGGAACCGCCAGAAGGCCCTCGGCGCTGGACCTCAGCATCTGGGCAGAACGATGGAGGTGGAGACGCTCCTTCATGTATACTGGACCGAGGCCGTTTAGGGCTTTAAAGGTCAGCACCAACACTTTGAATTGTGCTCGGAAACGTACTGAATTTTACATTCATCATACATACACTGCCCATCACATATCACTTCCCAGTTCATTTCTCCATGGCATTCTATGCAACCCTTATTCTGCTACATATTCAATTATACCATCCAATTTTATCTCATGTGTTTCCTTTATTTAATACTTGATTTTTTAAAAAACCCATTCTCTTCCATTGAGGTTCAAAAGCCCTTGCACTTATAGAATTGCACCAACTGAATCAAGCCTTCTGGATTCACTATAGCAGCAGATTTATTTGAGGCCGCTAGAAGTTTTGAGGGATGGTGAGTTTATTCACTTCCCCCCTCCCTCTCCAAAATTGGGGAGATAAACATGAGTATGGTAACCAATACTAATCCCACAGTTTCTGTGCATTGGGTGAACATTGTAACAAACCTGCCGCATCTTCTCTATGCTCTGTGTCCCTGGCTGTAAGAGAATCTTCAGCATACTTCATTAGTACAACATTCTTGCCATGATCGCTTTCCAAAGTGCCTGCTTCAACAAAAAAAGAAAAGGGCTAGTACTGTATTGTGTAAATTCTATACAAATTAACACACCTCCTCATAATACACACTCTCTGGTACAGTGGTACCTTGGTTCTCGAACTTAATTCGTTCCTGAAGGCCGTTCGACTCCCGAAACCGTCTGAAAACCAAGGCGCAGCTTCCGATTGGCTGCGGGAGCTTCCTGCACTCAATTGGAAGCCGCGTTGGACATTTGGCTTTGTGAAAAACGTTTGCAAACCAGAACAATTACAGCTTTCGGGAGCCGATTTGTTTGACAACTAGGCCATTCAGGAACCAAGGTACCACCGTAGTAGTATTTATTAAAAGTCTATCCTGCCTTTCTTCCCAAAGGAGCCCAGGACAGCAAACAACAAAGCACCAAAACAAACAGCTAAAAATGAAATAAAAATTAAAGCATTTAAGAACCATCAAAAGTGCATCAGCTTGGAAATTCCAGCAGCAACATATTGAGGCAGAATTATTATTACTGCATTTAAAAACAACAACAACAACTGGAATGCCTGTTTCTCTGTTAGTTTTTGCTTGGTTTTCTCTGAATTTGAGCTGAGGATTCCATTTTTGTATCTCACCAGTCAAAGCACATGAGCAAGATTAATCCGTTACGGAAAAGACAAGTAAGAATCTTGTGCGTTCAAAAGGCTAATTGTAAGGTGACGTGAGCTTTTGACTGGAGTCTTATTTCAAATCCATGGCGGCCTTGAAACTTGGTAGATTCATTTACAAATAGAAGCAGTTTTGCACAGCGAGGCTCAAAAATAAAGTGTAGGAAAAACAACGCTTGATTTCATAAGAACTAGGCCTGCCCATGGAACCTAAATCCAAGAATATAGAGATAAATACATCAACCTCTTAGTGCAGATACATCACACAATGTAGATAGTGGCGGAACGATTTCATTTCAGAACTGACACCTTACGTGATGCTATAAATATAAGAATTTCTCTGTCCCTCGACAGACTCACACCATTGCCGTCGCCATTACCAGATGTCTCTTCCAGTCGTCCCATTATTTCATTCTCGGTGGCATGGAGGTTTTTCCTCAGAAAATGCGTTGTCATTTTCCCTTTTCCTTTGACCTGTATCTCTCCCCTTTCCACCATCTCAAACACTTGGTGTGATAATGCTCTGTTGAGTGCGAGAAGCACAGCAATTGTGGGGCTCACAATTCATCCATTTCCCAAAATCCTCAGGTGTCCAACACCTCTGTCCCTCATGATACTGCCTGGTCCTCCACCCGATTTCACGCTGCCAAATTCTACCCTCCTTGACGCTTATGCATCTAAGGATGTGTGCACCCCATACCTTTTAAGCATGTTCAGAACGTGTTTTTCCCCACTCAAGGAATTCTGGGCCTTGTATTTTACCCTTTGTAGAGCTTCAGTTCCCAGCAACTCTGAACAAACTGCAGGGAAAGAATGTGCTTTAAAGGTATAGGGTGTACACAGCCCTAACAGAAATTACAAGTGGGACTCGCAACAAGTGTTGCCGTGTGGAGCCATGTCCTCTCCCAAAGTCCACCATTCTATCTTATCTCCACGTCCATCAGCATTCTTTGTCCCCCTGAGCATTCTCAGTGCTCTCTGGCTGTTTATGTGGTGCATGCCTGCCCCCCACTTTACTGTCGTCCCCCCAAATCATTGGTTGTGCTTCTGCAAACTCTGCCATTCTCCCAAGCCTGCTGATATTTCCATTTTCTGTGTGGATAGTGCTCTTTTAAAGGGATGCGGGTGGCGCTGCGGGTTAAACCACAGAGCCTAGGGCTTGCCAATCAGAAGGTCGGCGGTTCGAATCCCCGCAACGGGGTGAGCTTCTGTTGCTCGGTCCCTGTTCCTGCTAACCTAGCAGTTTGAAAGCACGTCAAAGTACAAGTAGATAAATAGGTAGCGCTCCAGAGGGAAGGTAAATGGTGTTTCCGTGCACTGCCCTGGTTCACCAGAAGTGACTTAGTCATGCTGGCCACATGACCCGGAAGCTGTACATCGGCTCCCTCAGCCAATAAAGCGAGATGAGCATCGCAACCCCAGAGTCGGCCACGACTGGACCTAATGGTCAGGGGTCCCTTTACCTAGTGCTCTTTTGGCTAGATAAGGATCCACTGCCAGAAAATGTTGCTATTGGTCTGCAGTAGGCTTTGGGAACGTTTGGCCCTCCAGATGTTGCTGAACTACAACTCCCATCAGCCCCAGCAAGCACGGCCAATGGTGGGAGTTGTAGTTGAGCAACACCTGGAGGTTCCCCACACCTGATATATAGAGTAGACAATTGGAATATGAGAAAGGCAGTAGTACCCATCAGTAGGTCATCTGCTGTGCCCTACAAAAGTTCTCACTGCCTACCCCTGAAGACAATTTGATAATTGATGTGGAGCATGTTAGTGGTCCTAGGGACAGCACAGATCCCACAAAATGTCTGGGATTTGATAGCCTTGGTACTGCCAACGTAGAAAAGACAAGAGGAGAATTTTCCTTGTGTTGTGATTGATTTGCAGGTTCTTACCTGAACGTTGTTGGGCTCAGATGGATTTTGTCTGGAAGTCCATGGCTTTCCATCCTAGAAGCTGTGTTGACTGTATCACCAAACAAGCAATACCTGGGCATTTTCTCCCCAACCACTCCAGCCAAAACTGGTCCAGTGTGCACCCCAATTCTAATCTGCTGGCATAAACACAACAAAGGAAAATGCGTTCTCTGTTACAGCTCTAAAAGAAATAGTTGATTGTTCTTCATTCAACCTCCTGGATTTGTTGCAGTATAACAAGACATTTAGCAAGGCCATCATTCAAAAACACTTTCTGCACCACAGCAAACTAGTCGGCTTCCTACTGACTGCAGCATAATGAGAGATAGCTCAGCAATGGAAGAACCAGACTGAAATACTCTGGAACATTTGGGAAAGTAATATATGGGATTCTTCTTCTTTGGTGATCACTTGTAGCCAAGTAAGATTGTCTTCCATGAACACGGTTTTAACAGTGAGTCCTTAATGGGATATAGCAATGTCCGAGTGTCTCACCAGACACAGGAGGGTAATTAAAGGCATAACTAATAGTGACACCTTCCAACAGTTCTATTTTTCTAGAAAAAAGAGGTGCCGGAACTCACTATGAATGCCTCTCGTGTTCTCTTACAATGGCAATGACAGCCACCTGAGAGGTGCCGGAACTGAGATGTCATCCCATCCAACTGCCTTGCCAACTGCAGGAATTCAGTGGGAATTACTTCTGAATTAGGCATCCATAGAATCATGCAATTGAAGTCAAGATCAAATGTACCTGTATAGGCTTATCTGTGAGTGGGTTCATCACTTCTCTTGCAGCTATTCTCATGCCCAGGGCAAAATTAGCCACCCTTTCAGCATGACTGCTGACAGGCACTGGGATCCCTCCTACAACCATGTAGGCATCTCCTATTGTTTCCACCTGTAAGGCAATAGAGAGACATACTGTAGGGATGGGAAGACAGAAAACTCCTTGGCCAACACGTGCCATGACTGCTCCCCACTTTCCTGTCCCACGCAGAGAGATGTCCTTCCTATATTTCACCTAAAGCTCAGGGGCTGCTCTCATGAGGGTCCACAGCCAGTTGCCCCATTTAGCAAGGCTTATTAATAAGCACACAACATTTCCTCGGCTTCAGCTGGGATTTCTACATTGCAGGGGGTGGAGCCAGATGACTCTTGGGTCTCTTCCTACTCTATGTTTCTATGTGGGCAGTGTTGGATGGAGACATTAATCTCTCCCGGATAGTTAACATAATACATTATCACCACCACCACAATTAAAGGGTTGCACTAGTGCAGTTTATCCTCTAGGTCAGGCATAGGCAAACTCGGCCCTCCAGATCTTTTGGGACTACAACTCCCATCATCCCTGACCACTGGTCCTGTTGGCTAGGGATGATGGAAGTTGTAGTCCCAAAACATCTGGAGGGCCGAGTTTGCCTATGCCTGCTCTAGGTAGCAGAGGAAATATTTACAGGAATAAAATGAGGCAAGAATACTGGCGTTCTGCAGAGGAAATGATATGAAGGAAAAACTGGTCTGGAAAGGCTTGACAATTTAATGTTTTTGACAAGCTAATAGTCTTCAGTTTTTATTCTCATCCTTGTGTCCATCATTCTAAAACAATTTTTCATAGCAATAGGGCTTGATACAACCAGCTATAAACATCAAGATGAGCAGGAAAGGCAGAATAAGTGATGAAAATGTGTGCAAATTGCAAGAACGCTTACTTTATAAACACCGTGGACACTAGTTAGCCGATCAAATCTTGAGTACATGGAATTAAGCATGTTCACTATCTGAATAGGTTCACAGGCAGAGCAGATATTTGTGAAGGTCACGACATCACTGAAAAGTATTGTGCAGCAACTAAAATCTCCTAGGGAATAATTAAAAGAAGAATGGCTATTTTGGAAAGTCTGTTTTGTTTATTTTAAGCCACAAAAACAAGACACCATTCTGTTTGTAAGGCCAACGCCGTTGACAGTGCCATTTGCTTCGGTCCTTCTGTTGGAAGAGATGAAAAACCAATCCCCACATTCAGGGCCAGCCCAAGATATTTTGCCGCTCAAGGCAAAGCAGAAAATGGCGCCCTGCCGCTGCTGCCTCCACTGCCACATGCACACACCACTGCTGCTGCCTGAGGTGACTGGAAACTCCTGTGGTAGGAGAGAGAAAAGTAGAGCAGAGAGGAGCAGGCAGTAGTGGCCCCACTCTTCCCAGGCGGTAGCTGTGGGTATCGTCACCCTGCATATTGCCTCTGGTACTGAGGAATATTGCTTCTTATCTTTAGACAGCAACACCATTGGTATGTGTGCAATCTCCTTCATTAGGACCAGTAGGACATAGCTGACTTCCCATGTTAAGAATAAGGCAGTCAGGGGTGGTTGTCTCTTTAATTTTGTGCTATGCTGCATGCCCAATGGCAGCCATTTTGTGCTATGCCACACTCCCTCCACGGCAGCCATTTTGTGACTTGCGTCCCCAGCACCCTCTCAAAATTCAAAATGCTCCCTCTATTCCAAAAAAGCTTGGCAACCCCACTGTGAAAAGTCTTTCTGTTTCAAGATGGACTCAAGTGGCTTAGACTAGTGTTACATTTTATTGAACCAATGGGTTTGTCAGTGAAGGCAGCAAACCTTTGCACATGGTCCCAGACACTTTTAAGCAGGATGCATTCAGACAGAACTTTCCAGTTCTCAAAATCTGCTTTTAATGTAAAAATATGCAAAGAAAGAATAACATATCCTCTGAATCCTTTTGCGTTGAGGTGAATCTCTTAGGTGGCAGTACTTCTGACACACTTTAAACAGCAAGCTATAACCCCACATTCTAGCTGAAATCACTCAAGCTCATCATACCGTAATATATTTATTTATGAGACATACACCCCACTCTAATTTTGAGTTCCCAGCAGAACTCGGGGAACCAACCAAGGCCAAACCTGCAAAACCAGCAATGTTAGAGTATCAGCCAGTTTTCCCCAGACTATCTGCTGAACCCCCTCTGTCTTGCTTTATTAGAATTTCCCAGTTGAAATGGGTTAGCTGTCCAGTCTTTCAAAACATTACAGTGATATCCTCGCTGCCACAAAAGCATGAAAGGACAATAAAAAGCATTTACCTGCTTCCACCTTTTTGCCCTCCTTAAGCTGATTGGCCACATGTTTTGGCAACATGGCATACAGCAGAGCCTCCGATTTCTTCTTTTCCGCTTCCAGGTTTTTGGAGAGAATCCTTAGCTCTTCCTTCTTCCTCTCTAGCTGGTTAGATAGCTCTATCTCTGCCAGCCGTTGCTGGTTGAAGAGGATGAGATCCCTTGTTGTGTCGTGCTGTGCAATGTCAGAGAGGTGCATCCCTTGCTCTTCCAGTTCCTCCAAACTGCGCAGCTTGGGTGAGCACAAGTACATCATGCACTTCATGGAATCCATCCAGATCATTTGTCCTTTTCGTTAAAAAAAATGAAATAAGTTACAGAATGATATTCCCTTGTGTTTAAAACTACTGATTAAGCTGAATCTTACTTGTAACACCACCACAAACCTATTGTACACCTTGAACCCCCCAAATCTTGCAAATGCTTCGTCACCAGATCATAACAGAGGTTTAGAACTTGGGTCCAGAATTTTGAATTCTTTTGTGAGGCACTGGAAGAGTTGAGGAAGGAGGAATGGCTCCTAAGGGAGAGGTGGGCAACATTTTTAAAATTGGCATTTGCCATATTAATAAAATATGTAAATGCAATACACAAATTTATAGCAGAGATGTGTATTGTACACCCCAAATGTAGATCTGTTTACTTGTTTTATTTTGCCTTGCATACAAGCAGTTATGGTGGTATTCCATTTGCTAAGGAAAGTCTCTGTATGATTTGTGAGTAAGTTTCATAGGATCAGGAGACACCAGGCTATATTTTCTTTGCTCCCGAGTATTAAATGCTGGTTTCTTGTGCAACCACCACTCAGAATGAATGGAAATTAGATCTTAATTGTTCAGATTAACTGTTTACAGGCCCAAATTACTACAATACTGTATATGAATCTGGCCCTTAGTGTGGTTGCATCTATTCTGGTGCCATCTTTATTTCCTTTTTTTTTTTTTTGGTGCCTATTGAAGACCTTTGTTTCTCAGCCAGCCTTTTAAGTGGAGTTATTTATACCAGTCTCTTTCTGCATTGACTTTTAAATTGTTTTTAAATATGGAATTATTTTTAATTGTCTATATATATATATTTCTGTGAAATCACTTCAAGACACTTACGGGAAGCAATCCATGAATGGAATCACATAGATAAACTAACATCTAGAAATGTGGGAGTCTTCCAAAGCCTTCCAACCATTTTTATATAAAACTGCAGGTGACCATCTCTCAAGTTTCCTTGCCACCACAGTGCTAGCATGGGGGTCCTTAGCATTCAGATGTCTGCAAAAAGCAAGTTTGTTTGATACCTCTGAGCTTTAGCATGGGCCGTCTCGTCCACAAGTTAGGCAGCGCATCCCTTCGTATCTTGAGAACAAACTGGCTGTTGATGAACTTCCGTATGCTAAAGATTGTGAATGTAACTTGTGGGTGAACAATAGAGAAATACTCATCTAATCTGGTTCCATAGATCTGCAAGCCTGGTACAAATTTCTGAATGTTCACACCAGCCTGCTTGATCTTCAGCTGAGGAGCAGATAGAAAGGTAGCATAATTTCATGACTAAAAGAAAAGTTTTCAAACTCTCTTGAGAACCAATTAAAAAAACCTTCATGTGTGATCCTACTTACATCAGTTTTTAAACAAAAAACAACAGCACCTTTTGTCAGCATACATTCGTAATTTTAAAACTTTCATACACTTCAACCAAAGATACTCTGAGACCAACTCAACAAGCATCTCTATTCCAGCTACAAGGATTCAGGCCAATGGATAACTTACTGTTTCATCGAACACAACGTGGAAAGGAAACGCACAACAGAAAGTTCTCTCCTCAACCCAAAGTCTCTCAGGAAAAAATGGCTCCAAGGTACGAATAAGGTCCTCTATGAAACATAGAGTGATAGACAACACACAGAGTGAATTTACAAAGAGAGAATATTTTCTTGAATTTCCACATTTCGCCTGTATATAGTAATTTGATCATTCTCCATGGATACATCCTTTCCTTTGCTGTAGCCAACACTTGGAAAACGTCTTGTTATACCATTCAGATATCAATTCCTGCCTTAGTTATCCCCCTTTGTAGCGGGATAATGCTTCATCGTTTTAGGGGGATAATGCATGATAGGGCCAGACCAGCATCTATTTCTGGTTTGGAAGACACAAGTAGCTGTTCAGAACCCGCAGCCCCCCTACACCTTGATATTCATTATTCTGGAGGTTGTGAAGCTCTACTCGTTGGATAATAAAGATTTGGCTGAAACAGTTCCACACAGTTTCTAACATATTTACAATCTGATTTTTATTGGTGGTGGTGGTGGTGGGGAGAACATGGCATCAAAATTTGGAGCAGGATACAAGATTTGGTGTGTGTAGTCAGAAGGGGTGGGTATCGCTGTCTATGACATAATGTTCCAGGCTTTCACTTACCTGAACTTAAGGGTAGATCAGTGAAATTGAGAAGCAGCAAGGCATCACATTCCAATTATATCAATCTATTATATCATCTGGCAGTTTTCTGTAAGGATACTTACATCCAAAGACAGCCTCTAATTTATGCTGATAAGGCGCATCTTTCATTTCAATAATCATGCTGAGGTTAAAAAGGATCTAATATACCTCTCCTAAATTTCACAATGTGCCTCACAATGTCCCAGTGAGATTTCTTTTCTAGTTGGTGCAACACATATTCTTCCTTCCCTTTCTGGAAAGCAGCATCCAGTCCCTAAATAGAACATTGGTAGAAAAATGGTACATCGTGGTAATTAAGATTAACTGAATCATGCTCATATTCTAAATCCATTTACACAGAGCAACCTCATGGTTGCCATAGAAGGTATAAAGCACAATAATTAAATCTGCATACATCAGTTTTGCTGTACACATGGAGAGTGATTCATCTGTTACAATATCTTAAGAGACTTGCAAGGCTGCTCCTCCTCTCTAAGCCACGAAGGTTTCTGCTAACTCAAAACTAACCCCCCCATCCCACTTTTGACAGGACCAATTTTGTCACCTTTTCATCCTCTTGACAGTCTCCACCTGCAGAGGCTATTTTTTCTTCGATCCCATTCTTTGCTTCTTTCTCATTCTGCGAAAGAAAAAACACCACGTGTTCTTTCTTCCCAGTGCGCTCCTCTTCTACATCTTGATGAAGAATTTTCAGTGTCACTTCGCTCTCAAAGAAATCTCTTGACACAGCTTCAAGGATTCCTATGTAAGAAAGAATAATCGTTTGTGTTTCCGGTCACGTCATGAGTCAATGGTGGTTGCTCCTCAGGTTCAGGCAGGGGAAAGCCAGGATTTATGAGGCAAAATTCCTGGCAATGTTCCCCAGTGGGGTCTGGGGAGCTCACTGCATCCCGCTGTGCCACGCTAACCCGTGTCTGCCAACTTGAAAGGCAGAGCGGGTACAGCCTGGGAGTGTGTTGCTGCCATGGATAAGCCTCCACCTCAGGCATGATTTGTGGCTCCTCCATAATTCGGACAATTGGCATTAATCAAGAGGTGCTCCTGGACCAACACAATGCTCCATACTTCCTTCTTCACACATGCCCAGACTTCCCTCTCCTCTAGCAATTAGGGTTGAAGCATTCTGGCTTTTTAGGTGGAATTCTCTTCATGGAGACTGCAGTCAGGGAGGGGAACCCTGTTGAACAATGTGGGATGGGTCATAAGGACCACTGGGGGAAGGAGGAATTGCCCCCAAATAGGAAACGGGTAGTTCATTAGTGCAAACATATTTTCTACCCTCTATGGAAAGGTTTCCAGAGCAAAACCTGACAAGGAACAAGATATTGTAGCACACCTGGGACAATATGATACAGGCCTTTTCTGTCGGAGTAATAGTGGAGCAACAACATCCCATCGGTTCTTTCCACTCGGAATGATGGCGCATTCATTTCCTAAGTAGAAAAACTATTGCTTTATTTTCTTGGGGGGGAAATCCTACACACAATAGTTATGCTCAACATTCTTAAAAGATGCATTCCTAACATCCTTGGGACAAGCGCCTCTGAGACAATTCTGTTAAGGGGGGGAGCGAGCTTTCTCCAAACAAGAACCACATTCCCTTCCCAGGCAACTTTTCAGAGTCAAAATGCCTGTAGGGAGTTCAGTCGTAATGCTTAACCACAGTTTCATGTTACATCACATACTTCTCCCTCTACTCTCTTTCTCTTGTGCGGCCAAGAGGAGGAATGAAAAAGGATTCAGTATTGCTTTTACTACTACTACTACTACTACTACTGCTACTGCTACTGCTACTACTACTACTTTATTTATACCCTGCCCATCTGGCTGGGCTTCCCCAGCCACTGTGGACGGCTCCAAACAGAATATGAAAAACACAATAAAACATCAAACTTTAAAAACTTCCCTAAACAGGGCTGCCTTCAGATGTCTTCTAAAAGCCAGTTGTTTATTTCCTTGACATCTGATGGGAGGGCGCTCCACAGGTTGGGCACCACTACTGAGAAGGTCCTTTGCCTGGTTCCTGGTAACCTCACTTCTCACAGTGAGGGAACCACCAGAAGGCCCTTGGTGCTGGACCTCAGTGTCCAGACTGAACAATTCTTGTATTGTAATTCTTGTATTGTCATTGTAGATTTCCCAGTAGTAGTACTAAGCAGAGAGGTGGACTTTAAACTTATCAAACTGCCCCAGCAGAGAACAGTGCTGTATCACATCATCCCAGGTAGAATGAGCAGATTAAACTTTTTCCCTCACCTCAGCATTGTGATAGGGAAAAGAAGCCCTCAGTTTTGCCAGGGACTGGCAGGTCCAGGTCACACATTCACCCCCCCTTTCTAAAATTGTTTATTTTTTTATTTTCTTAAAAGGGCTTTTCAGAATTGTGTCTACACAGCAAAGGAGGTACCTGGTAGGACAAGGCAAGATAGCTATGAAGGGCATCAAGGTTCTCAATAAACTCCATCAAATTTCCTCCTAGGGTCCGTAGCATTCTGTCATATCCAGACATCTTACAGAAACTGAAAAAGTATTCCCCAAAAAGTTTGAGCACTGCCTCTTCTGACACCTCTGAGTGGAAATAAATGAGATGAACAAATAATAACAGGGTTGGAATAATCGCTCTTAAGCACTGAGCATGAGCAAAATCCAGCCATTACACCTTCTCAAAAGATCACAAGCCTGGCCAACATCCTAGTCTGAATGCAGAGACCTCTCAGCTGCTCAGAAAGATCTCTTCTCCTCTTGCCAGGAAACATATGGTCGACCCTACCCGGGTGGCGCTGTAGGTTAAACCACAGAGCCTAGGGCTTGCTGATCAGAAGGTTGGCGGTTCGAATCCCCATGACAGAGTGAGCTCCCGTTGCTCGGTCCCTGCTCCTGCCAACCTAGCAGTTCGAAAGCACGTCAAAGTGCAAGTAGATAAATAGGTACCGCTCCGGCGGGAAGGTAAACGGCGTTTCCGTGTGCTGCTCTGGTTCGCCAGAAGCGGCTTAGTCATGCTGGCCACATGACCCGGAAGCTGTACGCTGGCTCCCTTGGCTAATAAAGTGAGATGAGCGCCGCAACTCCAGAGTTGGTCACAACTGGACCTAATGGTCAGGGGTCCCTTTACCTTTACCTTACCCTCTCCAATAATGCTACCCCTTGTTTGGTGATGTGAGGAGAGTGTGTGGCATGGCATAACACTAATATTGCATTTGGCAGAGGACAGGAAGGAGACATACGTGTGCACAACAGAAAGTATACCTTTTCCCATGAAGAAGACTTGCCTGTTCCCCCCCCTCTCAACGCAACACCCTAGCATTTGTTAATGCCCCCAGTGTCATATGACTTTCTTCACAAAATTTCTCCGTTCAGAGAAATGTATACAGTTCTCACAGGGCAATGGGCTGGACAGCAGAGACGTCAATAGCAAGGCTAGTAGGAGCTCCATTTAGCTGTTTTGGTGGGCAAAAAGTACAGCTGATGAGGGAACTGGATGATTAGCTAAGGCAGGGGTGGGAAACCTGCAGCTCCCCCAGGTGTAATGGGACGGCAACTTCAGCCAGCTCCAGCCAGCTAGCCCAACGATCAGGGATGAAAGCAACTTCTGGAGGGCCACAGATTCCACACCCCTGAATGGGAAGGATACCCCATAGCCTTCAGCTGGAGTCAAGGCAGAGGCACCATGCTCCACTGATGAAGCTGACAGGCCCACTTTAAATAAGTCCAATGGGACTTACTTCCAGGGCACTCATTCTCATATATATATATATATATGGGACGCGGGTGGCGCTGTAGGTTAAACCACAGAGCCTAGGACATGCTGATCAGAAGGTTGGCGGTTCGAATCCCCGTGATGGGGTGAGCTCCTGTTGCTCGGTCCCTGCTCCTGCCAACCTAGCAGTTCGAAAGCACGTCAAAGTGCAAGTAGATAAATAGGTACCGCTCTGGCGGGAAGGTAATCGGCGTTTCCGTGCACTGCTCTGGTGGTTTGCCAGAAGTGGCTTGGTCATGTTGGCCACATGACCCGGAAGCTGTACGCCGGCTCCCTCGGCCAATAAAGCAAGATGAGCGCCGCAATCCCAGAGTCGGTCACGACTGGACCATATATATATATATATATATATATATATATATATATATCTCCATTTGCCTAGAAACAAGTGCAATTTGCAATTGCATTTAAGTTGTACCCTATACATACTTTTCTAGGACTAAGTCCAATGGAACATAATGCAGCTTACTTCTGAGTAAACATTCCTTGGATCGTGTTGCATGTTTTGCTTGTCCATCAGTATTTTATTTATTCACTGATTGTCTTTCTATCCCTCCCTTCCTCCCCAAAGAACCCAGTGCGGCAGAAAACACATTCAGAATGGGGTTGCACAATTCTTTGTCCCTAAACTAAGCTTATTCCATAAGATAAAACAATATAAACCAAATAATACAGTGAAACATAACATCAAAGTAAATTAAAAGCGAGAAAGTGAATTTTAAAAAGGCAAAATTAAAATAATGCAAAGATAATAAATGAAACCAGAACATGTTTCACAACTTAGTGTTTTGCAGGTTTCCTGGACCAGCTTCATTGTGACAGCATCATCATAAACTGTGTATGTCATAAAGGTGTCTTCAATCCCAGTTTTTGTCCTGTAAAAGTATCAAAACTAACATCAGCATCTGAATATAAAACGAAACGGAGAGCATGATTTATTGCGAGATGTGTACAATCTACTTAAAAATATATCAATGCAAAACTTTTAAGGAAGACTGCAATGTTACTTGCATAATTTTCTTAAAACCATTTTAAATGTACACAAAATGAATTAGAGAGAGATTTTTTGGGTTTTTTTAACCCAGTAAAATCGTTCTTCAAGTGCTTACAAACCCACAGTTGGCAGGCACTTTCTTAAAAACAGGAATTTCCCCTTCTCTCTCAAACAGGAGAGAATGCCTCTTTTAAGATGGAGCCTACTGTGAAACATGCATGAACATGCATGCATTGTATAAAACAAAAATAGGGCGCATGTACCACTGCAATTGCCAGAGATGTTGCTGAACCCATTCTGAATTTTTTTTTTATGCTTCCCAAATGTTAACTGTGGCACTCTAAATATTTGTGGACCTAACAAATTTCACACTAGAGCTCGCTTCATGTCAGATGCATCTTTCTGAATGAATCTGATGAAGTGGACAATTGTCCACACTAGCTTATGCCACAATAAATCTGTTAGTCTTTAAGGTGCAACGAATATCTTCTTTTTTTGTGTGTTTCTCTCTAGTGTGTCCATAACTGAAAGAATTATCCCTTGCTTGACTTTTAAGTTTTTAAATCTCACTCGTACAATGTCGGAAAGGTACAGATACTCACTTGAGATGTTCCCAGGTTTCTTCACCAAATTTCTCTATTAGAAGAGACTTCAGGCAAGTGTTGATGAATCCGTACTGGAGAGAAAGAGACAGACAGGCAAATCATCTGACTTTTGTAGTCATTTACATTGAATGACAGAGTATTTTGTGCCCTTATACCTTTCTTTTTTTAGCCTGCTACTACATAACATTGCAAAATGAGCCTTGCCAGATAAGATCAAAAGTCCTTTCAGTCTCAGTATCCTATTTCCAAAATGGCAAAGCCAGATGCCTCTGGGAAGCCCACAATCATGAGTGCAAAGGCAACAGCCCTCTCCTTCCAGGGGCTGGTATTCAACAACATGCTCCTCTGAATTTAGAGGTTCCCCATACCTGTCATGACTTGTAGCCAATGATAAGACATTCCCCAGTGATGATTCCGAATCCTATAAACTAGTGGCCATGTCTCCACATCTTGTGTCAGTGAGTTCCATAAATGAGCTGTGTGTTGTCTTGGGTCTACCATCAGTCAGTTCCATTGGCTGTCTGTCAGTTCCAGTATTAGGAGAAGGGGACAAGAAAGGCTTCTCTCTATCCACTTTCTCTACACCATGAATACATTTTGTACATTTGTGCCATATGCCTCCCTTCCTTCCATTAGCTGTGGTTGTAAAGCAAGACAATAGGAAAGGATGCTTACCATAGTGTTGGTTATCTTCAGCCAGGCAGGAAATTGCTCTCTGGAGCTGATGTTATTCTGATCTACACACAGCTTACTTGCACAGCTAACCTTTAAATGCCTAGAGCCCAGCAAGCAGAGACCAGGAAGGTCCAGAGGGGATGTTACATCTTGGGATAATGGAAATAAATAGCTTCCCTGGAGTATATAGCTATGCTTTAAAGTGAAATCCTGATCTATTATAATGGTTCATCAACAGCAGAGGACAAAGTCTCTAGGAAAGCAGAGATAATTATATTAAAATTAAAAAAAAAAGTGTCAGAGGCCGAAGCCAAATATCTCAGGCAGAATAGATTATTACTTTCATTCATTCCAAGAGCCTGTGAAGTCAAGCCTTATTGTTTATTGGAAACACCTTTAGATTCTACTGAAGAGCAAAAGTTAAAGGTAAAGGACCCCTGGATGGTTAAGTCCAGTCAAAGGTGGCTATGGGGTGTGGCGCTCATCTTGCTTCAGGTCGAGAGAGCTGGCGTTTGTCCAGAGACAGCTTTCCGGGTCATGTGGCCAGCATAACTAAACCGCTTCTGGCACAACGGGACACCATGATGGAAACCAGAGCGCACGGAAACGCCATTTACTTCCCTGCCATAGTGGTACCTATTTATCTACTTGCACTGGTGTGCTTTTGAACTGCCAGGTTAGCAGAAGCTGGGACAGGGCAATGGGAGCTCACCCCATTGTTTGGTTTCGATCCGCCAACCTTCCGGTCAGCAAGCCCAAGAGGCCTCCCACTCCTGGGCGGGTGATAATGTCTCTTCTCAGCTTTTCTGCATGGGTCAAAAGAGGAGAGAGGGGTGTGTGCCCTGGATGTGTCTCCTCTCCCTATGTCCCCTCCCAAATCTGCTCTGGGAGGTTCCCCCAGCACCCTGGAGCAGATTTTGAGGTTGCATGGTGGCTGCAGAGGAGAGGAGTTGTTCCTGCTTTGTGAGTGGAATGGCAGGGTTCGATACAATCGATTGGGAGGAGTTCAGTGTTGCGCCATTATGATCATTCTGCCAACATAAACATTGCTTCTTGCCAGACAGAATAACCTTCCTTCCTTCTCCTCCCTCTGTGTGTCATCCTGGTATTCTCCTGACCCACCCCCAGAGCTGTTTGGGAAGGCATGGAGGACATGGGGGGGATGGGAATCCTTGTTGTGCTAGCGTGAGTCGCTGTGCCAGCTCCCGCTATAGCAACTATTTAGTAGAATCTAACCCATTGTCTGGGAAATATACAGTGTTTTCTTCATGGAAGAAATTCTGCTTTCATTCCCCCACTCCCACCCCACAATTATTTGGTGTGGTCTATGATTACCTTGATCATATTTCATTTTAAATGGACCTTCCTGCTGAATGCAAAGCATTGGTAAAGGTAAAGGGACCCCTGATCATTAGGTCCAGTCGTGACCGACTCTGGGGTTGTGGCACTCATCTCACTTTATTGGCTGAGGGAGCCGGAGTACAGCTTCCGGGTCATGTGGCCAGCATGACTAAGCTGCTTCTGGCGAACCAGAGCAGTGCACGGAAACGCCGTTTACTTTCCCGCCGGAGTGGTACCTATTTATCTACTTGCACTTTGACGTGCTTTCGAACTGCTAGGTTGGCTGGAGCAGGGACTGAGCAACGGGAGCTCACCCCGTCGCAGGGATTCAAACCGCCGACCTTCTGATCGGCAAGTCCTAGGATCTGTGATTTAACCCACAGCGCCACCTGCGTCCGGGAATGCAAAGCATAGACCCTCATTTTAAAAGCGAAAAGGGAGAGAAGTCTTCTCTCAAATTGTTAGGAGGCCACCAGTATTTTACGAATAGAACAAAACAAGATGGTGTTATTTTATATGATACAGAATCCTATGTCCAGCTATGTGCACTGCTACACTTGTGAATAGCCTTAAGAGACCTGACATGCATGACGCTGATGTTTTAGACTTGGAGGGATTTGATAACGTGTTTGGATGGCATGCCTATCTATGGTATGACCAGGTAAAGGCCCATAATGGTTTTAAAAATCATGTCATTAGAAAATCCTTATATAATGTTTGGATAAAATACAAAGATCTCTTAGAGAGGAACACACCCAGATGGCTTTCGCCAATGGAGGCAAAGGCCCAGAAAAAGTTAAATATGGAAACCAAGTGGTTGAGATACTCTGATCTGTTACTGGAAGATAAAGGATATAAATTAAAACCATTTGATCAAATTAAAGATAAAATAAATTGGCTACATTACATTACCATCAGATTAATGAATTGTGAAAATTAGATAAGAAAAATGGTTTTGTTTTAGAAAAAACTAAGTTGGAAACGGAGTTGTTGGACTCTAAAGTTAAAAATTTGTCTAAAATGTGTAATTTATTGATGGAATGGCATACAGAGGATGAACAAGTTAAATCTGTGATGATAGACTGGGCAAGAGATGTGGGACATAACATAATGTTTGAAGATTGGGAGAGGTTATGGAGGAAAGGGTCAAGTTCACTGCATGTACGGTGTTAAAGAAAAATATTATGAAACTGATGTATAGATGGTACTTAACTCCTGTAAAATTGGCAAAGATATATCATAATAGTGATAATTTATGTTGGAAATGTAAAGAAAAAGAAGGTACCTTTTATCGTATGTGGTGGACCTGCCCCAAGGTGAAAGACTTCTGGGAGAAGATTTATAATGAATTGAAAAAAATGTTGAAATATACATTTATTAAGAAACCAGAGGCCTTTCTTCTTGGAATAACAGGTCTGGAATTGCCCAAGAAAGATGTTAGACTGTTTTTGTATGCCACAACTGCAGCTAGAATTTTGTTACCTAAGAATTGGAAAACACAAGAAGTCCCAAAAGTGGAGGAATGGCAGATGAAAATGATGGACTTTTCGGAGCTAGCTGACCGGACTAGAAGAGTCCGCGACCAGAAGGAGGACTACCAGGAGGAATGGATGAAATTCAAAGACTATTTAGTTAAATATGTTAAGATAACTTAATTGGAAAAACTTGCAAATACCAGATAGGCTTAGGATTTAAATATGAAATGTTAGAGAATAGCATGTTTAAAGTTAAAAGGGAAAGAAAGAAAGATGTTAAGTGATTAAGTTAATTTTATAAGAAAACTGGTTTTGGAAAACTGTTACAATGATATACACTGAAATTCAGCCAGGGGGATTTGACACTTAACAATGTTACTAAGATTGGATTTAGTACAATTAAGAGGTATGTTTGTTTGTTTGTTTGTTTAAAAATTGAAAAAAAAGAGAGACCTGACATGCAAATCTCCTCAGGGTTACATAAACACACCCTGTTTCAACATCTGGGAAGGGTGGACATCAGGTTGTTTAGTGGGGCAACAATTTTAGTTAAATTATTGCCCCAAATGGGGGATTGTTATAAGAATTTTAAGGTCTCAATCATAGAATAAATAAGCATAAATGCACACTTAGCTAAATATATAAACCAATGTTACGTGTTAAACCATCTGATTAAGAAATATGGTAAAGGGCCTAAGACCTATATACAACCTTTGTAGATCTTGCAGCAGTGTTTGGTAGGATAAATCATAAAAAGTTGTGGTTACAACTTTGGAACTAAAACATAGAGTGTCAGTTATTTACACTTATTAGGATATTATACGTTGAAATGTGTGTGAGAGTGAGAGTAGGTGTAAACTGTCAGTTGTCAGCTCCATTTCCAACAACAACAACAAAAAGTATGACAAGGCTGCTAATGAGCTCCCCTGCTGTTTAAGATTAATGTAAATGACGTCATACCGGAACTAAAACAACCAGAATACAAAAGTTGTAGAATGCTTTATTTCATTTTGGTGTAGTGCAGCACAGTATTATCACTACTTCCTTTTGTTCTGTTAGTTATTTTGGTTCCTACTGTAGCTTTGTGGATTTACACTGTGCCATTGTGGTCCCATTTCAGTTTTTGCCCATTGCCTGTGAATACAATAGTGCATCATCTGTGATCCTCAGGCGAAAATTTTCCTTCCCTTTTCAATAGCCTTTTCATCTATTGGTGCTTTTCTTGGACTACCAGGCTGCAGAAATTTCTTCACTGTCGGGATGTTGCTTATTCTCTCTTTAAAGGCCTGAGAGAGAGAGAGAGAGAGAGAGAGAGAGCGCAAAATATTTTAGAAGAGAAAAGGAGAAATGGTGGTATCCCCAAATAATCATTTGCCGCTTACGGTTACTATGATTTCATAGTCAATAATGAAACTACAAGTGATAAACATTATATGTACTCAAACTTTATACGTACACTAAACCCTGTTATTTCAGGCATGCCCCTTTGGAGAGGGAGGTCAATATTCAAGCTCCATTGCAGGTCTATAATCGTAGGTAGGTTACCTGTTTGTGTCTAAATTTAATTCACAGAAGGCTTATCCATGAATGTGGGCCTCCTGTGTGATTTAGACTTTGTGCAATAGAAATCCAGAGACAATGGTGTTTTAGATATGCAAAGAATAAAAGTGCCATACTAGAACTTTGCTTATGCTTCAGTAAGCATGCTTACCTTTAAAAGAGGGAATTTGGAGAGAATATCAGCCTTCAGCTCTTCTGCCATTAAAATGGTTTCAAGCAATTGAATATCTGCTCTGCTGAGCTGATTTCCTACCAGGTAATTTTGTCCATGATCTTTGAGGACCTATAGAGCAGGAAATGTTTGAAGAGTACTTCAGGTACATACACAAAATGGAGAATCTATATCTGAACCACTTTTGAATATCACGCGCCCAGATTATACTGTATCAGGAGATCGAGAGTATTTGTATCAGTTCTGATTCATGTCTTCTAACAAACTGCTGGCTAAGAAAGAGAAGCTTGATCATTACATTCCCTCTTCCCAAACCACTGCTTATCATGTTTCAATAAGGCAGGGCAGATTCTGAGATCAGAGTTCACATGGTAAACGAACACTGTGTGTGATTCATGTTTTACTTTTTTTACTTTTAGCTCAGAAGCTTGGAAAATACAAGGAATAAGGAAATGATTTCTGATGAGCCAAGCAGTCCTATCAACATTACCAGCTACCAACTCCAGCTGAGCATAGGTGACTTTGTTGTGTTAAAAGGTTTGTAAGTTTCCTTTGCCCCATACCTTTTCAAAGACTGGAAAGTATCTGGTGGTGGCTTTTTCAATAATGTTTGCAAACTCTTTCTCCTTGCTGTCAGCTGGCTTGAAGGGAAGCATCATTATCAATTCATTCAGATCCATAGCACCTTCGCAATACATATCAATCCTATTTGAAAGAGAAAGTGTTTCTTCCTCCCATATTCAGATAATAATAAGAAAAACAGTAGTGGTTGTATAAGATTATGGATTAAGAATAATATGGAAAGAAAGGAAATTAGTAATTTGAACAGGTTAATTTTATTAGAAAGTGGATATTGGAAAATTGCTAAAATGAGATTTAATGAAAATCAGTTAGGAAGGATTTGAGGAAGTCTCTCAATAATGGAATGTAATTTGGATCTTTATCTGTAAGAAGTTTTGAATGTATGTTTGTTTTTTGTATGTTTTGTTTTTTGTTATTTTGTGTTGTGTAAAATTTGGAAGATTTAATAAAAAAATTTGAAACAAGAAAAACCGTAGTGGTAGCAGCAGCAGCAATGGTACTAATTATGATAATGCAGAGCCAAAACCTTGTGGGGGAATTGGGCGGTAGTGTCACAGGCAAAAATGTGTGATGACCCAGCAGAAAAACAAGTACAATGATCCTGTATGTTGGAGAAAGGGCATTTTCCCTGGAAAAAGCCTCTTTCTATGCAACAAAAGCCCCTATAATGTGCTTTCCAGTATAGTGATCTTCACCAGTTAGACCTTTTATAAAGAAAGCCTTATATCAAAAATCAATTTTATACATTTGCATGAAACCCCCCCCCCAAAAAAAAACATTGGGAAGGGACAATGACCTCCCAATCTCCTATTGGGATTACATGAAAATTCATTGATTTCAAATGAACCAGTCCACATGAACTTTGCTGGGACTGAGAGGTCAAATTACCTCATATTGGACCCTTTCTTGCCCAATCTGACAGTAGAGATGAAACATGCTGACTCATAACTCATCAGTAGATCATATGACAGACCAGAGATGATGTTATATCATGTACAGCAAACCAAAGTATGCATTTAGTAACCAAACTTAAAGGAATGTTACAGTACCATGCTCTCTGCTTCACGTCCTTCCCAGAGAGATTATATTTGGCGGCAATGTAGTTGAGAATAGCTCGGCTCTGCACCATCTTCATCCCATCCATTTCCACCATGGGCACTTGCTGAAAGAGCAGGTCTCCACCTTGTGAAAGGAAGATGAAAAATCAGTCCATCCTCCCAGGTAATTACTATGGAAAGTAAATTTTCAGGAGCATCTCCCAAGCCATGCTTTGATTTTGAGACTTTACTTTTACATTGAGCCTTTGCGATAATCATGTTTGCCTCTGCTTTTCCCTCAAAACCCTTTTGCAGAACATGTGTTAAATTAGTACAGCAATCACACATTGGAAACTAGTTTTGTATGTTATTTAAGCTACTTCTGTTCTCCAGCTAAAAAACAAGCAAACCATTCTGCACAATGCAGAGTTGAGTGGTATGTGTTGTGGGTATCTGGAAAACTCTTTTCTTTCAAAGAAGAGAGAAAAATGCAATATAACTAGATCACAACTGTGTATTGACACATATTCCTGCCTGAAAGTGTGCACAATGCAGAACTGGAGAAACAAGTCCACTTTGAAAACCCCTGGTATTAAGACTATAAGGCTTTACTGTACTAGAAGACAGTCCCACTGATACTCAGATAACATACTCACCATGCTTTAATTTTTCTAGATATTCTTTGGTCTCAATTAATTGTTCTTCAAACTAAAAAATAAAAGAGGCAGAATATTTCAAGGGTCTCATGAAATAATTTCAGGCTCCAAAAATGACACAGGGCCTTTCAAGTTTTCAAAATTTGATGAAAACTCCCCTTTCACAGCCGAATTCCGGGCCAGCCCACCCAATAATCTTCTCTGTCTGGGACAGAACAACAAATGTTTCCCATGCACAAATCAAGTACTACAGGCTAGTCATATCATTTTAGCACTTGAAGCAGTAAATCCCACAATGACCGCTCCCCACATTAAATGGGGGTGCTCTTTGCGTGGTCATGTGAAGCCCCCTGGACCCTATGTGGCACCATTAGCACAGGCTTGGCTTGGCTTTCCCCAAGTGGGATACCTGGAGGTCTCTGCCTACCTCAGCCAGTTGCCCAATCCCGCCTGGGGAGGCGTTGCCAAGGTGATCAGGCCAGTTAGGGGGAGGGACCACCTGCCCACACAGTAGGGGGAGGATCTTACATGGGAATTGTCAGTTGGCTCCAGAGCTTCTCCCACCCTACCCACCATCAGTTAAGACTTCTTTTGCAGGTTAACCTTTTCTTCACAGGTATGCAGGTGCTACTATGTCAAGGTCGCTGTTGAAGGGTCGGAAAGGAATTCTCCTGCATTGGCATGTTCTGCTTTCCTGTATCAAAACGTCACAACTTTGGCAGTATCAGGCCTTGGGCGGAATCCTTTAGTCTATCTTCCCTAAATGGGGGGGGGCGTTCAGCGGTGACTCATGCCCCCCTTCTCTTTGTGGCGGCGATTCCAGGGTTCCCCATTAAAGGGGTTGTTTGAGGGGAGGCTTCGGCCGTATGCCTGGAGGTTGTCATTGCTTTCCTTGCGACGGCGGCGTAACAGGGGCAGGCTCTCTCTGCTTGAACATATGTTCTCCAGAGCCAGCCCATCCCCCCCCACTGGATAACCCTGATGTTCCCCAGATCCCTGGTGGGGGACTGAGAGGGATAAACGTCCAATGCCTGAGCCAAGGTCTACCCACATCTGAAACATAATAAAGTTGTGGCCAATTTTAATCCCATAGCACGTTGTCTTGAGTCGTTATTCCACACGGGGGCCGCCCAGGGTTTGGGTGACTCCGCCTGTCCACACAATCATGTCTCCTCCCCCCCTACTTAGCAGCAAAAGTACAATAATAATGAATGAAGATAACTCATCAATTAGCTGCCCCTTCCAGGATAGATAAAATCCCCCGCCTGAAGCAGGCACCTCACTCACAAATGATAATGCTGGACCCAAATTTGGAAACTGCCTGAAATATAAGAATGCTGGAAAAACAACAGTTCCCTTGATTCTTTTTTGGGGGTGCGGGAAAGGTGCTTTGTCAGAGAAGACAAACCAACCTCGACTCCTGCTGCAGCCAACAGCCACCTTATGCTTTCCATTCGGCCCCTTCCATTGAAGTAGTAAAGCTTAGGTTTCCCAGCCATGTTCCTAAGTGTTTGCTTTCCTGTTATGATGAGAGACAGAGAGAGATAGATTGCGAGGTCATGTTTGATAGGGAAACCACTGCAGAGCAGGACAACTGTTCAAAATGGTGCTCTCGTGATTGCTTACAGCAAGAAAAGATTTCATACTAAATAAAGCCTTCTGGTTTATTTTTTTTAACAAACTCTTTTTCATAATCATGGAGCACAAGCAGATGTAGCATATTATTGCACAGATAAAATAGGAAGCAAGAGTTTAAAAAACCACAACAATCTATGACAGGGGTCAGCAAACTTTTTCGGCAGGGGGCCGGTCCACTGTCCCTCAGACCTTGTGGGGGGCCGGACTATATTTTGAAAAAAAAAATGAATGAATTCCTATGCCCCACAAATAACCCAGAGATGCATTTTAAATAAAAGGACACATTCTACTCGTGTAAAAACATGTTGATTCCCGAACCATCCGTGGGCCGGATTTAGAAGGCAATTGGGCCGGATCTGGGCCCTGGGCCTTAGTTTGCCTACCCATAATATATGACTATCACCCCCTCTTGGACAGCCATGGTCCATGTTCCCAGAGCCACAAAATTGTAACTTCCCCCTCGTACTTGCACCATTGCCATTGCCATCAGCTGCCTCTCATCTCCTCAGGCAAGTTTGGGCACATGGCTTTCCAGCATGGCCAGCCGCCAGGGATGATGGGACTTTGTAGTGATGAATCACATCTGAAGCACCACCTCTTTGACTGGCTGGCTAAACCAGGTAAGGATAGCTGGTGGGTCTCAAACCCATGTGAGTTAGGCACCTCCCCTCTACGCAAGGACAGGCTCTGGCAGGTTGAGGGATGAGACCAACAGTGGGTCCAAGGGTCAAGAAGGCGGTTTCTGCACATGCTGTAGAGGGAAGTGAGGGGCAGGTGGGGCTCATCAATCTGGGAAGGTAACCCATCTAGGAGGAGGTAGCCTCTGACCCTAAACCTCCATTGCCCTGTGGGATATCCTAGGAAGAAGAAAAGGCTAAGGAGTAAACCCTAAGCAAATCCAGACTGGAGTCCCTAAGATAATTGGATGGCATCTACACCCTCCTCAACCCTGGATAACCACACCCATTTTCTACATTCCTTTCAATAATATATGCATTTATATGCACATTTTACCTCACCATATGTGTTTTTACACATTGTTTGGCTGGAGAACTGCAGTCAAATTTCAAGGGATAGCTATGTTTTTGGGAAATGAAATTTGGTGAGTTAATATTTTAAAAATGAATCTAATTTCTCTCCCATTCTTACCCAAGATTTCTTTTTCCTCTGAGGTGCAACAAAGACCAACCCCATATTATTTTTAGAACTCTGCCCACTGCCCAGCTCCTGCCTTTGGTCTGTCCAAAGGGAAATGTCTCTGTTCTGAGGATTACAGGTCTGAGGATTACAGTATCCCCCCTCCCCAACCCACAAACCTTTTGTACTCTGCGGGTAAGAAGAAGAAAACCTTTGGGCAGAGGTGAGGTCTTTGGAAATTGTCCCTGCACTACTCCTCTGTCCAGGGTGTTGCTCTTGAGCAATGACTCTCCAAAGCAATCATCTACCTTAGAATACTAACCTGCTGCAAGTCCTGAACAAGTGGAAGTTCTTCTCAAGCAGAGTGAGCCCCGAACTTGTGTGGCTCAGGTTATAAAAGCTCAGAAGCTCCACCTTCTGAGAGAACAGCTTATCTGTAGCAGAAACTCCCTATTGCAAATAGAAAAACACTTACTCTGCCTTTCGTGAGACTTTTCACCTACAACAAATCAGTCACGCAAAGTTAATTCACAATGGGAAAGGTTGTCTCACGCTTGCGTAACATGATGCAACTCGGTTTATTGTATATCTGTACTGCTGCACCAAGGGCAAACATTCCTGGTCTTAGTACTGTATATTCAACTGAAACCTTTGTATAACTGGGCAGGAGGCCACTGCAGTCTCTGGTTGCAGCTGCTAGCCACAAAATACAGGAAAAGGTCAAATACACAGGGCTTCCCTGTTGGTCCCACCCACCTTTTGATGGGGGTTGGGCTGAATAGATCACTACAATTAAAGGTATGCAAAACTGGATTTCTACAGGCAATCCAGAAATTATTCTTGATTTGTTATGTAAGATACCTGATCCGGATGATCAAGTGAAAATCACATATTTGTTGTCTGGCTTTGACAAATTTGTGACAAATCATAAAACTGAGAAGAACGTTCCTTGAGGATAGCATGGTGGACTGGTAAAGAATTGCTGCTATGGCTGGTCAGACTAATTGCTGTAGAAGGCTATGAAAACAGGTCATTTTCTGGCAGGGAGTACGTTAATAGGATATCTTTTGCTTGCCTCTGATCCAGCAGGACCACACAGATCCCGTCACATCTACGCAAAGCACAACAGGAACTAGTCATGACAGAACAGACATGTTATTGACTACTCAAGTAAAACATGGCACTGAAGTACAAAAGCTGTAGAATGCTTTATTTCATTTTATTGTACCATCACACAGTATTATCATCATCTCCTTTTGTGGATTTACACAGTGCCATTATCGTGATCCTCTACTCAGTAGCATTTGAACTCTGGAATGCACCAGAGAGGTGGTGGAACTCAGTTCCAGTGAGTTCCGGCTGAAAAAAAATCCTTGCACAATATCAAATATTTGTTGACTTTGGCAATTTTATTCTTTGACTGCTGGCCGTGCTGGCTGTGGCTGATGGGAACTATAGTCCAAAACCCCTGGAAGGTATCATACCAGGTTTGGAAAGGTTGCATTAGACTAATATCTAAAGGAGGCCTCAGAATCTTCACAAAAGAGTTCTCATTTACTACATTTTTCAAGAGTTTGCAATCAAAAGCATTTGAGACTATGGAACCAAGAGGAAATACTATTTTACGGATTTAGGCTCCAATCCTATACCTGCATTTACCCAGAAGTAAGCTACGCTGAATTCAAATGGAACTAATGCTGAATAGACATGAATAGGACTACACTGTTAATCCTCCAACTGGTAAGAGAGAAGTCATACAGATTTGTTAAAATCATGCCAGTATTTGTAGTGATCTTCATAGCAGATGTTCTCAGATGTTGAAAATCTTCCTGATCTCTTGGAGAGCCTTGTCGTCTAATTCAAATTTCCTCTGGCTGCCTGGCTCCAAGAATTTCTTAATTGTGGAGATGTTGCTTACCCTTGCCTTCACGTCCTATATTGAAAAACAAGAAGCACTTCTAAGAAAAAGGTACTAACACAGATGGTACTAGGTACTAACGTACTTAGGTACTTAGTACTAAAGGTAATAACACACAAAAATGCAGTTCACATATTGGAGAAGAAGACCGGCCTGGCCAGGAGTGTAGGAAGGTGGGTGTAGAGCAGCAAAGGGCGTGTGCCATCCATATGGGCTGCTGCTCTCGTGCGCTGTCCGTACGGGATACTGCTTGTGCAGCAGCCCGTATGGTTGCCGTGTGCGAGTGGCAGCCCATATGGACTGCGCATGTGCGGCATTCCATAAGGAGTGCACACGCGCGAGATGCCACACATGCTCAGTCTGTACGGGCTGTACCACCCCAGGTGCCAGAGAGGGTTCCTCTGCCACTGGGCCTGGCCCCATCCATTGGCTTCAAATGTTTGCTTTCCTCTTCCCTTCCCATTCCTTTCCCCTTTTGTATCATGTGTATCATTGCAAGCTTGGGGGCAAGGGCCATTTTTACTTTCAATATGTGCGCAGTGCTTTGAAAATTTTAGATTTTTCTAAATGTTTAGTAATAATAATTATTATTTCTAGAAATGTGTTGAAGATTATGTCATTCCAAGCAGTTCTTTTATCATAGGATAAAAGTTAAAAATCACAAAGTTTTTAAATGGTCATTTGATGGAGGAATTTTGAAAAGCAATCTATCTGTTCATTAATAAGCAGTACCTTGTTTTTCAAGCATTCAAAAACCATATAGAAAAAATTAAGCCCATGAGTCTAAATTAATGAAGTAGTGCAGTATGTGTTAATAAAAAGATTTTTTTTAAAAAAACCATAAATACTACATGGGGTTATTAGTAATGTGGGGGGGGGTCTCAATTTGCTCCCTTCCCTATTTATTTCTGATTCATAAAATAAAATTGGGTAAAAGGCTGGTTTGATTGTAATAGAAATCCCATTCCTTCAAACTGTGGGATGTGAAACACAAGAGCAGTAAAGTACAACATTCCTAGAGTGAACAAGTTTACACATGGGGAGGAATGTTTTTCCAGCCAGCAGGTAAACTTCCTGTGACTGGAAGTGGGCATGGCCTCACCTGTGCAGGTAACGACAAAAGCACAGGGCAGGGCAGTCATCTCCCTCTCGTTTTGACTACATGCATCGAAGAAGCAACATCTGCTTAGCCAAAGATGCTCTCTTGGCTCCAGCCAATAATAACAGTTATTATAGAGGCTTTAGTGAGCCTGAGCAAACGCATCTGCTGCAAGTTTAAAAAGGGGAATGTTACTCTGCTAAATTGTGAACTTGTTAACACAAGTTGGAAAGGCTATTATCAGACAATATAGCCTCTCCTGCATCCCTGAACATTCCCACACAAACAAATAGATTCTGACTGATTAATGAACACAGTAACAATAATTTTCACATTCAATCACCTATGGGAAGGAGAAGATCTGTGGTCCTATTGTCCCATGGTCCTCAAGCCACATGTGAAATCTGAACTTTCTCTATAGTCTTTCTACAAGCCCCGCCTCCACCTTTATAATCCGGTGAGCCTTTTTTTGGTCAGGTTGTCTTGTAATGCATCAAACTAAGGCAATTCTAGCCAGGAGATGAAGCACTTTTATCATCAAGCAAAGTAGATGCAGAAGTCTAGATGCCTGCTCCACAGAAACTTCCAGATGCCTGACATAAGACATATCCCCCAGATGGCCACTTGGACTTGCTCTCATACACCACCATAATCACCATCATCGAGATGATGACATGCTAAGTGCAACACACTCCTATGACTGACGTTTATCCAGTTGCTGTATTTGCACTCTGTGAATACACACAGTCTTACAGTTTCCGTTCCATCTCATTTCTCAGAACATGTCCTAGTTCACTCACTTGCAGCAGAGGAAATGCAGAAAGAACATCAGGCTTCATCTCTTCGACCATCAGAATAGCTTCAAGCAGATGGACATCTGCCCAGCTGAACTTCCCACCAACAAGGAAATCTTGTCCATGATCTTTTAAAACCTGTGGCATACAAAGAAATAGAAGTCAGTGTTGAGGGTTTGTAGACCCCTGGCTCAGACTGGGCAACAGAGGCTCCTTGTGGATTATTTCTGCTTCTTTTGTGTTTCAGACATGTAAGGCTGAGAGGCAGGCAGGGACTGTCCCATGAGAGCAGCCACTTGGCTTTTTCATTCAAATACAGTGGGTTAAGTACTTAATTCGTTCCGGAGGTCTGTACTTAACCTGAAACTGTTCTTAACCTGAAGCACCACTTTAGCTAATGGGGCCTCCTGCTGCTGCCGCGCCGCCGGAGCACGATTTCTGTTCTCATCCTGAAGCAAAGTTCTTAACCTGAAGCACTATTTCTGGGTTAGCGGAGTCTGTAACCTGAAGCGTATGTAACCCGAGGTACCACTGTATACATTTTACACACCTGCATGTATCCCACTGCATAACACTGAAAGGCCCTCATTGCTGTGATCCTCTGCTCAGTGTTGGGATTCACAGGGTGCTGAGTAAGTCTTCAGGCTTCAGTTTGCAACAGGCTGATGCAATACTCTGTGAAGTGCTGGGTCAGAATGACTCAGCAGTAATGTGATTGGCTGTCACCTGTTTTAAAAGAAAAGCCTGTTCAACAGTAATTGTGGTGGTGCTGTGGTGGAGTGGTGTAGAGTCTTCGTTTGCCTCAAGGTGCAGGTACTCTGTATGAACTGCTTTTGTAAATATTTGTATTTAGCTCACATTAAACAAGACTGCACTAAAGAACCTGGGACTCTGAGCGTTCTGCGAGGAATACGCGACACTCAGTAGCATTGGAACTTGACATCTGGGGTGGGAAAACAAATATTTGCTGGACTCCAACTCCCATCAGCCCTAGCCAGCATGGCCAATGGTCAGGAATTAGGAGAGTTGTAAAAAAGGTAAAGGTAAAGAAACCCTGACAGTTAACTCCAGTCGCAGACGACTCTGGGGTTGGGGCAAGAGTTGTACTACCTCCCCAAAAAAGTTGGTAGACTTGTAGGTTTACTATTCCACATTTAAGTGCTTCCTCAGAATTTTGCTGCTGCTATGGATGGTTCTCCCCATACACCTTCAGCAGTCGATATCTAGCTGCACATTCTACGTTGCTACCTGACAATCCCTTACCTTTTCATAAACTGGGAAGTATCTGGTTGTGGCCCTCTCAAAAATTAGGCTGGTCTGCTTTTCTTTGTTCTCAGGGGGCTGGAAAGGGAGCGTCATTATCATCCCCATCAGATCAGTTGTTCCTTCCACGTACATGTCAATCCTGAAAGAAGCCATTAGCACAGTTACTTTCAGGGTTTGTTTTGTTAGTTTCTCTTATTTCTTTCCCTTTTTGCTTTATTATTATTACTATTATTTTATTTTTCATTTTTCCCAAATTTCAATACATATACGCATATTCTACATATTTTCTCCATCTATTCCTATTAGACTTCCTACCCCCCCCCGATGTTGGGAAAGATTGAGGGCACAAGGAGGAGGGGACGACAGAAGACAAGATGGTTGGACAGTGTTCTCGAAGGTACCAGCATGAGTTTGACCAAACTGTGGGAGGCAGTGGAAGACAGGAGTGCCTGGCGTGCTCTGGTCCATGGGGTCACAAAGAGTCGGACATGACTAAATGACTAAACAACAACAACAATAACCCCCCCGTGGCTTCCCGTTTTCCCATTTTAATGTTGCATATCCTCAGACAAGAAATTACCACCCAATTATTATCGTGAAAGTACAGGTCAATCTAAATATAATTAGAGCATATCATAATTACACAGAAATAAGAGAATAATTAATACTGTATTATAAATAACATATGCAATGTCTTTCCATTTTCTGATATTCAATCTGGCATCTTCCATACATGGTTGGAAAGTTGACAGTTATGTTAAGCTTGCCATTACCATGTTATGGCACGGTTTTCCTCCCCAAGTAGCTATAGCCTAAATTTCCTTGTAAGAGTCACACTGTGACATAGCTAGCTCTAGCTCTAGGAATACAGAGATGCAAAAGCAGGAAGATAGCTGGATGTTTGCAGTTCAGTGCATACATTCCATATTTTCAGCTTCTGTCAAGAGCTGGCTTTCTATTCAAAAAATAGACCTAGAGTGAATTCTACATGTTCATAAGTACAGTGCTCTCTCCTTCAGGTCCTTCCCGTAGAGGTTGTGCTTTGCTGCAATGTAGCTGAGAATAGCTCGCGTCTGCACCATCTTCATCCCATCCATTTCCACCATGGGCACTTGCTGAAACAGGAGCTGTCCATCTTTAAAAAAGGGGGTGGGTGTGGGATAAGTGATTCAGTCCTTACCAACTTAAGCAGCTTAAACCAATACTTCAGATCGATTCAGACTGCCTTCTTTGAAAGTTAAAAATGGTGTATTAAGTCTCTGATACAGATCTTTCTTCAGGAAAATCTGCCTTCCTTTTGGTCTGCACAGCTCAAATAGGAACATGGAAAGGCATCGTTTTATTTCCACCCTGTATTTGTTCCATGCGCTATTTCTATTCTGTTCACCATTGGCGAAATTACGTGACTTACATAACTCATTGTGTAAATCATATTGTCGTTATATTACGCCATCTCATTCCTTCTAATACAAAGGAAGCACAACACAAATGTGTGTCTCTGTGTGTATACATCTCATGTGTGTATAAACGGTAAAGGGACCCCTGACCATTAGGTCCAGTCATAACCGACTCTGGGGTTGCGGCACTCATCTCGCTTTATTGGCCAAGGGAGCCGGCGTACAGCTTCCAGGTCATGTGGCCAGCATAACTAAGCCGCTTTTGGCGAACCAGAGCAGCACACGGAAATGCCATTTACCTTCCCGGCGGAGCGGTATCTATTTATCTACCTGCACTTTGACGTGCTTTCAGACTGCTATGTTGGCAGGAGCAGGGACTGATCAACGGGAGCTCACCCCGTCACGGGGATTCGAACCGCCGATCTTCTGATCGGCAAGTCCTAGGCTCTGTGGTTTAACCCACAGCGCCACCCGCGTCCCTTCATGTGTGTATACATTGTTTCAAATTGTTTTTAATGTTGTGTTTCAATGTTGTAACCCACCCGGGGACCTTATGGTGAAGGGTAGGAAATGAATGAATAAATGAGTGAATGAATGAATGGCACAATCATTTATTTATTGTCTGTGGACAGAAAGCAACAACAGTGCATACCAATCATAGAATTGTAGAGTTGGAAGGGACCCTGAGGATCATCTTGTCCCAAACCCCTGCAATGCAGGAATGTGTAGCTGTCCCACACGGGGAACCTGCAGTCTTGGGTTTATCAACACCTTGCTCTAACCAACTAAGCTATCCAGGCTTAATCCCATTAACTGGATTGATTTCTCTTCTGGACATTAGACAAATAAGCAAACACTGGCAATTTCCCCTCCCATTTCCACTTTGCTTGAAATTCTTCAACATCCCTAAATCTAAATTCCCTATTGTTTTTCTAGTTCAAGGGAAGGCTGAACCAATCTCACCCCTGAAAATAACTATGTGTAGACACTGACATGGACCCCAGGACAAAGTGGTTTTTATTTTTAACAGATTCAGTCACTGCAGAGCCAGTCTTTAAAGCAGTTGCATGCGGGCAACACTTTCACCTATAGACTTACCATTCCGTAATTTTTCCAAGTCTTCCTTTTTCTCTATAAATTCTTCTTCAAACTGAAACAAAGCAGCCAATATATATATATCTATATATCCTAACTTTACAAGTCTTTGCTGACCTTGCAGAGAATAATTAACAGATACTTATCTTTTATTTTAGTTTAAGAGCAGCTGATGCTTCTTGGAATTTTTGAAAAACTGCAAGATGCAGTACAGCTTTTAAATTTCATTTTTCTCAATCCGTACCCTTCATTTGAACTGATTTCTATTAGAGAAGCAGTGGTTGGGTGAAAATGGGCTCTTTGTCTTTGCAGAAATCAAATGCTCAGACTCTACACAATGCATATTTTCTTTACTATTTTTGTTTTCATTGTGCAGATTAGCCACGCTATTCATATAAGCATATTCCTAAAAATGTCTTCAAAAGACAAGCCATTCAACCCATTGAAATAAGACCCAGACGGAGGACTCTGAACCATTGCCAGACATCCAATTCCCCTTGGCCCTCTTTCTGTAGCTGTGGAATACAGTCGTACCTTGGAAGTCGAACACTTTGCAAGCTGAACAGTTTGGCCAGTTTGCAAACGTTCTTTGGAACCCGAACGTCCGACGTGGGTTCTGTGCCTTCCTGCAGCCAATCGGAAGCCACGCCTTGGTTTCTGAATGTTTTGGAAGTCGAACAGACTTCCAGAACCGATTCCGTTCGACTTCTGAGGTATAACTGCATTATGATTCACCTCTCTTACTGGTGACATTTCTATTACATTGGAAATTATATATTCTAAAATATAGCTGCAGGTTCCCTAGCAGATGATTGATGCTGCAGTCCTATATCTGCTGAGTGCGACTCACATCTAAGTGAACATGCATTGGCTTCCGCTGTATGAGTCAATATGAAAAAATGGTCTTTTAATTGTCAGCCAAAGTGTTTGCTTTCTGGGGACGGATATTTCCCATACAGCGTATGAGCGCCCAGAATTGAGAAAACCACACCCTTAAAAGTGGGTGGAAATTGGCTTCACTGCTTGAGTGACATAAGCAGGAGCATATTTTTGAAAGACTACACTCTATTTCATCATATGCTTCAGTAGTTTTCCTGAGCTGAAGCACACATATATAAATGCATATAAGAATATATACAGGAACATGCGCACACACAGTTATGTTGATAAGACATCTGTGGCATCTTCTGCTTCCTGTGCAGAAGAGGCTATTTATTTTGGCCATTGTTGGTTCATCTACCCAGCATTGCCCCGCCTCTTCCTTTTATGGGCACACAAACCTCTACTCCAGCTGCTGCAAGCAGCCAACGGATGGATTCCATCTTCCCTCTCCCGTTAGCATAGTGCAACTTGGGTTTTCCAGCCATCGTTTTGGGTAGTCTTCTACTCTGTCAAGCACAACACAATTGACGAAACAGCTTCACAGTAGAACTGTATTGTGGACTGTCCTAAAAATGGAAGCGGGAGAAAGATGCATTAGAATAGGGGGAAATGGCCATGAGTCGAACAGGCAGAACATTCAGTGTCGAAAGTGCTGGGATACAACTCAGCTTGTACTAAAGGCTGGTAGGTTTGCACACAATGTTGTGGTTAAGATTTGATAGATAGAAGAGAGGGTTCAGCAGAAGGAAAGAAACAACAACTCCATGGAAAAAGATATTGGAAGTTGACAAAAATATGAAATTGTGTTTTGATTGTATATGCTAAAAATGTTGAAATGTAATAAAATATAATCCAAGAAAGGAAGAAAGCTTCAAGCTTTCTATTTTTTTTTTATGAGATATTTATTAAGAGTTTAGAAATTACAGAAAAAGAGAGCAGGAAAAGAAAACAATAAAGAATTAGACAAAACAAAACAATACCTTACAATACATCAAAGAAAAAATAAAACAATACAATAAAACAACAAAGAAAAATAGAACAAAAACATTTAAAAACACATCCAACCTTTCCATATCTTTACCTTTCATATACTTGTTTCCTCAACCTCCTCACACCTCCCTTTTTTGCATTCTAGTTCAATTAGCTATTTCAGCAAGTCCTTTCCATCTTTCTCAATTTTCGTTCTAAAATTTAACTTGAGACACTCTAACCTTAAATTTTCCACTTCGGTCCATTAACGATCTATTTTTACTTAATTCTTTATAACATTTCTGCTAAAACCATATAACTTCATTCCAGCATCCTTCTAACATTCATTAATTTTGCAATATTTCTGTAAATATACTTTAAATTTTTTCCAATCTTCTTCCACCGACTCTTCTCCCTGGTCTCGAATTCTGCCAGTCATTTCCGCCAGTTCCATGTAGTCCATCAGCTTCATCTGCCATTCTTCCCTGGTGGGTAGATCTTGTGTCTTCCAATACTTTGCAATGAGTATTCTTGCTGCTGTTGTAGCGTACATAAAGAAAGTTCTATCTTTCTTTGGCACCAATTGGCCGACCATGCCCAGGAGAAAGGCCTCTGGTTTCTTCAGAAAGGTATATTTAAATACCTTTTCATTTCATTATAGATCATCTCCCAGAATGCCTTAATCTTTGGGCATGTCCACCAAAGGTGAAAGAATGTACCTTCAGTTTCATTACATTTCCAACATTTATTATCAGGCAAATGATAGATTTTTGCAAGCTTGACTGGTGTTATGTACCACCTATAAATCATTTTCATTAAATTCTCTTTTAAGGCATTGCATGCCATAAACTTCATACCAGTGGTCCATAACTGTTCCCAGTCAGCCATCATAATATTATGTCCAACATCTTGTGCCCATTTAATCATAGCAGATTTCACCATTTCATCTTGAGTATTCCATTTCAACAGCAAGTTATACATTCTTAACAAATTCTTAACTTTAGGATCTAACAATTCTTTTTCCAACTTTGATTTTTCCACCTGGAAGCCAATTTTTTAATCCAAATTATACGCCTCCATTATTTGATAATAATGGAGCCAATCTCGTACTCTGTTTTTTAATTTTTCAAAACTCTGCAGTTTTAATCTTTCACCCTCTTGTTCCAAAATTTCCCAATACTTCGGCCATTTGGCCTCCATATTGAGTTTTTTCTGAGCCTTTGCTTCCATTGGTGACAACCATCTTGGGGTTTTATTTTCTAACAAATCCTTATATCTTATCCAGACATTAAACAGTACTTTTCTTACAATATGGTTTTTAAACGCTTTGTGTGCTTTAACCTTATCATACCACAAATATGCATGCCAACCAAATACATTATTAAAACCTTCCAAACATCCATGTTTTCAAGAAGCATCCATTCTCTCAGCCAACAAAAAGCGGCTGATTCATAATAAAGTTTTAAGTCTGGCAGGGCAAATCCACCTCTTTCTTTAGCATCAGTTAGTATCTTAAATTTTATACGAGGCTTCTTGCCCTGCCAGACAAATCTGGAGATATCTCTCTGCCACTTCTTGAAACAGTCCATTTTGTCCAAAATAGCTTCAAGCTTTCTAGACTGTTCTTTAACCTGACCTGTCCTTGGGTTCTCAACTGATCCTTTCATAGTTGCTGACCTTATTTTCCTACTTCTTCATCCTTACCTTGGGAGATGAGACATCTTTATATGTTTCTCCTACTGAGAACAAAGAACAAGCGAGGCTCCTTGCAACCTGTGTTAGACAGAAGTACGATCTTTCCTATCAAGCATGTTGTTGTTGTTTAGTCGTTTAGTCATGTCCGACTCTTCGTGACCCCATGGACCAGAGCACGCCAGGCCCTCCTGTCTTCCACGGCCTCCCGCAGTGAGGGAGTCTTCTCTTCTCATGAGGTGGCCAAAGTATTGGAGCCTCAGCTTCACGATCTGTCCTTCCAGTGAGCATTATTTCCATTAATCAACTTGGCTTTCTAATTTTCCTAAACTCATCAAGTCTCAGTGCAATTGCATCGATGGTAAAACATGCTCCCCCAAAACAGAGATTTATTTTTAAGCTCAACATCTGCAGTTAAACTCCAACTCTCATGCTTCAGCAGGTAGACTTTCCCCCACTACTTTAGCTTCATGCTGAGGGTGAAATTTATCCATTGGGTTTTTGCCTCTTCTGAAGCTGTTCAATGCACAAAGCACCAGCAGCAACAGCCTTAAAACTGAGGTGTTGAACAATTGCACACATGTCTGGTTCTCTGCTGTTCTTTAAAAAAATGTTTTTGGATCTTTACATAGAGTGAACTATGCCCCCCATCCAACTTTTTGTAGCCTGATGCCACAGATGCTGCTCTTTCCTTGTCCCTCTTCCAGATTTGGATTGGATGGGGAGAGGGTCAGAAAGAATCTCTCTGGGGGGCACCTGTAATTTTAGAGGCTTCCGACTGAGGATTCATTCCTTCTGGATTTTAGCACATTGTAGCATGACATTGCAATAAGTTAACCATTGACCAGAAGTATGCATGTATGAACTGGTCCATTTCATAGGGATAGCTATTGCAACTAGACTGCCAACTTCTGAACAACTTCTGCCAAGCAAGCACCTTTATTTAGGTAATCATGTCACTGACTCTCCCCAAGTTTTAAAGAAGATTGTTAATTTTGCATGTCTGCTATTGTAATCGATCCTATATGTTTGGCAGTTATAGATATATTCTTTCCAAAGTGTGTAACGAGAATCAGAGGGTCCTCTTAAACAATGTGGACTCCCCACAATGCTCCAGCATGAGTGGCTGATGTGGGAATGAAGAGGAGTAGAAACTTTCCTTCTAATGGATTCTTGTTAGAAGGCAGAGCAGCCAAAGTTATTGAGTTTTCTTTAGGAAATCACGAGCTTAAATAACCTGTAAATAGGACATTATGGGACGCAGGAGGCGCTGTGGGTTAAACCATAGAGCCTAGGAATTGCCGATCAGAAGGTTGGTGGTTCGAATCCCCGTGACGGGGTGAGCTCCCATTACTCGGTCCCTGCTCCTGCCAACCTAGCAGTTCAAAAGCACGTCAAAGTGCAAATAGATAAATAGGTACCGCTCTGGCGGGAAGGTAAACGGCGTTTCCGTGCACTGCTCTGGTTCGCCAGAAGTACCTTAGTCATGCTGGCCACATGACCCAGAAGCTGTACGCCGGCTCCCTCGGCCAATAAAACGAGATGAGTGCTGCAACCCCAGAGTCGGTCACGACTGGACCTAATGGTCAGGGGTCCCTTTACCTTTAAATAGGACATTGCGGCGGGGGGCAGGCTTCTGCTGTGTGTGTGTGTGTGTGTGTGTGTGTGTGTGTACAGAACCTCAGATAACTGAGTCCATTCAATGCTTTTCAATATTATTTGTGGACCTAGAGGGTCCCCTTCAGTATGCCCTCCCCCTCCCCTTGACTATGCCCATGTTTCCTTCCATCAACTTCCTTAAGTTATCCTAGAACTGAAGTCTGATTTTGGTTAATCCTTCCATCCCTTACACCACCTACAAGGGATAGGGAATTTCTCTTGAGTTAACCTGCCTTAGATCCAAGTCAATATATCATGAAATTTCATGATAATTGGATTAAATATTGGATATATATTGGGACTAAACTTTAAACGACACTGGCGGGATTGGAATAACTCTAACAGTAAAAGGTTATTATGTAAAAGAGATAAAATACGTGAATATAAAATCTATTTGATACTTACCAAAGGAGTGGAAGGAAGTTCAAGGCTTGGCAGAGCCTAAAATAAATGTATTTATGATTTATGGAATGAATATATTATGTGTAATTTAAGTATTGGACTTTGTATAAGTTTATATGTATAATACCAATAAAAATTTATCAGTGAAAAAAGAAAGAAAGATCCAAGTCAATATAAACATCAAAGCTCCCCTCTTCTCTTGGCACTGCAAATGCAATGCGGGCAAAGCATAACCAGCCCTCTTAAAACTGATAATAATTTTCAGGCCTAGCCTAGTGTTAAGTGTGTTCACTAAGAAAGTACCACTAGACCAAGCTACTCTCAAGTGTGCGCACAAAGCTTCACAGCATTAGAACACATTATTTTTAGACTTCTTAATCTGCAGAGGTGATTGCTGCCAACTAGGAGCTTCTATTCTTGGCAGCCAGAGCACCAGAAAACCGACAGCTTTTCTCTCACTCTGCCCCACTGACAAAGCAGTGGGCTTTCTGGTTGAATTTCTGGCTGCCATGCAGTTACAGTACAATAGTCCTTCCAGGGAAAGCTCACCCCTGTCTCATGATATACTATTAATGTAAGCTTGTTCCTGCAATGCTTCATTTTCTGGACTCCTCCTGCTTATCCCCCAGACCTCAAAATGGTGGGTGTTGTTCTCTTTATCCAGCCACTTCCCGCTCCTCTTCCCACCTACCATTTTTCACATCTCAGGAGAGCAACCTCTGCTTCTTTCAACTTCTCCGTTTGCAGTTACCCCACAGTATTTCCTTTCCTCTATCCAACTTGCTGACCCAACTAATTGCCCCTGTTGTCTTTCAGGATTCCACTTCTACGTCTCAAACCCCTTTCCCTTCTGCCCCTTCCTCTCTTTTCAACACCCGACCCTTCTGCTTTCTAAAAGCCCCCTGCTTCTCCATCGCTCACCTCCACTAAAATCAAAGTGCAACCAAATTGCATTTAAGGTGTGCCAAACTGGATAGAAATGGCAGTTTGCCACCTTTGGTTCCTCATCCCTCTTTTCAATTATTACCAGATGACTGAGTGTGTAAGTAATCCACCCCCCCCACCCCACCCCAGTACTAACCTCCAACCAAACCTGAATCCACTTCCAGGGTCTAGGCAAAAGAAACTGAGCTCTGCCTTTTCTTTGCTCGTTTTTGTTCCACCTTCTCTGAAGATTTGCATCTACGAGAAGATAAAGCTGCTGCTGCTGCTGCTGAACAAATCCAAGCAGTTTTGCCTGGCTGCTAAATCAGGGGGGTTTCCCTTGCCCACCTTTTTGCTGAGGGGGAGGAGGAAGTCCCCCCAAGGCCAGGCCTTTTCACATTCCTGAAGCGTAGCTATGCTACTCTGTTACACAGCACAGCGCAGCACAAAAGACCCTTGTGGAAAGTTTTAAAAATACCAAATATATGTATCCACACAGAGAAACAAATCCATCTGTGCTACAGTCACACAGACACTGGGGAAAAAACATCTAGTCAATTAGTCGTCAATGCACAAGACACTTTTTGTCCTATTATTTACTTTATTTATCTGCAAAATTCTGTAAGATTAGCCCATCTCAAATGGATTATTTTCTGCTCACAGAATCTGACTCCCCATGCATGCAAAGCAACACACAGCATCTGTGGGCTATGATACTGTTATAGAGCCTGTTCGGGAATACTAGAATTTAATAAACAGTAGTAATTAGGTAATATCAGGGATAGGAAGGGAAAATATAATCTGCAGACATTGTGCCAGACAAAGAAGCACAATCTTGGATAAATGCCTTCAACACCTGGAAACTCGCACCACTTGGAAATTGGGTGGCATGTAGCGATATTTGATACTAGAGTCTTGAGATCTCCTGACTTGGATGAAAGTTAGTATAAGACTTTTAGATAAGGCTTATCAGATGCTCAAGTTTTGAGTTTCTATTGCAAGGAATTTCCGGTTTGTACCAGCAAGGAATAGACATTTGGAGCTCGAACTCCAGGAGAGCCACCTGATTTGTGGTTTTGCAGCCTATATAACACCGGTCCCGAAAGATCTACATTGGTTCCCGGTATGTTTCCGAGCACAATTCAAAGTGTTGGTGCTGACCTTCAAAGCTGACCTCTGGCCCAGTATACCTGAAGGAGCGTCTCCACCCCCATTGTTCAGCTCAGACTCTGAGGGCCTTCTGGTGGTTCCCTCACGGTGAGAAGTGAGGTTACAGGGAACCAGGCATAGGGCCTTCTCGGTAGTGGTGCCCGCCCTCTGGAACGCGCTCCCATCAGATGTCAAGGAGATGAACAACTATCTGACTTTTAGAAGACATCTGAAGGCAACCCTGTTCAAGAAAGTTTATAATGTTTGATGTTTTATCATGTTTTTCATATTCTGTTGGGAACTGCCCAGTGTGGCTGGGGAAACCCAGCCAGATGGGCAGGGTATAAATAAATTATTATTATTATTATTATTATTATTATTATTAACTGAGTAGTCTCGCCCAGTCCCGTAGTTGGGGTGGGGTGAGCAAGAGGGGGGCCATTGAGTGTCCCAGCCTTTGTGTGTATGTACACAGGAGCGACGGGTAAAATGGCATCAAAGCAAACATGCACAGGTATTTATTTATATACTGCTTAATGATGGGGTATTGTTTGGCCTGTCCTGAACTTGTCATGAATTGAGAATACATACCGTATTTTTCACTCCATAAGATGCACCCAACCATATGACGCACCTAGTTTTTAGACCAGGAAAACAAGAAAAAAATATTCTGAATGAAACAGTGGATGTATGATTTTTGTGGTTCATGCTGTGTCCACAGACATGTGATCTGATGGTGAGTTTGGGGTAGCCCAATGCAAAAATCCTGAGGATCCATGTGGATCCGTGCTTTGTAACCACGTTTCTGCACCATTGCAGCCCCAGGCAACAGTGGGTGCGTGATTTTTTTGGTGCAGGCTATAGCCATGGACATGCTATGTGATCTGATGGTGAATTTGGGGTGAATTTGGAGTGACCCAATGTAAAAATCCTGAGGATCCATGGGCTTTTACCTCCCCCCTCCCAGGCAGCCTCCACTAGCATCCCTCATCTCTCTTCCGATCCCAATGATCAGCTGTTTCCTTTCAACTCTCCCTTCCCTCTTGTTTGCCTTAGTGTCTTTTCCTTAGCTGGAGCAGTTTTTTGCTCCTCCTTTTCTTCTAATTTCTCTCCTTATTGCTTTAGTCTTCCTGTTTCCCCCCTTTGCAAGTTCGCTGTCTTTACCTCCCCCCTCCCAGGCAGCCTCTTTTATCTCTAGCATCCCTTATATCTCTCCCCGATCGGCAAACAATCAGTGGCTTTGTTTCAACACCCACTTCCCTCTTTCCAAAATAAAAATAAAAAAATAAAAAGCTTGATCTGCTTTTTGCCCCTGGGCAATTCGGCTCCAGGGACCACACATTCGCTCCATAAGACACACAGACATTTCCCCTTACTTTTTAGGAAGAAAAAAGTGCGTCTTATGGAGCGAAAAATCCGGTACATCTCACATAATATGACAAGCTTGGAAAGAAAATGGGAGCCTGAGTCAAATGCCAATTACCCTAAGGAATTAGCAGTAAGGGAAAGAGTTGTCTGCAATGTTCAGCAGCCATCAAGAGAGCTTCAACTAATGGAAGTTTCAGGTTGGTCAAAGTCCAACTTAAAGCAATCAGAACCCAATATGAACTGAGATCTCAATCAGAGTATATCTGTATGCAGGGCTCCCCCCCCCCACCAGCCAGAACTCAGGTCCAGCACCTCTCAGGTGGGCACCATCGCCATTACAAAAGAACAAGGGAGGTGTTCGTGGTGAGCTCTGGCTCCTCTTTTTCTAGAAAAATAGCACTGGCGGTACTTGTTGATGAAATGGGAGGATTGGGCTGATCTTAGTTTGATAGGATGAATCATGAAAAGTTGTGGTTAAAACTTTGGAACTAAAACATAGGCTGTCATTTATTTACACTTATTAGGATATTATACTTTGAAATGTGTGTGAGAGTGAGAGTAGGTGTAATTATTTGCCACTTACAGTTACTATGATTCAATAATGAAACTACAAGTGATAAACTTTATGTGTACTCAAACTTGATACGTACACTAAACCCAGTTATTTCAGGCATGCCCCTTTGGAGAGGGAGGTCAACATTCGAGCTCCATTGCAGGTCTATAATCGTAGGTAGGTTACCTGTTTGTGTCTAAATTTAATTCACAGAAGGCTTATCCATGAATGTGGGCCTCCTATGTGATTTAGACTTTTTGCAATAGAAATCCAGAGACAATGGTGTTTTAGATATGCAAAGAATAAAAGTGCCATACTAGAGCTTTGCTTATGCTTCAGTAAGCATACTGAGTGGCCCACCACATCCATATAATTGGAGGCTGAAGATGCAAGTATAGTTCTTGGCTGAATTAATGGTACAACAGTGAAGTGCTCCAGAACTTCTCAACCTATAAAACAACCAAGTCCAGGTTTGGGAGAAGTGCCTGTTGCCATGCAATGCTGTGTGCCTCAACACCAAAGCGCAAGCGCGTGCGCGCGCGCACACACACACACACACACACACACATATATACACACCATACACACAGGGGCATTTTAAACCTTGGGGAGCTTCTGTTTTATATCAGGAATAGTCCCCGAAAACTGAGAAGAACATTCCTTGAGGATAACATGGTGGACTGGTAAACAATTGATTTGGCATGAGAAACAACAACACCCTATTTGTATTAGTTGTATAGATAGATAGATATTGTGTTTTAATATTGTATATTGTACGGGTTGTATATTCTTTTATCTTTTTCCGGTGATTGATATGACCTTGATGGTTGAAGCAACAGCAACAAACAATAAAGAGAAACAGAGTTCTTATTGCCTGCATCATGTGTGCTTAAGTGAGGATAGTGTTTGCAAAAAATTATTTGAGTTGTTATTTCATCTGTTAACAGTTAAGGACTCTTTTATAACTCAGGGCAGCTTGCTGAGGCGAAACAGTGTTGTCCCATTTCAGTTTTAGTGCTTTGCCTGTGGCTACAATAGTGCATCAACTATGATGCTAGTCGTCAATTAAGTGGAAAACTTCCATTGCCTTTTTAATACCCTTTTCATCTATTGGTGGTTTTCTTGGGCTACCGGGCTGCAGAAATTTCTTGACTGTAGGTATGTTGCTTATTCTCTCTTTAAAAGCCTAAGAGAGAGAGACAGCAAAATATTTTAGAAGAGAAAAGGAGAAATGGTGGCATTCCCAAATAATCATTTGTCATCTACGGTTACAAAAGTTTCATGGTCAACAGTTTCATTAAACTACAAGCAAGAAACTTCAGATCTACTCAAAACCCAATTATGTCCCTTTGAAAAGGGAGCTCTATTGCAGGCTTATAATCGTATGTGGGTTAACCTGTATGTGTCTACATTTAATTCACAAATGGCTTGTAGAAACCCAATGATCAGGGTGGATGGGAGCTGCATTGCACAATATCTGGAGGATTTCACATTCTTGACCTGGTAGCTAATGAGAACTTAAAGAGCCAGGGAACCTGTTCACTGCCTATCTTTTCACTTTTATAATAAGTTGTGAAATGGTGTTACTTACCTTTAAAAGAGGGAATTTGGCGAGAATATCAGCCTTCAGCTCTTCCACTGTTAAAATGGCTTCAAGCAATTGAATATCTGCTCTGCTGAGCTGATTTCCAACAAGAAAATTTTGCCCATGATCTTTGAAGACCTACAGAGCATGAAATAAGGTAAAAGGAAAAAAGAAAAGGTAAAGGACCTCTGGATGGTTAGGTCCAGTCAAAGGCAACTATGGGTTGTGGCACTCATCTTGCTTTCTGACCGAGGGAGCTGGCGTTTGTCCACAGATAGCTTTCTGGGTTATGTGGCCAGCATGAAATATATTGAGAGCACTTTAGGTAAATACACAAAAATACGCAAAGAGAAGAATGTGAATTCTGACCACTTTTGAATTATCTAACACCCAGATAATATTGCATCATGAGATGAAGAGGATTTGTATAAGTTCTGATGTATGAGTTCCAACAAACCACTGCCTAACAAAGAGAAGATGGAGCATGACCTTCCTTCTCCCCAAATCACTGCTTATCTTGTTTCCATGGGGTGGTGCAGATGCTGAGATAAGAAGTTCATGTCATAAATGAATACTGTGTGTGATTCCTGGTCTTCTCTCACACAGCTTTTTAAAACTAAAGAGTTGCTATTAGAAGTTTGGAAATGCAAGGAATAAGGAAATGGTAGCTCAGTCAGTAAGAACGTGAGGCTCCTAATCTCAGGGCCATGGGTTCGAATCCTATGTTGGGAAAAGATTCCTGCTTTGCAGGGGTTGCAATAGATGTCCCTTGTGGTCCCTTCCAACCCTGCAATTCTATGCTTCTATGTCTTTATGTTGGACCAAGCAGTCCTATCAACATTACAGTTGAGCCTAGGTGACTTCTCTTAAAAGGGTTGTAAGTTTCATTCTTTCTTCGCCTCGTACCTTTTCGAAGACTGGGAAGTATCTGGTGGTGGCTTTTTCAATAATATCTGCAAACGCCTTCTCCCTCTTGTCAGCTGGCTTGAAAGGAAGCATTGTTATTGATTGATTCATATCCATAGTAGCTTCACAGTACGTATCAATCCTGTAGGAAAGAGAATGTTGCCATGACCGGATCACTCAGTAGCAGGCTAATTGCTTTGTCAAGTTGGAAATGTGATGGTTATAATAAAACTCATTTGTCAATAGTAGAAAGGTGTTTCCTCATCTCAGTTATTCAGATAATTACAAGAAAAACAACAGCAGTAGCAGTAATGATAATGATAATGTAAAACGAACAGAGCCAAAAACCTGTCAGGGAGGGGAGGGGCAATGAATATTGTAGTAGCATCACTGGCACAAAATGTGTGATATCCCAGCAGATAAACAGGTGCAATTATCTGGTATGTTTGAGAAAGGGTATTTTTCCTTGGAAAGAGCCTCTCCCTGTGTTTTTAATACATGTGCTTCTTGGCGTACTATTATCTTCAACGGCTACACTTTTTTCTAAGGAAGAGCCTTATGTCAAAACTCAGATTTATACATCCGCAAAAGAAAAATACAACGCCTTCCAGTGATCCAGGCTACTGGGATTACATGAAAGACTAGAGTATGAACTTTGGAGAAACCACGTTGATTTCAAAGGAACCAGTCCACATGAATTTTGCTGGGACTGAGAGGTCAAAATAGCTCATACTGGACCCTTTCTTGCCCAATCTGACAGTAGAGATGAAACGTACTGACTCATAAGTCATCAGTAGATCATATGATAGACCAGAGATTTCCTCTTAAATCATACACAGCAAACCAAAACGTGCATTTATGAACCAAACTTAAAGGAATGCTACAGTACCATGCTCTCTGCTTCATGTCCTTCCCGTAGAGATTATATTTGGCTGCAATGTAGTTGAGAATAGCTCGGCTCTGCACCATCTTCATCCCATCCATTTCCACCATGGGCACTTGCTGAAAGAGCAGGTCTCCACCTTGTGAAAGGAAAGTGAAAAATCAATCCATCCTCCCAGGTAATGACTATGGAAAGTAAATTTTCAGGAGCATCTCACAAGCCATGCTTTGATTTTGAGTCTTTACTTTTACATTGTGCCTTTGCGATAATCATGTTTGCCTCTGCTTTCCCCTCAAAACCTTTTTGCAGAACATGTGCTAAATCTGTACAGCAAGCACACATTGGAAACTAGTTTTGTATGTTATTTAAGATACTTCTGCTCTCTAGCTAAAAAAAACAAGCAAACCATTCTTCAGAATGCAGAGTTGAGTGGCAAAATAACCAGATGACAACATTGTATATAAAAGTAATATAACCAGATCACAACAGTGTATTCACACATATTTTTGCCTTAAAGTGTGCACACATAACTGAGTGTGCACACATAACTGAGACTGCACAATGCAGAAATGGAGAAACAAGTATATTTAGAAAACACCTGCTACTAAGGCTGAGATCCTATACACCCTTCCCTGGAAGATAGTCCCACTGAACTCAGTGTTGTCCACATGTGAGTAGGCACACGTAAAATTGCACAGTGACTTTTCTGAGTTGGCTATCTGTTCTTCATATTGTACAGAGAATCTACCCTGCTCTATTAACTTCAATTGGAGGTTTGCCATAAACCTGGACAGGAGGAGGGTAGGGCTTCACTGCAATCCTGAGGTTTGTGTGCTTATCATTGTAAATGTCTTGAGAGGTGAATAAATAGAAATTATACCCATTTCTATCGGTTGTATCTTATAAAGTTGTTTTTAGAACAGACCTACTGAAATCAACAGACTTGCATTTGTCATGTGTACTGATTTCAGGAGGTCTATTCTGATCTGACTAGGGATAGGAAAATACCCAGTCCACAACTGGGTTATAACATATAACATATAAAACTCTCTCTCTCCCTCTCTCTCTCTCTCTCTCTCTCTCTCTCTCTCCCTCTCATATAACATTCAGATGACATACTTACCCTGCCTTAACTTTTCTAGATCTTCTTTCTCCTCAATAAGTTGTTCTTCAAACTAGAAAACAAAAGAGGCAAAATATTTCAGGGGCATCATGAAATAATTTCAGGCTCTAAACTACTTCCAAACCACTGAAGGAAATTTGATGAAAACCTTTTAAGTATTCTCCCCTTTCACAGTCAACTTTTTGGGAACAAAAAGCAGTTGCCTCGGTGTGAAAGTTGGGCCAGCTTTTTCCCCTCTGTCTGGGACAAAACAGCAAATGTTTCCCATGCAGAAATCAAGGTAGATACTAGTACTACAGGCTGGTCACGTTACCTTAGCACACGAAGCATAAAAAAATCCTACAATCATGTCTCTCCCTCCTTAGCAGTAAAAGTACAATAATAATGAATGGAAATAACACAACAATCTGCTGCCCTTTCCAGGATAGCTAAAATCAACCGCCTGAGGCAGGTGCTTCCCCTTGGCAAATGGTAGGGCTGGAACCAAAATTAGAAACTGCCAGAAATGGATTCTTAGTCTACATGCACACACACACCAAGAAAATAGGGACGTCCCATTCCATAATGATGTTGGGATTTTGACTACGTGTTATTCTGTTCAGCTTCACACAGAGTCAATTAAGAATTGGCAGACAGCCAAGGATGACTGAGCAGAAAGGAGTAATTCTGCCTGGAGATATGGAAGCTTGGGAACAGCTTTACCATTGGTTGAAGTCTCACACAGGCATAATGATTTATGACCTACTGACTGGAATGTGTTGTTGGTCAGTGTGGTGTTCTGAGAGTCGTTTGGAGTTTGTTAAGAGAGAGCTAGTTAAGAACCATTTCTGTTCTTGTATATAGTAACTTGTAGAGTCTGCTGTAAATAATAAACATATCAAAGTAACCTAGTTACTAGTAGCAGCATTTGTTCCTGCTTCGTCCATCCTGCCTGCAACTGATTGCTTTCTGGAACTCTGCGTATGCTCTGCTAAGGTCTGGCTAAGGTCCTGCAACAGGTCAAAGTCGCAAAACACCAATAAATGATAATTTTATTGTTTATACCACATCTTACTGGGTTGCCACAGCCACTCTGGGTGGCTTCCAACACATATAAAAACATAAGAAAACATTAAACATTTTAAAAAAACTTCCTCATACAGAATTGCCTTCAGACAGTTCGGGAGTCAGATAACTCCATATCCTTCAACATTTCTCCAATGAAAATAGGGACATCCTAAGAAAAAGCGGGACATTCTGGTATCAAATCAGAAGCCAGGACAGCTTCTCTAAATCCAGAACCTCCCTGGAAAACATGGACACTTGGAGATTCTGTACACACCATACATTTAGAGCTCTTGGAAAGCACATGGCTTCCCACGAAGAATCCTGGGAGGTGTAGTTTACCCCAGTTCTTGTTACATAACAACGCTGAACAAACAGCAGTTCCCTTGATTCTTTTTTGTGGGTGGGGGAAAGGTGCTTTCTCAGAGAAATTCTGAAGACAAACCAACCTCGACTCCTGCTGCAGCCAACAGCCACCTTATGGTTTCCATAAGGCCTCTTCCATTGAAGTAGTAAAGCTTAGGTTTCCCAGCCATGTTCCTAAGTGTTTGCTTTCCTGTTACGATGAGAGACAGAGAGAGATTGAGAGGTCATGTTTGATAGGGGAACCACTGCAGAGCAGGACAACTGTTCAAAATGGTGCTCTGGTGATTGCTTACAGCAAGAAAGGATTTCATACTAAAGCCTTCTGCTTTTTTTAAAAAAACAACAACTCAATTTCATAATCACGAAGTGCAAGCAGATGTAGCATAATATTGCACAGATAAAATAGGAAACAAGAGTTAAACCCGTCCTCCCAAACATCCATGACTATTTAACCTCCATTAGATGGCCATTGTCTTTGCTCCTAGAGAAACAAAATGGCAACTCCCCCCTTGTACTCGCACCACTGCCATGGCCATCAACTGCCTTGCATCTCCTTTCCCCCTTTAAAAAAAAATATGTGCACTAAACATGGTGAGACGTGAAGAAAAGAGAGAAAAAGAGAAAGAGAAACAGCACCCATGTAGAAGGGAAAGTAAAGGGGGGAGGGGAAGAAAACCCAAAACAGTATACTTTACAAATTTGTTGTTGTACTTCACCAGATCCTAACCTATTACAGTATTTCTAAGAATGGATTCCAAATATTGTTGAATTTGTCCATGGGAAGTCTGCGTTCATATGCAAGTTGTTCATATGTTGCAAGTTTGTATGTCTTCAATCCAATCGTAGAAGGGAGCCGCGTTTTTATTTCCCCAATTCATCAGTATCTGTCCTTTTGCCATGGTAAGGGCACAGAGAGTCATCTCATATTGTCACAAAATGTGCTGGGTATATAATTCAAGAGGATATTTTGCTCTGTAAATGTAAAGTTGTTCCGTACAGTTCTGTTGATAGTTTCAGTTACCTTCTGCCAAAAATATTTCAATATAGGACAATGGAAAAACATATGTTTTAGAGAAGCATTATTCCTCTTGAATCTCCAACAGTTAGATACCTTAGATAGCCCTTTTTAAAACAAACATAATGGGGTCCAGTATATTCTAAATATTATTTTTTGTTGTATGAGCCTCAATTTAAGGTCCACACACCCCCTTGTTATAGCACTTTAAAAGCGTTCACCACTGTGTGGTCAAAATTGAGACTTCCAATTCTTTATTCCATTCCTCCCTCAATACCTGTATATCAAATTGGTTTGCTAGTAACAAAGATTTATATATGTTGATGGATGGCTTTTTTTTTTTTTGCATAAGAATTAATCAGCTGCTTCAATATCTCTGGGGTCTCTGGGGCTGTAAAAGCTGCTGGTCCGTAGATGGTGATTAGCAGGTGTTTGGAGATATTGCCATTGAGCCTTTATAGGTAATCTGTATTTGTCTCTTAAGATAGAATATGTATAAAATTCATTCTCTTCGTTTATCAGCTGGTCTAACATTAATATACCCAAATTCATCCACCTCTCCCATACGACCATTTCTTTCCCAATGTTTTTTCTTTCTTTCTTTTTTCTAGTTAATTCTTTCCCGATTTTTAAAGATGGGTTTTTGCCACAAAGTCATTTTGTTGTGGGAGAAAAGGTCAAATTTATATTTTTTGGGACATGTGGTACCATATTGTTTGAAATGATGTTATTGTTTCGATAGTATCTTGAGTATTAATGTATTTAGATCCAAGTGCCGCCCAACTATCTAAAGGTGCTACATAGGAATATTCCAAAGTACAGTCATACCTTGGGTTACAGACGCTTCAGGTTGCGCATTTTTAGGTTACGGATGCACCGAAACCCGGAAGTACCGGAACGGGTTACTTCCAGGTTTCGGTGCTCGTGCATGCACATAAGCGCTAAATCGCGCTTTGCGCATGCACAGAAGCACTGAATCGCAACCCGTGTGTGCGCCGACGCTGCACTGCGGGTTGCGAACGTGCCTCATGTTTGCAACCCGAGCGTCCACTGTAGCCCAATTTGGACAGTTGTTTTCAGTTATGGGTCTCCAGAACTGTGTACCTGGCAGTAAATACAGTAAGCTTGGTGGTACAGTTCTAAGTCTGGGATCCCAAATCTTCCTTCCTTTATCAATATTTGCATTTTTTGCATAGATATTCTTGGAACTGAAGATCCCCAAAGGCATTTTCTAAACAAAGATTTAATTTTGTGAAAGTATTTGCTCGATATGTGAATTGGAATTCCTCTTAAGATATAAACTAGTTTAGGTATTTGGTTCATTTTAATAGCATTGACTTTTCCCCACAGGGTCAGTTTCAATGACTCCCATCTGTCGATATCAATTGACACCTCATGATATATTTTGTTGATGTTTAATGACGCTAATTTGGATAAGTCTCGTGGTATTAATATGCCTAGATATTTAATGTTGTCTATGCAAATATGAAATTGGTATTGTTTAAACAGTTGGACCAAAAAGTTATTTCCTATTAACACCAACTCCGTTTTGGACCAGTTTATAGTATACCCAGAGATATTCCCAAAAACACCTATATTTTGCATTAATATTGGAATAGTACTGTGAGGTTTTGTGATAAACAGAAGAATCTCATCTGCAAGCATTACCGATTTGTATTCAAGTGAGTTATGAATTACATGAAATATTTCCTTATGCTGTCTAATTGGTACCCACCAGGGGTTCCAAACAGATATTAAAAAGCAAGGGCAAAAGTGGGTAGCCTTGCCTAGTACCTCTGGATTATACAAAAGGTGCAGACATAACGTCATTTGTCTTAACTCTAGAGGTAGGGGAGCAATATAATATGTTTATCCATTTTATAAAGTCTAATGGAAAGCCAAATTTTTATAATAAAGGTAAAGGTAAAGGGCCCCCGACCGTTAGGTCCAGTCGCGGACGACTCTGGGATTGTGGCACTCATCTTGCTTACCTTTTCCATATATTGTTTGTGGACCTTATCAAAAACTTTTTCCGCATCTAGAGATAGTATAGCTAAATCTTCACTGTTCCTGTTTAAATTTATCAAATCCACTACCAGCCTGATGTTATCTGCAGCTTGTCTCATCTTTATAAACCCTGTTTGGTCATTTTTAATAATAGTTGGTATTACTCTTTGGAGTCCATTTGCCAACACTGCTGTTAAGCCAATATAGATTTTGGCACTATATCCACTTTTGGCAGCTGGGTTCCTAGGATAGTTATATAGGGACCCTGCTCTCTCTCTCTCTCTCTCTCTCTCTCTCTCTCTCTCTCTCTCACAGAAAGGATCTACAACCCCCTCAACCGTGGATAACTACACCCTCTTTGTACATTCTTTTCTATAATATATGCATTCCAATAAGTGTAAATTTCAAGGGAGACGTTTGTTTGGAGATGCAGATTTGGCAAGTTTTGCCTTTCAAATGCAAAAATTTATGCTGTAAACTCTGAGATCTGTGAACGATGGGGGTTATACAAATTTAATAAGTAATAAATAATAATAAAAGGGAAAAAGAAGAAAAAAAATTCTCTCCTGTGCCTACCCAAAACTCCCTTTTCCTCTGAAGTGCGGCCAAGACTATCCTCCTGTTTAATTTTTAGAACTCTGCCTGCTGCCCAGCTCCTGCCTTTGGGCTTCTGTTCTGAGGGTTACAGTACCCCTCGCCCCCTCAAACCTTTAGTACTCTCCTGGTAAGAAGAAAACCTTTGGGCAGAGGTGAGGTCTCTGGGGATTGTCCCTGTACCACTGCTCTGTCCAGGGTACTGCTCTTGAGCTATGACTCTCCAAAGTAATTGTCTACCTTAGAATACTAACCTGCTGGAAGTCCTGCTGGACATGTGAAAGTTCTTCTCAAGCAGAGTGAGGCCTGAATTGGTGTGGCTCAAGGTTATAAAAGCTCAGAAGCTCCACCTTCTGAGACAAGAGAACAGCCTATCTGTAGCTCCCTAGTTTAAATAGAAATAAACACTTGCTTTGCCTTTCGTAACAGTTTTCACCTACAATAAGTCAGTTAATTAAAATGGGAGTAGTTTTCTCATGCTTGTAGTGTATAATATGATGCAACTCAGTTTTGGGTAAATGTATGCAGGTGCACTGAAGACAAACATTTGTGCTCTTGGTATATTCAGCCCAAATCCTTCTATCATTGAGCATGAAGTCACTGCAGCTGCTAGCTAGAAAATACAGGAAAAGGTCAAATACACAGGACTTCCCTGCTGATGACAGACCCTCCAAGTGTCCCTGTTTTCCAGGGACGCTCCCAGATTTATTTCAGCTGGGGCAACCCAGTCAGGTGGGTCGAGTGTAAATAAATTGTTGTTGTTGTTGAACAGAACTTCCCTATTTTCATCAGAGAAATATTGGAGGATATGTGAGCAGTCTGGAGGCCTGTGTCAGCTGCTTTTCTGAAGAGTAGATGAGGAAAAAAGGCAGGACCAGCTCCAGATTAAGACTAAGAAACTGAGCTCTGCCTTTTCTTTGCTCGTTTCTGTTCCACCTTCTCTGAAAATTTGCATCTACGAGAAGATAAAGCTGCTGCTGCTGCTGCTGCTGCTGCTGAACAAATCCAAGCAGTTTTGCCTGGCTGCTAAATCAGGGGGGTTTCCCTTGCCCACCCTTTTGCTGAGGGGGAGGAGGAAGTCCCCCCAAGGCCAGTGCTGAGTTACAGCCTTTTCACATTCCTGAAGCGTAGCTATGCTACTCTGTTACACAGCACAGCACAAAAGACCCTTGTGGAAAGTTTTAAAAATACCAAATATATGTATCCACACAGAGAAACAAATCCATCTGTGCTACAGTCACACGGACACTGGGGGAAAAACCTCTAGTCACTTAGTCCTCAATGCACAATACACTTTTTATCCTATTATTTACTTTATTTATCTGCAAAATTCTGTAAGATTAGCCCATCTCAAATGGATTATTTTCTGCTCACAGAATCTGACTCCCCATGCATGCAAAGCAACACACAGCATCTGTGGGCTATGATACTGTTATAGAGCCTGTTCGGGAATATTAGAATTTAATAAACAGTAGTAATTAGGTAATATTGGGGATAGGAAGGGAAAATATAATCTGCAGAAATTGTGCCAGACAAAGAAGCACAACAGCTGCACTGGCTTCTGGTTCCTTCCCAGGCATAATTCAAAATGCTGGTTATGACCTTGATGTGCTAAATGGCTCATGACTAGGTCACTAGAAGGACCATCTGAGCCTGTTTAAGGGCCCTGCTTGGATCACACTAAAGGCCTTTCTAGCCCAGCATCCTGTCTGAGTGGCCAACCAAGGGCCAATGGGAAACCTGAAAGCAGGGCATGGAGACAACTGCCATCTCCCCACACTGGAGAGACAACTGGCTGGGCCAAAAGAAAGGGCTTTCTGAGAGGCTGCATCCAAATTCTGGAATACATGAGGTTCCTTTCACATTCTCCCTTGCCACTTTCCATTGGTTGCTGAACACGTTCCTGTTCTCGCCCACTTCTACTGTGCTGGAAAAATGAAGTTTTCTATGGTGAACCCTGTTTAGAGTCCTATTTTAATAGGTTGATGTTGTTCTTATGGCTGTTGGAATACAGTGGTACCTCGGGTTAAGTACTTAATTTGTTCCGGAGGTCCGTACTTAACCTGAAACTGTTCTTAACCTGAAGCACCACTTTAGCTAGTGGGGCCTCCCGCTGCTGCCACGCCGTCTGAGCAAAATTTCTGTTCTCATCCTGAAGCAAAGTTCTTAACCTGAAGCAAAATTTCTGAGTTAGCGGAGTCTGTAACCTGAAGCGTATGTAACCCGAGGTACCACTGTATATAGTTGTTTTATTGTGGATGTCAAGGTTTTTGTTTTTTTTAAAAAAATACTATTGTGAGCCATTCTGAGTAAAAGGAATGCATTAGATGGGAAGCTATAAATATTTGCACGAATAAATAAATAAATAAGTAGCCGTGTCATTTTGCAGTACAAAAGAAAACACACTCTTGTTGAATATTTTAATGCAAGCACTTTACATACTTTAAATCAATTTACCCCCATGCACAGAAACAACATCTGCTCAACATTCCGTATTGTCACTTTTTGCTTTTTCATGAGAGGTAACAATCATTTAATTTACAGGCCTACTGGTTTTCAGCAGTCATAGTGACTTAAAAATCTGATGCAATGCTTCTTATTTACTCGCGAAAACTTCATGCACAGTTGCGACATATGCATCGTCAGGGGGCGGTTTCCTTTGGCTTCCAGGCTGCAGGAATTTCTTTATAGTGGGAAGATTGCTTACCCTTGCTTTGAAAGCCTAGAGCAAAAGATGAACAAATAAAACAAAGAAGTACCCCCCCCCAAGCAACAGAATAGCTTCTTGAGTATAGAGCAACATCCTTTTAAAAGGATTTTTGAAAATACAACCTGAAGATCTGTTTAGAAAGGAATTGTGTCAATATAAAGCAACCATCAGAAAGAGAGACTTGCCCTGCATATAAAAAAGCTAATATCCACATGGTCTGGTTGCTGCTCCCTGCTGAATGGATCCCACTCTGTGGTGCCAACATCTAAATCTGGCAAAAAAGTCCACTTCTTTGATATGGAAACCAGAGGCTGCAATCAGCTGCATAAGTGGAAGCCTCTGGGCACATTGCTGGAGCTATGTGGGAACTTCCCTAGGGTGTATCTTCCTGAGTACATGTTCCTGCTGCCACCTCCCCCCCCCCCCGAAAAATTTCACTTCTTCCCATTTGTGGAGAAATTTGCATTTTAAGGATAAATAGCATAATTCATGTTCCACGAAACAGGAAACTGTCCTTCAGCATTTGCCCTTCTTTGCATTTTGCTATGCGCTTCTCCAAATGAACTTTTCCCCTCCACAAAAATGGAATTTTTAGAGAAAAGTGCACAAAAATCGCATATACTGTGAGTGACAATGAGTTCCCCAAATGATTTCTATTAGGGGAAATCACTTGCAAAGGTGGGCGTATTAGGCTACTGCACTGGATACAATAATCTCCGTGTTAAGAAATATGCACACTAAAAAAAAACCTAGTGAAAAAACCCTGGAAAGGTAGCAAACTCCACTTGAGATTGGAAAACTGAAACAGAGACAACTTGAATCTGAGAGATTCATCTATCCCTACTCCAATCTTGATTCACAGCATTTCTAAACTGTTAATAATAGCCAGTAGTGCAGTGATCTAGGGCTTTAAAAGCAGCAGTGTTATACAAGTGGGGCACTTGCATTTACTGGCCTGAGACACCGCCACCTCCTAGTTTAAGTGAAGTCACCAGCGCCTTTGTTTGGGTGCCTGTTTGAACAGAGCAGTAGGAATTTTTTCCATTTGGCAGATTGGCTATAGCCACTTGGTTTTCGCCTACCCCTTAGCAAATCGTCACAACTTGTGAGGTGGCGGTTAGGCATTGGCTTATTGAAATGTGGGGGATGGGAGGTGTGGCCATCACCTGCCCCTCCAGGAATTGGGTATTCCGTTAAGGGAGTCTGGGGGTCCTGGATCTCGTCCGAAGTCCGCTTGAAGGGCTAGGGCCATGCCAGGACCACAGGAACCCCAGGGTGAGCTTAGGTTGGTCCCCATTGACCTTGCTCCCTTGTTTGGTTTACCCCATTGGTCGATCACCCTGAGAGGTGGAGTCAGTTATAGTGGGGAGTCAATGCCTAAGCCAATACCGCTTATGTGATTGTATTTCAATTAAGTTGTGGCCAAAATTTACCCCAAAACTTAAACTAATATAATTGTCTGTGTGTATTTATTTTGGGGGTGGGTCTTGGGGCCTCGAGACGCAAACATAATGGTACAAGATGGGGATTGTGCTCAGGGAAGCAGCTCTGTGGAGTGTGCCTTTGGGGGAGGCAGGGGGAGACTGTGGCCCGGGGTGCACATATTTGAGGGGGCACAACCAGGCACCCTCAAGACAGGCACAGAGCCCTGGCAGCTGAGGCACAGCAGTGGGTGGGTTGGTTTAGATGGCAGGTGGATGGAAGCAGCCAGCAAAGAGCCTATTGGAGGCGGGCTCTGTTCATCCTCCTTGCAGGCTCTGTGCAAACACACGCAGCCCAGCACGTGCCCTCACACCAGCTGCCCAGTCCACTGTGGGGTGGGGATAACACTTGCCCCGCCTCAGGTGCCAGCAACCCACGCTACACCACTGGCACTTAGGTCTTGCCAGTCTGCCAAGAACAGTGTCAGAGAGCCACTGTGTCAAGGTAGCAGCAGGACTTGAGAAGCGTGGGGAGAGAAGGTGGGCAGAGTGGTCTGGTTTCTCCCTTGGCTCGCTTCATCACATCAACACCACTGAGTCATTATTATTATTATTATTAATATATTATTATTTATACCCCGCCCATCTGGCTGAGTTTCCCCAGGGCTTCCAATCAAGTGTTAAAAACAATACAGCATTAAATATTAAAAACTTCCCTAAACAGGGCTGCCTTCAGATGTCTTTTAAAAAGAAGATAGCTGCTTATTTCCTTCACATCTGAAGGGAGGGCGTTCCACAGGGCGGGTGCCACTACCAAGAAGGCTGGTTCCCTGTAACCTCACTTCTCGCAATGAGGGAACCGCCAGAAGGCCCTCGGTGCTGGATCTCAGTGTCCAGGCTGAGTTAACAGCTTTGAGGGTTGTTGTTTGAACAATCAAGCACTGTAAAAATCAATGACTCATGGTCACAGCACATTGCCTAAAGATTGGGTGTGTGTGTGAGGAAGATGAGCAAAGAGAGGTCACTGCACCCTCCCAGAGTCCTTCATCCAACATGCTGAGAGGGAGCAGGGAAGGAGCAGGAAGGGCCATAAATCCATGGTACAACCTCTGCTTTGTATGCAGAAGGTTCCAGGTTCAATCCCCAAGTGGGGCTCAGAGGTTCCCCTGTCTGAAATTATGGAGAATTGGCCAGTTGGCGTAGACAAAGCTGAGTTGGATGGACTGACAGTCTGACTTTCTAGAAGGCAGCTTCCTGGAATCAGTTGCCCAGATAGGGAATCATTATGGTCCCTTGTGTAAGGGTCAAGCTTTTGGTAAAGGCTGTTCTCTAACTGGAGCGCTCGCAGGCCAGCGCTCCAGTTGGAGAACAGCCTTTACCAAAGGTGCCATGGGCTTTGAAGACACTCAAACTCAGGATGCAAGGGAGAAATGTGCTAAGAGGAAGGCACGCTTGGCAAATCCACACCGTGATCAACTCCCACCCGGAAACCAATGTCCCCACTGTGGAAGGACGTGTGGATTTAGAATTGGCCTCCACAGTCACTTATGGACTCATTGTTAAAACTGTGTTTATGGAAGACAACGAGTGATCACCAAAGAAAGAAAGAAGAAAGAAAGAAGGGTCAAGCTTAGCCTTAGTTGAATTCTACACACGTCAATCCAGAGGTCAGAACTGACACATTCTGAGACATGACAAGAGCAGAATTATGCACAACGCGCTCGAAAAACAGTTTACCTGCAGTTGAGGGAAGGGTGCGAGAACATCAGATTTTAGCTCCTCTACCATTAAGATTGCTTCAAGCAGCTGTACGTCTGCCCAGCTGAGGCGATTGCCAACGAGAAACTCTTGTCCAGGCTGTTTCAGGGCCTAGAAAACAAAAATAAAGAATGTACTTTTAATTTTGCTGGGGAATTTTGGGATAGTGTGGCCGACTTCTATTCAAACGTCATAGATGCTACCCAGAACTTGATAGCTCCCTCCCCACTCCTCTCCCTTACAGGCATATTTGAACCAGGTGAGACAGGCTCAAATAAGAGATAATGTAGGTGAACCTCCCCCCCCCCCAGCTGTGAGGGAATCATCAGAATTTGCAGGGTAGAAGATTCTAGCTACCCATCCTCATTTTCGGCTCTCCTCCCCCCCAAAAAAAACTCCAGTCACTCAGTACACCATGCTTTGCCCCTTCTCAGTGTTTCAAGGTGTTTTGTTCTTTTTAAAACTGCCTTAGTGCCCCACCACCACCTAAAGAGCTTTTGTTTTTCCGAAAACCTCAGGGGTTCCCCAAAGCATGCTGATGCCTCCCTCATATGTCTGCGTGATGCCATTTTGGCTGCATAAAAACCAGCACTCAAAGAATTGAGATCACTATTAGTTTACAGAGAGACTTACTGAGCAGAAGTGATGCCTGGTGGAACGGCCATCACTTGGCAGCCAAGGCTGAGAAGGCCTGCCTGCTGGGACTTGAATGCCTGGAGGGAGAAATCTAGCCCTCTCCCTGCAATATATATTTCCAGCTATGCAAATCTTTATCAAGTGATGAAGTTGAAAACAAAAAAGGGACAACCCTAGGCATCGATTTAGTCCAACCATTGATTTGGTAACATAAAGTTGGACAAGGCACTGCAAATAAACTCTTGAAGACCAGGAAGGAGAGGGTAAGGACTGTTCCTTGAAATACCCTGCCAGTTGGGAATTGTTGTCCAAAAGATCTAGAAGGCACAGGCTGGTCCTGGGTAATGTGTAACTCAGCTTTGGGTTCTCCATCCCTGATGTAGGTACAAATGGGAATCGTTGTTGTCTTACCTTTTCGTAGACTGGGAAGTACCTGGTAGTGGCCTTCTCAAGAACAGAAGCAAGCTGCTTCTCCTTTTGCTCAGGTGGAGAGAAAGAATACACCAGAATCATGCCCATCAGGTCCATGGTTCCTTCCACATACATGTCAATGCTGTGAGGACAAGGCAAGCATGGATAAGGAAAATTAATCTGCTAGATTGAACTTCTTGGGAAAATAGGAACATAAAAATGGGAGGTGGGTCTAGCTTATGTGGTCTGTTGACCTATCCTCATGCATTATTTCAATGCTTAGCGGTTATCTGAACCCCCTTAGAGAGAGAGAACTGGAAGTTTCTAAGTGGAATTAGCTGAACCTAGGAGCTATTTCAAGGAAGCTGCAGAAACAGCTGCCTAGGGAGCTGCTACTTTCTGGTGGAAAGGCTGCTTGCTTCCCTAGATATGTAAATAACGCCATTATATACAAAGGCACCATAAGCCTTCAGGGTTCCCTCTCCATCATCCTAAAAGAAGCTGAACCTCTAAATACTGCTCCTTGACACTCTAAAGTGAGAGCACATAACAGTAGGATGTTAGGGTAAAAGCCAAGGTTAGTCATACATAGAAGAACAAGGAGACCATTGAAATCAGTGGCCTTTTGCTCATGGATTTCAGTGGGTCCATTCCGAGTGTGATCAACATTGGACATCACCCATAAAATGTAACACACCGGATGAACACACATATGGGATGGGTGTTAGAACAAGTTAGACACCAAACCAGAAGCTAAACTCTTCCAGAATATCTTTTCCTTAGCCTCTCACAGCTTTTTTTCTCTTTCCTGGGCAATGCAAATTTGTGAGCATGTGCAAATACTGTTAACGCCACTGGAGTCTTTTAATGCAGCTATCAAGTACAGTTTGGTAAACCATGATACAGTACTGTGCTCTTTCTTTCAGGTTCTTCCCATGGAGGTTATATTTCCCCGCGATGTAGTTGAGGATGGCCTTGGTCTGGACCAGCTTCAGTCCATCCATCTCGACCAGAGGGACTTGATCAAACAGCAAGTATCCATCTTTAGGAAAGCAAAGGAAAAAAGCAAAAGCAAAGTCATTCATCTTTCCAAAACAGTTATTCTGTGAGATTAAGGAAATGTGGCAAGATTCCTCCACAGTGAAGCACTTTCAAAGCTAGCATGTGGCCTCCCTTTCTGCCAGAAGGCAAACAGCCAAGAGAAATTTCAATCTACGGTACTATCATTTAGTAACGTATCTCATGCCTGGAATGTGTGTGCAACCTTCCAAATAGACTGGAGGCTCTTCCGGTGTCAGAGAAGAAAAGCTGACTTCTCCCTGCTATGGTGACTAATGAGTCCAACATTCGACTCACTGAATAAGCTCTCCCACCTTTCCCAGGTGCCACCTGTGTGAGTGTCTAACACAAGATTGCACCAAGCTCACAACCTGAGATAGAAAAAACAACCAATACTTTACACAGTTTGCAGAGCTGGGGGAAATCAGCTCAGCATAGCAAGAAGTGCTTTGCTAGGGCTCCTATGTTAGTTCTGCAGAGAGACCAGCCCCTTTTGGCTTTGTAGAAGAAACTAGTGGGTTAAACCACAGAGCCTAGGGCTTGCTGATCAGAAGGTTGGCGGTTCAGATCCCTGCGACGGGGTGAGCTCCCTTTGCTCGGTCCCAGCTCCTGCCAACCTAGCAGTTCAAAAGCACGTTAAAGTGCAAGTGATAAATAGGTACCACTCCGGCGGGAAGGTAAACGGCATTTCCGTGCGCTGCTCTGTTTTGCCAGAAGTGGCTTAGTCATGCTGGCCACATGACCTGGAAGCTGTACGCCAGCTCCCTCAGCCAATAAAGCGAGATGAGCGCCGCAACCCCAGAGTCGGTCACGACAGGACCTAATGGTCAGGGGTTCCTTTATCTTTACCTAGTAGCACTAAGAACTGGAATCAGCTTTTTGCTTATTTTCTTCTCTGCCTAACACCTTTTTCCTTTTGTGTCACATCTTTTAGACTGTTAGCCTGAGAGCAGGAATTGTCTTATTTTCAAGATCTGTAAGCCACTCTGGGAACCTTTTTGGCTAAACAATGCTTAAAATAATTGAAAGGATTCGAAAATATTGCTAAGCAGTAAATTTTCTAACCCAGGCCCTGTTTTGCATATGATTCAAACCTCCAGCTTCCCATGGGTTCTGCAGCATTCCAAGAATCAACCACACCTTTAAATCTGGACAGATTTCTACATGCTCAGGCCATTTGAATGTCAGATCCTGGGGCCATTTTATAATCTACCACCCCCAAAGAATACACCAAGCAAAATAAAGCTAATTGTTCCAAGGAGGCATGTTACAATATTCTATCCCACAGCCCAGGTACTCAAGCCCATTTAAAACTGCCTTCAAGGAAGAGCTTGTGGATTGCAGCCTGGATTATGTAACATGCAATAAAATTAGAAAGATCTTTTGCACTGAGGAATATTACACATTTTGGGGAGAATATTAATTATGTTTCCCCCGTCCAGATCTCCAACATTTCTTTCCTCCATTTTCTGTTGCATGAGATTTTTCAATTGTTCTTATACGTTCTTTCAACGCTGATTTCAAATCTGAAACCGATTTTCATGTACATGCTATAGTTATCTTCTAGTTTCCGACTTTTGCCGATATGTCATATTTACACTGGGGATAAGTGGACACTGACCCGTCGTTCTACCCTAACCACATGGTAATTATTGTTTTGCAAGCTCAAATTTTCTTTATTTGTATAGTTTTGTAACCTTAATATTTGTATTTTTCAGATCGGACCATGGCTTCTTCAAGTAGACAAAAATGTGTAAACAAGCCTGATGCCTACCAATATATTCCTACCAATATAGATTTTACATTTTATATTTTATATGTGGGACATTCAGGAGCAGAAGAGGCAACAGCATGACTTGTGCTTTATGTGTGAAAACACCCTTGGCTGGACAAAAGAAAGATTCTGCTTCTTTTGCTGCTTCTTGTATGTGGGCATTCTACTTTTGCCTTTGGTAAACATTTTGTGGTTTCAGAAAAACATGGAAAACCTGTTTGACCAGAGGTAACAATAGTGGGACAAAAGAAGTGTGTGTGTGCAGACCCATGGATGCTGAGGTCTCTCTCAAACTACCTTCAGCTCTCAAAAAAACTCAACAACTGTCTAGCTAGCCCAAGAGTTCAGCCACATACCTACTTCTAGCTGAAATAAAAATAGTGACATAAGAGTCAAACAGTTGTGAGAAACAGCAGCAATCTCTGTGCATTCCTCACTGCATGTTATCTATAGATGAATGTTCTCATGAAACATTGTCTGCACCTACAGCACCAACATTCAATATAAAAACACAGATGCATGCATGAGTTGCCCACAGTAAGGAAAATAAGCAATGCAAGGTGCCAGGAAACAACCATCCATGGTAGCTTTTGCTGCTCATGTACCCTTTGTCAGTATGTCATCTGGAAAGTCAGTTGAACGCCACTAATCTCTCCAAGGACAATCTTGTAGTTTGGCCATCTAGCTAAATCTGAGCAAACAATCCACTTAACAACCTAGATTTAAGCCATTTATAACCTGGAAGATTTAAGCCTATTCTTAGTGGTTTAACTGATCATAGCTGCACCATATATGCTGATAAAGACTTAGCATTTATAGTGCAGTTACAATCAATTTAACCCCCTTGTCAACAGCCTTAAATCCAGGTTATAAGTAAAGCTTCAGGCATTTGCTCAGATTTAGTTGGACGTGCAAGCCACCTGCAAGGTTATCCTTAAACAAAAGAATGGAGTTTGACTGTCGTTTCAGATGACATATTTGTTAAACATGTCAAATGGTATTTTCAGATTTTGGAGAAAAAGATACATGGGTAGCAAAAAGCTGTTCACTTATCTGGGCATAAGCCCCACTGAATTTAGTGGGGTTCCCCTCTGAATAGGCATATGTAGGTTTGCACCGTGAGTTTTACCTTTGATTAACTTCAGATACTGTTCTCTTGTTTTCAAAAACGTTTCTTCAAACTGGAAAAAGACAGGAAAACAGATCAAGTTATTTTCATTCCTATGTCATGCCAGTTCTTTTCATTGCATAAAGGTACTGCATTGGCTCTTCTGTAGATACAGAAATAGCTAAGAGTGTGAGCTGTGAATTGTGAAATCTCCTGTTCAAAGCTCCAAGCACACAATAGTGCAAATTTCGCAAGCAATCTGGTGTAAGGGGAGTTTTCCAAACGTAAGCAACCAACCTCCACTCCAGCTGCTGCTAAGAGCCATCTGATGGACTCCATTCTTCCTCTGCCTTCAAAATACGTCAGTTTTGGTTTCCCAGACATATTTCCAAGCTGCTGGTTTCCTGATGAGTGCCATTTAATGGGGAGAAGAAAAAGGTTAGTTAAATAAATTGTGTACACAACCATGCAGGTACGATTTTGCTGAAAAGTTTGATTAGGTGGAGCAAAATGAAGAGAATATGTATTATGCACAGATGGAAAGGCTGAGTATTCTTGTGGTTACAACAGGAAAAGGACATGGAAGGATTGTCTGATTTCCAAAGACTATAGTCCCAAGGACATTTAAGGGGAGAACACTGTAAACAATGTTTTTACAATCAAATGGTGTCTACATTTTATGAAATAAATAATATCTTATATTGGTGCCCAAGCACAAAATCTCAAAAGTCATTAGCCATAATAACCTACAAACTCATCGGCGTTGAAATGGGCTCCATAGGTAGATATTGTTGGGTCTGAAATTGTGGCATGGGTTTCTGTCACATTTATTATAATTCAATCCCTTGTTTATATTCTTTATGCTAACAATGCTCACAAATTTATGGAAACAACTTGAATTGTATGGATTAGCTCTGTCCTTCCCACATGTTTCGGACAATGACTCCTATTAGATCCAGTCAACATGACCAAGGGCCAGGGACGATGGGATTGGAGTCAAACAATATCTGGAGGGTGTCGGATTGATGAAGGCTGGTTCAGATTAGAACAGGGGTCAGCAAACTTTTTCAGCAGGGGGCCGGTCCACTGTCCATCGGACCTTGTGGGGGGCCGGACTATATTTTGGGGGGAAAAGAAGAAGAATGAATTCCTATGCCCCACAAATAACCCAGAGATGCATTTTAAATAAAAGGACACATTCTACTCATGTAAAAACACACTGATTCCCGGACTGTCTGTGGGCCAGATTTAGAAGGCGACTGGGCTGGATCCGGGCCCCAGGCCTTAGTTTGCCTACCCATGGATTAGAGGCTTTAAATTATAATAAGTAGGTCAGGACGGAACTTGATCTCCATTCAGACAGCAATTTATTATGTTTTCCCAACATTTCCTTACCTGTTAACTTCCACATTTTACATTATTGTTCACAGGGTATAAAGGCCACTTCTGGAAAACTAGCAGAAGTTCAGTGCTCACTTCTGTATTATTTTCTTCCAGAAACAAACCATTTACAAATCTGTTAACTCAAAAAATTGCTGGAGCTTTGTGTTGCAATTTCACGGGATGAAATTTGAGGCAGTATTCTGGGATACAGCCCCCCCCCAATTAAAAATTTAATGATGGTATCTTAATCAAAAAGCCAGTTGCACAACACAATAGGTAAGGTAAAGGGACCCCTGACCATTAGGTCCAGTCATGACCGACTCTGGGGTTGCGGCGCTCATCTTGCTTTATTGGCCGAGGGAGCCGGCGTACAGCTTCCGGGTCATGTGGCCAGCATGACTAAGCCACTTCTGGCGAACCAGAGCAGTGCACAGAAATGCCGTTTACCTTCCTGCTGGAGCGGTACCTATTTATCTACTTGCACTTTGACGTGCTTTTGAACTGCTAGGTTGGCATGAGCAGGGACCGAGCAACGGGAGCTCACCCTGTTGAGGGGATTTGAACCGCCGACCTTCTGTTCGGCAAGCCCTAGGCTCTGTGGTTTAACCCATAGCGCCACCTGCGTCCAACACAATAGGTAATGCAGTATAAATGGAACCTTAGAATTTGGGAGAGCAGTGCTAGCCTTATAATCAGGAAAACAAATGCAGCATTCCCCATATCTGACTGCACCCTCAGTTGAGTCCCCATCCCCCTAAACCAAGTTCAAACGACAAAGAAACAACAAACCATTGTTTACTGGCTCGAGAATGAGCAGTGTGCATGTGCAATGTGTATTTCCTCCTCCTTTCCTCTCTTCACATGTTTGCCTTCAGTGCTTATATATTGACAGGTTAAACAACGTTCCCATGGTGTCTGAGCTGGGAAACTCTGCTTTAAACACTGCTTACAAACACAATATGACTAGGGTGGTTTCTCAGCTCAATATCATTCTGTCTGAGCCACATCATCTTGCTTTTTATACCTGACACAAAGGAGAACACTGGAGGGAGAAAAGAACAGCGGCTTGGGAGTTACTATGAAGCAAGTCAACCGAGGCTGAGTCACAGGTATTAATGCTCAAAGGCTGATGAAAACTTAATCTAAAGCAAACACCAAGATTTCCATTGCCCTCAAAAATGAATGAACGAGATCACTGTTCTGCAAACATGTCACAGCTCAAAAGCTCTTTACCAGCTCTACATGCCCAGGCAGTGCATCGTTTAAGACTGGAATGAAATCCACAGCACAGCAGAAAGGTTAAATGTAATTGTAAGTGAAAAAGCAATGCAAACAGTCCCCCTGCAGGCAGTTTAGGACTTGTTAAGGTCCAAATCCAGTACGGCAGCTGCAAAATTGTGAGCCTTGTCATTCTTTTAACATGTAAAGTTGGTTTCACTGAGATCATCTAGTTATTTCACCTTAAAGAAATACTCCCTCGCCTTTAGCTGTTTTCACATGCTGATGCTTTCTTGGCAGATCATGAGATTCAGAGGTTTGCAGCTGGACCCAGATGGGTGGTTGGGTGGACCATGAAAATTTGCAGCTGGGGCCAACTGAAAGGAAGAAAGGGGCGACCCAAGTTGTTCTCGAGGGGGTCATTAGTAGTTTTGGCTTGCATTAAAAATTCCAAAACTGCACATGTTCCATTCTTGTATTATCTGCATTTAACAGTATGCAGAAAATCAACATATTCTTTCTTATTTATTGATTGCAAGCTGTACAGAACCAAATCAACAGGTGTTGTTGTATGCATAAAGCAATCCTAAATTTAAGGACATTTTGCAATAGATTTAAAATAATGATGCATAATAATATTAAAATGGTGACATGGAAACTCAACTCCCCCCCTTTTACAACACAATCCTATACATGTTTGCCTGGAAGCAAGTCCCATGAAACTCAGTGGCACTCACTTCCAGGAAAGTGTGCTTAGGTATTCCTGTCTTATGCAGCCAAGTTCTATACAGAAACAAGTGCCACAGAATTCAATGGTGCTTATTCCCAGAAAAGTATGTTGTGGGATTTTTACAGCCTTTATTTCGCCCCCATAAAATGATGGTAAAGGTAAAGGGACCCCTGACCATTAGGTCCAGTCGTGACCGACTCTGGGGTTGCGACGCTCATCTCGCTTTACTGGCTGAGGGAGCCGGTGTACAGCTTCTGGGTCATGTGGCCAGCATGACTAAGCCGCTTCTGGCGAACCAGAGCAGCGCATGGAAACGCCATTTACCTTCCTACTGGAGCGGTACCTATGTATCTACTTGCACTTTGACGTGCTTTTGAACTGCTAGGTTGGCAGGAGCAGGGACCGAGCAACAGGAGCTCACCCTGTCGCGGGGATTCGAACTGCCGACCTTCTGATCGGCAAGTCCTAGGCTCTGTGGTTTAACCCACACTGCCACCCGCGTCCCTAAAATGATGGTAGTCTGTTCCAAATTGGCTTTTTTCAGCAATGCCTTTCTTCTACAAGAGCTCCAACAATGTTTCCGCTCCCTCCAGCAACAGAAAACCATATGAAATTCCCCTTCTCACACCACGAGGGAACATTCCTCTCTGACCTGTGGCTTTGCTTCAGAGCAAAACATGCCATTCTGAACCACATTTCATGCCCAAGCCCCTTCTCTTTGCTGAATTTCAGCCGCTCTTTATCTTCCCTTCCTCTCCCTCATCCTGTGCTTTCACTCTTTGCCCTGGCTAATCCGCCCCATGCTTTATTTTCACTTGTCCTGCTTTCATAGATTAAAATGCAATTAATTCTCCCCTCTTTCCTTGTGTCAAAGTTCTGCAAACGCACTGTAAAGTCAGCAAACTGCAAAAAATTATTGCATTGCTCCAGTAGCTTTTTGAAGTTAATATTTAACTCATAACCCACACAGCAGATAATTTAAAGTATCTTAAACTGCAATCCTATATCCACACTGGGTTCCACTGGCTGCAATGGAGCTTACTTTGCGGTAGACCTGTATAGAATTGCACATGCTAAGGCTGAAAAAAGTCACTTACTTCAAACATCCAGTACTAACCTTTTGCAAAGACTTGCTTTATCCGATCTCTTTCTCCACACAGAAAGAAACTGTGCCTTAAAACGTCCTACAGCCCAGGAAATTCCAGCTACTCTGGTGAAGTCTCTTTCCACTGTCTTACCATTCAGTTTTAAAATGTCAAAGCTACACCTTCTATACTATTATCAGACTGAAAGAACCTGTGGCTTCCTGCCAGGTGTATACATGGTGCCAGATGCTTCCTGCTGCGTCATACGTGAAACACCCTTCATGTTCTCTTCACCCAAATCCCTGATGACAGGCATGGGTTGTTTTTTTAAAAAAATAATAATGCTCAGATAATTTATTTTCACATGAAAAGCACATGATTTGTTCCGTTGCTGCACTGACCGCAACATTTTATCACAGGATTACGCCCTGTTACTATTTTCGTATGGGGTAGAAAACGACACCAATGAAATTACGGGAAAAGTACTTACATTGACATCTGAAAGTACTCTCTTAGGAATGGCAAAAAGAATTAGGCCTAGGAACAGCTGTTGTTCAGTGGTGGTAGTGCATTATCTGGTCCACATGCAATTGCTTATTTAATCCCCAGGCAAATGGAAAGTCAGATCCCACCATCCAAAAGCAATCCCCTTCAAGCTAGCAATTCCCTCGCTTTAACCTGGCCCAGAAGTCTGTCATCAGGCCAGCTGCTGCAAATCGGCAGTGTCTGGTATTATGTTCTGAAGTTCTCACCCTGGGCCAGCAGGGGGATACTGTAGATAGTTTTCACTCAGGTCCACATATGCAAATAAGGAATTGAAAGTGACGTTCAGTGATTGGATAGTTACAGAAAGTTGTTACTGTTGCCTTGTAGTTGAGCTCTATATAAGCTGGTTGGCTGAACCCTTCAGTTCAGTTCTGTTGTGGCCTGTGAATAAACAAGAGCTGTCTGAAGAATCGCTGTGTCCTCTGATATGTTCACCCACAACTTAACATCTGGGTCCAGGGTCCTTCATGGATGCTCCAACATCTCCCCTCTCCCTTCAGAAGGGAGCAAAGCAGAGAAATGGCAGCAAAATATTTATCTGCTTTACAGTTGTCCCGGCTTCTGCTCCTCTCTTCCTGCTGGTGGGATCAATACTGTCTGTTTCAAGTGAGGAATGAAAGGAGTCTTTTAAAAAAAATCAAGATTGATTTACTGGATTCAGCGGGGCTATACATAGTAGGATTGTAGTATCATAACCTTTTGGTTGAAAAAGAAAGAAAGAGAGGTGCCAGTACTCATATATTGACAAAAGTGCTCTAGGTGCTAGCAAAAAATGGCCACTACTCCATACCAGTAAGCACCTTCAACACAAAAAAAGCCTTGATTATAAGTATAAGGTCTTTTTTCTCCCCTTCCCTTCTTCTCTGAGCAATATTTTTATTATCCAATCAAATGACTACCTTGCAAAACAAGTCATCAGTCAGGTTTTCTCACCCACGTAACTGTTTATTACAAATTCAATAGTAATAGGGGAATGGGTGCTGAAAGAGGGAAGCGGTGAGGCATTTTACAATTTATCAGCATATGAGCAGGGCTTTTCCCCTCTGCCAGAACTTGCTAGAACTCAGTTCCAGCCTCTCTCAGGTGGGTGCCATCGTCCTTCTAGGATAACATGGGGGGAAGTTTATGGTGAGCTCCAGCACCTGTTTTTCTACAAAAATAGCACTGTGTATTAGCATTTCAATTTTTATCTTTTTTACACACACACACACACACACACACACACACACACACGAACTATACACACATAAGGACAACATAGAATGTGTCTGATGAAGTGAACTCTGTCCACAATAAACTAGTATCCAGAATATTCTCTTCGAGAGCGGAGCCACGCCTCAGGAATTTGATAGGGCTACTGTACAGCTGAGTCCTGACGCTGCAGAGATTTCCTCCTCCCCGCCTGCAAGGGTGGGCGAGAGAGACTCAAGTGTCAGAAAGTTGTGGGCAACTCAGGCAAACTGATTGGATCTGTGCAGCAGGCGTTGTGCTTTTGTCACGGGATAGCCCCCCCTCCCCGTGCAAATCTTCAGAGAAGGTGGAACAAAAACCCAAACCCAAACCAAACAAAGCCTTTTGAAGCTCAGTTTCTTTGCCTAGACCCTGGAAGGGGATTCAGGTTTGGAGGTTAGTACTGGAAAATGTGAAGTGCTTTGCTTTCTGCACTCAGCTATGTGGCAAGTAATTTAAACCAGGGAGAAGTGCAGCAAGGGTGACAGATTTGCATTTTTTAAAAAAATCCAATTTAGCAGACATTAGTTGCAGTAGAGATGAGCAAAGGAGAACAAGGGCTTTTTTTCTTCTTTTTTCGAAAGCAGGACGGTGGGATTTTAAAGCGTGGAGGGAAAGGAAAGGAAAGCAGAATGCAGAAACTACAGTAGAGTGGGTGGAAGGGAAGTCAAAACAAGAAGCTTGGAAGTAACTTTCCTGCCATATAAATGAGGGCTGGAGGGGAGGGGAAATGGGGCCAGTAGTTCAGCTGTTTAAAATAAACTTGACATCTGCCAAAGTTTGCATGTTGCTAGCTTGCTGTGCTGGGGAAAGGGGAAAGAGGGATTTTAGAGAGTCGAGAAGTAGAATCTAAAAAGGTGAAAGCAAATGTTAGCAAGAATTAAATCTAGCTGGGTAAGCAAACTGGATAGGCAGCTTTGATAGGGGATATATCGTGGCTGGGAAATAACTGCAAACTTAGACGTTGGATCACCGGAGTTTCTTTTCCTGAGCTGTGAAGGGTGTTGGGAGGGACAGAGAGGGGAAAAAGAGGAACGGGGAAGAAGCTGGATAAAGTAAACAAGGTCCACTTTTCTGGGGTTTTGTGGTATGTTACAGGGAAGAAAGTGAGGCGGGCTTCGCAGAGAATTAATTGAAACAATTCACCAACTGCTACAAGAACAAGCTGACAATAGTAATACGCCAAGAGAGAGGGGAAGCGGTTAGGGACGACTTTTTCCTGGAAACCTTTTGGCGAGTCTCAGATGGCTGCTAGGAGGAGGAGGGGAAACTTTCCTTCCATGACCCGTAAGGAAACCAATTGTTTCAGAAGTTCTATTTGCTGTTTAAAATTTTAATTTCTTCTCAAATTAGGAAGCGCGCAGTTTCCAATTCACACATACATATTACCAAATGGATAGTTCTGTCCAAGCTACAAATCTGTGGGGAAAGAATGTGTTCCCTCCCTTTATTTTTTATTTTTTTAAATCCTCTCTTACAAACACCTTTCAGTGTGGTGTAGCGATCGAAGTGTTGGACTAGGACCTGGGAGACAAGAGACCCCTCCAGACTGCTGGTGGTTTTTAGTGGCTGTATTCTGCAGCATGTTCTGACAAAATAATAGTGCAGTCGTGTTGGGTTTATTCAGCCTGAGTTTGTTCCACAAGGTTTCCCCAGTGCTCCCACATTATTGCTGTACAGAGGGGCTATAGTCACCACAAAAGTGGGGCAACTGCCCCCCACCGGCTAGCTGTAATAAACTGAGGTGTCTAGACCACTTCCAACAAGAATGGCAAGTGCTGTTTTGAACCCAAAGCAGAAAACACGAAGGACCAAACACATTGAACATACTCAGCCAGCAGGTTGTGGGGAAACAAAAGGGGAATGTATCAAGACAGTATTCTGCATATTCACATTGCAACCCATGCAGTATATATGCACATCTGATATGAGTCAGAGAAGTCAGGTTACAGAACCCAGCTGATTTCGTAAGGGGACACCTCCCTGTTACATAAGTTGGCTCAAACATTTCTAAAGGGATTACAAGCCCTGCTGCACAGCAAACTGCAAGAACAACAAAATGCTGAAACTGTAGTGAACTGGGAGGGGTTCAAGATTGAATGAAAGCTGAATGAACAGGCATGATATATCAAATGACAATCCCTAATTTATAGGGCCTTGGGCCCATTTTGCTCTGTCTTCCATGTGGCAGCCCTTCAGATATTTGAAGGGCTCTCAGTCTTCTCTTTTCCAGGCTAAACATACCCAGCTCTCTCAACTGTTTCTCATAAGCAGGCATAGGCAAACTCGGCCCTCCAGACGTTTTGGGACTACAACTCCCATCATCCCTGACCACTGGTCCTGTTAGCTAGGGATGGGGGGAGTTGTAGTCCCAAAACATCTGGAGGGCCGAGTTTGCCTATGCCTGTTCATAAGGCTTCCTTTCTAGATCCTGTATCAACTTGTCCACCCTCCTCTGCACATGTTTCAGCTTGTCAATAACCTTCTTAAACTGTGATGTCCATAACTGGATACAGTACTCCAGAATACAGTACTGACCAAGGCAGAAGAGAGTAGTACTATTATAGGACATCACATGACCATTAAAGGCACAGCTACAGGAGCAAATGGAGGTGTATAAAATTATGATAGACATATATAAAATTATGCATGGTGTAGAGAAAGTGGATAGAGGAGTCACACACACACACACACTCATAATGCTACAACTTGAGGACATTCAATGAAGCTGAATATTGGGAGATTTCCAGGCCAGGTCTCTCACCTGGAAAGGGTCCATAATTAGGCCACAAAGCAGTCCAGGTACTGGACACCCAGCTAGTAATTCAGGCAAGATCAAGGTCAAGAGACAGTCCAAGTTCAGGTCACACAGAGGCAATAGTTCAGGCAATGTAATAAGCAAAGGTGAGCTCAAGAGGAAATCCACAGTCTGATCACATAGAGGTAATTCTACCTCCGCTGTCATAGGCGGCCTGTTTCTGAATACCAGTTACTTGAAACAATACGAGGGGAGAGTACTGGTTTCTTCCAGGTTCTGCTTGCAAGCTTCTCATAGACATCTGGCTAGCCACTGTAGAACAAGATGCTGGCCATTGCCTGATCCAGCAGAACTCTTTTTGTGTTCAGTTCAAAAGTTGGCAGCTCTGGTTGCAACAGCTATCACTATCAAATGGTTCAGGGTACATAAACCCGTACTTAAGGTAAATGGTTAACTTAATTGCAAGGTCATGCTGCAGCATACTAAAATCCAGATTGTATTTAACGGATCATCATCACCATTATTATTTCTTTATTGCATTTATTTACCGCCCTATACCTGGAGGTCTCGGGGCAGTTCATCATCAACTGCAAGCCTCTGAGATCAATTCTGGCCCTCTCAGAGAGGGAGCAGCTATAAGAACTTGGGTTGGTGGCATAGTTCACTCTGATCTGAGAGAAAGATTCAAAATCAACAAAGAAACTGCAGAGAAGCAGAGGGGGTCTGGGATAGCTCAGTGGGTAGAGCATGAGGCTCTAAATCTCAGGATTGTGGGTTCGAGACTCACGTTGGGCAAAAGATTCCTGCATTTTAGGGGGCTGGACTAGATGATCCTAGTGGTCCCTTCCAATTCTATGATTCTATGTGTGCTTGTTCAACAGCTCAGTTTTAAGCTGCTCAGATCTGCTTAGTCATACATCCCCATTCTATTTCCAAGGCCTGAAAGGTAGATAACTGTATGCTTTGTGCCTTTAACAACTGTATGAGAGGTGGAAATTCGACAGATAAAACTGTCGCCCAGCACAAAGTCAGAGCAGTCTACCTGCTGAATGATGGGAGATGGAGTTTAAGTACATGATCATTAAAAGATGGGCTTAACAATGAGGAGCATGCCTTACCCTTGATGCAATCACATTGAGGCTCTGAGTTTAGGAAAGACAGGTTTATTAAAGGAAATACCGTATTTTTTGCTCTATAAGACTCACTTTTCCCCTCCTAAAAAGTAAGGGGGAATGTGTGTGCGTCTTATGGAGCGAATGCAGGCTGCGCAGCTATACCAGAAGCCAGAACAGCAAGAGGGATCACTGCTTTCGCTGCGCAGTGATCCCTCTTGCTGTTCTGGCTTCTGGGATTCAGAATATTTTTTTTTCTTGTTTTCCTCCTCCAAAAACTAGGAGTGTCTTGTGGTCTGGTGCATCTTATAGAGCGAAAAATACAGTACATGCTTGATAGAAAAGATCCTAGTTCTAGCTAACTGAAGTGGAGGGAGAAAAAGAGCGCCATGCCTGCTCTTTGTTCTCAGCAAGAGAAACATAACAATGTCTCCTCTCTCAAGATAAGAGTGGGAGCCGTAGGAAATGAGGTCAGCTAGAGTGAGTGCATCAGTCTAGCACCTGAGGAAAGGTCAGCACATATTAAAGGACAATCTAGGAAGCCATGAGGTTTCCTCTCTATCTTCTTTCTCTCCGTGCAGACCCACCAGCCTCCAATACAAGCGGAGTTGTATCCCAACACTTCCAATGTTCTGTCTGTTTAATCCCCAGTTTTCTGTATCTTCCATTTTAGGACAGTCCATAACATTGTTCTACTGCGAAACTCAGTTGTGCAGTACTTGACAAAGTAGAAGGCTGAAAAGATGGCTGGGAAACCCAAGTTGCACTATGTCCGAGGGAGAGGGAAGATGGAATCTATACGCTGGCTCCTTGCAGCAGCTGGAGTGGAGGTTTGTGTGACCGTAAAAATAAAAGGGGGAAGGCAACGCTGGATGAATGAACTAGCAATAGTTGAGATGAATGGCCTCTTTTGCACACACAGCTGAATATATGTGCAGTATGTTGTGCTATTAACACAATTCTCTCTGTATGTTTGTGTGTCTGTATACACAAACACATACACTTCTACTGCAACTCAGGAGAATGTTTTAAGCATCTTATGAAGTGGACTGTAGTCCATGAAAAGTTATGCCATACTAAAATTATTATTATTAGTTGTTGTTGTTGTTTATATGCCGATCATCTGACTGGGTTGCCACAGCCACTCTAGGCAGCTTTAAGATGCCACAAGACTCTGATGTTAATCTAGGGTTGCCATATCTTGAAGAGCAAAAAGGAGGACAGCCCGAGCCACTGCCAGTCTGAGCTGGGGCTGCCGCCACACCCATGCGCCTCTTAGTCCCCAGCTCAGGCTGGCAGCGGCCACAGCATGCAGAGCAGTCCAAGCCCAAGCCCTCTCCCCCCCCAAACTAGGACATGTCCTGTAAAATGTAAACATCTGCATGGATGGGCATGCCAGCCCTCCAAAAGAGGACATGTTCAAGTTTCCCCAGACGTATGGCAAACCTAGCTGCATAGGAAAATCTCTATCCCAAGTAATAAAACGATTTGGCTGCCAATTCAAGGGACAGTTGTTTGTTTTCAATCATACAGCACAATCCTATACATGTTGACTTAAATGGGAATCCCAATGAGTTTGGTGGGCTGTACTCCCAGGCAAGTGAATATAGGTCATCTAATCAGCCATATAGTTCAGAGAAATGCATGCAAACCTGTTATGTACTGAGTTGAATAGGATCCAAAATGCAGCAGTCTGATTGGTCCTAGAACAATAGGATTCAGAATGCAGCAGTCTGATTGGTCCTAGAACAATAGGATTCAGAATGCAGCAGTCTGATTGGTCCACAGGAGCCACCCAATCCAGCTCCAGGTGGAAGTGAATCCGCAACCTGATTGGCCTACAGGAGAATCCCGGAATTAGCTAATCACGTGGGGCTCATTGTGTAAATAATGTATATAAAGCAGACATTCTGGGGGGAGTTCCATTCCTCCTCACCACTATGAGCTGAATAAAGAGCATGAAATCCACTCTCGACTCCGAGTATATTTCAAAAACAGAGAACCTGTGGGTGTATTTTAGAATATATATAAAAATATTTTTGGCATAATAGAAAATGCTATATGTAAGAGAGAGGGATCACACTCCCCAGCTACAGAGGGAAGGCCAAGACAAATGTGTCTCTGGGAATGATTCAGAATCTTCAACATGATCTCATTTCAGTGGGTTGGACGGTTTGTCTTTTGAAGTCCTTTCAAGCAATAGAATCATATGAATGGTGTGGCACACTGAAAATAAACATAGGAAAGAAACTCTGCATTGTATACTGAACCAAGCGCATGATTTCTGCCAAGACAAAGGGGCCCTTTTCATCCCAACCATCCTTTTTGTAATATGAATCAATACGAGGGTACAGCAGTGAGGCAGGGAAAAAGGAATTTAATGGCTGCATTGCATTTTGCAGGTTTTCAAAACAGTCCCCCAAGCTCCAGGTGCTTTTAAAGTCAAGGAAAATGACAAGCATCTATTTCTCTCAAGATAATTAGGACATGAAAAACAAACATGATTCTGTTTGTTCTATTCTGTTTCAGTTTGAAGAACAATTCATTGAAACAAATGAAGACTTGGAAAAATTACGGAAAAGTAAGTCTATGGGTGAAGGTATTCTCTACATGGGACTGATATATTTAAAGAATTAAGGGGGAGCCCCCATTGATTCTTTAAATGAAAACCTCAGAGACCACTTAGTGTTGGGATCCACATCAGAGTCTACAAATACTGTTATTTTCATGGGTAAAAAAAAAAAATTGGTTTGGTTTTCGCTTGCACAGGAAAAACACAAAGGAATTTGGATTTGGGGATGTCATAGAATTTCAACAGAAATGGAAGTGGGAGCAGAAATTGCCAGCTTGGTGTATTTACCCATGTCCAGAATGGAAATCAATCCGCTTAATATGACTGGGATTCACTGTTGTTTCTTTCTGTTCGCAAATGACACATAATTGATATTTATTTATTTCCCGCCCGTTCTTCACCCTATGGCCCCAAAGAGGGGGTTGCAATATTAAAACACAACATTGAAAACAGTTTGAAAGTACTTACAAACAACCCATTTGTGTTGAGTTTACGATGCACCAAACTGAATGGGATGACATAACATAACACCAACGTAAGCTATGTAACTAATTCTGTAATGAGAGCTGGGAGGGTCCATTCACTTTTGTGTGAGATAAAGGTTAAAATCCACCTAAAGAGGGCTTTATTCTTTCTTTCTTTCTTTCTTTCTTTCTTTCTTTCTTTCTTTCTTTCTTTCTTTCTTTCTTTCTTTCTTTCTTTCTTTCTTTCTTTTTCTTTCTTTGTCTTTGTCATTTTGTTTTCCTTTTGCTTCCTCTTTCTTATTACTTTGTCTTTTATTGTATTGTATCTCGAAAATTTTCAATAAAAAATCTTTTAAAAACCCATTACAATGGAGAGAGAAATGAATGATGAATAGGAACAGTGTATAGAATAAATACAGGCTGGAATGGAAAATGATGTCTTTTTGCATCTCTATTTGAATCATACAAACCAATGGGGAGCCACATTTTCCTAAAGAAAGCTGCTGTACCGAGATGTGATCCTTATTAGAGACTGCAATACTTCAGTTTTAACTTTCAAAGAAGGCAGGCTGAATCAATCTGAAATACTAAGTTTGTGAGAACTGAATCATTCACCCCCATCTTTTTCTCCTTTAAAGATGGACAGCTCCTGTTTCAGCAAGTGCCCATGGTGGAAATAGATGGCATGAAGATGGTGCAGACGCGAGCTATTCTCAACTACATCGCAGCAAAGCACAACCTCTACGGGAAGGACCTGAAGGAGAGAGCACTGTACTTATTAACATGTAGAATTCACTCTAGGTCTATTTTTGAATAGAAAGCCAGCTCTTGACAGAAGCTGAAAACACGGAATGTCTGCCCTGAACTGCAAACATTCAATCATCTTTCTGTTTATGCATCTCTATATTCCCAGAGCTATATGTCACAATGTGATTCTTACAAGAACATTTAGACTAAAGCTCGTTGGGGAGGGAAACTGCCTAATAACATGATAATACCAAACACATCATGCACCATGCCTGCTAACCTTCCATACATGTGTGAAAGATCCCACCATGCATACTGGGTTGCAACTGACTGGTTGCACAAATATATGTCCTTCCACATGGCTGCTGAAATGTATTAGAGCTGGTCATGATTTTTCACCTGCATATAAATTTAGGAATGGTGAAAGTCACATAAGTAATTATATATATTTTTCTGTTTGGGTAAACAGCATCATAGAATCTGTTTCTATTTTTTATTTACTGTATACATTATATCATTAATGTATTGCTAATTTTGGAATGTATAATATGCTGTAATTATATTTTGATTTTCTTGTACTTTGACTGACAGCAACAAGAAGAAGAAGAAGAAGAAACACAAAAAATGAAAGTAACTGTGCTAATGGCTTCTTTCAGGATTGACATGTACGTGGAAGGAACAACTGATCTGATGGGGATGATAATGACGCTCCCTTTCCAGCCCCCTGAGAACAAAGAAAAGCAGACCAGCCTAATTTTTGAGAGGGCCACAACCAGATACTTCCCAGTTTATGAAAAGGTAAGGGATTGTCAGGTAGCAACGTAGAATGTGCAGCTAGACCTTAACTGCTGAAGGTATATGGGGAGAACCATCTATAGCAGCAGCAAAATTCTGCAGCAGCACTTAAATGTGGAATAGTAAACCTACAAGTCTACCAACATTTTGTACTACAACTCTCCTAATTCCTGACCATTGGCCATGCTGGCTTGGGTTGATGGGAGCTGGAGTCCAGCAAATATGTGGTTTCCCACCCCCGAAGTCAAGTTCCAATGCTACTGAGCAGAGGATCACAGCAATGAGGGCCTTTCGGTGTTATTCAATGGGATACATGCAGGTGTGTAAAATGTATATTTGAATGAAAAAGCCAAGTGGCTACTCTCATGGGACAGTCCCTGCCTGCCTCTCAGCCTTACATGTCTGAAACACAAAAGAAGCAGAAATAATCCACAACGAGCATCTGTTGCCCAGTATGACCCAGGGGTCTACAAATCCTCAACACTGACTTCTATTTCTTTGTATGCCACAGGTTTTAAAAGATCATGGACAAGATTTCCTTGTTGGTGGGAAGTTCAGCTGGGCAGATGTCCATCTGCTTGAAGCTATTCTGATGGTCGAAGAGATGAAGCCTGATGTTCTTTCTGCCTTTCCTCTGCTGCAAGTGAGTGAACTAGGACATGTTCTGAGAAATGAGATGGAGCGGAAACTGTAAGGCTGTGTGTATTCACAGAGTGCAAATACAGCAACTGGATAAACGTCAGTCATAGGAGTGTGTTGCACTTAGCATGTCATCATCTCGATGATGGTGATTATGGTGGTGTATGAGAGCAAGTCCAAGTGGCCATCTGGGGGATATGTCTTATGTCCTTATGTCAGGCATCTAGACTTCTGCATCTACTTTGCTTGATGATAAAAGTGCTTCATCTCCTGGCGAGAATTGCCTTAGTTTGATGCATTACAAGACAACCTGACCAAAAAAAGGCTCACTGGATTATAAAGTTGGAGGGGGCCTTGTAGAAAGACTATAGAGAAAATTCAGATTTCACATGTGGATTTAACACCATGGGACCACAGATCTTTTTCCATAGATGCATTCTTCCACTGATTTAGACTCATGTTTATAATTATCTCTGAATACTTTTACAATGCTTGTAAAAATATGCCCCTGCTTATTATTAAGCAGATTGGTTGCTTTTCAAAACTCCCATGTCACAATAGTGCTTAAAACTTTATTTCAACCACTCAGAATTTGACAATCAAAGAATTCCATTTTCAGTACAGTCATACCTCGGGATAAATACGCTTCAGGATAAGTATTTTCAGGTTGCGCTCCACAGCGACCCGGAATGAACGGAGCGTGTTACTTCCGGGTTTTGCCGCTCGCACATGCTCAGACAGTCAAAATGATGTCACGCACATGCGCGGAAGCAGCGAACTGCGACATGCGCATGCGCAGACGTGCTGTTGCGTCTTACTTTCTGTTCCCGTTCGCATCCTGAGGTACCACTGTACATGTCTAGAAACAACAACAATAATAATGCATGTGAAAACATATAACATTTTCAAAACCCCTGCCCAAAGTTCACAATGATTCAAAAGGAAAATGGAATGGGGAGGGAAGAGGAAAGCAAACATTTGAAGCTGATGGATGGGGTCTTTTTCTCAAATGTAAGCCCATCTATCTTGGGAAGTTTTTCTTATTCTTAGAGGAGATTCTTGTTTTTTCATCTAGGCCTTCAAGACAAGAGTAAGCAACATCCCTACAATTAAGAAATTCTTGCAGCCTGGCAGCCAGAGGAAGCCCCCATTTGATGAAAAGTATATTGTACAGATCAGGAAGATTTTCAACTTCTGAGCACTTCAGCTACGACAGTCACTGCAAACAGTGGCCTTATTTTTCTTGATTTATACTGCTTCTCCACATACACCTTCGCTAACTTTTTGTCAGCCACCTTGATATTTTATTACAAATTCTGTGAAAAGTTACTCCCACATCTAACTCAACTTTTAAATCCATTCTGGTAAGGGGGCATGCTTTCAGAAACCTGGCATAATCATGGGTAATAATAATGTACAAACCAGTTTGGGATAAGAAAATGATGGGGTTATATAGACCCTTCATGCTGCTCAATCCAGACTAAAAGTACATTCTTTCAGTATTAGCTCAGAATAGAACTTGCTGGTGGCAAAAGTAGTTCAATTACATTAATCGGGATTTATGCTAAACATGTGGGGAGTCTATGATTTTGATGCTTGAGAGCCCAGGTAGATCCAAACAAGGCCTTAAAATTGAATTACAACATTTTGCATGAATTTCAGGGCTATGTACTAAATTTTAGAAATCTGTTGTTGTGTACTATAATATCAACCCCAACATCCAGTTAGATTTATACAGATTACTCAGAGGCCTTTCGATTTTTATGCATTCATATACCAAAAAAATTGAATAAAATGTTTAAATTAAATTTTTGTCCATCGTTGGAAAACATTGCCAGGGTCAACAAACAATTGGTTATGTGCCACTTAGAATGTCTTCAGATGAGCAGCAGCAGGAGAAATGTAGGAATCATGTCAAAGGCAGTCATATGTACTGTTAGTGATTATTACTATGTTACTAAATTATCCTTTGTCTTCCTTGACCTACGACACAAATCTATTCAGGCACTGAATTTGTTACTATGTAGTAGCTCAATCATTACCAAGGATAACTGCCTTAACAATTAAAATGCATATCTTTCTTTTCTGTTGAGCTGTATTTATTACGACTGTTTGCTAGCATGCACCTCTCTGTGAAACATGGATTTTAGGAGGAAATCCTACTCATTTCATGTAAGCATGCTTAGATCTCAACCCAGATGGTTTTCCTCCCTACTTTTCATGATCTTACATGCTTCAGTATGTGCTGATCACAGATTTTGGTTCCGATTCCAATTTGGCATTTTAGAAAATGGCCTATCTCAAGTGCAAAGTGCTTTGGAAGCTGCCCAATTCAGCTGGGGAGTCAAAGTCCACACTGGAATAGAGAAGCTGTGTTCATCTCCCTTCCACCCACAGTTCAAAGGAAACCTGCAAGTCACAGCCAGCAGACTCAATTTGGCCAATGGTCAGAAATGATGAGAATACAAAGCTGTGCAAGGCTCTGGTGAGTGCAGGGGAGTTGAGCTCTGTACAGGAAGGGGCAGCCCCTGTGGGAATGTTTAGGGATGCGGGGGAGGATGTATTGTCTAAGATATCCTATCCCAACTTGTCTTTACAAGTTCAAAAAAATCAGCAGAGTTAACATTCCCCTTTCTTAAACACACACACAGCAGATAGCTTGCTCAGACTCCTTAGAGTCTCTGTAAATATTTCCTGGTATTTCCCCCATTTAACCCTTCCTAAAATAAGTCGCTACACAGTCTTCTGTAAAGCATAAAATGTTTACTCACAAGTAATCATCTGTTCGCACAAAGGTTCCCAGACGTAAAAGGTTAGAACATAGTTTAAATGTGGTTACTATCTCCTTATGGGAGAAAGCCCCCTTTTTCTTCTCTTGGCCTGGAGCCAAGGGTGCATTTTAGTAGTGCTGTTGTTAAGATGGCATCGATAAAGATGAGAGAGACAAGATGGTCACCAGCCTGTGGTTCTGGTTCTTTCTACTCCAGGAGAGGCCACGCCCATCTCAAGTTGCACATAGGAAGTTTCGTCTCAGTCCTGGAAAGCAGGAAATTCTGGCTGGAGGACTGAGGGAACCTTCATGTCTACTCTACCCATGTTGTGTTTGACTGCACCTGATTCTTACATCTCACAGCCCCATCAATGAGTGCTGCCAAATGAGAAACATTGCCCATGTGCCAGCTTCTGATGGGCACCTCCAAGATCCCTACTCGTCTTTCTTAGGGTTCTTTATATTTGAAGGGCTTGAACTGGTCAGTCCCTTGAATAGAACAGGGAAGCCTAGCCCATGTGGCTGATGGTCAGAGATGTTAAGAGCTGATGTACAGAGAGCCACAGGTTCCCCAGCCCCCCAAAACAGAGGACTATTCTCAGCAATGGGTACATGACCACCACTCACCTCTCTGCAAAAAGGGCCTGAGGACGAGTGTTACACTTGTGATGCAAAACTTTCACGTCTCCCATGCCTTTAAAAGTTTTAATCGGTAGATTTGCCTTAGAAGCAGAACATTGTAAAGAAAAGTGCTTTCTTTTTGTCCCACATTTATTTGTTTTCCAAAGTTGCCATGGGCACTTAAAAAGGAACTAATCTGTTTAAAACAACAGTATTATACCAGGGTAAGCAGTCACTTAGCCACTCCTTGGGTTTGTTTTTCACCCTCCAGCCAAATAGATGATACAGTATGAGAACTGGAATATTCACAAAGCAAATGATTACTGCTCTGATCATTTCAGAGAAGTACTATATTAATCCCTGTAATGGAATATACTTGCTTTAGACTACTAAACTAGAGAATCCCACTTCTCAGCCTTGTTAATTTGTCAGCCTTGTGTCATCAAACAAGACTGGGCCTGCATTTAACCTGTGTTTATCCTTTTCCCCACTTACCCAGAGCATTAGGAGGTTCCAATTTATGCTGCTTCTTTATCTTGGTAGCTCCCCAGGGTTTACTGTTTAAAGGGGTGAAAGAATTCTGTGAATTCTAACCAGCATTTAGAAGGATGCCGAAATTCAATCTCAGTTTGTAAACTCTATCCTGGAATTACCTCAGCCAGAGTTGCCACCGTACACATGACCTACAATAATACTGTCAGCTTGGAATGTCTGAGTAAGTTGCACACTTTATAAATACAAGAAATAAAAGTATTGATGTGTGATTTCTGTGCCTATGGCCCTCCAGAAGTTGTCAGACTCCAACGCCCCTCATCTCTGTTCATTGGCCATGCTGGATGGGGGTTGATAGTATTTGGAGTCTGACAACATGTGGAAGGCCACAGGCTTCCCACCCCGATTTAGAGCCATAAATCTTCCTATTGGGAGTTTGGCACATGGCTTAATAGGACCACGTGAGCTAACTCCACCTGCAGCTCTGACATGTTCCGTGGGCACGCTCCCTGCCTTGTGTGCATTCAGTATAATGCATGGAATATGCCTGCTTACATTATTTAATATGTGGCCTTCAACAGCTGCAAATTTCGCTATGAAGTAATGGAAAACTGTAGCTGCTGAAGTTCTGTCTATTATGCAAAGTGGGAAAATGGGTGCTCTGCCAGACTTTAGTGGCTGACCCTATCTATAGTTCTAGCTACAGGTAGGTAGCCGTGTTGGTCTGCTGTAGTTGAAACAAAATTAAAAAAATCCTTCCAGTAGCACCTTAGAGACCAACTCAGTTTGTTATTGGTATGAGTATTTGTGTGCATGCACACTGTGTGTCTGAAGAAGTGTGCATGCACACGAAAGCTCATACCAATAACAAACTTAGTTGGTCTCTAAGGTGCTACTGGAAGGATTTTTTTTATTTTGTTTTGACCCTATCCAGTTAGTTCGTTGTCTTTTTTTAAAAAAATGTTGCAAAACTCACTGCATGAATTAATTATCAACTTTTCTGGCCTTGGAGATACAATGAGTACAACTCAGCAGTTTAATAGCTGGTTTAAAATTAAGCTGTTGAACAAATGCAGAAAGGACTGTCTCACTGCTGTTTATCGATTCTGGAGATTAATCTGAGAGCACTTACACACACATGAGAGAGAGAGAGAGAGAGAGAGAGAGAGAGAGAGAGAGAGAGAAACAGGCAATGCCCATGTCTGGTGACCACTATAAATAGCTGTGTGTCATTGTGACACTGTAAATTGTCACGCCGACATAGTGAACATGGGGGGTAAATAGCATTTCCATGACTGAGCCTCCTCAGGCAGCCTTCCTATACTTATCAGGAGCAAGTCCCATTGAACCCAATGGGCTTCTGACCAAGTAGAGTGAAGAAATGCTCCGCCATTTTGTGTTTGGATGCTACAAAACGGTTGCATTTGGTTTCAGAGGCCTGCTCTGCACAGTCTGGGCAAAGGTTCACAGGAATGTTAAAGGGACAGAGGGGGACATTTTGCAGGGGGGGCACCAAATGATTAGCCTAGCAACCTGGCACTTATATAACCAAGTGTCTGACTGGGTGAAAGGTTGGGATGGGGGGGGGAGGAAGAGAATGAAAATAGTGTGTCTAAGTCAAGCAAGAAAACAGGGTGGTGAATTCAAGTTAAAGAAACACAAGAGGGAAAGAAATTGTACAATTCCTTTCAGATCATAATCTGAGTATAGTGGTACCTCGGGTTAAGTACTTAATTCATTCCAGAGGTCTGTTCTTAACCTGAAACTGTTCTTAACCTGAAGCACCACTTTAGCTAATGGGGCCTCCTGCTGCTGCCGTTCTTATCCTGAAGCAAAGTTCTTAATCCAAGGTACTATTTCTGGGTTAGCGGAGTCTGTAACCTGAAGCGTATGTAACCTGAAGTGTATGTAACCCAAGGTACCACTGTATAGGTGTTTGGAGTGCAGAATTAAGTTTTGTCCTGGAGCAGTAATTTAGCTGCGAGACTGGACAGTGTTGGAGAGAATCATATGTCTCCCTTTTGCTCCGAGGTCCGCAGTTGAAGCAGAGCAAAATCAGGATTGGGTTCATGACAAAGAGGGAGAAGGGAGTTAAGGCTTCGGCCAATCCTGAAAGAAAATGCCCCCCATATGCCGTTCATGCAGGAAGCATCTTTTGGCAGGTGGCAGTGGGTTTCCATCAAGACTCAGCAGAGGGAATGGGTAAACCTTCTCTTCCAGTGTGCCATGGACCTGATCCCTCCACATGGTATAATTTTTTAAAAAAAATTAAACAAAATATGTGAAATGCATACATCGTACTTAGGGCAAACTGTATGCCAGACATGGGAATCGCAAGTGAGTAGAGTGCTTGTGCTCAGTTCCTGTTTTGGGGGTTCGAATAGGCATCTGGCTGATCACTGTGACAACAGGATGATGAACTGGTGAGGACTTTGGCCTGATTCTGAACTCTTCCAAAGTTCACCTTATGGTGACAATACAACATTTGAAGGACACAGAACATAAGTCACACCAAGTAGTAACGCAGGTGGTGCTGTGGTCTAAACCACTGAGCCTCTTGGGCTTGCTGATTCGGAAGGTCAGTAATTCGAATCCCCACGATGGGGTGAGCTCCCGTTGCTCTGTCCCAGCTCCTGCCAACCTAGCAGTTCGAAAGCACACTAGTGCGAGTAGATAAATAGGTACCGCTGTGGCACGAAGGTAAACAGTTTTTCTGTGTGCTCTGGTTTCCGTCAGTGCCCCATTGCACCAGAAGTGGTTTAGTCATGCTGGTCACATGACCCGGAAACGTCGGCTCCCTCGTCCTGAAAGCGAGATGAGCATCGCAACCCCATCATCGCCTTTGACTGGACTTAACCTTTTTACCTTTACCTAGTAGTAAAATCACAAAAGCTCTCTTCTGGTTACTTATACCTCATCATCCTAAGAATTCAAGACGTTTTTCAATGTCAGCAGTTAAGACAAGAGAACATGCCTTCAATATATTAAACTTCTTTATTTCGTTTTGGCAGTTTCCATATTCTGGATTTCTGGACGGAAACAAAGCTTTCCTGTGTTTCGGCAATAAAAAATGTTTTTAGTCTATATGCATCAGATATGTCTATTAATCAGGGAGCTTCAGTACAAGATAATAAGATAATGAAAATTGTTATGTATGCATGTTTGCAATGCTCTATTTCGTGTTTTGCAAATCTCCATGTCTGCAAAATTGTCATTCAGGGCTGCAGATGAATTTCAAAGCATATGCCACAGAGCAGGAGTCTGAGTTTCAATGCTCTTGTGATTCCCATTATTTCTGATGGTGTACTTCTTACTGTTAAGAGTAAGGCATCACTGAAATCTCATTGCTCCACAAAAATAAAAAAAATAACTAGGATCGTCATTAAAGGACAAGTCAATCACTTGTCTAAACAAGAACATAGATGCCAACAAAAATTACGAACAATCGTATACATTTCTAATCAGAAATAAATGCCATTGAGGTCAATTGCTCCCAGGGGTATAGGACCACAGCCCAAGAAAATGCTACTTAGAGAAAACACTAATGCAACTTAAAGAATGTAGCCCCAAATCCAAAAAAAAGGAACACTGCCTTTTGTGCAGTAGTCATTAACCCCCAAAGTGCTTGATCTTCCTACATATACATTGAAAAATACAAAGGAATTGTTGCTTGTTCATGTAAAATTATACAAATGCTGTTTCTTCCTGCTTTGGTCTCTCATACCAGGTGAAGAACAAGCTTCAAGATCATCAGAAGGCTATGTTTAAAAGAGAGAGAGAGAGAGTGAAATTAGCAAGCACGCTGCCAGTTGAGAAGTGAAAAATACATTTCCATATCTAGGACTATGTGTACTCTAATCTTTTTTTAAAAAAACAAAACCCTACACCAAGGTAACCCAAAGTCCCTGCTCAGAAAAGCTGAATTCTGTGAACTGCACAAACTATGCAAATGTTATTCATTTGGTTATTTAGTTAGTGCATTTAGTTATTCTTCAAATCATAGAGATAAGCAAAAAAAAAAAAGGCTGGCCAAAACTGCCCCCTACCCCTCTCCACTGTTTTACAAGGCACTGATGATGTTCTGTCTCTTTCTCTCTGTCTCTTAAATTTTCTGTTTTACAATTTAGAATGCTCATTTAAACAACCTTAAAATATCAAAGACTTCTGTTCTTCTCTTTCCATGGTTCATTTTGCCTATCATAAATCCCTGCATATTTTACATAAACTAAACCATTCAGTATTCCATTATTACATCCATCAAAACTTATTTACACTGTTGAATTTATCTTAATGCTGCCCACATTTTCGAGTGCAGATATTCAATAAACATTTTCCAATCTTCTTTAAACGCATGTTCTTCTTGTTCTCTTATTCTTTATGTTAGGTCCTCAAGTTGCGCACATTCCACCAGTTTAAGTTGCCATTCCTCTTTAGTTGGGACCTCGCTTGTTTTCCATTTTGGGGCTAACAAAACACAGGCAGCAGCAGTGGCATGCATAAATAATCTTTTTTGACACCTGGGAATTTCCGTCTGGATTATCCCCAACAAAAAGGATTCTGGTGTGTGTGGGGCTTTTTGGGGGGAAAGTACTTTTAACCTTTCCCCCCAATTCATGATGGATTATTTCCCAATACTCTTTGACCACATATGAAAGAACATTCCCTCAGTCTACTGATGATGTACTCTCAATCCTAGCTTCCTACTTTTAAAACACAAGAAACTTGCTTGTTTGTTTTAAAGATCAGGAAACTATATCTCCAATATAAAATCTATATTGGAAACTCTATCTCCAATATAAAATCATGTACCTCAGTGTCGCTGCAAAATTACAGAACACACAGAATTTGGTCTCAGAAAACTATGAAATGCTGTGGTTTGCAACCAGCAAGAGGCAAACTTTCCCCAGTATTCTGCTGCTCCCTGAAGCCAGCTCCGAAGGGAACAGTGTGGAAGGAAAAGTGCTTGCGGAGGAAAAGTTGGGATCAACTCAAATCGCCTCCTGTTCTCCTGGCAAGAGTTTCTGCCATGACCTCACAGATGGACCCATTCTGCTTGTGTAAGGGACAGTCTGGATGCAACCGCCACAACTTTTGTCACCTAAAAACTAGTTCTATAATCAAGAGACAGATTCGCAACCAGCAGCTCTCTGACCGTGGTTTAAAGTTGTGTGCAATACAATCCTATGCTTACTTACTCTGGAGTAAGTCCCCCAGTGTTCAAGGATGCTTACTCTCTCAAGTATGTGCTGACTGGAGTGCAGCTGAGTAAAAAAGGGGACTCTCTCTCTCTTTATTTACCTACCTGAGGCCTGCTATGATTCCAGCTGGCATTAGCTTCTTGGTCCTCTTAAACCTCACTCCCATTACAACTGTCAGGAGGAAAGCTGTGACTGCAAATATACATACAAGCATTAGTTTATTATTAATTCTATGGGTTTTTAAATGCTGCCTTTCAACCATGTTTCCAGGGTAGTTCACAACAACAAAACGTAACAACAACAGGGCATGCTCAGTGACCAAGGATGATGGAAGTTGTGGTCCCAAAGATCTTGAGGGTACCAGACTGCTCTATCCTCATGATGCACAGCTCTGCAAGGCTCAGGTGAGTGCTATGCAGGGTGGATAAAAATCAAAGTTTTTCTTAATTAAAAAAATCAGATTTTTTTTATTTAAATTGGATTTTTTAAAATTTTAATTGGAAATTTAAAATTTAAATTGGATTTTTAAAATAAAATGCTTTCAGAGGAAAAATATTTCTAAAGATAGTTTTCTATTTAAGTTACATTATAGTCCAAAGGCTATCCATCAGGAAATAAGGATTTGTTTTAAGTTTTTCATGTGTGCTAAAACTCAGTCTGAGGTTTGTTTGTTTTTTCAAAAAATGTTTAACCACATCAGTTAACAAACATGGATAAATATGCTATAATATGAGTGTTTTAGTTAAATAAATTGTTTAAATTGTTATTAAGGAAATGATTGTTTTTCTCCTTCCAGTAAAGTACAGCAGAAAAGTTGTCCAAATACAAACAGTTAACTTATCAAACCTCACAATAATTTCATAATTATCTGTCTATGTATAACCAAATCAGTAATTTTTGATATAACTGTAAAAACTACTCTGAAAATCAATTATTCAAAAAATGAAACCTTCATCTGGTTGTAAATATTAAGATTATACCGGCAAGAATGAGCCTTTCTGTAAAAAAAATAAAATGATTTAAATCTTACTGACTAGTGATTTAAATCGTGATTTAAACTGATTTGATTTAAATCAAATCCACCCTGGTGCTATGTAAATAGATTATAGCTCTGCACATGGAAGAGCTGCGCCATCGATTAGTGTGCCAAATGTGAAACATTTCCTAACATTAAAGAGAACAGGGGAACTGCTTTCACCTCAGCCTGTTGCATTTCCTCACTGGAAGTCCAAATGCCCCCTGGAGCCAAATGAAGCAGTTAAAACTGGAGGTGACTGCCTATTTTGAGTCAATACCTGCAGCTGTTACAAAGGTACTTCCCATTTTACGGCTATCTGTTTTCAGTTTATGATCATTTGTTTTAGGATGATTACATTCAAAGCAAGATTTCAATTTCCTGTTAAACTTGCCGTGCAATGCCCTTTCCAGAAAGCAGGATACTTACACAACGATATCTTTATATCTCTGGGGTCGTGAGTTACCCAATATGCGCCATAAGCAGCCATCAAGCCGAAGAAGAGGCCAGCCACCAAGGAGATTTTACTGCCTGTAACAATGATATCACAATAGATCAAGCTTAGAGGAAAAAAAGGAAATATGCAGAAAACTGAAAAAGAAACGGAAATGCTTCTACAATGTCTTTTTGAAATATGACGGTCACTTTTTGGTAAACTTAAAATACATTTACAGTTGTACCTCTGGATACGAACAGGATCCGTTCCGGAGCCCCGTTCGCATCCTGAAGCGAATGCAACCCACGTCTGCGCGGATCACGATTCGCCGCTTCCGCGCATGTGCGTGATGTCATTTTGAGCGTCTGCGCATGTGTGAGTGGCGAAACCTGCAAGTAACAGGTTTCGTTACTTCTGGGTCGCTGCAGAGCGCAACCCGAAAACGCTCAACACGAAGCTATTTCAACCCGAGGTATGACTGTATTTAAAATGTATATTGCATGTTAAGATTTCCCTCCACTCCTTTCTACAACTGTTCCAAGATTTAAGATCAACCAATCAATCAAATAATCTGACCAGACCAGATTTAAGATTTTATTCTGATCTGGCTGAAATCTGAAAGGCTTTATGGATTTCAGTCTTGAAACCAGTTTTGTGCAAAAGTGCTATGTATGTATGTGAGAGAGAAAATAAATATACAAGATAAATTCAAAGACATCTTTAAAAAAAAATACTTTAAAAGAAGGAGCACTTTTGGTAGGAGAGAACGCTCACGTATTAATTTAGTTTCGTTTTACAGTGAAGTGAAAAGCAAGCTGTCTGGCTGAGGTTCAGCAGAACCTCAAAATCTGGTGGGGTGCCCACCAAGTTGAATTCCATAAGTATCTTAACTAACTAGATTTTTGGCCTTACCTGAAGACTAAATCAGAATTATTAAATGACTAGGCTCGTCTCACATCAAACACTCTGGTAAAGTATAGACAGAAAATGAGCTTTTGTATCATGATGGCACTGAGGGGAGTAACCCCCTCTCCTCCAGCCCTACATATTTATTTATTTAGTCATTTAATAAATAACAACAACAACAATTTATTATTTATACCCCGCCCATCTGGCTGGGTTTCTCCAGCCACTCTGGGCAGCTCCCAACAGAATATTAAAAAGATGATAAAACATCAAACATTAAAACCTTCCCTAAATGGGAAACTGAAGTGTTTCACATGATTCTTTCTACACCACTGGAATGTGATCCAAGGAGAAGTGGGAAAGAAGACTCCATTTTTGTGTGTGTGTGTATTCTACAATTCCAGTGCTTACCTTTGCGAATATATCCTGCAGCACCTCCGAGAGCCACAACCGCAGCATAACCAAAGCCAATCCAGTCCACACTCATGATGAAAAATCTATAGGGCAGAAAACCAAGTTACCAGTGAGAATATAGAAAAACTCAGGGAAAGAGGGGGAAAGAGAGTTATGATCCAGTGTTCTTGTGAACACCCAACAATTAAAGGAAAACACATTCCTGGACATGGCGATCAGCTCTGTCCACCCAGCAAACCAACATGCACCTATGGTCAGGTCTGCAAACTGGAGGATTAGAAGAAATCCTGTCTTTCATTCAAGCTGTCTTAAGAAACCAGTCTCCATATTACAAATACAGTGGTGCCCCGCAAGACAAATGCCTTGCAAGACGAAAAACTCGCTAGACGAAAGGGTCTTGCGTTTTTTGAGTCGTTCCGCAAGACGAATTTCCCTATGGGCTTGCTTCACAAGACGAAACGTCTTGCGAGTTCTTGCGAGTTTGTTTCCTTTTTCTTAAAGCCGCCTAGCCGTTAATAGCCACTAAGCCGCTAATAGCTGCTAAGCCGCTAATAGCCGTGCTTCGCAAGACGAGAAAACCGCAAGACGAAGAGACTCGCGGAACGGATTAATTTCGTCTTGCGAGGCACCACTGTACCAGAGACAAAGTGAGTTTTCGAGCTCTACAGCTAGACTGGTTGACTGGCAGTGGCCGAGACCATATAACACTGGTCCTGAAAGACCTACATTGGCTCCCAATACATTTCCGAGCACAATTCAAAGTGTTGGTGCTGACCTTTAAAGCCCTAAATGGCCTCAGCTCAGTATACCTGAAGGAGCATCTCCACCCCCATTGTTCAGCTGAGGTCCAGTTCCTCCCTGTGAGAAGTGAGGTTACAGAGAACCAGGTAGAGGGCCTTCTCGGTAGTGGCACCCGCCCTGTGGAACCCCCTCCCATCAGATGTCAAGGAAATAAACAACTATCTGACTTTTAGAAGACATCTGAAGGCAGCCCTGTTTAGGGAAGTTTTTAATGTTTGATGTTTGATGTTTTTAATATTCTGTTGAGAGCTGCCCAGAAACCCAGCCAGATGGGCGGGGTATGTATGTATGTATGTATGAATGAATGAATGAATAAAAACAGTATGGTGCAGTCTGCCCTGTCCTGCCACTGTACTCAAAACTGCTCACCACATGGTAACAGCAGCCTCCACATGGCAGGTGTTAAGGGGCAAACTAGCTCTTAGTGGAGACGGATTGGGGGGGGGCAGGACTGGTTTGTCAGCACTGGGGGGTGCTGAGGTGAGAGGGTGCCACTGGGGACACTGCAACAATGGCAAAAAAACGGAAGGTGAGGGCCAAGAGAGGCCAACGAATTTTGGCATTGCACAGGATGCCGCTGAAATATGAAAGCCCAAATTCCACCACTGCTCTTAGCTAATTCTAAAGCACTTTGGCCCTTTATCCCAAACTGCTCTCCAGAGCATAATAAACCTAACCACTTGCCCTACAAATCATGGAGAATTTGCAGTTTTTCCAGGCTGCGCAATGGCCACCCAACATTCTTCAAAAGTCTAACCTGGAGGTCAACCTCCTACCTAGCAATTTAACTTCTGAAACTTTTTTTACTGTTTCCCAGGGCCAATTTTTTTTTGTTATTTACTTTTTCAGTTTGCCCTTGGATGCAAGCTTCCCTCCCAAAATAACCAGAACGGGGAGCCCTGTTGCAGAATCCAATTGTAAGACTACAACTCCCATCAGCCCTAGAGCTAGCGGGACCAGGGGCCAGGGACGATGAGAGTTGTAGTCAAAGAATCATGGAATTTGATCCAAGCCTCTGCAGTGAAGGAACTTCAACTAAAACATCCATTACTGATGGCCATCCAGCATGGGCGTAGCCAGGATCTATAATGTTGGGCTGTGTGGCAGAACTGAGCTATCTGCGACACGATTTGTCAGTTAGCGGGTGGCGCTGTGGGTTAAACCACAGAGTCTAGGACTTGCTGATCAGAAGGTTGGCCGTTCGAATCCCCGCGACAGGGTGAGCTCCCGTTGCTTGGTCCCTGCTCCTGCCAACCTAGCAGTTCGAAAGCACGTCAAAGTGCAAGTAGATAAATAGGTCCGGCGGGAAGGTAAACGGCATTTCCGTGCGCTGCTCTGGTTCGCCAGAAGCGGCTTAGGCATGCTGGCCACATGACCCGGAAGCTGTACGCAGGCTCCCTCGGCCAATAAAGCTAGATGAGCACCGCAACCCCAGAGTCGGCCACGACTGGACCTAATGGTCAGGAGCCCCTTTACCTTAAATATTTCTTATTTATTTAGGGGGAGGGGCAGCTCCCCCCCCCCCAGCTACACCCGTGTCGTCCATCCTCTGCTGAAAAACCTCCTCTGGATGGAGAACCCACCACGTGTCGAGGGAGCCTGTTCCATCTGCGGACCCAAGGCTGAGAAAGGCTGCTCGGGACTCAGGATGACTTTGCGCAGCAGCAGGAAGATAACCCACACATGTGACACCTCTTGCAAAACGCGACCTCCGCCGATCTTCTGAGCGCGTGCAAAAGTTTCAGTTTGGAAAACACGGGCGGCGCGCCTGCCATGTTTTACCACCAGCTGAGAGGCATTATCTGGGCGCGCCGGGCCTCTCTCTCCCCCCCGCCCCCCCCAGCCCAGGTTTTCACCCCCAAATCCTGCAAGTTTCCCTTTGCTCTTTCCGCATATCCCTGGTGGCGGGGGCGAGGCATCTCCCTTTTGCCCTGCAAAGAGTTCACGCGAAAACGACACCCGGAGCAGCAACAGGGAGTGGGAGGCACCCGAGGAGCCCACGCCGGAGCAGGAGGAAGTGACAGCTCTGCAAGGCCCTCGGCCTTGGCCGGGCTTGTCAATCGCGGCCCGGCGGGCTGCCATAGGCCAGGCGAGGCTATTGTACCGGAGAAGGGGAAGGAGGGAGCTCCAGCCCGGGCTGGCGCGCTCTGCTGTCAGTCCGGTGCACGGTGCGGGACATGCAAAGGCTGCTGCTGCTGCTGCTGCTGCCGCCACCTGGCCCTCTCCCTCCCAGGCCCCCATCTCCCTGGGGGGCGCATAGCAAGCCTCTGCCCCGCGCGGCCTCCTTTCACCCGCTGCCCACCTCCTTTCTCCCGCTGCCCACCTACCTGGCTTCGCAGTGCGGGCAGCGCCTCCCTCGCCTTCGGGATCCGCCTCCGTCTCCATCCGCATCTTTGCGCTCTCTTGCGCGCCTCCTACTGGCGCAGAGTGCGAGGGAGGCTTCGTGGGTGGGTGTGCCTTCGCGGGCCTCTTTGCAAGGTAGCGACGGCCCTCGGAGGTGCGGGTTTGCGATGGGGTGTGGGGTAGGGTGGGCGTAATCCAAGACCTTTCCTAGTACGTCCTCTTTATTTTCTTGCCCGGGTTTTTTGCTCCTTTGACCGAGGCCGGAGCGTTTCAAGGCAAGGCAACAGTGCCACCGCGTGGGTGAAAGTAGAAAGCGAAAGTGCCAAGTCTAAAAGGAGGTGGTTCTAAAGAAGTCAGTTTAAAGAAGTCAGTGTAAACTTGCAGCCTTTCTCAACCTGTGGGTCCCCAGATGTTGTTGAACTACAACTCCCATCACCCCTAGCTAGCAAGGCCAGAGCTCAGGGATGATGGGAGTTCAACATCATCTGGGTACCCACAGGCTGAGATCTGGTGAGACTCAATGCATATCTGCCAACATTTCTCTGATGAAAATAGGGACTTCCTAAGGAAAAGTGGAGGGGTGTGGGTGGTGCTGTGGGTTAAACCACAGAGCCTAGGACTTGCCAATCAAAAGGTCGGCAGTTCGAATCCCCGCGACGGGGTGAGCTCCCGTTGCTCGGTCCCTGCTCCTGCCAACCTAACAGTTCGAAAGCACGTCAAAGTGCAAGTAGATAAATAGGTACCGCTCCGGCGGTTTCCGTGCGCTGCTCTGGTTCACCAGAAGCAGCTTAGTCATGCTGGCCACATGACCCGGAAGCTGTACGCCGGCTCCCTTGGCCAATAAAGCGAGATGAGCGCCGCAACCCCAGAGTCGGCCACTACTGGACCTAATGGTCAGGGGTCCCTTTACCTAAGGAAAAGTGGGACATTCTGGGTTCAAATCAGAAACCGGGACGGCTTCTGTAAATCTGGGACGGTCCCTGCAAAATAGGGGCAAATACCACCTGTGCCTTGCTGAACAAGTTCAGTACAGTGGTACCTCAGGTTACAGACGCTTCAGGTTACAGACTCTGCTAACCCAGAAATAGTACCTCGGGTTAAGAACTTGGCTTCAGGATGAGAACAGAAATCATGCCGTGGCAGCGCAGCGGCAGCAGGAGGACCCATTAGCTAAAGTGGTGCTTCAGGTTAAAAACAGTTTCAGGTTAGGAATAGACCTCCGGAACGAATTAAGTTCTTAACCCGAAGTACCACTGTATCTGAATCCCATGGCACGTCTCCATATCTGGTCAGTGGTGAGAAGGAGTGTTGCCAAGCCTAGGCTAAGCCAGTGTGGTATAATGGTTAGAGTGCTGGGCTAGGACCTGGGAGACCAGGGTTCAAATCCCACTCGGCCACGAAGCACACTGGGGGACCTTGGGCCAAACACTGTCTCCCAGCTTTACCTACCTCACAGGGTTGTTGTGAGGACAGCATGGGGAGAGAGAGAGCCAGGTCTGCTGCCTTGATTGGAGAAAAAGTGGTGGGATATAAAAAATAGATAATGTTCCACCTATGAAAAAGGACCTGTAGATTCTATGCAGTCTAACACTGTGAAAAAAATTTGTGTGTGTGTGTTATGGATATGCTCATGAAACGGCCAAAATAGATTCCCAAATATAATTTCCATCTCAGCCTTCTCTGATAAATCAGCTGATTAATGCCGATGAATAGACACATGCATCATCAAGCTGCATACCAATTAAAGCTTGCACCCCTTTTATTATTATTTCCCCCTAGAGTCTGGACCATATAGCATAGGGTATATTTGCAGGCCTTGGATGCAAATGCTTTAAAATAACTAGAACAGTCAATTAATCTTTCTTCCAAAGAAAAGCATTGTTCTTTTTCTTTTCTTTGTTTCTGCTCGGCAGTCCATTTTTAAATTATGTTCCCAATTTCTTTGTATCCCTACTACCACCAGTAACTCTAAAAGGATTAGAGAATAATTGTATAATAATTGTACAATAAAATTATACAAGTTGATAGAGGGAGAAAGTGGATGCAGCGAAGTTTTCTTCCCTCTCTCACAGTAAGGAAGCTGGTATCATCAAATAAAGCTGACTGATGGGATATTCGGAACTGGCAAAAGGAAATGATTCTTCGCACAATACATCATTAAGCCGAGGAATACACTATCACAATGGCCCCAAGCTTAGATGTGGCTAGACACATTCGTGGAGACTACTAGTTATGAGGGCTATATGCTGCTTCTCGGCCATCTTCTTTGGCGATCACTCATAGCCGAGTGAGATTGGCTTCCATGGATATGGTCTTAACAGTCTGTCCGCAAGAGACCGTAGAGTAGGGCTACCAGACGTCCCCAGTTCCCAGGAACAGGTCTCCGGATTTGCAATTCTGTCCCCGGACAAATTCCGTGCCTGGAATGTCCCCAGATTTGCAAATCTGTCCCTGGGAAATGTGGCAGCAGCAGCCTTGGCAGCCTGGAGCCAGCCTGGTAGGGCAGTTGGCTCTGGCTGGCTTCAGGAGCTGCTCGCTGCTGTGGCACCTGCCATTTTTCCTGCGCCACAGCAGCAGGCAGCGAGCAGCTCCTGAAGCCAGCCAGAGCCAACTGCACTACCAGGCTGGCCCCTCCTGGGCTACAGCAGCCCTCCCGTGACTCCAGAGCCTCCCCTGATCTGTCAAAAGGAAGTGGGAAGGGGGAAGGAGATGGGGGAAGGCTTGGAAATCAAGGGTGGGTGGTGCGCCGTTGCCCAGTTTTTAAAAGAACTCTGCACGTTTATGTTTCACAGGGTGCGAAAGAAGGGCTTTGCACCTCTATACAATATGCATGTGTGCTTGGGCCCAGGGTCTTTTGCCTCACCATCCCCACTCCTGACTCCCTGTTGCTACTCAGCTTCCAAAAAAAATAAAAATAAAAAGGAAAAGTGTCCCCAGATTCACTGAAAAAAACCTGGTAACCATACCGTAGAGGCCAATTCCTGATCTGCACATCCTTCCGCAGTGGGGAAGTCCAGGACAACTGTGTATGTGGCAAAGGGGTGGGAGGTTTGATGAGGAAAATAAGGTTTTGAGAACAGTCAGGCTGTTCTGTAACCACAAGGATATTTCTTATATTGAAAACGCATTGTACTATTAGATAAGGAAGTGTGTTCTTTCTTTCCCTATAAGCCTTTGCCTTTGCTTGTTTGAGAGAACAATAGGGTAAAGGTAAAGGACCCCTGGACAGTTAAGTCCAGTCAAATTCCAGGATGAGGGAGCTGGCGTTTGTCCACAGACAGCTTGAGGGAAGCCACAGTGCACAGACACGCTGTTTACCTTCCCGCCACAGCCATACCTATTTATCTACTTGCACTGGTGTGCTTTCGAACTGCTAGGTTGGCAGGAGCTGGGACAGAGCAACAGGAGCTCATTCCGTCATGGGGATTCGAACCGCCGACCTTCTGATCGGCAAGCCCAAGAGGCTCGGTGGTTTAGTCCACAGCGCCACCTGCATCCCTTTTTAGAACAGTAGTTTCTCTCTGTATGCTTGTAATGAAGGAGGCTCAGGTAGTTCTGAGACAAACACAATGCTATGGCTATTTCCCCACAACAATCCACAACTATTGCTCATGTAATGCTACCCATTTTGGTGGCATGCAAGAGCATTCGAACTGTGTTGTCGGAGCAAACCAGAGGTTCCTTTTGTCCTGTATCCTGAATTCAGTGGTTAGCCAGAAGCCCCTAAGAAACACAGAACTCCTGCTGGGTGGGCCAAACATCACATCAGTTATTAGGAGCTATCTTGCCAACAACAGTAATTCTGGTAGCAAATGTTGACATAGTGGTAAATATTTCACTAGTGAACCTCCTGCAATTGGGGGACCAGAAGCAGAAGCCAGGCAAAAGTACAAAGAGTAGAGCCAACCCTTAAAAACCTCTTATTTATTTTTTTAATGAGCCATCTGAAGCCATTTGTACTCAGCTGAGAAAATATTTGTCAAGATCGTTCCCTGTTATTTGTTTTGTGTGAGTATGACAATTCCTTTGTTCTGAAATGTTTCAGCAGAGGCTGAGAATTTTAAGCGTTATTTAAATCCTACCTGGTATTTTTATGTAATTATGCCTGAAAGGTTTTTTTTGTTGTTTTTTTTACTGATGGAACAAAGTTATCATTTCTTCTAAAAGTGTGTGTAAATACAATGTACTCCTAAAATACCCCCCCCAAGTCTTGGGGATCAATTTCTAAAAGTATTCAAATTGGTTGTCTTTAACAAACAAACAAAAGAAGGAAGGAAAAAGTACCCAGATGTGTTTTATTTATAAACACTGCAAAAATATATAGAATTGCATACAGTATTTGCCATACTCAGAGCAGACTTATTCAAATTAACGGACATGTCTAACTTAGGTCCATTATTTTAATGTCCTACTATGAGATGAAATTAGTTGGGCACAATTCATAAGATGCCCAAGCAGTTCATAATTTATTGTTACAGGGAAATGCAAAATTAGAATCGAAAAAGAGAACAAACTAGGCACAACCAAAGGAGCCAACACAGTAATATAACAGTGATCATTATAATACTGAAAGTAATTTAAAGAATAAGAAATAAGGAAATGATTAACTAACTCATCCATTCAGTACTTCTGCACGGCCATTGTACCTTCTAGGTCAATACTGTAGAGTGCTTCTGTTGTCTGGTTGAACATTTTCTTGTTTAAATGTCTTACTGAATCCATTTCACCTTATCTAGTATTAGAAGAACTGATTATGGATGAATTCAGACTCCTTATTTCAAGATTTTAAAAAATGAGTGTGTGTAGATCCATTCAGCAAAGTCTACAATTGGCAGTAAACCCAACTGGGGCCAGTATAAAATCAGTGCCATGCATGGAAGTCTTGCTGGGAAAGAAAGCAAAACAATCTTTATTTGGGAGCTACATGTGTATGCTAAGGACAGAACTATCCCATGATGAAACATAATATGTTCTAGCCATAATTTCAGCCACAAAAGTTATAGTTAAGAATAGAGGTATAATTAGCATGTTGTGTTTGCAATGCCAAAGTTAATACTTTGTCAGTGTTTCCATTATAAGCACTAATTTGAGGCTCTGCAGATTTCTAACTTTGGTCCATTAATTTCAGTGAGTCTACTTTGAGTATAACATAGATGGAAATCCTCTTTCTCGTAATGTGGATCCACCCTCTGGATGTTTTAGGTCTCACCCTCTGGAGAAGCAGCAAATGAATTTGGTCATTATTATTATTATTATTATTATTATTATTATTATTTCTATACTGCCCTATACCCGCAGGTCTCAGGGCAGAAAAATATCAGAATATAAAACCACAGAATACATAATCAAAATAAAAACAACCCAATAACCCTCCCAACACATTTTAAAAGGGCATTACCTATATGACTGCCCTTTATAAATAATAAAACTATTATTAAAGTGAACATCATATTTGCCTCCTGTATTTCTGTGAGTTTCCAGTGCAGCGCAATATGGGTTACTAATAAAATACCTTGCATCTCCCTGTCTCCCCCACCCCCCCAAAAAAAGATTTCTTGAATATTTCCGAATTATCCTTGTAATCCAGGTCTTAGACTTTAGTTGAATGTTCTGGGCTAAGATCAGAAGATCAGAAAGAGACAAAGAATTTTTAAATAATAAGATAAAGGTAAATCTTTTTAATAATAAGATTTGTACTTAGGAGCGGCTTTTTGAAATATGATGCCAGTCTTTTATCCATGAGACTAAACAAATCTTACTAACAGGGACACGAAGATGTGAAGGTGTTACTGTGGTCAAAGAAAGGAGACTCTGTTATTCCTTGGATTACGTAAGACTGAACTTTAAGCAGAAAACAAATAATTTTACATCCCAGTGTTGTTGCAAACATCCTTTCAGAACAAAGAGATGCAGTCCAACCCACACATCAATCTTAGTGCATCACGCATGTGTGAAGTCACGTGCGCAACACGCAATGCAGGTCCAGTGGCCGACTCCTCCAGAGCCCTCAGCCTCCTGTGTCACACACGCATTGTCACGCATGTGTGTGACGTATGAGAGGTTACACACACACAAAATGTGCACCTCCTTGCCTACAACAGTGCTAGTCAGGTGTTTCTGTGGGAATGTTGAGGGTAGTAGGAGAGCATATATTGATTAAATAGTATCCTTCCTCACTCACGCTAGTGAGCTAATAGCAGAGCACGTTCCCAGAAGCAAGTTGATGGATTCATTGGAACCATATAAATTGAGCAATCCAGTCTGGCTTGTCCATATTGTATTGTTCCTGGTAAATTTCCCCTTTAGTAAGGTAAAGGGACCCCTGACCATTAGGTCCAGTCGTGGCTGACTCTGGGGTTGCAGCGCTCATCTCGCTTTATTGGCCGAGGGAGCCGACGTACAGCTTCTGGGTCATGTGGCCAGCATGACTAAGCCGCTTCTGGCAAACCAGAGCAGCGCACGGAAACGCCGTTTACCTTCCCGCTGGAGCTGTACCTATTTATCTACTTGCACTTTGACGTGCTTTCGAACTGTTAGGTTGGCAGGAGCAGGGACCGAGCAACGGGAGCTCACCCTGTCGCGGGGATTCGAACTGCTGACCTTCTGATCGGCAAGTCCTAGGCTCTGTGGTTTAACCCACAGCACCACCCATGTCCCAAATTTCCCCTTTAGTCCCCTCTTAAAAACAATAACGACACGACAGTCTTCCTTTAGAAAGTAATGATAAGGTTTACTTACATTCAGTTCACAGTATGATCCCGAAGACAGGCTTTCGATTTTAGTTACAGCTGCACAGAAAGGTGTGAGTTCATCCTCTTGTGAGGGATGAGCCCATGTGCTGCTGGCTAAGAGCCAGCACACAGCAAAAGGCATCAAGATAGTCAAGAGAGTGAGAGAGTCAAGAGGAAGATGGCTGCGTGACTAGCCCCTTTATAGGGTCTGCCAGGGTCATGCCCATCTATCTAGTCACATGCAGGGGGAGGGTGCTCCAGACCAGGTTTGACAGGAAGTCCTCCTGGCTGGAGCAACATTCCCTTGCGTGTCCACTCTGGGCAAACAGGAAATGTTGTATTTGACTGCTTATGTGATGTTACATCGCACAGTTTAAGAGTAGCAAATGGAATTAGTCCCTGGCTGAGGGTGACTCCCCCCTTCATGGATCACTGCCCTGTCGTGGCGAAGGGGCTTAAACAACTCAGAGAAGCTATGAGCTATGCCATGCAGGGCCACCCAAGACGGACAGGTCATAGCTGAGAGTTTAGACTACAGTCGTACCTTGGGTTAAGTACTTAATTCGTTCTGGAGGTCCGTTCTGAACCTGAAACTGTTCTTAACCTGAAGCACCACTTTAGCTAATGGGGCCTCCTGCTGCCGCCACACCGCCGGAGCACGATTTCTGTTCTCATCCTGAAGCAAAGTTCTTAACCTGAGGTACTATTTCTGGATGAGCAGAGTCTGTAACCTGAAGCGTATGTAACCTGAAGATTATGTAACCCAAGGTACCACTGTAAATGTGATCCACCTGGAGAAGGAACTGGCAAACCACTCCAGTATTTTGCCAGGAAAGCTCCAAGGACATAAAAAAAGGAGAAGTTTTGAGAAGAAAGTGAGAGTTTCCAAGGCATGCTTTGGTTCATGGGGTCATGGAGAGTCAAACACGATTAAGACGGCTAAACAACAAAAACAAAGGGTGGCCTTCTGTTAGGGATGCTGTCGTTTCATCCTGCATTGCAAATCCCCCACTGAGCACAGGGTTTCATAGAATAGAGTTGGAAGAGACCCCAAGGGTCATTGAATCCAACCCACTGCAATGCAGGAATCTTTTGCCCAACGTGGGGCTCAGATCCATGACCCTGAGATCAAGAGTCTCACACTCTACCAACTGTTGAACTAAACGACCTCCAGTGTCCGTTCCAACTCTTATGAACCTGTGATCATGCTTGCCATGGTGGCAGCCTAGGGCTTCACCAATAAAACTGATCATAATGATTCCTAGGACACCTTACAGAATCCAGTTAATGTGTTCCATGCATTGTTAGGATCGGTTGTGCATTTCATGGCAGAAAGAGAGTCACCGCAGGATGGCCCTTCTGAAAGAACTATAAGCACTGCTGACAGAATTGCTATAAGTCATGTCTTAGCCAAACAAATCTGGTTGACAAATCCGTTCTCATAATCTGGTTTATCGCAAAGTGAAATTAGTCTCTCTTGTAACAGGAAGCAAATCCCTGACCAATAATTTGAGCGTCTCCTACTGAAAGGATATGCTTGCATTTAATCCAGTTGCTCAAAGTTTGTTTTTCAGTCGGAAGGCTCAAAAGTTCATGCATTATAAAAAGAAGGATGGACATTCCTCGCGCGGAGTGCAGTGGTTATTATCCTGTGTTGCCATGATGTATTTACTGAGAAAATCTTTGCAAATAAGCCACAGCCCTCAACCCCTGAACCCTTCTAAACCAGCCAATTCCCATGGGGAGTTCAGGAGTTTTTATAGACAGATACTGTTTTCTCATGAGAATTTTGCTGGAGTTCATAGACTCAGAATTGAAATCAGAGGAGATTTATGAGGTTGTACTGCAACTATCATGTCTTTCTTTCCAATACGTGAAGAATGCATAGAATGAAGCATGTCTCAGCTGTGGAATCAAGATGGAAAATAATAAGAGCTTGATTCGCAGAGGCTGCAGCCTCAAACACACTTCGAAGTTCCAGGGTGCTCAGTTTTTGTGCAAACAGATACGTTTTCCTCATTAGTCTGCAGAGAGACCTGGAAAAGAAAACAAATGTTAAGTAGGTAAGAAAAGCTGTTTAATGCATCAAATCTTCCCTTGTTTTCAGCAGCAGGAGGGGGTGGGAGGGAAGTAGTTTCCCTATCCCAACTACTGTTAATTCCCTTGGCTATTTCTCCGACATTCCCGTTTTACAGTTCAAGTTTAAATCTGGAACAGTGTTTGCTTTTTGAGAGACAGTTGGTGCTTTTCATGTCATGTATTTCAGCTGGAATTTGGCCCAAGCCAAATATCGTGGTTTGAGCGAATGAGCGGCAGCGGAAGTGGTCTAAGGAGGAAGGGCTGCTTCTGGAGACCTTCCAGCTTTCCAGTACAGTTATACACTTAAGATTAGGGCAATGGTCTAAACAAAAGAGAAAGGAAAAGAGTTCTCATCATCCGCTGATCTGATTTATTAATATAATCCTTGGCACAAAAATGGGAACTTGAAAAATAATCCCTCTTAACATTCTAAAACCAAATCCTAAAGCTTTTAACTGTCCTAAAATGGATGCCCCTTCCTTGAAAATAGGTTTTTTTTCGGGGGGGGAGGGGAGAATCTATTGGAAACGGATGCTTATCACCAGAAAACCTGCATCCAATTATTAGCTTTTTTCGACTTCTTGCCTGAACACAGGGACATTTAGAGTGGCTGCCTATCTTCTCCAGGACTTCAGAACAGACTTTAATTCTAGTATTACACTGTAGAGCAGGTGTGGTTAAGCCTCAGACTGGGGGTTCAAACTGTCCATGCAAAGCATTTTTTCCCCTGCCCCCACCTCAGATTTTGGTGTCAGTGGCTATCTATCTATCTATCTATCTATCTATCTATCTATCTATCATCTAGCGCAACAGTGCTGAATTAGGAGAAGCCCAGCACTCTGACTGGGGTGCAAACCATTCTCTTCCCAGTAAATAGATCAACCATTTGATGAGTGGTGAGGGGGGCAATAAGTATTACAGTTACTAATATTGCATATTTGCACCCTGGGTTTGGGTCATCCACTGCAGGCATCCCAAGGAGCAGTTTCTCCATCATAACAGATTTTTTTTTAATGCAGTGGTGGCATCAGAACAGGACTTTAGGACAGAACTCAGCAGAATGAACAGGAGCCCCCCCCAAGGCAGCAGACCTGACCAATCACATCAGTTGGCCATCTTCAAGTGAAAGAATCTCTCTCCATGTGTGGGAGAGAATGAAACTGGCAAGAAATTCTACAGGCCACCCCAGCGGTCTTGGCACTTAACCAGGCCTTGTGTTTCCCCTTTGGGCAGGGGAAATAGGCACAGAGGAGACTGCAGTGTCTTTAAGATTTATGGCTCTATTTACACATATGTACACCTTGATGGAGGGAGTGCAGAACTATACTCCATGAGTGTCTCTTGTTGCTTCTCCCATAGCTTCAGTCCAAAGTAGAAGCCAGCCACGGTCCCTGGTCTCTGTGTTTAGTCTATCCCAACCAGCCCACATGGACTTCTGCCCCCCCATCCTTCTTGCTCCTTCCAAAAACCTCATGCAAAAGGACACTATTTTCTTGTGGTAACATCATGCCCCCTGTAACCCCAGCAACCTTCCCCTCCCAACTCTTTTGTCTCTGCCCACTAATCATGGCTGGAAGGAAAAGGACAATATTTGCATTGTCAATGTCTCTCAATGACCACCTCTCTTTGTTTCTTAATGGCACCTCTATCAGCTGATCTCCTGAACAGGAAAACTGGTATTTTTACACTGCTAATTTCAACGTCAGTTAGCTCACCTTAATTGTCTAAACACTGATTAAACCCCAACACCCAGGAATCTAGGGGGGGCAGGGCACCCAGAAAGCCAGAGGAGTCGGGACACCCACAAATCTGTAACAATACTATGCAGGGGCAGGGCGGATCCTGATATACCAAGAGCTTCATGGCACCTTAAAGACTAATGCATTTAAGTATTATGAGGTTTAGAAATGCATTTAAATTTATTCATTTAACAACTTTTGAAGTTGAAGAAAATAAATGTTTCTCAATGAAATTTAAAACATTAATTTAACATTTAAAAATCTTCAAGCAGTATACGTACAACAGATGAAAAAAGTTACCAAGGAAGTGTCAATAGATGCCGTGGATCATGCAGATGGAATTTGCAACCAATTTGAGTTCATGACAGAGGCAATATATGTATGTCTCTGTATTGTCTAGTCTAAATCCCCTATGGGATGAATTTCCAAAGAAATTACTAAGCCCTTTTCAGGACATTGTTGAGAGATTTTCCCGCTAACGGTCTTTGCGGAAATCAAGCAGGCCTCAGTGAGATGAGATTATAATTCAAGATTTCCATATCCCCACCACTGAGAGACATTCATAAAACAAGATCTCTTGCCTCAGTGCAACAGGGTATCTGTAAAATATACTGTATTTAAAAATAAACAACTAGCTCCTGCTGACAGTTTGATGGTTTTTAAAAAACAGCCCTTTGATTTATTTACACAGAGATATATTCCGCAGCAGGCTGTCTGGGAACTTTTGTCTCCATTCTGGGCCTTGCGTCCATATTTGATACATGTGGGTGAGATTTGGCTTTGAAGATCTCATTAGTAAATGGTACCTGAGGGAGGCATTTGCATGGGTCTTGGGGAAACGATTCCACTAGTGCTAATGACTATGTAGAGGTCAGATTGGTGTCTGTGGCATCAGTTCCCTATCTACTGTTACTGACCTTGTCAACTTTCCCGCTACAGTACAGATCTTGCAGATCTGGGCTGGAACCGGGAGGGGCGGACATCACCATATACCTCTCTGCTCTCCAACATTTTGCTAATTAAATTCGTCTGTTTCAAAATGCATTCTTTAACCTCCACCTTGTCCTAAAGTTTGTCTCAAACTTTCTTCTTCCTGAAGTGCCATGTACTTGCCTTTGAGTATGGATTAATAACAGGATTAAAACAAATGTTCCAGCTATAATGGAATGGCAAAGCAAGTTACAGGAATATGCAGAAATGGCGCAACTGACAAACAGCTTGAGAGGCAATACAAGGCAAGTGTTTACACAAAAATGGGAAAAATATAAGAGATATATACAAAATCATAATAGTGGTATGTTGTCTATGGCAGCATTTGATTGAACCTTGTCTAATGAAACACAAACAAAAGAAATCAAAAGGTGCAAACTGTTGTAAGAATGTATTAGAAAAGAAAACAAAGGATAAGCTAATAATGTAAGGTACATTCAACATCAGAAAGAAAATACACATCGGGAAATGATAGGAAGTCCAACTACATTTTTTAAATTTATGTTAATATATAGATAAGAAAATAAGAGATAGTAAAAATATAAAATAAGTTTAGTGTCTGTAAACAAATGGAGTATTACTTGTATATGCTTTTTGTTTATACGGTTTATATTCTTGTCTAGTTAAGAAGATATACATTATGTTTGTTGTATAAGATTGTCAATAAAGTTTGAGCTAACAACAACAACAACTGCAACACCATTTTTTATTTGCATAGCTCTGCGAATACACTATGGCAGAGCTTTCTAAACTTCTCAAGTCGGTGACACACTTTTGGGGCATGCATCATTTCGCATCACAGTAATTCAGTTTTGCATCATATTGCAACACAGTAATTTGGTTTTACTAGCAAACCAGAGGTTAAACTAACCCCTCTCCAGCCCCCCTGGAAGGGCGCAGGGAGCGTTCGTGCAACACACCTACACAATGCTGCTGACACACTAACGTTGCGACGCACAGTTTGGAAAGCTCTGCACTATGGTAACATTTGCATCAGGGTTCATCTGATCAGGAAGCCAAAACTTCAGCTGAATCATCTGCAAGGTCTCTAATGACACATCATGAGTATCATGACTCTCACAGCAATACAGAGGTGGAACCAGACACCGAGGATGTCATCCCAGTGCAACTCCTGACAGCTTACGTGCAGCAGTTTCACTTCCCAATCAAAGGTCTTTCATTTGGTGGTACAGTTTAAAGGACAGAGCAGAAATCCAGGGCCCCAATCAGCAGAAGGTTCCCCCAAATGCATCGTGCTAGTTTACATATTTTAAAAAAATAATTTTTCTTATGTTACAAAAGTACAGTGGTACCTCGGGTTAAGTACTTAATTTGTTCCGGAGGTCCGTACTTAACCTGAA